TGTTTATGCAGCTTGGAAGAGGTGCATCTTGAGGAAACAGCACCTTGAGGCTGAACACGACTAATTCAGATGAAGACCGTCTCCGCCAGTTAAGGCTTATCCATGTGCATCGCTGCAAAGCCATTCATAGGGAGTAATGGGCTGCTATGAAAAATTTGGGCTTGCTCACGAGGATGAGGTTGAATGGAGGTGACGAAGGCCCTAATGCAAGCAAGTCGGGCATCGGGAAAAGACAGGAACGTTTGTGAATGGCTGGTGTACATCAATGCATTCAGGTATATATCATTTCACACTAAATGAAGACACAGATTATCTCATGAGGAGGGTCAGTAATCGTCCACCGTCAGCATTTCGGTTGAGCAGATGCCCTGAGGTGCATCCTCATCCTGCCGCTTAAGGAACAACTCAGTCTCACCCCCAACAACATGACCCTTTGCATGCCAAAGAAAACGAGCATGCTTATCAGTGGTGACAAGGTAGAAAAGGAAAATTACATTTAGCTGCACCTGACGTGGTTTTCACGCCGCCGCCACCCCCCCGGCACCCGATAAAGGCAAGCCGACCAGACGCACAATCCCGCAGGACAAACATGGATCCAGGACTGCACGTATAAACTCAGCCTGCCAGCTCGAGTGATCGGAGGCATAGCCTCATGGATTGGAAAATTGCAGAGTCATTCCTCGTTCAAGATGGTTGCGCGCCATAACCGTGGGGATGTCGGAACTTGGTTGCAGCAGCTTATATTGCAAGATCGTGGGCAAACCGATCAACACGTCAAACTGATCGTTTTCGACCACGTAAAAGACCGTCTCGTAAGTCTTGAGACCCTGCGCAAAGCGCCAGTCCACACGGACTTTTCCGATCGTTGGGATGCTGGTTGTGTCCGCGGCTATTCGAAATGGCACTAGGGACTCCGTGCATGGCTCCAGCGGTAGGCCGAGTTTGTTGAAGACAACGCTCCGCATGATGCTGACCTCGCCTTGGGTATCCATAGAGATTCTTACACCTTTCTTCTCTTGGATTCCGGTAATCAGATAGCCGTTCTTGGTGAATTCGAGCCGTGCGGACTCATACTCGTCAGTGACGTCTCCCGGCTCTGGCCGATCGTTCGATATAGAAGGGGTCGTGATGGTCGTTATGGTCGTGTCGTGCCCACTCTGTGTCCCACTGGGACTGAGCACGCCAGATGAAACACTACTCGATAGCTGTTGAACGGAAGGACTCGACTCGCCTGAATCTGCCTGCATGGCAGGTTCTTGGGCTAATGTGTTCACTAGAGTTGGTAGCCCGTCTATTGTCCCTACATATAATGAATTTCCCGCTGACTGCTGCTCGTTGGGGCCAGATGCTGCCTCATCCATGCTTGCTCTACCAGGTGTATGAGAGCCGTTGACCGATGACTTAATCTGCCAGTATCTGTCATGATGGTGCTCTGGGCTTGAAGATAGCTCTTGTTGGTGATCCTGGGGACTGGAAGGAATACGGGGTACTTGGAAAAGGGATACCAATGCCGTCAGTAGCCACCATAACATTGCCTGTAATGGTCGAAAGACGGCAAGGAGTTCGACGAGCCAGCGTGGACGTATCATGTCTGTCGCGTGATTTTCGACTTCTATTACTGAAGGCAGCAGTTCGAGACGGTGCGTGGGCCGATAATGGCTTCTAAAGGGCTGAAATTCTCCTACCATCATGCGACTGTGAGCCTTGTCTGACTGGCATCTGGGTACAAGATCAAGGATCCTTCCTTGTAGCACGCAAAGTTCAAGTATAACTGACCAGAATAACGCCTGCGGACGATGGCAAATGAGAAGAGATCTGCGGTGGCAAACAGGCGAGTCAGAAGAATTTGTTGTAGGCAGGACGGGCCGAATAGATATAAAGAAATTTTTCAAGAATATGATTGTAAAAAGAGACAAAGGCCTGCAGAAATGGAGGATAACAAGAGGATGGTAGGTACCGGCCCCTATGATGGAAAAACAGAGAAGGGCTTCGATAGATTCACTGAAGACATGACGGCACATTTGGCTGAGGTAGCGGCCACTGGTCAGTATCAAGTCGGGTTTGCCACACAGATTTTATTCAATTTCACGCGGTAACAATGTATTCCTGTTTCTCGTCCCCTCTGGCAATGACGTGGCCTGCTTAACCACCAACGGTAGGATAAGTTAACTGTTACTAGAGCAATTTATGTTACAAGTCATATTTCCCTCGTGTGTCCCGGAAATCCCCGCTCCTCATCACCAACAGTACCTGTAGATCAATGATGAAAGGGGAATGGTGCCACTGTTCCTGCACCTTACTCTACGTCGATGGATAACTACATCTGTCTTCATGTTCCTGCTGATAAATTAGCATATAGTGGGACGATAAAAAGATTCGCTTTGTTTTCTGAATGATACGACATGAGAAGAGACTCAATAGATCAATCTTGGTTCCCTCAATATGAGGGCAAGGTAAATACACCTACAGAGCGCGCACACCGTAGAATGGGATGGGGAGATGCAGTTATTAATTTTATCTTATTGAGTTTTATTTTATTTCATTTTATTTTATTTCAAGATGCCGTTTTGCCGATCTACAACTACTACTTGGTGCCTTGGATCCGCGGATGCGTATTGTCAATTTTTTTTTTTTTTTTTTTTTTTTTACTTATATACCTCTAGTAATATTTCTTTTTTTTCCCCTAATATCTTTATAGATCCATTTGATGCTTATCGCTTCCATTGTGTGTTTCTTCTTCTCTCTTTTCTTTCATCCCAGCGATGGTAAACTTCTGGTGGCAGCGAGACGTAATCTTCAGCTTGGCTGCATCGCCTCACTCAGCGTTTTTACGCTGGAAGAGGCAAACCGGATGGATACCGCTAGATGCTTCCCTGTCAGATTATAGGGCAGCCAACAAGGAAACCTGGGTGAGAGTTTACCTTTCCCATCCTGCTCGTCATTGGGTGCCAGTGTTTCTTCTTCTTTCGGGGGGGCGATCTCGGATAAGGCGGACTCCTAGAGTACCGAACGTCAGTTCTAGGCTCCAATTTGTCTTCTGCCTCCGGCATACAGAGCGGAACTCGGTCTTCAAGTTATTAGAAGTGGAACATTCAAGAAGATCGACTACAAACAAGGTGGGCCATATTGATATAGCAAACAAACATATCAGCGAGGTAAAGCTTCTGGAATTCATATCAGTGGTACCATGTCAGTCGGTAAGTCCAAACAAAGTAGATTATTTGGCAAACGTTTTTGGCTGTCCGGTCTACTAGATAAAAGACAAGCAGAAGTGGGTGTACCCCACACAATATAAGCATGGCTCACTATTCTACTGGTACTACTTATCTGCATAGATTTTCCCTGGGATTCACTCCTAAATACGACACCAGTGTATATACTTTTTTCTTGGTCCGACTAAGTCTCCGAAAAGTCGCAGATAGCATCTGTTACTAACAGCACGCTTAAATTGTCTCATATATTATAGACGTAACACGATCGGAACCACTAGTCTTTGAGGTGGTTGTGCAGGACTGGGATTGTTGACGATTATGTCAGATACAAGACCCATTTTATTGGACGACATATCGGACGCGTGATAAGTCGGAAGCCGAGCTACATGCTCTCTCATTTAGTACTTTAGGCAGTGACGAAAGTACGCTCAAACGCCACTGACAACCGCAAGTTTGTGGCTAGCGTCAATGCAACCATTCTCGATGGCATTGCCGCGCAGCGCGCTGGGAATCCGTAAAAATGGATTTTTAAAATACACTGCGTAGGGAGATACTCCTTACCACGCCACTGACTCGAATAGTTGGCTTCTTACTCCATCTCAGCAAGCTCAAACCCTTCATTATAGAGTGTCTTCAATGGACTCTACTCTACACAATTAACTACATATCCCTTTTCTCTCATCCTCCAAGAAGACAAATTTCCTCCCGTTCCAACACTACCCCCATAAGCAGACCCCCAAACCAGTTACGACCCCGATCACCGCCTCGAAGAAAGTTTAGCCGAGGGGCTACGTCAGCGCTTCAGGGTGTTTACGTGAAGGGGCCTAAAGAGGCTGGAGAGTCAAGGGGCAATAGCAGAGTTACAACAGTCTATCTAGATCAACAAAAACAAATACAAAAACATACAACAGAAGGGATTCGCTGGTGGTCACCCACCCAACTACTAACCTCCCGGCGTGTGGCTTAAGTACGGCTGAGCGGACGGGAAGCCCTGTTTTCCACACCCTGTGGTCGTATGTACTTGAAGTCAAGTCGAAAGGATAGATAACATGATACAGGATGACAGTGTCAAAGAATGTAGACTGGATTAGGATGAGATGGTTCGTGACTGGGTGGAGCTAGGGGGAGTGGTGAACTTCTTCCTCGATATCGCATATAATTACTATGATGCTGTTTCTGGATGAGATGTACATGTACTGTCTCATTCCGCCTATTATATGAGCTGCCTTTAATGTTTTATTCAGGTTATACTTTGCTAACTCATTGTATGTGTATGGCAGCCCTCTAACACACTCGCTCGTCTGATTTCTCAACTTTAGAGGGAAGAGAGTAAGACCCTGTGCTAACTGTTTTTGATACCCGTTTTGTTGATTTCAGAGCAACATATCAGACTAGTTACTTTTATTTGGCAATTTTTGATAGTAAAAAGCTACGGGGAGATATAATGTCTCCATAAGGATAAGATGGCGTGTGACTGGGATGGTTGTTCACTCTTCTGTAGAGTGCAGTGGGTGGGTGAGAGATGCCAGTAGGTACAACTCTACTCTGCAGACGCAAATTGCGATGGTGCGTACCTTTCTTGGATTACAAACATCTTCGGCGAGGGTTCTCGATAAATAAATCAATGACAGACTCTCACGTCTATCCAGGAAAGCCAACAACTTCCTCCCATCCCCCAACTACTACTTACCCCCACAACCAAACCCCCACAGCAGTAACAACCCCCATAACCGCCTCGAAAGGCGCGACCTGTTTCCACGCTTCCTCACCCGTCCGATAGAACACCACCGCGGCCAGAAACCGTGTCGGTATCGTAGCCACCATCATCTGGGTGTTATTCTGATAGGCGACGAGAGCATAGAAAGTGCCCAGCGTCAAGGAGGAAAGACTTTGTCTTTCATTAGGAAAACCGTATTTCATCGGCCAAAATGGATATATTTCCTCATGCCTACCTCATTGCTTGGATAGTCCCTATGCTGACGCCCCGCAGAGGTAGATACGGTGATTGCGCAGCGGAAGCGGGAGAAAGGAGGGTGTAGAGGCCGCTGCCGAGAAGAGGGAGTGATTGGAGGGCGAATAGATATTGAGAGATGGGGGTTTGGGAAGACATGATTGATAGTAGGTGTTTGTGACAGGGGGTTGTGGATGGTGGGAGGTCGCAGGGTGATGGTGTTGAGATGTGGGTGAGATTGAGGCTTCTGTCTCCGTCAGCATTCCCGCGCCACTGTTGTTTAAGGCTAGAGACCCCACTACGGGTGGCTTGAGCTTTTCTCCGATGGCCAAATTGAGCGGAACTTGATATAGGATGACAATCTGTAAAATCCAACATAGCTGTGACTTAGTTGATATGAAGGGACATGGTATCATCGTTTGGAGAGACCCGTGAGGTCCCTGGGTTGGGTGATTATGGACAACAAATGGCAGAATGCTGGGTAGGTGTACAATGCTTTTACTTAGTTGACCGATCGATAATATAAGAAAGAGGAGTAATGAAAAAGCAAAGTATTAAATCCATTGTGAATAACGACGCGACTTCATACTGCGCTAAGAGCAATGGAGTAGACAACTGTAAGTATGGAAACCAGTCCAGTCAGCGCAAATCACCACGTCAAGTTGAGCGTGGGTATAAATAAACTCTTTATCTCGGGTAAAGCAACGCTCAAAGCAAACCACAATATCACATCTAATCCAGGAACATCAGCTGGCCGTTCTGGTTCGTAATCCTCTCATCCAGACGAATCCAGGTCCGATTCCAGCCATCGTTCCCATCCGCCAACTCCGCCTCCAGCACACGTCCCCCATCAACCAAGCGAACATTCCTAGCCGACGCAGCAAAGTTTCCATTCCGCTCCCACGCGAACTTTCCCCAGTGGTTAGCCAACACACTATTCAAAGGAAGTACCGAGAGCTGCAACTCTCCCGAGACCCGTCCACAGGCTGCCACTAGATCGTGGTGGCTCTCAAGGCGGATATCCCGGGATGAAGCAGAGAAGTTTCCGCGCAGAGGCGCGCCGTGATGCGGAGGAGGTCGGTGGTGATGCTGCTGAGACATCCTCTGCTGTTCCTCCCTGCGACGCTGTTCTTCCATTCTGTAGTGCTCCTCCATTCTGCGACGCTCTTCCATGCGACGACGTTCTTCTTCCTCGTGCTCTTTCTTCTCCTTGTGTTTCTTCACTGCGTCTTCGGCTACCGAGCCCATCATGGCTCCGCCGATGGTGCCGAGGAAGCCGTGGTTGACTTTGTGTCCTGCGAAGCCACCAGCTGCACCGCCAGCGAGGGCGCCCATGATACCCTTATCGCCTTCACCGGCTGCGGCGGGGTCGGTGGACGACTCGGGAGAGTAGGGAGGGGGCTGCTGGTGGGAAGGGTACCCTTCATGCTGAGGGTAAGGCGGGTAAGGTCTGGACTCAGAGGGTGGCTGGCCGTATGGCGAAGGCTGCTCGTGCTGTGGGTAGGGTGGGCGTCCACCGTAGGATGAGTATTCGGGGTTCTGGTAGCCGGGTTGAGGCGAGTGTGGCTGGTACGGGCTGTAGGGTCGGTTGTAGCCACCAGCGCCCTGAGGGGGGTAAGGAGAAGAGGAGCCGTATCGGTCCTGGCCGTTCTCGACGGATGGAGGATACGAGCCGTACCCGGTGGAGCTGGGAGTGTCGACAGCTGGGGATGACCAAGGAGAGGGGTTCTGCTGACGGCGATCAGGGTTGGCGGGGGTGGCACTGCTGCCACCGAAGTACTCTTGCGCTGCCATCGTGGGGTTGGACTGAATTTGAGGATGGCTGCAGAAGATTAAGGAGAGTTTAGGAGATGCTGGACTGAAGGAAGAGAGAAAAACAACGAAAAGATGAAAGAAGAGCCGGTGTTGACTTCTTAAGCGGGAAAGCTGTGGCTGTGCGGGGTTGGGGGAGGGGCTGCCTGAGACCCCGCTAACCTGGCCCAGTAAGCGCGAGTCAGGCACCAAGTGGCGCAGTCCAAGGGCGGTGGATTGATTGGGCGAGAGAAGAGCTCTGATGGCTGTTCCATGGGCGGGACTGGCTTAGGGCTGACAGGACTTCACTGCACAGCCCCACTACATCCGGGCCTCCAAGCTCGTTCTCAGCGCTTCGCGGGCTCAATTTCTCGATGAAACATGCAGAAAGCCAAGCAGATAAGACTTTTCGCTTCCACTGACTGATGTGTGAAGTGAATATTCACCTTATAATGTATGTCGTCATACGTTATGACTGCTTGTACGATGGAGACTGAAAGTTGACATTATTGCTGCCTATAACTGGATGTGGGGGCTAATTCTGGGCAAGATCTTTCGACTGGCTCTGCGGCTCCCTACGAATTTTCTGTTCACAATTTTCCCAGATAGCTGAGTTTCCTCTGTTACACCTTAGCAGCATTCACCGACTAGGGACGGGGGAGATGAATTCGTCTGTTTTTGGACCTGTCATATACTTCACCCATGTAGGGAAGCGTGTACGTCATTGGGCAGAGATGACTTATCTGCTACAGCATAGATCGGTGTATGGTGTGAATTTTTTGAAGTTTTCTGCATTAATGCTATGTCACAAGCCATCATGATCTGAAAACGTGAGTGCATATAAAAGGGCTAAAAGAAAGGCTGGGCGAAGCCAAGGCAACCAGAAGCGAAATTACAAACACACGGAGCGTTCTCATTTTCAGGAACACTCAAGGGACTTCGAACGGTCCACTCCGAAGCTCGAGTGGAGCAAACACCCTGTTTTCCCTTTTGGGCATAGTCTTGGGACCGCGGTCCACCGTCATCTGTTGCACCGCCACCAAACATTGATCAACATTGACGCTTGGTTCTCCGGATGGTCTGATAGATGATACCATTTCTAAAAGACGGGAACTGGGAGGACAAAGCTTGTCTGTAATAGAGTTCTAGGCCTTGCTTAGTATCTAGCATGCGCCTCATGCTTGAATGGGGCACTGCAAGTGAGCAGTCCAAGAACTTGGTATTCGAAAACATGAATCTGATTATAATCATTACCCTCCCACTCCGAATTAAAGTATATACGTCAACTAATGTACAAGAATAAATACAGTCATATCACCCTCGAACTATATAAAACCCATTCACGGCAATCTGCTTATCCCTTGCCTCATCCGTCGGAGCCCTGACCCCGATCCAATGCAAGGGAACCTTCTCTGCCAACTTCTGCCCCCGATACTTGACGTTCTCCACACCTTCTCTAGTTCTATCCATCCAGCCTCCACTTCCACTTCCACTCGCTCCATTGGTTCCCATACCTCGTGTCCCCGACACCAGGGCCCTATCCGTTGCCCAGGCGGGATGTTCAAGAATGCTCTGCGCATACGACACATCGCACGCATCAGCTAACATAGCCGCCTCAGCGGCTGCCTCGCGCGCAGCTATGAGATCCTTCTCCGTCTGGTTTCTGGGCGGAGGGACATCCGGACGCAGGAATCCCATAATCCGGATCTGAAGCTTCGTTTGAGCTCTCAGCGGCACGACAGGCTCGTCGATGAAGCGCACAGTCGTGACCTTCTTCATGGTGCGCGAGAGATTGACTCTCTCCTGCTGCGTCGGATCAAAGTATACAATCGAGAACACGACGCCCTGCCACGCTCCCGAGGCTAAACCTGGTCCTCTCTCCGCCGTAGCCTCAACACCCTCAACCCTCGCCCACCCAAAGAAATACCCACGATACCGATCCAGTACCATATCAGGCACCTTACCAACCCTAAACCGAAGCCCCTCACTATCCACGGCCTCCACCCTCGCTGTAAGATCCACCGGAAACGGCGGCTTCGGCCCTTCCTCCAACGCAAGCTGATACCCCGCCTGTACATCCCTCAACCCATTTCCACTCCCACCACCACCATCTTCATCATCGTCGGGCCCCCCCACCCCCAACACCGACCCGACTCTATCTCCAACCCCACTAACCGAAACCGCCGTCTCCGCCGCCGTCTGCGTCACCCAACTCGGCTGATACGGCTGCACCTTACTCTGCACCGCCGCAGTAACCGGCGCAACGACAGCCTCGGCGGCAGTCTGGACATACATCCCCAGCACCATGGCTCCAACCTCCAACGGCATCGTCGACAAACTCGCACCCCTACACGAACTGGGACTCAAACTTGTCGACAACACCCGAAACACGGGACTATAGCACATAACCTTCCTCCTGTTCTCACCATCCCCGCAAAGCACAAGCTGGAAGTACCCATCCCCCGCCTCCACAGGAATTCTCACCACCATCGTCTCGCGCAGAACATGCTGCCTCTCGCGCCCTGTTGCCTTCTTGCGAAACTTGCCAATGTCGCGCTGCCAGGCGCGCTCGTCGACCGGGTCGACTTGCTGCGCGTGCACGGGGAGTGTCGGGGTGACGTTTAGCCAGGAGTCGGTAAAGCCGAGGAAGGCTTTAGTTTTCATGCCGGTTTTGCCGCTCCAGCCTTTGTTTTGGAGGTAGAGGGTGCGAGTGGGTGGGAGGGACGTGTCGGAGAAGATGGAGATGGTTACGGAGGTGGTGCTGCCGCGGTAGAAGACGATGCCCGAGGAGTGGCGCAGGATGGTGGTGTGCTTTGTGCTGCTTGTGGGGTGTGTTATGAGGCCGCCGAGGAAGTGGGTGGCTTCGTTGTAGGCTTTTTGGGCGGTGGAGGGGCCTGTTGGTGTTGGGGTTGTTGCGGAGCGAGGGGGTGGTGGTGGGAGAGGGGAAGGGGTACGGGGTGGATAGGCTGGTTCATTGTACGTGGTTGCGGAGCGGATGGGGAGGGGTGGTGTGTATGGTGGTGGGGGCCGATGAGGACGTGGTGATGGTGGTTGTGTTAGTGGTTGTTGGTGGACCTGTAGCTGTTGCTTTGAAGATACGCATGGTTGTGGCGGTGGTGTTGGTGCAGGCGACACAGTTATCACGCCGCGGATGGTGCCGTCCGGAGAGATGGTCTGGGGGGCGGGCTTGCGTTTTATTTGTGTATTGGTGTGCATGGTGTGTTGCACCACTGAGGAATGGGGTTATCTAGTAATCATTATGTTTCAGTGGGAATGGTCAGGAGAAAATTCCCCTGGACCCCTTTTGCTATGGTCTGGATCGAGTGATGATGTCGATCGGATGGCGCGGATGTGATGAGTCAGCTACTGATAAGATAAGATGGTTTGACGGGTGGAGATCAATGGAGGGGAGCAAGGTGTTAAGGACTTTGCTTGGGCTTTGCTGGGGATATAATTGCATAGATACTTATGCGTACTTTTAATAAGCTCTGAATGTTCAGCTGTTGTGTAGTGTAGTTGTGCAATAGCAAGAACTTTTCTCTTACTACCCACAAATGATGTGGCGGTTACATCGAACGGAAAGTATATTCCGCTGCGGCGCAGACATATAAGGAAATTAACAACCAAAAAACATGAAAACTGTAAGCATCTGCTGTACTCTTCTCAAGATCATCACTTTATCCCAAAATCAACAAAATGTCCCACCTCACCTACTACAACTACGAAGGAGTCGGAAAAAGGAACCAACAAACGTTCAAATACAGCCAAGCCGTACGCATAGGTGATCGCATTGAATGTTCCGGCCAAGGTATGTTCAAGAATTATTGTGTAATGTAAGTTCGAACATAGCATTAATTATAATCAGGTGGCTGGGACCCCAACACTGGTGAAATTTATAAAGAGATCAACGCGCAGATCGACCAAGCTTTCAAGAACGTCGAGCTGAACTTGAAGAACGCTGGCGGCAAAGGATGGGAGCAGGTCTTCCGCGTCAACTCGTACCATGTCCCGATCAACAATGAAGCTTTGGATGCAATGGTCAGGAAATTCAAAAAGTATATGCCGAATCATGAGCCCCTGTGGACGTGTGTGGGCGTGACAAGGTTGGGAGAGGATGATATGAGAGTTGAGATTGAGGTGGTCGCTCATGATCCGAAATAGATCTTTCGAGAGGTACTGGGGAGTAATGAAACCCGCACAGACCATAGTTCCATCACGTTATAAATATAAAACTACCATGCACGGTCCCATGTGGCCTGGTTCAACAAGTCAAAGTATCCGTAGTCGTCGGGTAGCTGGCTCCAAGGGGCAAGATCAGTCCAGAGGATATTATGTAGCTCTGGAATAGCCTCATCACTAAAAGCGCCACATACTTCGGAAGGATTCTGCATAAGGTCCTGAATATCAAGGTCAACCGCACTGATGTTACCACTCTCAGGTGACACGTCGCTAGGCAGCATGGGACAAAGCTTTCTAAGCCCATTCGCAATATGTCGTGCGGGATGCCATGATCTAGAAAGTCCGTCAAGTACAGCCAGACATATTCGCAACAGGTTGAGCTTGGAAGGACAGTCCGGCTCTTCTAGAATTGCCCGAGCTGCAGATAGCGTGCAGTGCATTGCCGAAATCGGACTACGTCGGAAGTTGCCAAACGTGCGACAGTACTTTTGAGCCACCACGCACATTGTCTTAGCGGAGTCCCTGCATATGGTTCGAGCTTTCTCCACCATGTCACTCTTCGCACCAGTAGAATCGCAGTAGCCAGGGTCCATGAGGAACGGTTTGGCAAGTAGAATCTTCGTCGTATGATATATCATATGAAGCGTGTATGCTTGAGGCACAGGGTTGGGACGATCGATCCTGAGCTGCTGAGGAAGATCGTAGAACCAAGTTGTCAGAGCAAGAAGGCTCGATTCGAAGAATTGCGGCCGCTCAGATTCCTTGACGAGTGGCTTGGGACCCCACCTTTCTTGGTCAGAACCTTGCTATTGTAGTCGGCATGGTACTTACACTGAGAGTAGAATTTTCTCGGTGATCTGACAGATTTTGATCAATGCTCTTTGTAAAGGTATCACAGCTCTTCGGATCTCCACAGGTGTCTCTGTGTTGTCCTTGGACTCGTCCATCTCGGATGGCAACCCGACAGCTCCTTGCTGGTCCTGCGTGTTGTTAGCGACGATATGAGGATAGGGCAAGGGCACTTACGAGCATAGAGCATATCCGCCCCGTATAGGTAGCGGAAAGCTTGTCATGGCAGTATAGTGTCCAGTATATCTGTCTTCTCAAGCGTGTCTCCCTAGCTGATATCGCGACCGTCCCTGCAAAGCCTGCAGGATCCATGTTCAACCCCATGTCTAGACACAGTCGGTCCGCCATTCCATGGTGTAGCCATCCAGCAGCATCTTTGCCAATTGCCTATCCCGTAAGTAGGAGGCTTTAGTGAGAATTAAAAATAGGGGACCTACAAAGTAGACCATGCCAATGACCCCTAGTGCCTGAATTGTCACAAGAGTAGGGTGCTCCATCTCTAAATGTAGAAGACTCTTCGCTTGGGTGAGTAATTTCTGACCGGCTGAGTTAGGGTCAGTTGGGTCTGATCGGACATCCAAGCTATCTGAGTATCGAGAGCCCAAGGCGAGAATGGAGTAATGAAGTAACGGACTCCAATATCTCCCCGAGGAGCTCATGCTCTCCCTGAAAAGGGTCTCGTCAACAATAGGGTACCACGGTTGTTCCCACGTAAAGTAAAGATTTATGAGCTCGTTTTGCAGAGAGACAGGAATTTCATCAATCACTGGGCTAGGCACTGTAAGTCTGAGGTAGTCGTCGATGCTACCCAGTGCAGCATCCGGCGGGGTGTTATGTTGTGGAGTATCTGAGTTCCGACTGCTTGACGGAAGGCCTTGGAATCCCAGCCGCCCACTGGTAGGCCCAAAGTATCGCATCTCACCATCTTTGTCGAAGTTCAAAGATTCGGCTAGCGATAGTTGGCCTTTGAGAGATTCGCATATACTATCCATTGCGTAGGATGCCTCGTCTAACTTGTCATTTACCATGAAGCTATCCAAGTTGTTACCAGGCGGCTGGACTCCATGATCCATGCTATTGATACCATGCTTGTCTAACAGCTTCTCCAGCGATTCGATACGCTGCCTAAGAAGTAGGACGTACGACTTGGAAGCCGGTCGGCGACCATCTTCGGTGCCTGAATATTGACATGAGACATTCCACTGAATGCATCTGGAGCATGATGGTTTTACCCCGTCACACTGGAAGAATTAGCGATCGTACCTTCCGGGTGTAATGGTTATCTTCTACTCTGATATTTTACCTTAGCTCGCCGGCGACGGCATTCTTCGCACGCTTTGGTGGTATACTTTCCACGAGATTTTCCCCTACTTCTCCCATCCCGTGACGAATCCATTTCAAGCCAGATGTTATTACATAGTTTAGTCGGAGTTGATGGATGGATGATATTAGGTTGCAGACCACTGTTGTCTGAAAACCTTGGATTAGCTGCTGTGGGGAAAAGACCGGTCGATTTGTCAGCATCACCAACAACCAGCCATCTAGGAACACTGGTTAGCTAAAGAGTAAATTGCAGCCCTGGATCCTGTTGAATCAACCTTATATTATTTTGGAACCAGCCAAATCCAGTTGACTAGATATTCTTATCCTATTGACGTATGAGCTTTAACTTCTGTTTAGTTAAGAATACAGCTGTATACTCCCTAGATAGGTAGAGTCAATATCCTAGCCCCTTAAATTGTGGCGTTTACCCAGTCAGTGCAGTGACGGTCGCTAAGAGACAGACAGCTTAAATCTTTCACGTCGTAGACATGTATGCAAAGAGCCTTTTTGCCCTTAAAAACCATGTTTGCTTGTACAACGAGCCTTGGAGATGGCTGTTGGAGTGAATGTGGGCCAACCTTTTGATTGGCGCTGGTTGGCTTCGCGGGCAGGTGAAATACACGCATGCACTAACAGTCATGGCTGCGTCTGACAGACGGCGCTCATTTTAGCGAAGTCTTATCCCTGTCCGCAGAGGTAATGTTCATAGCGTCAGGAAACAGATACCCCTTTTCCTGCCCTGACCCAGGCCTCAGCCGTGGTGGAAATGAGCAATTCTCAAATTCATGGCTCATACTGACATCTTTGTCTATCACCCGTTTCCTGTTAATTCGGATAGATCAATCTAGGGCGCAAGGCCAATCACCGGCGTCGGAAACTCCTTCCCGCGCTTAGATCCATCATAGTGCTTAGCCAGACGTTAATGCTCCATGTTATAATGGCCACGAGGTAGGCGCAAGGCTGATACCGATATCTTACAATACAGGCTGTGCTTCCTCCCTGCACTGGTCTGGACATTAACCCTAGAAACGGCCACTAAGCGGCCTGCGTTGGCATCTATTCCCTGCTAGTTACACTCCTAGGCGTCCTTAGTTACCCCAACTAAATATTCGCCAGTGATATAAGCGGCTTTTCCAATGCCCATCATAATCATCCCTTACTCCCATTCTTCTTTTTCTTTTCCCCATCATCCCCTTTCTCACATCCTCCCCGCAGCCCAAGCTTTCCTCCCCAATGCAAGGTCCTACCTTCGGACGGGAAGGCCTTACCGGCCGCATCGCCATCGCTTTGGCGGCGGCCTGCCTCATCTTGTTCTTCTATAAGATGGTTAAGGTGCGACTGTACATATACCGTCTTAAGAAACAAGGAATGGTATGTGAATCCTCCTCTGATTCAGGTTTTTGACTAACCATCTGTAGCCAATGCCTCCCTGGGATCCGATTTTTGGACATTTGCGAATCATGCCCGGTCTCGCTAAAAAGTGTCCTAGTGATGCGCTGCAGTCCCAAACTTTCGCTGTTCTCTCCATGGAGTATCCCGGTCTGCAAAATGGCTTCTATATCGATGTCTGGCCATTCATGTGTCCAATGTTCGTCTGCACGACTCCCCCGCTTGCTGTGCAGGCCTGTCAGACATACAGTTTGGCCAAGCCAACCGAGCTACTGGCCCCATTTATCAACCCAATGGCGGGTGGAGATAATTTTTTCACGACCAATGGGGCAGCGTGGAAGCGTGATCGCGACCTGTTCAACCACGCTTTTAGCATGGCGGCTGTGCTGGGGCACGTGGATTACATTCTAGAGGAAGCAGAGATTTATGTTGAGATACTTCGAGAGCATGCCAAGAAGGGCGATACATTCTCGATGGACGATCTTGCGTGTAACTATATGATGGATGTGGTCGGCAACGTCGCATTGTAATAGCTCCCTTTACTGACATGAGTCGTGAGCGCCACTGACAGACTGACAGGAACACTCGCTTCAACTACCAAACCGGCCACAACCCCATCGCCGCCGCAATGCGCAGCACCATTGATCTTGAATGCGGTCGGGAAGGAGAGAACAACCCCTTGCGACGCTGGAACATCCACCGGCTGTACCGTCAGTGGCGGAACAGCCAGATCATGGATCACCACATCGGCCTGGAGCTCGAAAAGCGTTACCGGGAATATTTACAACAAAACCAATCCACCAAGCCCCGGGGTAAATCGATCATGGACATCGTGATTGCCGAATACATGAAGCACCGACCCGCAAGCCAAACTCACACCGCGACCCTAGACCCCGAATTCAAGGCCTGGGCCATCATCCAAATCCGGCTATTCCTCTTCGTCGGACACGACTCAACTGCCGTGACTATCATCTACTGCCTCTACCTCCTGTCAAAATATCCGGACGCCCTCGTCAAGATCCGCGCAGAACACGAACAGATCTTCGGTCCTAAGACCACTTCCGTCGCAACACAAATAAAAGAACACCCAGAGAAGACTAACCAAATGCCTTACACCACCGCCGTCATCAAAGAAGCACTCCGTCTCTTTCCCCCAGCTAATGGCCTTCGATTCGGCCGCCCGGGCGTTTCCCTTACCGACACCCACAGCTCCGACGGACGGACCTTCCCTGTGGATGACTGCGCCGTCTGGATCGTGCATACCGCTATCCAACGGAACCCAGGGTACTGGCCCCATGCGCACAAGTTCGTCCCCGATCGCTGGCTCGTTGAGCCAGGGCATGAGCTCTATCCGCCTACTGGTGGATGGCGGCCCTTTGAGCGCGGCGCGCGAGATTGTGTGGGGCAGAACATGGCTCTCCTGGCTATTAAAATCTCACTCGCTATGGTGGTGCGGGAGTTTGACTTTGATAGTCAGTATGAGGAGTGGGATCGCATGAATCCGGCGTCTGGTGCGGTGCGGACTATGTTTGGGGAGAGGGTGTATATGGTGGCCAAGGGCGCGGCGCATCCGGCTCAGGGTTATCCTTGTAAGGTCAGGTTGGCTGCGTGAATGATGAACGCTTCTGATAGTACGTGTACGCTAGAAGCGGTTGGAGAATGTACTTGTAGATACAGTATATGAATAGGAGGGTTTGGATTGTAGCATGGGCTGCAGTGATAGTGAGCGGATGTAGAACTGCGGGATGTGCTCGCATTAAAATCACAATGAGCTGCGTAGAAAACAGCCATCCACCCTTGGTAAACCAGAGCGAGTCAAGGAATATAAGATAGAAGCACATGCAAATGCGCGCCTCCTGAGTGATAGACCTTGTCAGAAACCGACTGATATTCCGTTCTTCTAGGATGCGAAGGAGGAGAGTTGAAGTGGCAGTGACCAGCATTCATCTATCCAAGTTACCAGAGAAGATAAAGCAAAGAGAGAACCTGTGCTATCAAGTACTTTGACCAATACCATTTTTCACGAATAGGGGTACGTATAAGGTGCGTGTCATTCTTCGAAGGCTCCGTCGATCTGCTCAATTACCTCTGGCTTATTGTTGTATGTAGACGTGCCGGAATTGACAAGCTTGTCGAACATAGACGGAATGAATGACTCGTTAATGTCTGTGCTGAAAATAGAGCTTTCGCGGTGGTAGATCATGTGTTGTAAAGTGTGATACTGGTCGGTCAATAAATACTTTGCGCTAAGCCCTGGAAGATAGAAACCATTGACAGGATATGCTGATATTTAAGAAACGAGGGTCGTTAGGGCAGCATCTACTGGTAACACCGCCTGACAATTGCTCGAATAGCATTCTTTTGCGCAATATACAGATGATTTGTACACAAAAAAGTGTACACACACACACACACACACACACACACACACAAAAAAAAAAAAAAAAAAAAAAAAAAAAAAAGAAGAAAAAGAATAAGGCTACCAACCCCTTTCCTGCTTGCGATCTGTCGCGGTCATGTGAAAACATTGGATATTGCTGACTGAATCCTACTACATAGTGATATTGAATTGCTCCAGTCTGCCCCGATAAATGGAATTGCTTAGATTCGTTAGATATAAAAGTCTGAATCCTCCGATGTAAGGAAACATAGCAACATGAATTCCGTTCACTATTATTGATACGAAAGATATATTAGAGGCCCACTCTAGTTCGGAAAGGTTTTCGCGTATTATCCGCTATTATAGCACTACAACTGGGTCTATAGAAGTATATACTGGACGAATATTCCAGGAGTAGTGTCAGACAGCTGTTCGCTCATACATAACTAAAATACAGGACTCAAGACGAGCTAAGCTCCATCACCATTCCCACCCCAGAAGTGATGGGTGCGCCCTTCCCGCCATGCGCAATGCCAACACTATTTCCGCGGCCAATCCACTGTCGGAACATCTTGCCTTCGTAGGCAGTCATACAGGATGACTCTAGTTCTTACCACCCTTCTTGTGAGAGTTGCTACCAGACTTGTGACCCGACTTACCACTACTAGCCTTGGTAGTCGCCTTAGCAGTAGCAGTGGTAGTCGTCTTAGTAGTAGTAGTGGTGGTGGTGGTAGGACTGGTCTCAATATTATCGCACTTTTTGAAAGAGTTACCCGTAATGTGATACAATGACCCAACATAACCGTACTTCTCGTTCATGACAACGCGGTATTTGTCTGCATTGACTCCCAGCTCTGTCGCAATTCCAAGCTCATTAGCATACATGCACCTCTTCAATCCGGCCCCAGTAGACATAAATGAAAGGAAAAGCATGAAGAGATTACTTACTGCCGCTGTAAACTCCCCCTGCGACCAAAGGATACTCATACAGAGTGGTGCTGACTTTAAAGAGTCCCTCAAAGTTGAAATTCTCCTCCGGGTATTTTGCATAGCCTGTTTCGTGGTTGTCTTTGGCCGTTTGAACCTTCCTAGCCTGCTGGATTGCGTTGTAAATGTCCTGCTTGGCGAATTTCTTTCCGTTACAGTTGACATCTTTCATCTGGGCGCGGGCGACCAGGGTGTTGGTCTCGTCGGCCGTCGGGTTGGCGATAGGGCTGGCAACCGCGGTGAGGGCCAGGGCTAGGAGGATAGTGGGCTTGAAGCTGAACAACATCTTGAATTATCGTCAAAAGATAACGTATGGGTTGAAATGAATGTGTTTATTTCGGGATTTTGCGTGAAAAGGAGTGACTGAGGATTCGAGTACGAAAGAATTGTTTGAGTGAGTGACTGAGTTGATGGCGAAATAGAACAAGAACGGTGGTGGAAAGGAACAGCTTTATATCCTGCTTCATCGTTTGCATTGTGCCATATACTGTACATGCCAAGGAGGTTCAGGCTTCAGAGGCTCTTTGGCCCCAAAGTGTCTCAGTGGTCATACACTGAGCACCCTCTGTCACCCATGTTGAGGTCCCTATAGGGGCCATGAGGGGGCCAAAAGGTATCGGACTGCTACCAGCTAGACTAAAATTAGATGTGTACCTTCGCGTAACGTTACATCTGGATCATCGTTGAGGCTGTAACATACGGGCCAACGGCACCTCCCGCACATCAGGACCCTTTCCAATGAGATTCATCCGTCAGAGGCGTGGATCTGTTCCTTAGCAAAGTGGGGGCCGTCTCAAATTTGATTCTTTGTTACCAACACAGTAGGTGAATTCGGCCTCTCCTACGCAACAGCGAAGGTGGCGTGTTGGGAATAGTGTTGGTCAGTCTATCATTAGTGCTGACCGCTTTTCAGTCAGCCCCCACGCCCTTCATTTAAAGCACTCACCCAAACCGCGTCTGGTTTTTCTTGAGACCCAGAACAACCCCTCATCATGGAATCCTTCGGTGAAGAGCTCCTTGCACTCCCGGAATACCAGGTTATTAATGAACTGGTCCAAAACACTGATGTCTCTCCCGCTGAGGCAGTCCAACGTCTTCTTCGGGCGCGCGAGGTTCTACATCGCGATAGACCGGAATCCGAATCCCCGGCTAGCATCGATGGCAACCACACATGGAATGCAATGTTCACAGTCGTGGAACTTGCGAATATAGTTTCAGTATCCCAGCGGCAGAAGCTTGTCGACTTCATTGCTGAGCTCCAACGTATTGACCTCACCGATCCTGCTACTGGCTTGGCGCCCACGGCGATCGACCTGAAACTATGGACTGAGCTTCCATGCCTCGAACTATACTTGGCTGATATGTATGGCTTCCGATTCAAGCCTGGTATGTCGCGACTATTCTCCTCAACGATCTTATCAGCTAATTCTGCTAGAATATGCCCAGCAGGTCGATGAGGACCCCCAACAGGAGTATCCTCCAAGCAAACTTCAGGAGTGGGAAAATCGGAACGCGTTTATGGCGCAGATTACCGCGAAGGCGAATCATCTCGTCCATCCCATGGACGTATCTCTGTACGCACTTTACTCATGCCGATCGGCATTCGAGAGAGGGCCGTTGATAGAAGAGGCTGTGCGCACTGCATGTATCTGGTATATCCATGCGGGCCAGCGTGTGTGGGAGAATTGCCAAATCGAACGGGTATATGGGGATGATGATGACCCACCTCCGCGTCGGCGCTTTAACATGGAAAAATGGCGCCTTTGGAAAGACGGATTGAAGGCAGCGCAGCTGGAGTTCCCTAGGGAAAGTACGCAGGAGATGATACGGAAGGCGTTGGAAGAGATCGAAAAAGCGGAACACGGGGAGTGACGACGGAGAGAAGAGACTTGTTCGCCGCAGGAATTTAAGTTGGCAGTCAGTGAATCAACACGCCTTAAACAATGAACGCGCAGGAACTTTTCTTTTCCTTATCCCCCTTTCACCCCGCTTTTTCTTTCCTATATCATTTATTTCAAACATATATATTTGCTTTCTTTCTTCTTCCAGGGTTCGCTTGGGAGGTGAGATGAAATGAGTCTGGAATGGAAACCCATTCCAACTGAAGAAACCCCATGTCATCCGTAATGAACATAACGTCCTCCCCAATCCCGACTTAACTCCACCCAGCCAAGATTTGTTGTTCAGTACTTTGACTTGCAGCGAACCAGAAGCCCCAAAGATGTAGATACCTGCCGCCTGCGATGCATCAGTCAGTCGACACAGTTGCCAACAGCTTTTGACTCATGAACTGTCAGGATGATCCTATAATCGTGGAGGGACTATGTAGGAATGTGATTTGGGTTCAAGACACACCGAAGGTGGTTTTCAATACTATCAGGTTTGTTGATCTCTCAGCCTCGCTGCCAGGGCATTCAACAATATTTGTAGACTAACCCCAGGGAGCCAAGATAACAGTGCTGATGGTTCCAGTTGAAGCAGTGAGATAAACACGCGTTATTGCTTTATTACATGCTCCAGATAAACCTCTCGTGTTCTTTATGTATAGGGGTGATTCCAGCGAGAGACTTGCGCGCCCTGGCCAATGCAATATTGCGTAACTAAGGAATCCGTGCTAAGATGAACCGGAAGACTCAGGAAGCCTTGGGCAGATTGTTCGGCCCCAGAAATAACTTTCCAGCCTCAGGCAATAGTTCTCAAAGAAACCGGAAGCCTAGCGATCATGATGTGAAGCCTTTCCTAAAGCGGAGGCGGAGGGTATGACAGGAGCCCACCACAACAACGCGATATGGAATTCATTTGTGACGGACGCAAGCCTCTAAATCTCATACACTCTATGGATGCAGAAAACCAGTTTGCCTCCATTTTTGAATATACCGACGCGCCACCTCCTCACCCACCGGGCCCAGTGCCCGTAGGGAAGGTGACCTTTCGCGTGCACGCGAAGTATCCAGCAACAGTCCCCCGCACGACATGCGCTCAAAGTTGTCTCTCAACCAATCCGCCATCACACTGGCCGGATTGTCTCCACGGCTTCCGGGGAATGCTTTGACTCGCTGAATCCATTCGGGAAATGGAATAATGTTGTCCGGTAGAATGTTCAACTCTGGCGCGAGGAACATTATCATCTCAGACCACGACTGACGGGCCGCATTATCGATGTGATAAACTGGATGGGGATTCTCTGTCAAGAGGAGGTCCGATAAGGTGGCTGCCACAACATCCACCGGTGTCCAGGACAGCACTCCGTCCAACGAAGGGAGGATCTTGAGTGTTTGGGCGGATTTAACCAGAGCTGGAAAGTGCTCCGCAGCATTCCAGTATCCACTCGTGGACGAGCCTGCTATTTGTCCGGGTCTTACTACCATTGCGTTAAATCGGTCAGGGTGATGACACAAGGTCCGATGGAGGATTTGCTCGCAGACAAATTTGGCTTCGGCGTAGCCGTTTGTCAATGCCCAGTCGATCGTGCCGTGCTCTTCTAACACGGTTGCTTCGCCGGCCAATAACGGTCGGTGGCCAACCGTGCCGATAGATGATATAAATTGAAATCCAATGCGATCGTCAGCCGAATGGGCAGAAGATATCTCAGAAGCTAGATCAACCAAGCTTCTCATCATCCTGAACTGCGATTCGAAGGCCGATATGCTCATCGCTCCGTTCATGGGCCAAGCGTTGTGGATAATATGCGTGACATTTCTCTTCAGTGTTTCATACTGTTCACTTGAAAGACCCAAAACTGTCTCTCCGTCTTCCAATGCGAAAGCTTCAACTTTATTCAATTCGTCTGCGGTGAGGATTATACCACGCTCAGTCAGAGCTTGTCTTTGCCGCTCCATCGGTTGGCCCGCACCCCTTCTGTTGATACAGAAAATGCGTCCAACTTCCTTCATCCGAGCTAAGTGTGCAACGAGATGACCACCCAGGCTTCCTGTGGCGCCAGTGACCAGCACGCCTATAGAACCTGGATTACTCTTTCCAGCCGGTATAGGCGCGGTGAAACCTTCAATAGCACGCCAGATATGCCCATCAGCAGTTCTTCTACGAGCTGCAGAGTCAACTCCCGAGAGAAGATATATGCTTTCTGGTTTTGGGCCCAGAGGCAGACGTGCGCTCTGTTTTCCCGTGCATGTAGCGAAAATGACGCGTTGAACGCTTACTTCTGGTGAATAACCATCTGTCCAGTCGACATGACCGTACCCAACCGCATGCAAATCTGTTTCCCAGCGCAGCTCGCTCGTAATAGCATGAGTGCGCCCGTCATTGAACACCCACCAGCCGCGAAAAAGTCCAAACACTATGTCGATAGCAAACTGAGGCTGGGTCATCTCCAGCATCATGACCACTCCATCAGGCCGTAATGCATCTCGCATATGACGCGTCGAAACTTGAAGGTTCGATGTCGCATGCACAGCATTGCTCGCGATAATGATGTGCTGGGTCCCAACGAGATCATCGGCTGGCGCCTTCTCGATATCGTGCACTCTATATCTCACAAATAAGTAATCTTTGAACCGCCGACGGGCTTGAGCCAGGAAAGCAAGCGATATATCGCTAAATGTATATTCAACAGCAATTCCAAGTTCAGCGAGACCTGGAAGCAGCCACTTGGTGCCACCGCCAGTACCGGCACCCATCTCGAGGATCCTCAGTGGTCCGCCTGACCTTCTGTCAAGTTTGCTCGCCAGGCGGTGGATAAAATCCAACATTTGCTTGTACCCAGTGACATTGTGCGACTCATCACCATACATCCAAGATACAAGTTCTTGTCCCTCTTTGGCTCCGAAGATGAGTTGCAGGCCGTCCTGGTCACCACGAAGGACAGAAGCCAGCTTGCTGCCTGTGTAGAAGGCAAGCTTGCTAGCTCCTGCGAATTCAGGATACGTACGATTAATATCTTCCAGAATGATGGCACTGGCCTTGTAGGTCCATGAAACCTTTGTACGGATCGCGACTGTCCCTTCCATGTCCACGAGACGGGCTTCTTCTAACCGTCGGTACAGGTAATCGACCAACTCTTGATGCTGGGGATCATGCCAAATGCGGTCTAGACGCTCGCCTGGCTGTGCGGTGCGTATATATGAGCCTAGAGCCTCGAACGCCTCTAGTGTGAGGGTGACGCAGAGCTGCATTTGTAGAGGGTTGAAGCTGTGGACGCGCCCACTGCAGTGATTCTCTGACAGAAAATGATCGGTCAAGGCTTTGGTCTCACCAAACGCCTTCAGAACAAGGTCTTCCGGCAAATGCAGTTCTGGAGTGTCCGCACTGGCGCTGGTATTTGATTCGGAAGGCGCATCGACAGAATCAGTATCTTGGCCACCATTGTTGGATGTAGTGCTGCTGTCAAGACTTTCTTGGTTATTCATGTCTGATCCCACCGCTTTCTGCACTGCACAGACAAGCTCACGGAATGTCTCTGCCTCCATCAAATCCGTTGCCGACATGGTGCAGTTGAAGGCTTCCTCCAACTCCCGCGCCAATTCCATTGCCATCAAGGAATCCACGCCTGCATCTGCTATGTTATTGTCGTTGCAGATTTCTCTGGGGTCTACGGCGCAAAATTCAGCCACCACCGACTTGATGCGTGCAGGCAGGTCCGCATTCTTATGGTTTTGTTTTCCATCTGCTGATGGTGCCTGATCCTTACCATCCACAGCCAATGCCGGAGTCATTTCAGGTATAACGGATTTGACCTGGGATTCGCCCGAATTCAACTTGGAAAGGATCTTGCAGAACATCGCCTTGGGCACACGAAAGTACTTCATACCAATGAATATTTCGACCAATCGGCCACTCTTTGGATCGAAGACGAATATATCGCTGGTATAAAACCCATCAGACCGCTCATGTGTCGCCAAGACATCCCATACTTCCGGTCGAGGTGTTTCTGGGTCGGCGTATATCGGTGTGCGCATCCACTGTTCCATCCCACTGGCGATATAGATATCCGATGGCAACCGGTCCGTCATGCAGTTCACCCAAAACCCACCCACTTGGCTGAAGGAGTCACAAAGGAAGGTGTCGGCCCAAGTCTCGGCAGAATATTTCTTGACAACACGCCCGGCTGATTCGTTCCCTTTGCCTACTAGCTTTGTCACCCCGCGAAATTTCTCAGAATATTCGACTACTTCGGCGAAGTATCGATAGATATTGCGCCCTTGCAGCACGTCATCTACGTTTGGATCGTTGAGGAGTTCTTGGCAGTGTCGATGATTTATCAGGCGACCGTAGCGAGAAAACTCGGCAGAAAGCTCGGCGTCGTCAGGATCAAACATTTTGATCTGGGCGACGCAATGCTCCAATTGAGAGCGAAGACCTTTCTGGCTATCTTCGCTAATATACCTTGCATCCCAGATGGTCTTTTCTTCATTTTTCGCATGCAGCAAGACGTAGGCATCCCGGCTGTCAAGCCCAAGTGGTGCATCGCTTGTTACATTCCGCACTTGCGGTATCTTGCCTTTTCCTTCTGGCAGGGTCCGCAGTGCCTCTACAACATTGTCCAACATATGCGACGCAGGAGCAAGCGGAGCCGTCTGCGCCCCAACATGACCAGATAGTGCTTCTCTGTACTTAGGGTGGGCAGTGTTGACGCGGAACCTGGCGATTACCTGGTCCTTGTCTTGGTAGCCGAGGAACTCAAGTTCCTGATCACTCGGCGTAGGAGTTTTCTGGTGACTGATAATCGGCAACGGCTTATTATCCATCCAATGACGACTCTTCTCGAACTGATACGGTGGCAGCAATACAATCCCGTAATCTGGGGTCTGCGTGAAGTGGTGCGCCCAGTATATGGTGGGCACGCCCTCTTTCCAAAGCGCCATCGTGACGTCCGTCAAGTCGCGGATACCGTTCTGCCCTGTGATATTGACACCTGGAATCTATGATTCACGCTGGAAGCCTCTAAAGCGCGACTAACCATCAGCGTAATTGTTGATTCGGAGCCCGCTTCTAGCCGATACAGGACGGGTATTTTGCGACCAGACGCTGAACAGCATGGCTGAAATACACAGACTGCCGTAGATGGTCAGCTACTATACTTTTAGGTGGCAGACGGGATACTGGATGCTCGGTCGCGGGTTCTAGGTGGATGTTCGGCTCGCTGAGCGTCAAGTCCTGCGTTATGTTGTGCAGATCAGACATTAGCGGCTCTACCAAAGTGCTATGGAAGGCATTGGTGACATCTAGTCGCTTCCATCTCAGGCGACTGAACGTATGGTGCGTCGCGAGAGTCTGCTGGACTACATCTATGGCCACTATCGGGCCAGCTAAAGTGAAGCTACGAGGGCCATTGAAGCAAGCTATCGCTGCTGGGTCTACGTCGGTGGGTGTGGTCTTCGCAGACTCTGTTAGAAGTGCGTCGATCTCCACCCGTTCGCCTTCAACCGCGATCATCCCGCCGGGATCTGTGCCCCATTTGTCTCGGATGAGACGAGCACGGCGGACGATTAATGTCAATGCATCTTCGAGAGACAGTACTCCAGACACGCACATGGCTGTTAGCTCGCCGAAGCTGTGGCCGACAACAGCGGAAACGGGCACGCCCGCAGTCCATCCAAGAGCGCGCGCATGCGTACTGTAGCGAGAAGAGCTGAGTTTGCAGCTTGACATGGTCTGTAAGTGGGATGCGCTCGAAGATACCGGGATAGAGACTAGGATAGTTAGACCCCCTGAGGAGACGATCACAATTGTCGAGATGGTCGCGAAACACGCGAATGGTTTCGTAAACGGTGCGGTCTAATCCCACAAAGGTAGATACTTGGCCTCCGAAGCAAAGCACGATGGGGGACACTTGCCTTTTCAGTCGCATGAAATGTGTGTCCCTCCCGTCGGCTACAGATGCTAGTTGTACCTCCAGGTCGTCTATCGAAGAGCAGCTGAAGACAAGCTGGCAGTCCAACGTAGGATTTGACTGGCGACAGGCGCTGAAGGAGATGTTCGCCAGTGAGGAAGCATGCCGTGAAGACAGCGCTTTTCCCTGCAGAAACTGTCGGAGTCGTCGGGCATAATCACGGATCCTATTCTCATCCAGCCCATACAACCTAAACGGCAGCGAGAGACCCCGTCCATGAACAGCGCCATCCTGTCCTCTCTCCATAGGACCCTGCGTAACCACAACAGAGGCATTCGACCCACAAGCCCCATAATTATTAATTAACGCGACGCGATACTCCGCCTCCCAACTCTTCGATTCCGTCGGAATTACAATCTTCTCATCGGCCTTAATGTTTGGATTCAACGTCTCAAACCCGGGCTGCGGCGGAATCCTCCCCTCATGAATCATCAGCAGCACCTTAACCAGCGCCACCATCCCCGACACCCCCTCCGTATGTCCAACCAACCCCTTCACCGACCCTAACGAAAGCTTCCCCCTCCCTTGTACACCCCCCATAACCTCGCTCACACTGGCATATTCCGCCGGATCTCCCGCCTGCGTACCCGTGCCATGCGCCTCCACGACTGACACATGTCCTGGATGAATTCTCGCACGTCTCATAACCTTCCTAAACAAGCCCGCCAACGACCCTGCATGGGGCACCACGACAGGCGTACAATTATCGTTCTGCTCGACTGCAGTGCCGGCAATAGTCCCCAAAACATGATCCCCATCTCTAAGCGCATCTCTCATCCTCTTAATGAAGATTGCCGCGACTCCTTCGCCGCGGCAATACCCGTCCGCCTTGGCGTCGAAGGGTTTGCAGGGGCCCGTAGGACTGAGGAACGACGCACCGTTGAGGTTATCGAATCCTAGCGGACTAGTGATGCAGTTGACGCCGCCGACCAACGCGGCCTTGCAATCACCGTTCAGGATGGCCCGACACGCATGGTGCAATGCGACTATTGATCCGGAGCACGCTGTATCGATGCAGAGTGCTGGTCCACGCCAGCCGAAGTAGTGACTTAACTTGCCGGCGATGAAGCTGCGCAGGAGACCTGTGGCGGCGTAGGCGCTGGCTGGGTGGCAGTTCACGGTATGTTCGTAGTCCACTGTGCAGCAGGAGACGTAGCAGCCTATATCTTTTGTGGAGGTGGTTTTGCTATTATGGGAAAAGTACCCAGCTTGTTCCAGCGCCTGATACGCCACCTGCAGGAGTAACCTTTGCTGCGGATCCTGCGCCATGACCTCGCGGGGTACCTTTTTGAAGAACTTGTGATCGAAGGCGTCGATGTCGGCGATGAAGTTTCCCATCCAGGGCCGAGTAGTAGCATCTGGCCGCCACGGCGTCTCGTAGTCCTTGTATCGTTCCGGAGGGAGTTCCCTGTGCTGGGATTTACCGGCACAGAGCAGCTGCCAGAACTCGTCGAGGTCGTCTGCGCTGGCGACGCGAACTGCCATTCCGATCATTGCGATGTCGTCATCGTAGATGCGAGGCAGCTGGAGTGATGAAACGATGCGGGGGAAGACATCTAGCTGTAGGTCGTCGAAGTGGATGATACGGTTGCGTAAGCTGCGTAGGAAGGACGGGGGAATGCATCGTTCGTGGCCGAATTCAATTACGATCGCATTGGTGTATTGTAAATGGGAGGAGTATATGGATGAGAATGTCTGATACCACATGCAAGGCTGGGAGAGGACGGATTGGAGGACGAGGCGGTGGAGAGGTCCTGAGTGTATAGGCTCGCCGGTTATGTTGGTCCATGTCTGATGGCGGAGATACGATGCGTCCGGGAGCTGAAGGGTGGTGTGGGCGTCACAGAGAGCGTAGAGGGCGTCGAGGGTATCACTGTGTCCGGACCAGTGGTAGCGGCCGTTGAAGTCGATGTGGGATGCTGAGAACCCGGCGGAGTGGAGGGCTTGGAGTAGGGGGGAGAGGCTGCTTCGGGGGGTCATGACGGTGCTGCGGTTCGAGTCATAGTGCACGGTGATGTATGTCTGTTAACACTATTAGCGTATCCCAGGCATATCACCCTAAATCAGTGAAAACATACCTCAGCAAACTCCTCCAACACCCCCTTCAACTCCATCTCACTCCCCGTCACAGTCACAGAGGTAAACCTCCTCTCCCACTCCATCGCATCCCCCATCGCCCCGAGCAACATCGCCAACCTTATCCCAACAGCGCCCCAAACCTTCAACCCATCCAGCCCTCCCGCGGCGGCCGCCACAGCAGCGCTCAAAAACCCAATACAAAAGCCCACAATCTCGACCCCAACCTTCTCCTCTTCACCCCCTACCCCATCCTTATTTTTATCCTCCCGCCGAAGGCGAACATACTCCCCAAACTGCACCAAATGCCCGACCATAAACAACGGCGCATGCAGAACATACGGCAACGGGAACCACTCCTCCTTCACCGGCACATCAGTACTCAGCACCCATCGCCTCAACTCGCGAAGTTGTTCCTCCGCATGAGAAAGTCTTTCCCGGAGGAAGGGGAGGTATGATTCCGCATAGCGGATATAAGACGGTAAAGAGGCGAAAGCATCAAGCATCCAGTGGTTCTCCGGATGGGAGTGGATGGTTCGTCGGAGGAGATGAAATTGGGCGGGAGTGAAGGTTGGGGATTGGCATCCGAAGAGGAGGATATTGTTTGTGGTGGGGTTTTGGATGCCGGTGAGGAGGGTATGTTGGGGTTGTTGGGCTGGAGTATTGGCGGGCATGGTGATCACTGATTGATAGCCTCGTTTTGAGGATTCTTCGGTCAACAGTTTACTTTGCTTGACGAGTCGATCCGTTATCCGTTAACCCGTTAATTCGGTTGGGTGTTTGTGTTTGTTTGGGGAATAGAGATGCCACCTAAGCATTCGTACTCGTAATCAAGCTAAGTTAGCATTTGCTAGTTTGATATACAACAACCAATTACCTGTCCTGGAATGGGCAGTTTAAGACATATCTCGTATATCGTTGGATATGACAGAAGCGTTGCTTTTTTCTATGATTGTCTTGGCCAACGCCGGCCGGAGTTAGTTGCGCGGGATATCTCTTCGGGTAAGCAGGGCCGTACCATAGAATATTAACTAATAACATTGGGGAAACGGATAGAAGAGTACGGTTGGTATCAAGGGGATAGGATACTAGGATGATCCGGCCGGTTGTACGAGCAACGCGACGGAGCTTTTGTTTAATGAGCGGTCGGGGGGATATAGTCTGGGTAGTGGTTGGATTGGGTGTAAGGCACGGAGTTACTGAGGGACGGAGTTTCCATCATTTCATTGTTGGCGATGATGATTATGGCTACGGGGTTTTAGGACACGGTGTGGAATAGGGGTTAGGTGAACCTGGTTTCAATAAAGGGATAGTTGTTGAATTATATTATCTTTCTATTTGACTTCTCCTTGTTAGTTGAGAAAGAATTCTTCCTTCTTCTCTTCTGCTTCCCCGCCATGAACCAGCACGGATGATACCCCAGATTGAGTTCATATACCATCAGCAAATGGTATAGTATTAATCTTTCTGCCAAGTTTCGCAGATGACATATCGCAACTGCTCTGAAAAACCCAGTATTCACAATCAGATATCCAAAGAATGAAACCCAAAATACTCCCCGCTTATCCCAGTCCGACCAGTGGACTACACCAAACGCTACCATACCATACCATAACCCCATGATCAAAAGAACGACAAAACCAAAGTGAAACAGATCAACAAACGAAATGAACGATTGTTATTGAACCGACAACGGCGGACTCTGCACTGGATTCTTCACCCTATCCAGATCATGCAAGCTCTCGACAAGTCCATGCATCATCACCTCGAACGATGGATCGAGGTAGCCGTGCGACGAGAAGAACTCGGTACACATCATGAGAGGGATCGGCGTTAGGGGATGCACCTAAGACCATTAGTCTTTTGATTCACAACTGAAGGAGGCAAGAGGAATTACCTTGAAATACCCCAGCTGACCCTGCATCTTCACCAACCCCACCACTTCATGTGCAGCCAGAACACACACCCGCTCGAACTCGATAATCCCCAGCAAGTGATCCCCAGATTTCCAGGTAATGCTCTCGAGTACGCTCTGCAGGAATAGGACCATGCTTTGGGCCACAATGCGGGCGAACATCAGCATGGGGTCAACATGCGGGTAGCTGGATAGGGTGGCAATGCGGTAGGTAAGTAGTTCGTGTAGATAGTTATGACGCGCCCAGAAGTTATCAGAGGGTATATGAGTAAAGTTGGGCGGGTGAATCTGCTCGACGGCCAACGTTTGGCGGTGGGTGAGAGCGCGGCCGACGATGGTGGCGATGAGGATGAGTTCGGTAAAGGAGGAGAGGGGATCTGGGAGGCCGAGGGTTGGAGTGGTAGTTGGGGTGGGTGGGGGAGGGTGAGGGAGGAGGATTTGAGAGTGAGAGGCATGAGGACGGGCGAAGAGAGAAGGCGAGGGTATCGTGTTGGCTGCAGAGGGAATGGGGGAGGTAGGGGGTGAAGGGGCCATGACATCGGACAGATAGGCCGTCAGGGTGGGCTGCCCAGCTTGAAAGTCTTCTTCTGGGCAAGGAAGGCGTGTGGTGATCTACTATTATTAGCCCTGCTTGAATCAATGATAGAAGGGACAGACTCACCAGCTGCTCATCCAAGGTGAACGGCAACCCGTTGTGAAAACTGATAAAACGATCAAGACTGTAGGCCATCCAGAACGTCCGGCGCTGCTCCTCCAGCCCAATCCAGTCCACCAACACCGTCTCGTGCTCGCGTGCCATCGTCACCGGACTATTCGGGTCGTCCAGCTCGTACAGTCGCATTCCCAGGACTAACCGGCAGCATCGTCCTGTACTCATCCATGCCTGCAGCGGCGATTGCTGCATGTACTCGTAGATGCAGACGAGGATCCACGCCTGCGCTGGCTCGATCCCTGGCGCCGTATCCGTAGGAGGGCCTTGGAGATCCAGGGAGTCGAGCATCCGCCGCGTCTCTGCATACAACCGGTCGCGGAGAGACTGAAACTGAGCCGACATACTGGCTGCCAGCGTCCACATGGCATACTGAAGGCAGGTTTGTGCCTCCGTCTTCTTGGGCTGCTTCGCCCACGTATGGTAGCGCCAGCGTTGCAGAATGGGGGCGAAGGGGTGCACCCGGTCAAAGTAAAGTTGGTCCCTGCACCAGTTAGTGGCAGCTTGCAAATCATTAAAGAGAAGCGTACAGATCGGCTCGCATCAAGTCAGACACGAGGCTGGAAGGCCGGTTCGGAGATTCGGGCGATCGCGGAGATCGCGTCCCAGTCCGACGGTCGTCGCTAGACTGATCGGGCATCGTGCCTGAGAGCGGATCGGGCAGCGGTGGCAGGTCTCGCAGCGGATCTTCTTCACTGTCACAGTCAATGACCGTGCCGTCAAAGAGACTGGCCATCTGGTGGTTGATTTCGGGGTGCTGGTCGGCCAGACATCGTTCCAGAGCGGCTGAGACAATTAGTCTCCTCAGAATTGTTAAGTTCTAAGCAACTACGAACCAATTCGTGTGCGGAGAGTCCGTAGTTGTCCCTTGCGGGGACCCCGGGGTAACCTCGTAGTATTGATTTTGCACTCGATGCCGGTCTCGAAGCAGACCTGGCATTGGGGTCGTCGTCGGTCACAGCGAACCTTGCGACGGCGACATTCTTCACAAGCGGATCCCGGTCGTTGGCGGGAGATAGTAGGAGTCGAGACCATCCTAGCGGTGATGGTTGAAGGTGAAGGAGACAAACAGACAGGAAACTCTTAGCTCGCAGAGAGATGGGGGCTGGGGTGGAAGTGTGGCCGAGCACTTATAGCCTGTAGGAAAACGAGGCTGCAGCGGCAACAAACCAGTAAAAACTCAGAGCAGCAACCCAGGAGCAACAGCAGCAGCAGCAGCAGCTTATGTGATGAACAGGCGCCGCCGTGATAAGATCCAACGAGGAGGATCGACCCGCGATAGCGTGCTGAGAGGGGAGGGAAATGGAGACGAGCGATTAGCAAGCGGCAGAAGACCCAGTGGACAGGACATGCAGCAATGGAACCACCGTGGCTTGCTTTGCTTTTGTCTATTAAGCTCATAGGCACGGTCAGAGGCCCGCCATGGAGGGGATCTACTGTACGATCGTGTGATACTAAGTGCCAGGCCTGCAGCTGCAGCGACCTGCAGTGCAGCAAGCAACTCGCATCCAACAATAAGCCAACCAAGAAAGCAGGCAGACAGACCCTGACATCCGGTCTGGTTGTCAGTTGGACGGGTTCCTATCGGGTGAGCAAGGCACAGCAGCTTCTCGCCGGGTGACAGGAAGTGGACGACAGAAGTTGGCAGCAGATCTTGCTGTTCCCCAAACTATTGTCTCTACGAGTAATTGACTTGCTAGTTTGGGAAGTGAAGAATCATCCTATTTCCCGGGGGATCCACGATTAAAAAAAATGGAGCCACCGACATCATGATATCGGTGGGAACAGACCTCTCCAAGGTGATCTCCGACTACGAGGCTTCTGGATGGGTAATCAGCCAGCCACAGGGACCACTGCACACGAGCTGCAGAAGTACCGGGCCCATTGTTCAGGGCCAGACCCACCGGTTGTGCAGGAGAGATGCTGATTGCAGGGAAGGACCGAGTAGTAGAGAAGATGCAGGAAGAAAGCAGGAGAATACTAGCCAACCTGCTGTCCACCACACCGGATGCAGTAGAAAACCACACAGTGATTCGTGTGTCAGACTGGCAGCTGCAGTTCACCAGAAAGCTGTGAGGGACCGTCCGACGTGAAGAAAATAGCGAGTTGTGCGACACACGGAAAATAAGGACAGGATACGTGGTGATTTTGTCAATAAGTGGAGGCGAAAGTTCTGTCGGGATGAGCTTTGGTTCATCGCTAGTGGCAGGATCCGCACCGATAGATCAGAGAAAGTCGGATCCGCTCGGGCCAGCCGGTCGGAAGGCACCCTCCTGATTGGCGTATGTACAGAATCGAGATCCGAGCGGATGAGTCGTCTGGCATTAATGAGCATTATATTAAATTTCTGCTAATTTTCTGTGGGTTTTAGCGTTGTGGATGGTGGAAGCTGAGAGAACCTGCAAAGTTTGTGGGTTTAGTGACCAATTCAGGGCTGGTGGCGTCTCCTTTTCTCTTCCCCCCCGTGGATCCCATCCACTGCTGGCTGCATTGCAATTGAACCACTCCTGCAATTTGGTCCCAACTGGCTGGCATCTAATTCCAGACCGAGCCAGGATTACTGCAAATGGGTAATTGAGGAAGGAAAACAGTCAAATCGGGCCGAGATCGATCAGTCCGTGGATCACCAGCTGGGGATCGCCTGCAAAATGGAGCCACTATTGATGCTTGCTTTTTGATAATTCGGACGGGCCGATACTGGCGCCAAAATGGTGGATCCTTCAGCGGAAAATGCCACCATGTCACGGAGGGCAATTAGACGAGGAATAATGATACCAGAAGAGGTAAAAGTACAGAGAAGAAAGGGACAATGCGCACTGTGCAATGGATCGCTCTGTTGTGCATGTGGGTTGACCGTCCCTACAGCTGCCATGCTGGATGGAATTCAGAACCAAACTGGCCTGGCACCGGCCATCTGACTGTGAAACTGGTTGCCGGTTCGTGAAACTTGCCAGTGACCAGTGAGTTCTCTTATTCCTGGTGTTTTATGCATTATTTATACAAGCGTGGTCGCGATGGCGATCCACCACTGACAGCCGGCTTTTTACATCAACCCTATCATCACCGTCATCAAGAGCAATCAATCTGGCAATCACCCTCTCATCTCGACTGACAAATGGCTCACACTCAAGACATTCTGGGCCAATTGCCCCTCCTTCAGTCTTACACCCACGCCATCCTCTGTTTCCAGCTCGCCTCCCATACCACCACTCCCACCATTGACCTGGAACCCGCCGTGCAGCGGTTGCTAACCCTGTTCCCCATTCTGGCTGGCCAGGTCATCAACACGGGTGCCTCCCCCACCTCATCCGGTGCCTACCAAGTTGTTTCTTATCCAGTTCGCAAATCCCCCATCATCCGCTATGTCGACCATCGCTGCGATCCCCAAATCCCCAGCTATAACTCACTACGAACGGCGCACTTCCCCTTCAATCAAATGCCCAGCACCCACTTCTCCCCTCCCCACCCGGTCTTCCCCAACCCCTACCCTGACACTGAACCCGCCCCCGTGCTAGAGATTCAAGCCAACGTCCTGAATGGAGGATTCCTGCTCACCGTAGCCGCGCAGCATAACATCATCGACGCCAGTTGCATCTTCCAAATTGCCTCGCTACTGGCCCGTCTCACGCGGGGCGAGCCGATTCCAAAGGCCGAGGTCACCGAGGGCAATCTGGACCGCCGGAACCTGATTCCTCTGCTGGATGACAGCCAGCCCCTCCGCTTCGACTACTGCGAGTACCTCCCTTCGTTCATCCCGAAGATCCCCCCTAACCTGACAGCGTTGTTCCCCACCTTCCAATGGGCTTATTTTCACTTGTCCAGACGGGCCGTCGAGGCGATCTACGCCAAGGCCTCGGCCTCCCCGTCACACACCCCTGGGAAGATCACTCCGAACGATGCCCTCACGGCATTTATCTGGCAACGACTAACACTCACTCGTCTCCACCACTCCCCTACCCCCCTCTCTGCTACTTCTGTCTCCAAAATCTCCCGCGCCATGGACCTTCGCCGTACTTTGCACCTCACCCCAGCCTACATGGGACACATGATCCGCACCGCCACCCTCCGTCTGCCGCTGGGCGAGATCACCTCCCTGCCGCTGGCTACGCTGGCTACGAAGCTTCGGGATCAAGTTGCCGAGCTACGTACGCTGGATGCGGTGCGCGACTACGCTACGTTTCTGGCTCGGCAGCCAGATAAGAGCAAGATTGCCTACAGCGGCGGTGCGTTTCAGCCGGCTACGGACTTGAGTTGTTCCAGTATAGCTCATGTGGACTATGATCGGTTGGGGTTGGGGGGTGCACTGGGACGGTGCGAGGGAGTCCGTCGCCCGGGAGGGGGAGTGCTGCCGGGCGGTTGCTATATAGGACCAGCTGGGGATTGGTATGGTAGTGTTGGAGATGAGGACACTCGTCAAGAAACGGGGATTGAGGTATTGCTGTGTTTGGATGGATGGGAGATGGAGGGGTTGAGGGAGGATGAGCGGTGGAGGGAGTGGGTGGAGTATGTTGGGTAGATAGACAGTATCCTTTCGTGATAATGATAACGATATAGATATGACTGGTTATTGAATGTAGTAGTTGAAGTTAGTCGTAGATAACAACTCTATTGAAGATAACCCTTCAATAGTGTGAACTATCTCACTCCCCCATCCATCACCGTTGCCTCCTTCGTCCAACATTCATCGCTGCCTCTTCTCAACTATCACCCCCATCCTCTGTGAAGTACAATTAAACTGCCCATACCAAATATGACACCTCACACTCCACCTGCAACATGCAACATGCACCTCAACCCCCACCATTCCCACTTCCATGCTCCCCTAAATTCCGTAAATCGGAAATCCAGCAGCAGAAGCACGGTTCACCCCCTACTCCAAGCTCTGCCCTGCACTGCGCATCTATCTGACCTGTCCTATTCCATCAGTCCTACTCCAACAACAGTTAGAAATCCCCGACCCGTCAACCAAACTCCCGCATTCAATTCCCCCAACACATGTATAACCATCTACCAAACACACAGTGTAACTACCTCCCTTCCAGCGGCGACTTCCGGAGAATTAAACCCCCAAGCAATACCTACCCAGATATCAACTAAGCATTTTGCAGAAATCTAAACGCCGTTTCATCGTCCCGTCTCTCCGCCCGTCCATCCTTGGTTTATTGATCCGCCGCCCGTCCGTACGGCCCGGACCGGACCAACACAACACAGTACACCACCACGAGAACACAATGATATCCTTCAGGAGTGCATTTGTGCAACACCGACAAGAAAAGGAACAGGTGTGACAGACATGGATCATGGTGAAACAGGTTTCATGTGGAAATCAAATCACTCATCAATGCATAACACCACATCGTAGTGGTGTTCGTAGACTACGTTGATCCGGAATATATTTCCCGCCCTACCGACTCGCGGAGAATCTTCGCGCTTCGGTTCAGAATTTCACTGCACTGTGTACCACAACCACAAGCTTGACTATAACCATAACCAGCAGAAGAAAATACACAGTACTCCTAAACCAAGGGGATGGAGGCATTCGAAACCCGACTATGATACACTAAAAATTATCCCGACCAGCAAGATATTCCTTTCTCCGGGAAAGAGATCCTGGATTGTGTTCTAGTTCTTGTGCAACGCACGGAAGACGGAATTACGGACTGTGTCACGTAGTACAAAAAGGTACGATGCTGGTCCTGGTCCAGTTCAGCAGTTTCATGGTGTGGGTAGTTCCTGGGGTACATACATATTGTGTCACCACCAAGTTGTCCTGTCATTGCACTAGTTTTAGCTAGGACCAGGATGGGGGATGCTTAACCCAGCCGAGCATCATCACTTGCTACTATCCACTGTTGTTAGATACTATCAAAAATGCATAGGAATTATCTAGCTAGCTAGTTAGTAGACAATAACCAACCCCATACAATCAAAACCAACCCAACAAGATACACCAACCACAATCATCAAACCACCATGTCCACCAATACCAGCCCCATCAAAATAGAAATCGCCATAATGGCTCCGGCCTAATCGGGACCCTCCTGGCCCTAGGCCTCCTCAACATCCCCATCCCCAACACCACCAAAGACCCTCAATCTACCAACGAAGGCCAAAGAAGCACAACCCTCAGCATAAAAATCTATGAACAATCCCCCACCGCGCACGAACTCGGCGCCGGAATCGGCTTCACGACCTGCGCGCGGAAATGCATGGCGCTCATGGACCCCCGCATCGCGGAGTGTGTGGCCCGCGTAGCGACACTTAACGGCGAACCAGAGGATCCAGATTACTGTATGCGGTTTGTGGATGGGTTTAGGACGTATACGGAGGGTGATTGTTGGGGGACGACGTCGAAAGGGGATGCGGAGGGGGGAATTGGTGTGGATGTTAGGGGGGGAGGTAGTGATAGAGTTAATGATGAATCTGATAGTAGAGATGAAGATAAAGATGACAATGGGGGCGAAGGTGTGTATGTCTCCGGGAAAGTCTACAAATTGTATGCCGGCCCACGCCGCTTCGAAGGTTGCCACCGGGGCCAGTTCCTGGAAGAAGTGATGAAACTCATGCCTGAGGGAGCAGTGGAGTATAGTAAGCGGGTGGAGGGGTATGAGTATCTCCCTTCGGGGAGGATTCAGTTGGGGTTTAGTGATGGAGGGAGGGTGGAGTGTGATCTTGGTAAGTGTATCTTCATCCAAATTTCTAAGTCTTTCTTAAACAAGATGCTAATAAGTGATCAGTCCTCGCCTGCGACGGCATCAAATCCCTCATTCGCACCCACCTCTACCCCCAGAGCAAACCACAATACACCCACCAATTCGCCTTCCGGGGCCTGGTCCCCATGGCCACGGCAATCAAAAAGCTAGGCCGCTACCGCGCTCTCCGCCAACACATGCACTGCGGACCGCGCGCACACGTGCTCCACTTCCCCGTCGCGAAGCAGCAGCTCATGAATGTCGTTGCGTTCGTGCAAGACCCGAATGACTGGACGCACGCCGGAATGACCGCGCCAGCGAGGAAGAGTGAAGTCGTGGAAGCGTTCAAGGAATGGGGCCCGTTTGTGCGCGCCGTGATTGATCTGCTGCCTGAGGAGCTGGATAAGTGGGCTGTGTTTGATACTTTTGATAGTCCGGTGCCGCGGTATGCGGAGGGAAGAGTAGCTCTGGTAGGGGATGCGGCGCATGCGTCGTCGCCGCATCATGGGGCCGGGGCGGGGATGGGGGTGGAGGATGCATTGGCGCTGGTTACGGCTATTAAGAGGGCAAGGGAGGATGTGGATCGCGGGACGGAGGTGAATGTGGCGTTGGAGGCAGCGGTGCGGGCGTATTCGAGGGTCAGGTATGAGCGGTCGCAGTGGTTGGTGAGGAGTAGTCGCGAGGTGGGATGGACGTATGAGTGGATGAGTGAGGATGTTGGGGCAGATATGGATCGTGCGTTTGCAGATATAAAAAAGAGGAGTTATCGGGTGTGGCATTTTGATGTAGAGGCCATGGTGGCAGAAGTGGGAAGACAATATCGATGGTGTTTGTGGAACTAGCTAGCCAATACAGTGATTGAACTTCTAGGGTATCTTTTTACACACTCTTTCCTAAGATCTCCCTTAAGACGGGACTGCGCGTCCGCTCGTATGCCTCCCGAATATATTCCTCATCCACCGAAAATGGTCGCGCCATCACATTGGGTATGTACCGTCGCAGTGCCTCCAAGTCCACATGTCCCTCCAGGAACCCCGGCCGGAGCAAGCACTGTCGGAACCGGTCCACTGTGGACCGCAGGTGGCTCGAGTGAAAGGGCACGTCGATGCCTTCTAGTGGAATTGTGGCTCGCCCTCGCCGAAGCTGGATCGGTGGCGATAGTGCTTTTGCATCAGAGAGTAGCTGAAGGATGACACTGTCATATTCAAGCTCCGGTCCATCAGACTCTCCAATGTAGTCTAGCAGCCGCCCAAGCACCCAGAGATTTGTAACCTAACACATTAGCACCTCACATGCAAAGGATACTCAAATACTCACCGTCCCTGAACATACATATTGCTCACCCTCGATGTTATAGTTGACTACCTCCAGAAGCTCCTCACTAGCCAGACCGATCGCTTGCACCAGCCTACTCAAACCTGCTTCATCAAAGACTGGCCAGTCAGCTGCATGCCCAACCCAGCCTCGGTGTCACTTACATGGTCCCACGCGTTTAGGATTGACCGCCACCATTCCGTACGCGTTCCCGTTTCCTCCTGCCACAGACGCCTGCATCATGAGTCCCCGGTAAAACGCCAACTCGGCCAGGGCTCCCATGGGAATCGAAGCCGACAGCGCCGACAAAGCCCCGAACTCTCCCAAAGAATGGCCAGCATACATTGCATCCGGCGATACATAGCCCTTGCTACGCAGGTCGGCTACTGCCGCCGCTTCGAATAGCAAAATTGCCGGTTGAGCAAACTGGGTGGAGTATAGCAGTCCCCGTGAGTCAGTAAATGTGTAAGATGGTGAGCATGGACTGAGACCCTGCAGAACAGGAGTCTCGACACGGGATCCATCGGCCCGCACCGTTTCCGTAGTAATGGCGAGATAGTTCTTTCGGATCTGGCGGCCTCGCTTGCCTCCAAAGTGAACAGTTACCGACTTCGGATTATTCTTAACAATGTCCAACACAGACCAACCTATTTCTGTGAGCGATTGCCGCCTTTTGGCAGGTTCACGTACCATACGACGCATACAGTTGCGCATCAATTTCATCCCACAGAGATTTGGCCACCGGACTTGACTGGTACAGATCCATTCCCATTCCCTTGCTCTGGCTGCCTTGGCCAGTGAAGAGATAAGCGGTTGCAGGCTGGTCAATAACGGCTTCTGCTTCGAGCACCTTTTCTTGGCTGTCTTTCCGGACAACATCAACTGTTAATTGCATGCGCCCATCAATCATTCCGGTATGCTGTATTTGTACCACCAGCTTTTCTAATGGCATAACCATCCCGGTGAACTTTGCTGTAAATTGTCGGAGACGCGAGCGATCGCCTTCGAGAGCTAGATGCTCCAATGCCGCTACCGCAACTGCCGAGGTACTCATTCCATGGCATACCGTGCCCGGGAGATCTGCCAAAGAAGCAAAAATGGTTGACACATGTATCGGGTTAAAATCCGTGGATATCTCAGCGTATGCCTGGTTACTGACTGGCATTTGGACGTCGATCGACGAGGGACCATTCCACCCTGGTTTCTGTAGCATCGTTTGCCTACTAAGAGGACCTCCTTTGCGCTCGAAAAATTGCAGCACTGGATTGCCAACACAATGAGCGCATTCAAAGTCAACAAATCCTACCTCTTGACCAAGGCGACCACCATTCTGTAGGAATGCGGTGCCGGTCACACGAAGACTCTTGAAGCCACTCTCCTTGTCCACTTCATGCGTCTCTATACTGATGACAAGATCTCTACCAACAAGGGCTGTAGCAGTATCGTGCAGGTGAAACCACGGGCGACTCCGCAGGACCGTTTCTTCCAAGTTCGATTCGAGGCGGAGTACCCATTGCGATCGCCCCCGTCTGAATGTCGACTCTGAGCGGAGTGAACCTCGATACAAGAACGTAGAAGTGATCTTCATGACCTCTTTTCCCGATCGAAATATCTGGGCTTCAACAACAACCACTTTGCCTGCATCCTCCACATACACAGCTTGCACCCGCGACCGACAGCTGACACCATCGCCAACACATAATGTACCCGCACTGGCACAGTACTCGAATGTATTAGAACGGTGCACCAGATGCAACAAATCACCATCGATCTCTCCAGTTACCAAAGGTTTGGTGATAACCTCCCATGCAATTATTATCCCAGCGCTGATTGGCAGGAAATCCGAGCTCGTTTTGATGAGCCGGGAATCCGGAAATGCCGGACCCACGGCGGCAATCAGATCATCCAGCAGGTCGCGCGTGAGAACCATCTCGCGACCGTAGTAAGTCTCTTGTATGCCGGTGTCAGATTTTTCCTGTAGCCAAAGCTTTTTATAAAAGGTCCTCACGCGCGCATTCCGCTTCGAGGTGACCTCAGTAATCGAGAACGGGATGTCACTGGGATGAATTAGGTACGTCAATTCAAGTGGATCAGAGACTTGAGGAGGACAGAGTTCCACTTTAATCTCGACACCGTCTAGACATGACACTTTCATGAGAGAAGTAGCTCCACACGCATCATGAACTGTCACACACGCCTCTGAATGGTTAGCATCGTATCGAACTTTCGTGGCAGGGTATGATGCGATGAACTGCTGAAATGGATTATTCTGGCGACGTCGATTCCGAGAGATGACCTTGGCTTCGAAAATGGCCCGTAGCCACGGAGGCCAATTTCGCCCTGTGCCAATGGTGGCAACCACTGAGAGGGAACCTTCATCAGTCTCTGAGGCCGCTGTGGATGAGAGTGCGAGCTCCTCCATACCAATGTCCTTGGCACCCGATATTGAGGACCAAGACTCCGGGGTGACCAGCCCACTGCCCAAGCTAGGCGAAGAGCTGTCGGTACTGACATCACGCTGCATACGTTCAATAAGGCCACTGATAATGGTGTCAAGAATCTCCTTTGCCGACTCATCATGCCTAACGGAGTATTGAGCTGCCACCGGGCCCTGTAGGATGCAGACTCGTTCAGCATCTTGGTCCACAACAGCATCAATATCCTCTGCCTGCCAAAGCGAGTCTTTCTTGAAATAGAACTCGAAATCATCATTTAGGGCAGGTATGAAATTGACTGGCTTCCGGTCTGGCATTTTACTCCTCATCAGAAAGAAGGAAACGTCCTCTGGATTTATAATCTCCTCGGAAGCACTAGGACATGCGGCGGCAAAGCCGTTGAGAAACTGCATCGGATTTTCGGAAAGAACCGACTGAGCGAGGTCCGAGTCGAGGGTATCAACACGAAGTAGGCGCTCTAATGCTCGAGTGGCCATGGCCATGGTGAAGCCAACATATGATGGGTCAATCCACCGTCTCTGGTGCTTGACATACATCAACTCTACCATACGACCCAACACTTCAGTGTAAGTCATGTCATCCAGGTTGACAATGTTACCCAAACTGTTGCAGCCAAACCACGGCTTGGCAAATTCCGTGGTCAAGCGCTGTATTATCGAAGTCCGATGCTTTTGCAGGTATGCAGCCCGGTCTTTTCGAGGCAAACAGAAAACGGTTCGGTCCATGTCTGCCCATAACCTGACACCCTTGGTTGCAATCTTGTGGATGGGTTCGCTCATCTCTGACTGTACCGTGATTACCCCACCAGCGGGTCCAGAGTACGTTTTCTCCCATTCCCAGTCAGGAACACCAGGCGTCCTGAAGATGATTTCCCTCACAGCCGATGAAGTGTGTGCTTCCCGAGCTACCGTCAAACGACTTCCCAGTAGCACACCATCAAAGGGCATGCAGGGGTATCCGAACGGTAGTGACCATTGCCCGGTTATGTAAGGGTATATACTATCGCTATTGCCAAAACCACTTCCAGCTACTAGATATATATTCCGCTGCTGTCGAATAGTCCCGTAAGTACTAAGTATTGGGGCGTGGAAATCCTCGAAAGAGTGATGGCCTCCGCCACGCCCACCTGTCCATTGTAATATAATTGGAAAGTCAGGATGTGCCTTGGAAATGTCAATCACCCGTCGGATACTTGACACCGATCCTGGCTTGAAGCCAATATGGCGCATACCTAAAGTTCGAATATACTGGGATGCTACCTCTAAAGAAGGAACTCCAGCCCCAATGGTTATACCGTCGATAGGGACGCGGTTATGGGATAGTCGACGTAGCAAGGCTATTTGCCAGCGCATGGCTTGGGGGTTAGCATATATAATATTGCAAGTGATACCTCGACCTGGGGGGATATGTGCAACAAGATCATTGATTGCGGTGGTCATGTCGGAGCTGTTCCTGTAGCCACCCCCAGCGAGTTCTGCATGATATCCAGCATTCATAATGGCGGAAACGAAGTCCCAATGAACAGTAGTCGGTGTCATGCCACCTACAATCACCGGAGGGGTGCCCAGCAATCTCGAAATCCGGGTCTCTAAGCAATCTGCGATCAGACGCGGTTGAAACTGTTGCACCCAGCTCAGAGGCCTCGTCGATGAGTCGAGCAGGCGCAAAGAGAACAAATCTCGCATGGTACCTATATCAGGGTCGCGAGAATCGAGATCGCCGCCTTGAATAACGCGAACACCGCTACCATCCACAATCTTTTGGACCATTGACCCGAGTCCACCGCGATCGAAAACAATGATATGCGATGGGGAAATGCATCCGTCACCTGTCCGTGAGGGTCCAGATAAAGCTACCGGCCAATCGCAATTCTCCCGAGCAATCGCATCGAAAATAGCGTGCAGTATATTTTTGCAACCCTTCCGCAAGTCCTCTCCAGTGGACGTGTGGTAGACGGGAATTTTCAGTTGCTCTGGCTTGATGTATTGTCTTGCAAACCGCAACTTCAGGGCTGTTACAGCTTTAGCAAGGTATTCGGTATGAAATGGTGCACTAATTGGGAGAAATCCATGTTGAATAGCGGGCTTTCGGCTGCTGAAGGGAACCCGACTAGTATCTGTTTCGGATCGTTTCATGCTCTTGAGCTGACTATCCATATGGACCAAGGACACAATTGGCCCTGCCACCACAAAATTGTCCCGCCCATTGGCTAAGGCTATTTGAACTTTCTCATTTGGCGGTAACGTTCTGTTCAAGCGGCCTAGTATACACTCCAGCTGGTCTCTGGAAACACTGCGGACACCAAGCATATATGATGGCACAGCATTGGTCTCACTCGAGGCGGACGCGCTCAGTCGTGAAGAGCTATTAGGTGCAGTTTGATGGCATTCAACTCCTAGCCAAAATAGAGCTTCGACTGCAAAATGAGAGTTGGCACTGAATGTATCCCAGGAATCAGACATGGATATGACTGTTGATGCTAATAAACCTTGTGAGTGTCCGGTAGTCGCAGAAAGCGACCCACGTAGCTGGCCCGGGTGCATGTGCAGAACCCGGCAGGTCACCATATATCGTGCCAGGCTCAGCAGCCCAATAACCGGGACACTGATCGGCGCCTGGGCCATGTATTCACATTCCGGGATAGTAGATGCGTCGCTGATCCACGACATCAAGTCCAATGACTTTCCACGGCGGGAGAACCAGGAATCTGGAAGCCTAGAAAGCTCGGAAAGCAAAGTAGCAGACTGCTCGATAAAGGACCTTACTAAAGACCTATATGTTGCGTATAGGTCTGCCAACTCTTGCACACATGTTCGACTTGCCTCGCCCTGGCCACCAAATACAGCCATTAAGCGAAACTCACCAGCCTGCACATGGTCAAATAAAGCACTGCGCCGGAATGAGGTGAGCGAGGGTGCAAGTGTTAAATCATCACTGGCCTCAACAGCGTCGTAATATATCCTTAACCACTTCTGCCTTTCGCTAGCGACCGTAGTCAACTCCGTGATGAGGCAATGTATGTTGTTATCGCCGTGCAAAAATTCAGTCTCAAATGCTCGCAATACAGCCGCTACCGAATCTCTGGAGAAACCTTCTCGAGCGAGAAGAAATTCGATGAAAGCCAAGCATAGAAGTGATGGCTCCTGGAATGCATTGCTGTCAGATATCGAAGATAAATGCAATATGAACGCCGTTCTATATGACTGCAGGCATTGGAAGTGCCTGATAGGAATCGGTAAAACTAGCTTGCTGCCTGAAAGGTCGAAAGAAAGGTCAACAGTGAGAGAACGAGAGGGAGAGGATGCTTCAGACACTGGAGTCGAGGGCGAGAGAGTAGCACACATGGCATCTGTCGGGGCTGGGCATGCCACTCCGGAAGAAGAAATCTCAAGAGCCATGCCGACCCCGCTATTTTGCAAGATACTGCCAGTTATTAATCTTCAGTAATTCATCGTGGAGCTTATCATGGTCCACACGTTGATTCATCACTCTCGAATCGGTGGAAGAATTCCGTACAGCGCACACTAGTTCATTCCTTTGCTTGTCAACGACGCTCCTGGTCAGTCCGAGATCGCGATATGGGGTCAAATTCCTTCCCCGGCAATATTTTCCACTAGCGTGTAGATGCATTGCTAATCCGGGGTAGCCAACGACGGGAAACAGCTCACTTCCTTCTGCATGATCTTATTGAAACCTTTCTGCCTGGCCGGAGTTTGGCCAGGCCCAGCCCTATACCCACACCTACACTCCCCGGAGTTTTGCGGACGGAGTTTTAGTGTCTAGGCACCCGGAGGCTTCTATCACCTCATATTCCCTGTTACTGGTTGGAAATCAATTCCAGTAGAAAAGATGCCTGAGGACCTGGCATTTTCAGCTCAACATCTAGCAGCCTAGATGTGGACGTACATAAAGTGCGGTCATCCGGGGTAGTTTTCCTATACTTAGATCTAGATCACTCGGTAGAAGCTCCGGTATTCGCTTATTACCAGGATGGTGCTTATTGACAGCGTAGTTGGCCAACTTCTTTATCATGCGTCCGCTTCGAATATGAATTTCGGAACCCCCTAAGCCTCCTAGCAAGGAGCCAGGTAAACCTAAAGACACCGAGTTGGTAACCTCTCAATCCATCGAATTTTCTTTCCATGGCTTGCAACGGAATAGTAGGCTTTGCCACTCACAGCAAGGCTGTCACTGGTGATGAAGAGAAGGATTTGGCGTACAGGTTGTTTATCGAGCTGCTTGCGTAGGTTCCCTGATTCTCCTAAGCACAAGTGCCATATATTGAACACGGCTCATAGGTATCAGCTAGCATCTCCGGTAAGATGGTAAGTTTCCATTTCACATTGGTTTGCAAATCAGCCATTGATAGTGATCAGGATTGAAACGCAGAACGAGCTTCTCAGGATACCATCGCCAGTGCAGCGATTCATTGAAATTGGACCTCGAGCTACGCTCACAAGGATGGTCAGAAAGTCCGCTTCCATACGTCATGATCAGCATGCTCCGTCGCAGTGGTCGCATTTGCAGTTTCTTTCGTATCAAGACGACCGGGACAGAATACACTATGAGTATCCGGACCCTGTCCCGCTGCCATCGACCATGCAACGAACATCCCCAGCTTCGCCTCCAGCTCAGTTGGTCGTAAAAAGCTCTCGCTCAGATGCCGGACCACCACTAGGATCAATGTCAAGCCCTGCGTCTGAACGTATAAAGACCTCAGCCCATGTACCCAGCGCCAGAGTTTCACTTTCGGCGCGTCACATTCTTTTAGCCATCACAGGTCAGAAGTTGCGATGCCCTTTCGATCAAGTGCCTATGGACACGACGATCCGCAATTTGTCAGGAGGTGTGTTTCATTGAGATTACCTCATGCTCTGTATACTTACTTCTCCAGGAAAGTCCACTCTTCAGAATGAACTGATAGGTGACTTGGTCGCTGAGTTTGGTCGGGTCCCGGAAGGCATGGAAGATATGTCCTTGGCCAATCTGGCAGAAGCTCTCCAGGGGATATTTTCAGGCAAACCTGGGAAACAGATGTCGGCCTTGATATCCAGGTTTATATCAAGCAAAATGCCTGCTGGATTTAACCAGAGATCTGCACAAATGTACCTGCATTCGAAGTGGGGCCTGGAGGAGCTTGATGCAATGATTCCCATGTGCTTTGCCATCACTGTGCAGCCGTTATCCCGTCTGCCGGATGCAGAGGCCGCGCATGCATATCTCGACAATCTCATTGGTCAATACGCAGTGTTTGAAGGGATAACTATGGTGCCAACGCAACGACGTTCAAATAACGAGATTGGATCAATGGAGCCCATAGCAATAGATGCAGTGGCACTCAGGGCACTCCGAAAGGAACAACAGGATCTCCAACACAAGCAGCTGAGGTTGCTTGCAGATCATTTGCAGATCAATATCGGTGCTCTCGAGGAGAATTCAGCACAGATGGCAGATGATATATTGTCCTTGCAAGAAAGCTTGGAACAGTGGAATGCAGAATTTGGTGAGGAATTTCTGGAAGGCATCCGACCTATTTTCAATGCCAAGCAGATCAGACAGTATGATTCTTGGTGGAACTGGGTCCGCGAAGACCTGCTTCAATGGCTTAACAAGATCCTACTGGGATCCAGAGACATCGTGGTTTCAAGTGAGGATGATCACCTGCGTCGGATCTTGAATCGCTGGGACTCTAGCTGCACGGATGTCATTCTAGATCGACTGGAGATATCATCCTCAACATCAAGAGCTTCTCAGACAGTTGGCCATATTGTGCTGTTGAACAAAATCCTGAGCTTAGGGATTCATGCCCAAGCTACTGATCCTGTTCACATTCACACATTGCCTCCTCTGAAGCCTAAGATTAACTTCGGCAGCTCAGGGAGTTTGGAATACGAGGAAACGGTTCGCTCAGTAGGCAGCTACACGGACATAATCCGCCGGGGACGTAGTTCTCCTACCGGTACCACAGCGTCCACCCCTTTTGTGCATATCAAAACACGCAACGGTGAAGAAGACTGGACATATGACGCAAATGTCACTGAGATGCTTCATCAGGTGTTGGATGTGGGCCTCACCACTGGTTTCAGTTATGTTGGTAAAACAGTGCTTGTGACAGGTGCTGGTCCCAATTCCATTGCCGTAGAAATAATCCAAGGGCTCCTCGCCGGTGGCGCCCGCGTCCTCGTCAGCACAAGCCGTACGGTCTCCACGAACGCTCAGGTTTACCAGAGGCTGTTCAGGAAGTACGGAGCCCGCGGGGCTAGTTTGACGCTACTCCCAATGAACCAAGCCAGCAAACAAGACTGTGAGGCTATAATTGAATATATATACGATGCAAAATCTTCTGCTGGTAATGATTTGGATTGCATCATTCCGTTCGCCGCCATTCCGCAAACCGGTGAACCCGAGACGTTAAGCGGCCGACAAGAACTTGCCCTCCGAGGGATGCTTGTGAACCTCCTGCGGCTGGTGGGTCTCGTTTGTCGCGAAAAGGAAAACCGACGCATAAACACCAGACCGACAATGGTAATCCTACCATTGTCATGCAATGAAGGGACATTCGGTGGAGACGGCCTGTATGCGGAGGCGAAAATCGGACTCAAGTCCTTATTCAACCGAATTCACTCTGAAAGCTGGTCGACTTATGCCACTATCTGTGGAGCTGTCATGGGGTGGACTCGAGGAACTGGATTAATGCACTCATCGGATATAATAGCAGCGGAGATGGAAAAGCTCGGTGTCATCACCTTCACCCGAGCCGAGATGGCCTTCAATATCCTGGCGCTACTATCACCGGTCATAATCGCTCTCGCCGAAGAGACACCTGTATATGCGGATCTTACTGGCGGATTTGGGACCATGTGGAATGTAAGTGAATACATCGCAGCGAGCCGTAAGACGGTGGCCGAAAACCTTCGTTTGGGTCTTGTTCTGGCGGAAGAGGAGGTACACCAAGAAGAAGCCATCCACGGAAGGCAAACAGACCCTCGTGCACACGAGCTAAAAGTGAGAAATAAGCGAGCCAACCTCAAGATCGGATTCCCCTCAATAACGAGGTACGAGCACATGACGGCCGGGCTTCCTGATCTTCAAGGAATGATTGACCTTTCGCGAACGGTCGTCATAGTAGGGTTTTCCGAGCTCGGGCCGTGGGGAAGCTCACGCACACGATGGGAAATGGAAAGCCAGGGTCAATTCTCCTTAGAAGGATACGTTGAAATGGCGTGGATGATGGGTCTGATCAGACACACCACAGACGATTTCAAGGGCCAGCCATACGTTGGGTGGATCGATGTCGAAACAAACGAGCCGATCCCGGATGACGAGATTCCTAGAAGGTGCCACCGAAAGATCATGGAGAACTCTGGCCTTCGCTTTATTATGCCCGATGCACTCAATAGATACGATCCCTCACGAATGGAGTTCATGCATGAAGTTGCGATTGAAGATGATCTGCCGCCGTTCGAGAGCTCCAAGTCTGCGGCAGAAGCATTTAAGTTGCGCCATGGAGATCATGTCTTTATCCAGCAAATCTCGGACTCGGACAATTATCGTGTATCTATGAAGAAGGGGGCTGTGGTAATGGTGCCCAAGGCAGTTCCTTTCCATCCCCTTGTGGGCGGAAGGCTTCCCAGGGGATGGGACCCCTTGCGGTATGGCATTCCCGGGGATATTGTTCAAGAAGCCGACCCCACTACTTTGTATGCACTCTGCTGCGTCTCGGAGGCATTCTTGTCCGCTGGTATCAAAGATCCGTATGAGATGTATAAGCACATTCACGTCTCTGAAGTAGCCAACTGCTTGGGAACTGGGGGTGGTCCTATGAAGACAATCCAGAGCATGTACCGCGACCGATATCTCGATCGGCCAGTCCGAGGGGACATTATTCTTGATCACTTTTCTAATTCCATGGGCGCGTGGGTAAACATGCTGCTTCTCTCTTCCTCCGGTCCACTCAAGACACATGTCGGTGCATGTGCCACAGCCATAGAATCATTAGACAGTGGATGCGAGACTATTCAGACTGGGAAGTGTAAAGTTGCTATTGTTGGCGGTTGTGATGATTATGGAGAAGAGGTCGCTTACGAATTTGCTGGCATCAAGGCCACTGCGAACACCAGAGAGGAGTTGGCCAAAGGTCGTCTGCCGGGCGAATTCTCTCGCCCGACCACAAGCTCCCGGAGCGGCTTTGCGGAGTCCGCTGGTTGTGGGGTACAAATAGTAATGGCTGCCGATCTTGCTCTTGAAATGGGACTGCCAATCTACGGTATTGTTGCTTACACCCAAATGGCGAGTGATCAAATTGGTCGATCCATTCCAGCCCCAGGCAAGGGAATTCTCACAGCTGCACGAGAGTCAAAGGACGCTAGACACTCGCCGGTACTGAATTTTGACTTTCGACGCGCAGGATTCGAGAAAGAAGTAGCCGATATTTGTCACCAATCATCGGGCGAACTAAGCGGCAGCATGAAATCTAAGATACGACATGCCCAGCACCAGTGGGCAAACAGAATCCGGCTGCAAGATCCTGGAATTTCTCCTCTCAGGGCCGCACTAGCAACATGGGCACTAGCAATCGATGATATAAGTGTTGTTTCGAGCCATGGGACTTCAACACGAGCGAACGAGATCAATGAAGGTGAGGTGATAAACACCCAAATGAACCACCTGGGTCGACGTAAAGGTAATCCGCTCCTATGCGTGTGTCAGAAATCCGTGACAGGGCATCCCAAGGCAGCTGCGGGTGCCTGGCAACTCAATGGCTGCATACAAATGTTCCGCGATGGGATAGTCCCAGGGAACCGCAACGCGGACAATATTGACGAGCAGCTCCGACAGTTCAAGCATCTGGTCTATCCCATGGAATCGATGAAGGCGCCCGACTTGAAAGCAATCATGCTCACCTCCTTCGGATTTGGTCAAAAGGGTGCTCTGGCCGTGGTGGTAGCACCCAGATATCTCTTCGCGGCTGTTCCGGCTGCAACGTTTGACGACTACCGAAGTCGAGTGATACAGAGGCAGCGGACAGCCAACGTAGAATTTGTCATCCGGCTGCTGAAGAACTCGCTGGTCCAAGTTAAATGCGACCCACCGTGGAAAAGCCCTGATATTATGAAGAGTATCTTCCTTAACCCAGAGAGTCGTTTAGAAGCGGCTGACTCCTCCTTCGGGGAGACTCCGGCTAAAACTTCTACTCAGGAGAGTATAGACAATAGATCGGCTGTCACGGCTGCGCTTGTTCAATCCCTACTCGAGCATGTTACTGGGCGCGCCGGTGCGACATCATCGACCAGCGTGGGAGTTGACGTGGAGGAGATCACGAGTCTCGACATTGAAAACCTCAATTTTCTGCAGCGCAATTTCACACCTGCGGAACTGGACTACTGTTCCCAGGCACCGAACCCACGCTCCACATTTGCGGGCCGTTGGAGTGCCAAAGAGGCCGTTTTCAAAAGTTTTCGGGTGCCTTCTATGGGTGCAGGGGCTGCAATGCAGGATATCGAGATCTTGGAAGAAAGCGGGAATCCTTATGTCAAGGTATGTTTGACGGTAACACAGCATTTTGAATGCCTGTGTCAACTAATGTGGCACAGCTTCACGGACATGCTCACGCTGTGGCGATGTCCAAGGGTATCAGCAACATCGAACTGGCGATTGGCCATTCTAGGGAAGTGGCTGCCGCCGTAGCGCTAGCCAGGTGGACCCGTGAGTGACTGTATCGGTACCCTGTCACAAGATCGGGGAAGTAGAGTGATGTTTCCAGACAGTCTCAGTGACATTCCCAGAGATGGCACATAGGGCCCGTTTCAGAAGAACCGGGTTGCTCAATTCAATGCCCGGTGGAGCATTCAATGATGCCACCTATTCCATGGTAGGAAACGGAAAGTATAGTATTTGAGCTGGTGTGTGCGAGTGAGAAAGAAGGCAAGTGAAGCCGGACTTGTCCCACAACGGATAAGTGGTCGCCCGCTTTCCGATCACGTGTTACGAATGCCTTCCCGTTGAGTCGCCATGGTTGGTGGCATCTTAGCTCGCACGAGGTATCTGCATAGAATTGCATACAAAAATTGTTACTCGTTTTGGCCAGGGGTATCTAGTTCTACCTCCTACCCATCTAATCTTTTAAGTAGAAACATATGTCTATATCTACAGTCCTATTCGCCCTTAATTTCATCACCAAAGAGAGGGTACTGTAGTACCCGTCTCAATAGTATTTCACTCACTACCATCTTACTGGCTTCTTGGTTCAATACCCAGTTCTATTCACTCCATGTTTGATACTCGTCAAGCAACCAGCCAACACTGGCGTGGAAAGCGGCGCAGTCACCCTGCATATTAGCGCTTAAACCAGCTTCCTACTCCATCAAACACAATGTACTGATACCATGATCGCCACCTCTCCGCGCACCTTGTAGTAAACATTGCTTGAAAGAATTCTTCAATTTTAACCCGCCCTAAAAAACGGACATGCCGAATCTCTAGTGGCGGCAGGGATGCTTTTAATTTGGTCCTGTGGTGAGAATTTAGGATAACTTTGGAGTAAGCTTAAAAGGAATCCAGCAATTCTCTAGTCACAAGCATAGTAGATTATTACCTGGAGGTGTATAGGCAGGGGTTCATACAGTAGCCAGGGGCCCTTGTACAGTCCGCTCTTCGCCATTCGTCGATCGTTCAAATGGCCGGTTACGTGCCACTCACGCCAACTGCAAATCACTCTGCCATTGGAAAATGCTGCAGTGTTATAATTCTAATAAGGTTTATAAGAAGCCAGAAAACTAATTCCGGGGCATTTGAAGAAGATGCAGAAGATTTGGGAGGAAGAATTGCTGGGTTGATTGGATAGAAATGTTTGTGGGCAATAGGGTAAACATTGATTGCTGAAATAATTCGGGATGTACGGGATAGTATATCTTCCCTCACTTCGAAACTAAGAACGCACCCTTCTCGCATAAACCGTCAAATCACCAAAATAATCACTGTTATCGACCAGTCGCGCACCATCATAGTTGCGAAGCATCTCACAAACCCTCTCCGAATCAGGATCCGTCATCATCGGACTGCACATAGCCCACATATTAGCGGAAAACCAAGAGTTGGAACGAAAGACAAGAACAACTCACCCTGTCCAAAACACCTCTCCATTTCCCAACCTGCTCTTCCACTCATTTATCTGTCCCTTTGGAAGCGGACTATTCCAAACCATCGCCGCCGGCCACTGCACATCCGCCACAATCTGCCTAACCGGAATATTAGGACAGACAGAGAATACCAGCGTGTGTTCATCGATCATCAGAAACCCCTCAGGGTCATTCACCACCGTGATACCGAGACCTCTCAGAAAATCAACATCCTTCTCATCGTACCACGGGTCCTGGGCAAAACACTGTACATCCTGTCCTTTACTGATGCGCTTCTCCTTCAAAATAGTCGCCATGGTTAGCATAGCGGCGTGCTGTGCATAAGAACGAACCGACACGTTCCCGAATTCCGCCTTACCGAGAGTCCCTAGTCCAAATGCAACGATTCTGGTGATTGTGCTAGACCAGAACCTTGGTTGCACAAAGGAGCCCTCTAGGTTTGAACACGTCTCGCTATCCTGCCACCCCCGGCGGATCTGTTTGAATGCATCATGGATCTCTTTGAGAGTGATGCCAGGGTGGCTTGGACTGCGTGTGTAACCAATGGAGATCGGGCACGGGGACTCTAGGAGCAGTTTGGGTAACTGTGGATTGAAATATGTTAAGCGCTGGATGCTGCTGTAGTTGATAACATAAGTGTCGCTGTGTCCTTGCGTTAGAAGGACGGTGTCCGATTAACGGCAAACTTAGACTTACGATTCTCTGGTGCAATTTTCAGGGACTTTCAGGCTATATGTATTTGGCTGATCATCCCAATCTGGGATACTGACTCTTTCATATCCTTTACTGATCTGCTCGTGAAGGTCTTTCAGGAGTCTTCGTGGGAATAGTGGCTTCCCATAGTTGTAAAGTCGAACAATACGTTCGAGACTGGCTTGGACGTCGGCCAGAGTTTCTTCGCTCTGGCGTCTCCCAGCATTAGCAGATCGAGCTGCTTCCATGTTTGTCTGGTGATGGCGGAGGGAGATCGAGGCCGGGGTGGATGGATATTTGATGGCTGCCATTGCGAAGAGTCGTTTTCCGAATGATGCTTTAATTTATATGTATGTGCTTGTCCATTAATACTATCTTCTTGGGAACTTCCATAACTACTTATATATTGAAGCCATCATACACTCCGGAGAATACATGCAGCAGCTGAATATAGATGTTTGCCATAACCCCAGAAATAGATGGGTATAGCGGCAGCGGCAAAAACCGCTGTCAATCCCAGCGTGTTCCCGGACGATCCATTCCAACCTGTTGGAAATCTCCGGGGGGTGTGATTGGCCATGCGTGGTTCACTAAAGTGGTTGGACCCTATTAATATCGCCCGAATAGTGCGGTTTCCAGAGATAGAACGTGTTGGATTACTATACTAAGTAATATTAGGGGGATATATTTATAACTAGATGCAGTGCAGCAGCGCTAGGTTAGGTTTACAGCTGGTTTGCAGCAAGCAGGGTTATTAATTAACATAGATTATTTTATAAATATAATCTCACGTGCATAAGTCGTTTCAGGTTATGGATTGTATGTTATTGGTGTCTGGATGGAATTTGGGATCATTTACATGTGTTTGGATGTCCATCCAACAGTTCAGTCGTAGCTGATTGGAGTTGTAGTCGCTGCTTCATGCGCCGGGATGCGGGCTAACTGCGGCGGCCGTCCGTCGGGTCGATGCAAGCAACTGGCTCGAAGACGGCGATGAAAGATTGATTGGTCATGATTGCTCAGTGGTAGAGCTAGGCGTTCGCCAAGCTCCGTCTGACTTCCTAGTTTCAACTATCGGAGGTTAAAGACTGTGTAACTTCCACATAATTAGGACAGCTGCGGTGACTACCTGTGTCGTTTCTTCAGTCTTCCCATGCAAACAGCGGATCATGGAACAATTCTAGGCAGTGTGCATATTTAAACTACAGACATTCGGTAATCATTTTATCACAATAGTTTTTTATTGCCAGAACCGACTGTCTTACATGGGTTTCCTACCAACGACCATAGGCACAACCTCACCCGCAAGCTTATCAGATGGCCTATCTAGTGCCTATACAATAAATCAGCACAAGCTGCAACACTTAATCATTTTTGGGCCACATATCCAACGCTTTATATAACGCATTGAACTCAGCTGCTCATTCGGCACTACTTCTGATGCCGATCGTGCACCCCGCATTTCATCTTATCACCTGGTCTTATCTCGGACACCCTCCGAGATAGCTTATTATCAACTTACGCTGGAATCCACTTAGATTGTCGTGCATCTTGCTGTATATGGCAAAGCAACCCAGACGCATTGATCTTATCGCTCAGACCAAGAAATCCAAGCCATGTTATCGACAGCCTGCCATCATGTGGCTTATCAGAGGGGCGACACTATACCCCAGGACCATAAACACGCCTTATATTTCTCCATCGACCCATCTGCATAATCCTGCAAGAGGTACACAGACCTTCAACCTCGAAAATGACAGGAACCATATCAGACACGAAGCCCCAAGACCCAGAAAAGACCCTCCCGGTCACTACCAAAGTAGACGACGTCGACATCGGCCAAATTACCCACCTAGACGAAGCAGAAATCTTTCTCCACGAACATGGCATATCTCACGATCAGCTGCAAGACATGCTCGACGATCCAGTTCGGATGAAGAAACTGCGGAGACGGATCGATATGATTCTACTGCCGTTGATGTGCGGCACGTATTGTCTGCAGTATATTGATAAACAGGCCCTCTCATACAGCGCCGTCTTCGACCTATTCACCAATGCCCATATCAATAGTAATGAGTATAGTTGGCTGGCAAGCATATTCTACTTTGGTATGTTTTAGATATATTTAGGGAAGAATATAACCCAGCGCAGCTAATAGTATCAATTATAGGCTACCTCTTCTGGGAATACCCCGCCAGCTACATCGCCCAACGCCTACCCATCGGGACAGTCGTCTCGTCTTTCGTGTGAGTCGCTCCCAACTACCGTCACAGCTCACCACTAAGGAAGCAGAATTGCCTGGGGCGCCATCCTCATGATAACAGCCAGCTGCAACAACTTCACTGGCCTGGCTATCTGTCGTTTCCTGCTCGGATGTTTCGAATGTACCAACCCTCCCTTCTCCCCTCCCACACTCCCCATAATATTTGACAATCTCTAATGCCTAATTCAGCCCCAATAACTCCCTGCTTCATGATGATCGTCGGAATGTGGTACCTCCGACAAGAACAGCCTTTCCGCGCGGGGATATTCTACTGCTGCAATGGTGTTGGATCGATGGTGAGCTAAAACCCCACCACTCTCCCTCGTAACAAACCAAACTAATTAAATGGATCAGGTCGGCGGCCTCCTCACCTACGCGATCGGCCAATTAAACACCTTCCCCGTATGGCGCGCCGTCTTCCTCATCTGCGGCGGGGCAACCATCATCTGGGGAGTAGTGATGATGATATTCCTCCCGAATAGTATCCTCACTAGTAAGCGGTTCAGCGTTGAGGAGAAGGTGTTGCTCATCGGGAGGGGGCGAAAGAATCAGACTGTTCGTTCCACCCACTCTTACGCTTCTCATAACACCAATTATTATGGTTCTTTCTAACAAGAGAGATACAAATGAATAGGGTATCCTGAATCGATCCATAAAATGGTACCAAATCCGAGAAGCCTTCGTCGATCCCCAAGTGTGGCTATTATTCCTCTTCACATTGTTGAACGAGACGGTGAATGGGGGAGTAGCTAATGTACATCCCACCTCTCTTTTGACCCCATGTCCTCCCTATTAAATGCTGTTACTAACACTGAGAGTAATACCAGTTCGGCAAACTCATCATCAAAGGCCTGGTCAGCAGCTCCCTCCTGACCACCGTCCTGGGTATCCCGCAAGGCGCATTCCAAGTCCTCTTTATCCTATCCGGAACATACCTCTCTACTCGCTTCACAAATATCAGGACAATCATCATGATAGCGTACCTCATCCCCACTGTGATCGGAGTGTGTCTGTTATGGAAGTTACCTCGCGAGAGGGAATACGGGGTGTTGTTTGGGTATTATATCGTATGCTCCATCTTCTTTCTTTTTTATTTTCCCTCTCATCTCTGATGAAAGGAGTATTAATGCTAATGATGAATATGATAATAGATCGGCTCCTTCGTAACCTCCCTCGTGCTGGCCCTGCAACTCCCCTCCAGCAACATGGGCGGATACACGAAGCGAGTAACCGCCACGGCATTTGTGTTCCTGGCCTACTGCATTGGGAATATCATCGGCCCGCATGCGTTCCTGGCTAGTGAGGCGCCGGTGTATCAGACCGGGTGTAAGTTGATTCTGGGGTGTGCGTTGTGTCAGATGGTTTGTGCGGGGGTGTTGAGGGTGGTACTTGTTCGGAGGAATAAGAGGAGGGATGATGCTATGATGGGGGTTGGTGGCGAGGAAGGGGAGGGGGAGGGGGTGATGGAGGATTTGACGGATTTTGAGGTATGTTTTTTCTTCCAGCTTTTGTGGGTGTTGGTTTGGGTGTATGCTGATTGGGTGCAGAATCCGAGGTTTAGGTATGTTTATTGATGGGTTGGAGGTGGTTGGTTGGGTGGGGTAGGGGTAAGGATTTGGGATGTTGGTGTGGGTTGTATATATGGGTATATCCTAAGAAGGACTCTTTGAATGTGCAGCTACTTGATGTTTTGGATAAAGTAACAAACTATAAGCTGCTTATGGCAGTATGTGCGGAAGGATGCTAGTTCCCGAATATGGAGCTTGCGGAGTCAATACTGCTCCACTCTGTTATTATCTAATCAGTTATCATCACTGCAGTACCTGTATCAGTCAGAGAAGAATATAATATTGCATTATTTGCTCGAAAGACTAGGTATCATAGATAAGTAAATGGGCTACATAGTAAGACTTTTGCTGCTGCTCATCCCGCCCATCATGAACTACAAGCAAATGGCAATCAGCGTGTTATGGCTTGGATACATCGGCGATGACTTTGTATGTCGATGCATGGATACTTAAGGGTCGAGTTCGCGGGTACACGGCCCCTACGATCTGCCGGTTGTGTCCATACTGGGGGTAGATGCCATCCGAAAGCTCTGCATAGTGTGCCTGGGGACGGGCTTCGTGCAAGGTCTCAAGAATCCGCTCATTCCATAGACCGGTGCACTCGTTGTCGGACAGCTGGAAGTAGGGATTCAGTGGCGGACAGGCGGAGTCCAGGTCGATGAACCGAATGCGCATGTACGTCAGGGCAGTGTGCAGCTGCAGGCTGTGGACGGCGCCGAGGACAAGTTTCTCAAAGGAGCGGATAAAATTCAGATTGGTGATGCCGGAGAAGTCGTCAAGAAATCCGAGTCCCGGATTCGTTTGCTTTTCGCGACAGCATGTCTTGACCACCAAATCTAAGGACTTGAGTTTGGATTTGGCTGGCCAGGTGGACATGAAACTTCGGGTTGCATTGAAGAGACAGGCGCAGACCTTCCCGGTAAATGCAAGGGACTCCAGACGCGGGGCTGCCTCGCCAAGCAGGCGGCAGAGATGTGGTGGGCTGATTCCATCGTGAATCCAGCCAGATTGTGTATTGTCCTTGTTGTAGAAGCCTTCCAGGCTGATATTAACATGGACCAGAGTTGGGGATAACCGGGACAGAATCTCCGCGACAGTCTCGTAGGCCTCGAATTTAGGCTTGGCGTAGGCGCAGTGCCACTCGCGCACCCCTGGTAAGGCTTGGGACATGTTCAACCAATGTTGATAGTCGCGCATGATATTCCAAGCTCCACGCATGACAAACGTTTGGACATCTGGCAGTGTAGGCAGACGTCGCCGTCCGGAGTGGCCGCACGGGTCATCGCGGAATTGGCGTACCATTGGCGGTCGCTTACAGTGACCTCCCTCCAGGGTAAGGATTCGTGCTTCCGGAAATTCAGATTTTACGTGCGAGAACATCTCCTCCAGTGTCGCATTGTGACTGGCATAGTGGTACCGATAGTCGGTGCTATGGTTGGTGTCGGAGTCGTCCCACGCGATGGCTTGGGGCGCACCATGCTCGACCAAGCCGGCATCCTCATCATGCAACCGCCGGGCAGGGAAATGATGCGATGTGTTCTTGATGGCTCGTTTCCCCCATACCGGGATCCAGATCTCGACATGACGGACGTACGGGGCCAGATGGGGATGCGCACGGAACCAACGAGCACTTTCTGCCAGTTCTTCTGTGGTCCCTTTGATTTTGACTAAGCAGTGAATTAGACCAGTTTACACAAATGGCGGCGTTGAGGGGGGACCAAAACTAGTAAAGTGGGGAAGAACACTCACTGTGCCTGTAAATCCGGTCTTGCACCAGTGCTCGCCAGACAGGGGTGATCAATGCCAAATTGGAGAGGGTTTTTCGACGGGGATGACGCAATGACTTATTCCAGCTGCGCGCAGACTTGCCGGGCGCGCACGAGGTGAATGCTGATGCCCGCTCGCCAAACAGATGATCTAGAATGGCCTCGTGGATCTCGATGGGAAGGTCTTCGAAGCACACTTCGGATCGGCAGGCCTGAGGCGTCTCCACGCTTATCCGCACATCCTCCATTTCGGTATCCACCGGGGACTGGCAGACCAGCTGACCAGGCCCCACCGCCGGGGGATTAATGGGACCATCGAGAATCTGAATTTCGGCACTGGTGCAGCGACTCGCTTTGGCGTAAGGAATGGTAGTGGAAGCCGACGCTCTGGCCAGTGAATTGACCGACACCGGACGGGGAGGGGGGATGGTGGAAATCATGGGGGGCGATGAGGGGGAGAATATCAATTCAGACGGCATTCAAAGCGAGGTCGCAAGCACGGAACCGGGAAGCGCCAAACAGGAAGAAAGAGTCGGAAAGTTCGTAAATCGTTAGTTAGAGCAAGGAGCTGCGGGTGGGTCGGAAGTTAGTATTTCAATTACCTGTGACCCAAGGCAGGAAAAAGCAAAGCAAAGTCTAAAAACGAGGCACTGGATCAAATTTTGGGGGAGGGACTGCGCGCTGCGAGACATACTATTGACGGGAGGCTAAAAGAAGCGGGCGACGGGGGAAGGAGTTGTGAGCGTTCTGTGGTCCGTGATAAGGAGAAGTAAAAATAGGCAGGACGTTGGATGGATGAGGTAACGAGCGATGATATGAATTGCAGCCAGGGCTAGCCAACGTGGTCCATGGCGGTGCCAATGCTGATGCGTTGGAGGCAGATTGTCGCCAGTCGAACGAGTGGGCGAGATGCTAATCGGCGGTTAGGCAGTCAGGCAGCTGGGGGTGGGATTGTAGCGACGAGTAGATGAGGAGGCAGTACGGAGTATGTAGATCGGAAGGCAGAGGGGCAGAGGAAACGAAAGCAATCGCAGCCAGGCGAGATGGGGAATGATGGGGGGAAATAGAGTAGTGGGAAAGCGAAAGAATAGGAAGAGGATGGATATATGAGATGAGACAAAACAAGATGGGATGGGATGGGATGACGAGGATGACGGACTGACTTTTGAGGGGGGGAGAAGAGAGAGACACACACGCAGAGAGAGAGGGAATCTTCCAGGCGCTCCTCAGGCACACATTCACAGTTGCCGGTCATTCTTACGGCAGGACGGGACAAGCCAAAACACAAAACACACACACAGCCTTGTTGGGTCCCCCAAACCAGGTTTGTTCTGGTCACGCTCTCCTCAGCTGGACTCATCACACCACCTCAATGCTACTTACAGTATAGTCCACGGCCAGCATACAGCAGCAGCAGCAGCAGCAGCAGCATCTACCCCCTTTCTTTCTACTGATAGCATACGGTTACTTAATGATGGACATGGGTCTGGTCTGTTATTCCCAGACCGCCATCTCACCTGTAACCCCAAGATAACCGACTATCTACTACTATCTATCTATCAAGGAAGATACATGTTTGTTTCACATAAATCAGTGTTTGGTTCCCGTGGGCCCGTTGAAACACACCTCAAACGGGGACAGCCCGGCGGGTCGGGGGCTCCATTCCCGGCCACTTTGGATGAGCCACGGCACAGACCACATGGGAGTGTCCACATTCACTCTTCCCCCCTTACCAAAGTCCTCTCATGATGTAATTACCTCGAATACCATTCGAGATTCGATCAATCCTCCAGAGTTCATTGCACTGTAGAAGTTGGTTCGCATCATGCACGGCTGACCGCATATCATCAGAATAACACTTCACAGTCTCCACCTATGAGGTGGTCCGCTTGAATGCCCAACAGCGTCATAAGGACGGTCTGTCTACCCAGCATACCCACTTCCCTGAATACTAACTTGGCTCCCCCGCATCTCGTTCTCCACAGTATGGCAACACATCCATCGCATTCACTCCCATGGCCGGCCATGCGATGGTGGGCCACTCTTCGTTCAACTACAGCCCATCTCCCATGTATCGAATGCTGAGAGAAACGAACGGGTCATGATTGAAGGTATCTAACATACAAATATTGAGCATCAGTCATCGCCTGCGACGGAATCGGAACCGAAGCCCATCATCACTATCCGAATCTTGCTCTTCTCGCATCCGTTTCTGCACCCGGGGCTGACTTCGGGTCTCCCTGGGCGCTGGCGTCTCCGACTCAACCCGGCCCGAGGACTGCGAACGGGATGCCGCTGCGTCCTGGCTGACTGCTCGTTCGTCTGGTCGGTCTGCTGGACTCTGCTCCGTGCGATTACTGACCCAGTAATGGTCCCCAATCCCAAACTCCTTTCGCGTCACCTCCTCTAGTGGCACTATCACCGTCTGGATGCGGTAGCGAGGCTGCCCAGGTTCGCCCTTTCGGCGGAACTTCTTGAAGTTCTTGCGTCCATTCCACCGATCTTCCCACCGACGATCCTCTTCGCCCTCATTCCTCGGTTTCACTTCCATCTCCTCTACGATCGCAAGCCCTTTGAGCTGCTCCACATTGACGTCCTCAAGAGAACCTTGCAGCGACGCTTCTTCCGCCCGACGCTGGCGTTGCGCATCTTCGGCCTCCCGATGCTGTCGCGCAGCCTCCAGTACGTCCAGTTTCTGGCGTTTAACCCGCGGCATGGCCTCATCTTTCGTCTCGGAACTGGGCTCTTCTTTAGCCCTCTGCGTCGTCTGAGCACGGCGACGTTTCATCGCTTGAGCACCAGGCAGTAAGCTTGAGACCATATCTTCTTCTTCTTCTTCTTCTTCTTCTTCTTCCTCCTCCTCTTGCAGGCTGCTTTGCGGTTGCGATGGTTGTGCCGGCGATGGCTCGATATCCATCAATGGCGGCGAGTCATCAACGCTCTCCGGCGCATGAACAGGAATAGAGTTGATATCGAAGCCATCATCGAACGTTTTCATTTTACTCACAAATCCTCGAACTCGTGGCTTCCTCTTCGTTGACGGCTGGCTTTCCGTCGGAGGCTGTGAGTCTTGGACTTCTTGAACATCAGGGGTAGCAGCTGGTGCTTGTGTGGGTTCTGTATCCATGTCCTGGGCCTCAGGCAAGGATCGGCACAGGCCAGAAGCGTCATTTCCCAGAATGGCGTCCAGGAATTCGCTCTGTTGAATTACCCGCTGGTCGGTCGTCAAAGCAACCTCGTTACCCAGCTCGGCCCACCAGTTCTCATAGCGTCCACTCGCAACATATCGAACAAGAACCACGCCGCCAGGGCCATCCCGTTGGCTCCCCATACCTTTGTCGCCAGCCGCATTTCTCATATATTGTACGATCTCTGCCGCCGTTGTGACACTTTCTTCCACTTGGTAAAGCAGGGCCTTCCCGTGGCCGTTTGTAATAACATCCTGCAAGTTTCCAAACTGCGCAGGTTCCATGAATACGAATGTGTAGTCCTCAAAAACTTTGATTCGATCGAGCCTCGGAGCAAACGCTTCCTTTGGTCTTTGTACGGTTTCCTTGCCAGGTGGGGGAAGATGTGCCATTGCATCCGGCCATGCAGTGTCGAAATCGGCCTCCAGCGGGGACAGCGACTCAAGGTTCTCTAGATCGCTCGGGGTAGCCGCGTAAACCAAGGCGTCAAGATATGAATCCTGCACAATGTACTTTCCGTTCACCAAGGCTTGAAGACCTTTGGCCGTGTTCCGTTTCTTTTGTACAACGTGCGTGGTGTGGTCGACAACATAGGGAATAATCGTTTTGATATCCAGATCCTCGACACGAGAGCGCACTTGTGCCAGGGGATCTTTCGCTTTAAGTTCTTTCGAGGAAAAGGAGAACGTAAGGACGACTGGTTGCCACTTGATCCTAGTAACCACCACGGTTAGTCACTGCTGACATTGTTCCTTGCGATGGCAATTACCGCAGCGCATGTTCATATCTCCCCAACTTGATTTCATGCTCCTCACCAGTCAGATCTTTACTTTCATCCTTAACAGTGTTACCATCCACTCTGGTGCCATATTTCGATCCCAAGTCGCGAACGGCAATTTTCGATCTGGTGTAAATATGCGACTGAACGGTTAGCGGGGAAAGCAGAGGAATTGGATTATCGTACTCCATCTCCCGATTTGACAGGTGAAACTTCGATCATCATATGCTTTCGGGATATCGACTTGTTATCAATGGCGTGTCGGACTGCATTGAGACTAAAGGTAAGTATGGTAGACTTTGGCCGTTATCACAGCATCTTACCTCCATCTTGCTTGATCCGACCGAAGAGATACTTCTTCCCCGGTCGCAGCCACACGCGCTTGCCTTTCACAATCAGCCAAGTCCACTAAGGTGGTAGCGTGAAGATGTATTACCTCCCAGAAAATCACCCTCCGAGTCTAGAATCCACATGGGAGCGGTTGTGTGCCTGGCAGCGAGATGCAGCTGCTCGGATCGAGTTGACATCAGCGGCACGTGAAACACGGCCCGTCACGCGTGTTCACGTGATCAGGCGTCGCAATAGCTGCCTGCTTGGGTAATCTCATGGTCCATCAGAACCTCGCTTCATCCCTAAAAAGATGGAGCCTTCGGGCGAGGAGCCGAATGATGATGCAAAGGCGTCCAGCAATGCGGAGTCTGTCGAGGACTATGAAACCTTGAAATATCAACTGCTCGGACCGTCTTTGACCAAAGCGGGTCAGGATGCCGTGGACCAGCGAAAGGTGAGCAGTATGCCACAACGTTCTAGGATGATAGCTAAGGTTAGCAGGTCTCGGAGATTATTTATAATGCCTCCAAAGGATCCAAATTCTTCAATCATGAGCAAAACCGAGACAAGGTCTTGACAGTCAAGATTGAACGCATCCTGAAAGAGAAAGCCCGTCTCGAGAAACTAGATCTGTCGGCTGATCTGCGACGCGCTGACCAGCTTCTTGCTGAGCTAGAACTGACGCGAGATCTGTCGCAGCATGTTGTTCACGTCGACTGTGATGCTTTCTTTGCTGCAGTGGAAGAGCTCGACCGTCCAGAATTGAAGACTGTCCCTATGGCGGTCGGCAAGGGCGTGCTGACGACCTGCAACTATGAGGCACGAAAGTTTGGCTGTCGGAGCGGCATGGCATCATTCGTGGCGAAGAAACTGTGTCCTCAGCTGATCTGTTTGCCTCAGAACTACGAAAAGTATACTGCAAAGGCAAAGGAGATCCGCGCCATTTTCGCACAGTATGATCCTACATTTGAGAGCGCTAGTATTGACGAGGCTTATCTCAATCTGACTGCATATTGTACCGAAAATGAGCTTGATCCCGAGGAGGCGGTCCAGCGCATGCGGGCAGAGGTCTTGGAAAAGACCAAGATTTCAGTTTCTGCCGGCATTGCGGCAAATGCAAAAATAGCCAAGATCGCATCCAACAAGAATAAGCCGAACGGCCAATTTTGCGTACCTAACGAGAGAGAAGCGATCATGAAGTTCATGGAGGAGCTACCCGTCCGCAAGGTGAACGGTGTTGGTCGCGTCTTCGAACGTGAACTTGATGCGATCGGTATTAAAACATGCGGCGACATTTATCCGCAGCGTGCCATTTTGACCAAGTTATTCGGAGAAAAAGCGTTTCATTTCTTGGTGCAATGCTACCTCGGCTTAGGTAGAACGAAAATCCAGCCAGTGGAGAATTATGAGCGCAAGAGTGTGGGAACTGAGAGGACGTTCCACGAGATCGGGAATAAAGAGGAGTTCAGAGCCAAGCTGTGGTCGATAGCCGAGGAGCTTGAGAAAGATCTGGCGCGAACTGAGTTCAAGGGGCGGACACTGGTTCTCAAAGTAAAGCTCGCTACATTTGAGGTGTTGTCACGACAATGCCAGCCTCCACGGGCGGTCTCGACTGCCAAAGATCTGTATGCGTTCTCACTTCCGATGCTGGAGAAGCTTGAAAAGGAAATGCCTGATCTGAAAATGCGCCTGCTTGGTCTCCGGTGCACCAACCTTGTGAGCACAAAGAAAGTTGGGATCGAGCTCTTCGGCTTCACTTCGCGGCCGAAGCCTGCTTCAGACATGTCGACCGATCCTCCGGTTGAGCAGGAGATCGAGACAGAGGAGGCCTTTGAGAAAGCGGCACGGGAGGAACTACAAGAGGAGCTCGATGATTTGGAGAAGCTGAGCCAGGAGGTATCCGAGGCCGCAGAATTGAAGCAGGATGGGAAAGGAGTAGATGCATCGCAGCCTGTATATTGGGATTGCCCGATTTGTTCTCGACCTCAGGTGGCGGAAGATCGTGCATTCAATGACCATGTGGACTACTGCCTATCACGACAGACGATCAAGGAGGCTGTCCAAGGTGCCTCGAGTGATGTTCCGCCTGAGCCTCTGGCTGCATCGAAGACACGAAAGCGAAGAGCGACGGAATCACCGGATCCGCGACAAAAACGGTTGTTCTTTTCGTGATGACTTCTCTATAGTCCACACTATACTAAGTCCCGCAGAGCCGGGCTCGTCTTGCAGCCCAGGTCAACTTGCAGGAGTAGGAACCGTCAGTCTACTTCGAATATTCTCAGAGCGATTAACGGCATGGCAGCCGCTCTGCAACTCACATCCCGCACTCGATGCCGGCCACGGTGGCATTGCGTCTGACACCGACATGACAGACGCTCCCAGTCTTTCGGGAAAGAAGTGATCAATCAGATCTACATGATCTGGTCACGAGAAACAACCATCCATTCCCAACGGTCAATACCTACCCGTTTTCGCGACCTCCTTCATAAGGAGCTTCTCGGTTATAAAATTCATTATGTGCAGCTTGTTTATAATGTTGGAATTCACGAGAGCTTTACCATCGCAGGCTTGTATATAGGAGAGAACGATAGAACCTTATCATCACTGCTATCTACTAATTGACAGATCAACCATCGGGTACCTGGCGTTGATGAAGAAATATATCATTGCCAATAATATCGCTGTAAGGCAGTATTGCATGCATGAAGGGGTTGTTGTTTATGCTGCATCGATTAATTGTTGGCTGGCACCCAGCCAGACGGTTCTATTAATAGGTTAATTAAGGGTTAGTTAAGTACTGACGGATGTATCTACATTAAACGAGGACCCATCCACGACACTCCTTGACGATTCTATACTTAGCTACTCAACAAATAATACTACGAAAGGGATCATACATTGGAAAGCACAACCTCGCATCTAGTATTCACCAAGTATCTTTCGTCAAACTCAAACCACCAAGCAACAGCACTCCCGATAGAAATACCATCACCCCCGATAAACTTCACCACATATCACAAACCCGCATTGACAACCAGGAATGTGGATCTAGCCCCCTCCCTCTCCTCTTATTCAAGATCAACGTGGCAGACGGCCCCTTGCATCCCCGAATAGTTGTTTGTCACACATCACGTGGTCAACAGCAGCTCCCCATGGAGACGAATGTTTTGATCGACGAGATCTGAACCGATAAGGCTTGCAGGGAATGAATCAATCAAATCACATCTGTCATGTGGGAAAGGGCAGATGATCAGAAAGATATACTCCGGTTCCGTGGATTACAATAGTGTAGGGTCGTGTAGTGTAGGGGGAAAAGGGAAGCGATGGGGTGATCGGCGTGGTGGTTGTCCGGTTACTCCTCCGGAGGGAGCCGCAGCTCCGACTTCACCCATGGTCGGGGGGATGCATCAGCCCATGTGAAGGGGACTGCAATGCGCAAGGGTGGGTGCAATTGTAGTTACTCTTACTACTATTTTTGAAGATATGAATGGTTTCAAGTGTTGATAATTAGAAGATGAAAGTGAGAACGTGTATAGACCGAGGATAGGAAATAGTTATTGGGATAGAAACCCATCAAGGGATCAAGTGAGTTGCGGTGAAAGGGGCCACTGGAGACTAGCCGGATTAGGCGGGGGGATGTTTTGCACCCAAACATTAATTATCCTTCTTTCTTCTCAGGTGTTGTTGACAACAAATTCAACGCACCGCATCGTCATCCCACCCGGTTTTCTTCTCGCCTCATTTTTTCCCTCCCTTCCAGCCTCGGCCGTTTCCTCTCCTCATCTGGACGGTCAAGAACCCGCTGTCGACTGGCTGGTGCCATCATCATGCTTGCAGATTCTCGAGCACTGTCGCAATGCCATGAGCCGCTCTCCTTTCCGCCCCTCGACTCCCGCAACTATGAACGCCGCCGATAAACAAAACAATGGCCATCTCGCCAAACCACTCACCCCCGCCCTCAGCGCCGCCTTTCATCGCTCCCAGAAATCCCCTCTGACTCCTCGACTCGCTACTCCCGGGGGTTATCGAACTCCCAAGCGACTGGCCGCCTCCGAACATCCCTCGTCCGCCCCCTCCAAGCGGGATCCCGAGCCATCATCATCATCCCTGCTCAGTGCCAACGTTACCCCTCGATCCGGCTCCCGCAACAGCAGACGCGATGGTGCTGTTTCCTCCCCCAACAACAACAACACCCCGACCAACGGGCAACAGTCGCCCCAGGTGACCTGGACACAACCGCATGTGGGCCAGCTGTCAAATACGGGGCGACTCCGGACGGAGCGGAGTCCCGTTCGGGGGGCAATGCTGGAACCATCGCGGACAACCCGGGCCAGGACCGTGACGATGGAGTCCAACCATCTTTCCCGGCCTAATTCTGCGTCGGATAATTCAGCCGGGGCCCCCATGTTTTTTCACGCCTCCGATGCACGATCGACCATTTCCGAGCAGGAGCCCCGCCCGAAGCTGCAGACAAAAACGTCCGGTACCACTTTTATCTACGCAAACGGGGCGCAAGAGAGGCAGTCCCCGGTAAGTGAGGTGGGGGGTACGTATAAACGCCGGTCGATTGGCTTGACGCGATCGGTGGTGTCCGCGAAACCGTCTGCCTCGCCACGGCTGCGACCAGCCCGGGTGGACTCGAATCCGCGGCTGTCTGATGGGCCGTCTGTAGTCGGGTCGCAGGATGACTCGTTTGAAGCAGGGTCACAGGCTCATAGTCCACCCATGAGCAGCGTATCAGCGCGACCGATTCCAGCCGTGCGACACGTTAAATCGTCGAGTCTCGACTCTGGCCACAGTGGACTCTCGCCTCCTCAGAAGGAAGGTCTGCGGCCAAGTCCGCTGATCATATCGCCATCAGAACCAAAGATCGATGCTAGCACGATTGCATCCGAACCGCTGCCAGGTCTCCGGCCGCGAGTGTTCAGCAATGGGTCCATCGCTTCAGTGGATACGCATAACTCGGGGATGCAGAGCCCGTCCAAGTCAGAAAGCGGACAGGCTAACGGCGCCCTTAATGCGCGTACGGAGCGGAAGATCATGGATCTTGAAATCAGCAACTCATCGCTTCTCGCCATCAACCGCACGCTAGAACGGGAGATGCGGAAGCAGAACGCCGAGCTGCGGAGATACCGACGCCTCAGTCGCTCAGGGCGTCTATCCATGGCGACGTCCAGCCGGTCCGTGTCCGGCGCTCTCTCGATTCCTCCGGAAGTTGAGGAAGCAAGCGAGCACTCATCGGTGCGGTCGCCAGAAGAACTTTCCGACTTTAGCGACGAAGACTCCTTGGAAGACGGGGTGCTGAGCCCGGACTCGCAGGCAGATCAGGACTCCCAGCATCGTGCGCGGGATGAGAAACGGTTCCTCATCGACCTGGCGAAGCATCAGGAGCTTCTTGCCGACAGCCAGCGGCTGAACCAGAGCCTCAAGCGGTGTCTAGGATGGACTGAGGAATTGATTAGGGAGGGACAGCGCGCACTCGAATACAATGTCCATGTAAACGACGTGCAACTGGGTGGACGCGTGCTCACCCCGGAGGAGCTGAATGAGCTGAACGAGCTCAACGAGCTGCACGAGCAGCAAGAACTCGAGGATATTTCTCGTCCATCAAGTCGGAGCGACTCCGAACCGCCTTCCGAGGACGGCAGCTAGCTGCATTGCATACTACTATCTCATCTAGACTAATACGGCGTCGCTGGTGTACTGTGCTATTTGTTCTGACCGACTAAAGCTGGCATTTAGTCTTAGCTTTTCCTTATGCGTTTTGAATTGTTTGATTGTTTGATCGTGTTGATGGCGATAGATGGCCGGCCGGCAGCTGTTCTGAGCTAGATACCCATACGCGTGAATTTTTTCTAGCATATACCATACTATATACCATATACCACTTTTGCATGCATCCACACCCTCACTTCTCTCCAGACAACATAAAAACCACGAAAGTAGTAATCCTAAGGCCTTCCATCCCCAACCTGGCCCCCACCACTGCCCGCCCCCTCAATACACGCCTCCTCGAATCCCGCCAACTCCTGCATCTCCTTCACACCCCCCAGGAACCCCTCCAAAGAGCAAAACCCATTCCCTCCATCCGACTCACACCCAGACACCCCATCCACCGGCACGGGCATCTCATTCAACACCCACCGCACATACTCCTTCCCGACCCCCTCACTAACCGTCGGATTCTCATAAACCACCTCCCCACCCGCATCCACCTCAATATCCGCAGCAGAGGAAGAATCACACCTCCAAATCTCCGTCACAAACCGCGCCCCGAACGGCGCAATCCTATTCAACCGGAACGTGCGATTCAGAGGGACCTCGTTCGCACTGATATTCCCTTTCATTCCATCCTTCCCGATATTGAAGTACTCCACACCCAGCGCAGCCAACACAGACACGATCACGTCGTCGTGAGACATATCCAGGTAGAGTGGTTGATGCAGCGGGAATGTGCTCGGGTTCGAGTCGTACGTAATGTTGACGTTCGCAACCTGCTTCTCGATCACCTTGCCCTGAAGACGAGATGCTAGTTCGAGGACGTAGCCGATCCCCTGGGCCCTTCCGGAGGGAGAGCCGAAGCCGTAGTCCCCGTAGAACTGCAGATCGAGGATATAAGCGTAGGATTCCCATTCGGAGGGGGTGAAGAGCGCGCAGAAGGAGGAGGTGCCGAGCACGGCGGTCTCGTATGCGCAGAGGTTTTGCATGGAGAGGATGTCCAGATAGGTTAGGTTTAGGGTTGAGGGGAGGTACTGGGAGAAGCGGGTGATGATGGGGGGTGTGTAGATCTTGAGGAATTGCTCGGCGGAGTCGTCTCTATTTTTATCATTAGTAGGTGGGCAATTTGGGTATAAGAGGGATGGGGGATATGCGTTACCCCTCTGAAGTATCCCCGTTAGGACAGCTTCCTGACAAGGTATTGTTGTAGCCGTCGCCCTCTGGAATGATCACCAGGTCGTAGTCATCGGAGGAGCTGTTGGCTGCGATGTTGCTGAAGAAGCCGCCTATACGTCTTATTAGCATTCTTCTTTCATCTACTAGGGGAATTGAATTGAATTGAAAGAATTAGAGAAAGAGCCGGGGGGGAGACATACTCAACCACCACCTCGCACTCTCCAAGATCCTCGCCTGCGATGTCGTCCTAAACATGGGCTTGCTCCTCCTCGTTCCATTCGGAAACACATTCAACTCGTTACTCCAGTCGGCCATGCCCGCCGGGGCATCATACAATACACGTCCGTACCGGGACCAGTGGAATGCACCCGAGGTAGCTTCCGTCGCTGCGCCGGTGGGGAGAAGGGCCTCTGTGCCCATGAGGTATCTCCAGTTATTGAGGAAAGAAAGAGGGCCAGTGGCGAGGGTGCTGTTTGGGTGTGCTTGAGTGTAGTTCTTTAGCTTCTGGGCGAAGGATTCCATGCTGTCGGCGTCGAGGAGGTAGGAGGTGGGATAGCGTTGCGCGTGCCGGTGGAGGATGTGCGCTTGGGTTAGTTGGCAGGTCTTGGGCGTGCCCGGGGGGATGCCGAAGCCTGGGCTCGAGGTGTAGGGGGATAGGTTGCCCCATGTTGAGTGGAGGTTGAAGGGGGTGGTGGTGGTGTTTGTTGCGGTGGTGAGGGTTAGGAGGCACAGGAGTGCCGTTGTGAGGGGGGAGAGGAGGATCATGATGGTTACGGTGTGGGGGGTGGCTACATGGGGAGAGGGATGGTAGAAGGGGGGGGGAAGAGGTGAGGTGGTTATATATGGGAGAGTTCAGTGCGGAATAATTATTTGGATTGTATCTATGCTAGAACTGAGTGGGAATTGAGCGGAGTCCGTCGTATCAATGCTGGCCAGCCTGCTATGTGTGGTGCGGGGGGGCTGGTTTGCTAAATTGTTAGGTTGGTAGGAAAGAAGTAGTAGATAGGCAAGTATTGCGGAGTCGAAGCTTTAGACCGGCTCAAGTCTAGGAGAAATCTGCTAACGGATCCAGGTTACGCAGTGGTGCTACTGACCAGATAGTGATAGTGTGGTGGTGAAGTCCATGGAGCGGGAAAGCCTTCCGTTGCTGATTGTGGTAATTGGTCGCGTGAGGTTGGAGAGAGAGACGGAGAGAGACCGCCAATCCTGCCAAAGCGGGGTTGGAGAGCAGCAGAGAGCCGGTAAGATGGAATCCCTCCTGGCAGTAGGAAAGCTTATCAGAAGGTGAGACACGGCGGGACGGGTTCGGTAGTTTCTATCTCCAGTTTTTTTGAGAGGGGCGCCGGTGAATGTTAGGGGTAGGACCTGCTTCCCAGGTTATATACTGATTACTAGTACAACAATGTAGGTAGGCAATCATTGTTGTGAGTTGAGATAAGGAACAGTAGAGCTGCTTATGAGTGGCACGTAAGATATCCCATTGACTGATGAAATAGTACTACTTTTCTTCCTGCATGCAGTTTTCTGTCTGTCTCACCCCGCAGCCACTACCGCTACACCTGCAGGGTTAGTTGGCGGTTGTACCTTCTATCGTACGACGTCACTTACTCCGCATGTAACCAAAATTCCTTGGAAGTCGGCGATATCCGGTTCAGTAACGGATCATGAGTTGGTATTAGTCGCAGTAGTAGTTAGTGGTTGGTGCTGATTAACCGGAGCACAGGAGACCGTTACGGCCGAGATATATTCTGTCGGAAGGTGAACTTAGTACCACCACTAATAGTAGTAATCGTCTCAGCCCTACGGGGCACCACCGCCAGCAGCAGCAGCAGTAGTGAGTGGTAAATGCTGCGACAGTAATCACTATAATGACCTACCAGTAGTAACATGAATCTAATTGATATTCATTCTGCTTACATCTATTACGCATCTGGCAGGGTATGCCGGGTCGCTACTCAACATATATCCAATGTCCAGTCTGAACCACAAAAACAAAAATAGACTATGCAAGGTATCTAGGCAGTGGCTGTGGGCTCTTCGTGGTGGTGCTCGTGCTTCTTCTTCTTCTTCTTGTCCTCCTTACCCTTCTTCGTCATCGACTCCGCCATCAGCTGCTCGAACGCCATGAAGTCACCCTCCTCATCAGGATCGCGCTCAGCCTGACACAGTTAGCATACATCCAGACCCCTGTAGTGAATCCCATTGTAGTGAACGGTGAACATACCTTGGAGTAAATGTTACCCGCAATCACCAGAGCATGAGCACGCTCAACGCGCTTGTCCAGCTTGATGCGCTTGTCTCCGAGCACCTGGTCGCACACATCACGCAGCACGCTCTGGATCTCAAACTTGCTGCCCCGCCATGCTGCCGCCAAGATCTTGCCCGTCACCTTCTTCTCGTACTCGGCCTTCTTCTCATCCGTCCAGTCCTCGCCACCGCGCTCCTCCAGCTTAGCCATCTCCTCCATGGTCATCTGCGCATCAATGGCAGTGGAAATGGTGGTCCAGGTCTCCTTGGCCAGCGTGCCCTTGTCCTTCAGCCGCGAGAAGAATCCGGAAATACCCAGGAACTTCTGCGACTTCAGGAAAGAGGTGGCCTTCTGCACATAGGTGGCGCCGATGGCGTGCAAGATCTCCAAACCGAACGACTCCATCTTCAGGTTCTCCACCTCCAGCCGGATCTTCTCCTCGAACGCGCGGGTCATATCAGGGCTCTTGTCGGTTTCCGTCCACACGCTGATCTTGTCCACCAACTTCGTGGCCAGAGTGTTGACCCGCTCCTCGCGCGCCTTCTTGCGCTCCAACTCGTACGCCGCCAGACGCTCCTGTTGCTCTCGGGACAAACCACCCTTCTTCTTCTCCTTCTTGCGCAGCTCCTTCTCCTCCTGGGACAGACCAGCTGCCTCCATGCGCGCCTCTTCCTCCGACTTGTCCATGATGGCCTGTTGGCCCATGTAGCGGCGGGGGGTGCTCGTGCCGGAGCTCGGGGATGCGGCGGCAGCGGGCTTCTCGGAAGCGGCGGTCGTCGACTCGGCGGGGGTAGCTTGGGCAGCACCTTCGGTAGTGCCTTCAGCAGCGTGCGCCTGGGTCTCGTCGTGGATGTTGAGCTTCTCCTCAGCGGATGCGGCCAGTTCTTCCTCCTCCATCTGCTGCATGGTGATGTCCATCGTAGTGGTGAGGTCCTTCATGAGCGAGATTTCACCGATGAGGTCGACAAAGGCGTTGCCACCGAAGATCATGCCAAAGAACTCCGAGGGGTCCTCTGTAGGGCATTAGTATCCGACTGATTGCCTGCGAGATGCAATGTCTTACCAAAACCTCCACCGGGAACAGCATCCTCCTTTCCAAACTTATCGTAGCGCTTGCGAAGTTCTTCATCGCTCAGAACCTGATAGGCTTCACCGATCTGTCATAGTAGAGAGTGTGTGTGAGCGCATGATTTTGAGAGCAGACAAACAAACAGTATCTACCCACCTCCTGGAATCGCGCATGCGCAGTCTCATCACCGGGGTTCTTATCTACGACGATCAGTAGTGGTCAACCAGAGGACAGCGTGCCACGCACCCGGATGGTGGATAATGGCCAGTTTGCGGTAAGCCTTCTTGATCTCGAGTTCGGTCGCGGTGGGCGGCACCCCGAGGGCGTCGTAGTAGGAAGTGTCGGCAACCATGGCGGGCGATGTGAGCAGGACCCAACCACGCAATCAATCTAGCGGTCACCGATGCAGAAAAATCAAGGCCAGCCGGCAGGCGTGTGACAGAAATAGAAGGTGATCGGGAATAGGATGTGCTGGTAGCGACAACAGGATCAGATGTGTCTCCTGTGATTTTTTCTGCCTAAACGATGTTATTTTGGCTTTTAGTTTTCCGCTGGATTTCTTCCGTCATGGCGGGGAGAGAGACAGACAGTCACTTGCAATGGGGGAATGGCCTGAGGCGGGCAGGCAGCCAGTGCGGTTGTCACGTATGGTTAGCAAGTGGTCACATTCCACACAGATAGCACGGAATACATGCATCGATCCATGTAATCTGCCGTAATACCGAGTTATGCGCCCGCACGCGCTCAGCCGCCAGCCCAGAGCCGCTAGCCGCGCCGCCTTCCAAGCGGGCCTTTAAAATTTTCCTTCTTTCGCTTTCTTTTCTTCTTTTTCTTCCTTTTCCTCTTCGTCTTCTGTTTATTCCTCTTCTCCCTCCTCTTCTCCTCTCTCCCCCCCTGATTTTCCCTCTCCTCCCAATTGTTTACTTATTTCCTCTTCCTCTACATCTCTCTCTAACCCCCTCTCCCTCCTCTACCTCCTCCTCCGCCTCCCTCCTACTCCTACATTCCTCTGTCTGCTTGACTGGATTCCCCGTCTCCTCCCCGCTCATCCTCCCCAGCCAGTGAGGCATTCGCTCGCTGTGCTTGTACATTATTGTACCATCCCATCCCTTTCTTTTCCTCTCGAATTCCGTTGATTCGGTCATTCTCCCGCATTGCTTCCCTCTGCTTTCCATTCCCTTTCTTATTACGTGTAATAATTCCCCATTTTACCCTAATTCTTCTATTTCGTCATTTTTGACCGTTCGATCGTAATCTACCCTCCACCATGGGTCTCGCATCGAATGCCATCTACTACACCTTTCATCCCTCGGAACTGAGGTCGATTTTGCAATGGTTGGTTCCGGCCCTTGTCCTCGACCGGCTATGATGGGCTTTAGTGTGTTGTGCCAACGCTTACGAAGGCTTTGCCCGTGGTCATAGGAAGATCTGGCACTCCCCGGTTCATGAGCGCAATGAGAAGAACGAAACCGAGACTGAGAAGGCCTGCTTCAAATTCCTCGACCTGACCAGTCGGAGCTTCAGCGCCGTCATCAAGGAGCTCCACCCGGAGCTGTTGATGCCCGTCTGCGTCTTCTACCTCACACTTCGCGGGCTGGACACCATCGAAGATGACACGTCGATTCCTTTGGAAACAAAGGAACCCCTGCTGCGTGGCTTCAAGGACTTCCTGGAACAGGATGGCTGGACGTTTAATGGCAACCGCCCCGAAGAGAAGGACCGTGAGCTGCTGGTTCAGTTTCACAATGTCATCACCGAGTTCAAGAAGATGAAGCCCGCCTACCAGGCCATCATCAAGGACATCACTGACAAGATGGGCAACGGTATGGCCGATTACTGTCGCAAGGCGGCCTTCGATGACGCCAGCGTGATCACCGTCGAGGAATACGACCTGTACTGCTACTACGTCGCCGGCTTGGTTGGTGAAGGACTGACGCGCCTCTTCGTCGAGGCCGAGTTTGGTAACCCTGCCCTGCTGGAACGCGCGCGTCTGCACAAGTCCATGGGACTCTTCCTCCAAAAGACAAACATCATCCGAGACATCCGAGAGGACGACGATGATGGACGTCGCTTCTGGCCCAAAGAGATTTGGTCCAAGCACGTCAAGCAGTTCGATGATCTGTTCAAGCCCGAGCACCGCGAAGCTGCACTGAACTGCAGCTCCGAGATGGTGTTGAACGCTTTGGAACATGTTGAAGACTGCCTGTTTTACCTGGCTGGCCTGCGTGAGCAGAGTGTGTTTAACTTCTGCGCGATCCCGCAATCGATGGCCATTGCCACGCTGGAGCTCTGCTTCCGCAACCCCGCGATCTTCGAGCGTAACATCAAGATCACCAAGGGTGAGGCGTGCCAGCTGATGTTCGAGTCGACGCAGAACCTGCGTATCCTCTGTGCTGCCTTCCGCAAGTACGCGCGCAAGATTCACAAGAAGAACACACCCAAGGACCCTAACTTCCTCAAGGTCAGCCTTGTTTGTGGACGGGTATGTTTTTTTATTCCCCTCTGCTCTGGTTGGGCTGCGCTAATGATTATAGATTGAAAAATGGATCGAGACCATCTTCCCATCTCAGAATGCCGAGGCCGCCAAGCGTCGTGTCACTGGCGAGCTGACGGAACAGGAGAAGAAGCAGGCCGAGGAGCACGCCGAGACTCGGAAGGACATGTACTTTATGATGGGTCTCATGGTGGTGATTGTGTTCATCACCTCGGTCGTTATGGTATGTGCCTTCACCTGACATCTAATTGAATTTGGCTAACCCGAATAGATCTTCACTGCCTGGCTACTGGGTGCGCGATTCGACTTGGCGTGGCAGGAGCTGCGGTCCGGTAACTTCCGGCCACCAAGAGAAATCCGCCAAAAGCAAGAGCTGTAATGCATTCTACGGAGTTATGACTGATTGATCTACTAGCTGCGGAGGCTTATGTCTTATACCTTTCTGCCCACCGCTTATCTACTAATACATTACCCTTCTTTCTTCTTCCTTTCTTAGGTCTATATTTCTGGACGATGAACTAGCACGGATGTCAAATTGCGATCCAGTCTTTCCATGACTGTGGTTGTGCCGAAGAAGTGCTGATATTGAGCTGAATATTCTGACCAGCGACGTACTAGATGTGTGTCTTACAACTTAAGTGTTGAGGTGGCAAACATCCATTGAGGACCTGGAACAAATGTAGTCATGTAAACACGAATTTATATATTACCACTTGAACAATATGACTTCTGCTTGATAAACATATTTTTCTCTAAAACCCATCTTGTAACCTTGACATAGTCTTAAGGAGTATTCCACTGTACTCAACCCCAATCCCATACTTGAACATATCTACCTATTACCGCACACAATAATCCCTAAATAATTACACCATATCTCCCCTCCAACACAACACAACCCTCAATACTTAATACAGAACATAAAGAAAAAAAAATCTCAACTAACAAGCCCCAACATCTCCCACAATAATCCCCAAAATCCAAACATTCACCGCAAAGAACCCCAGCGAAGCCAAAAACAACCCAGGCACAAAGCTACTCAGCCCCAAAAACTCAAGATTATACCCTTGTTGCAACCACAGCGCCTGCCACCAACCAATCAGTACACAACCTACATGGAACATACAAAAGTTAAGCCAAAAGGAGAGAGAGAAACACATACCTGCCCAACAACCCACGCCGCCGCAACTGCTCCCCCAAACCGCGGAGCTTTTAGCATCGAAGAACGGGGTAGATAGAATGGTAGGAAGATAAGGTACCACAGAAAATACTACCATCCCTATCAGCCCATCCCATTCCAAATAGCTTATGGGCAAGGGGATAAAGATAGGGGTAACTAACCTGACTCGTACAAACCTTATTAAACGTCACAAACGCAAACGTCTGCGCAAGCATCGCCCCGGGCAAACTCTTCTTCGCCAGCACAAGCGGAATGACCACAACAGAGAGGAGTAACTGCGGGATGAACGCCAACGACTCAAAATTCCCTTGCACCTCGCCCGCAGCAGAGAGATAGAGGAGGGTACTGTAAGGCGAGAAGTTATGGCGGTGGTCGATGCGAGTAAGATGATGGAGGAAGGTGTGTTGCAGGAAGGGGGTATCGTAGAGGTGATACATGAGGAGGTTCAGGAGGGAGAAGGTAATGAGGGAGGAGAGGGTGAGGATGATGCGGGAGGGAGTGATGAAGTTGATCATCTTGGTGATGATACTGGCATCGCCAGCATTGTTCTTAGATGTGCTGCTGCTGCTGCCATCACGTTCCCGATCCAGCCACCAAAGAATCGACACCCCGTAGATAAACGGATAAATCTTGAAATGCACACTCAAACCCAGCAGCACACCTGCAAGAACGACCCTCCTGCGGAGAACAGCCCACAGCAGGGCGATCACCAGCACGCCGAGCAGTCCTTCCGAGGACCCTCGAGTGCTAATGTTCGCGACCATGGGGTTGAGTAGCCAGAAGCTAGCGTACTTCAGGGCGCGGGGGGCATCCATTCCGTACGCGGAAACGAGGGATCTGGCGATGAGCCATCCGGCGAGGACGTCGGAGAGGGCGAAGAGGGCTTTTCCAAAGGAGAAGAGGAAAGATGGGCCCGACCAGGAGGTCGGGAGGAGCAGCCATGCTAGGAGAGGCGTGTAGCGGTAAGTGTCTCGTTCGTAGGGCGAGGCGCCGTGCGAGACGTAGCGGGCTGCGTCGGTGAAGACGAGGTAGTCGATGTCGGTGTACTTGACGGCGGAGTTGGCGTCTTGCCAGGCGCCGTAGATGAGGAGGATGGCGCGGAGAGCTATGGCGGACGTGTAGACTAGGGAGGGGGTTTGGAAGAAGGACGCCATTTTGGATGGCATTTTGATGTAGAGAGAGGTCGTGTTGTGGTTACTTCATCGGTGATAGCTTACTCCTGATAGTAGATCCACAATGAAGCCTTCGACGACCGGATGGATCGTCTTAGGATGCCAGGGCAATTTAGTAGTGGCTAGTATGTACAGATCCGGCTGATCTCACCATCCTATGTCTATTTGGTGGGCATCGTGGGTTCTGGTTGGTTAGATGAAGCTATCCCGGCCGCGAGGAAACGTGACCGGATCGATGGCTGAGTCAGCAGCGAGATGATCTTGCCCGATTAGGATGAAACTGTGTACTCGAAGATGAGAGAAGAAATTCGGAATATTTTCTTTCTTTCTGTTATGCCTTAGCTTTCTTGTCTAAGATATTGAACTAGGTGGTTTTATCGGAGACGTAAGTATCTTTTATATTCTCAATCCATAGTGAGGAGGCGCCCACCCATATCATAACCTACTATGTAACCATAGCTAGTTTGAATACACTTTGTAGATCAAAAATATATTGCTGAAGCAGTTCTTTTTGCTATCGTGATACCGTGTTCTCGACATAAATCCTCCGAATCCTCCGAATCGCCCGTAAATGCATCAATCATAAATAATTCTGTAATGTGGAGATCGCTAACATATGGCGGGGAACAACAAAACAAACATAGAGCGAGTGAATAATAGAACACCATGTGACAAAAGTGAACACCGGCAGCGATAAGGCTGCACCCTGTAAGTACAGCCTAGTAGAAGGACGGCCCTGAATTGATAAAAAATGTTGAATCTCCCAATTGGCCTCCAAAAAACGCAGTGTCGCTGGATCCATACTTTGCATTTCTCTCCTCCTGGGGAAACAGTGGTCCATTGTTGACATTGTCAATATCAGCCAAACCCTGCAACAAGTTGCTATCGCTCCAACTAAGAAAGTCCCATAGATACTGTCCAGCAGAATCATTGATAAACTGGGGTTCAAATGGGTCGACAAATCCACTGTCGTGTGGAATAGCGCGACCAAAGTCGACTTGCATCGGAGATACCCCAGGAACTGCGCCAAGAGTCTCTTCAGTAGACGTTACACAGCTACCGCTGTTAATGCTGTGGGCTTCCCCGATGACGCTGGGGCCACGTTTACCAGCCTCAAATATTCGGGAAACAGCCTCGAGCGTTGATTTGGCGGCTGGACTCCAAGGTTCCAAGCGCTCCAGGACAAGCATTGTTGTTTCCACTTGAGCCTGGCACGCTTCAGCTGTCGCTCTTGGATCATCAACCGTACCATCATTGAGAAACAAGCCTAGAAGAGGGACCATAGCAGCCTGGAAGATAAGCCATACTGCGTTCCAGCCTGACATCTGATGGAATTGTGCCTTGGCGGCTACATCTTGTATGGTAGCCTCGGCAATCTCCCTACATCTTTCAATTGCCGTCCTTTCTTCAGACCTGAGCACAATGTATGGTACGCGGCGCATGGCATAGCTGAGCAGGGTGGGGCGATACAAGAGCATGCGTTGGTTGTAATAGCGCCACTTCATGACGGTTCTCGTGATCGCAATCGACTCAGAGCATGGCTCATGGTCTTTAAGAATATAAGGAAGGTTATCATACCATTCCAAAAGCTGGCTATCAAGATGTGCCATTTCGTGAGGTTTTGTCAGCGGTGCCACGGCCAGGACCTCCTGTATCTGTGTCGCGATCTTGCAAAAGCGAACATTTTCCAAAAGTGGTAGAAGGTCGAGCACATTGCCCTAAGTATGTCAGTTAGACCCATTACAACACACAACGTATCACATACTGTTTCTCTGTAATGTGGTAGCTTAACGGTGATTGCTGGACCCAGCCGACCCATGCTTGGCCGTCCCAAGGTCATGCCACCCCACGTGTCCAGACAGAAAAGAGACCACCATACCCGACGTTTATGGTCAACTGAAGATAGCCTATTCCTGCCATTGCCATACTGGCCATCTGACACTTCCTTATGTAGCCCCAGAGCAGCCGCCATGCGCAACGCGGCTCCCATCATGGAGTACGCGAGGTTGGGTTGGCTGCTATAGTGAAGGTAATAGCCACCCATGAGGCCCAGAGCTTGGATAGTCTCCACGTGTGGTGATCCAAGGCTTTCCAAATTCAAATGGCTCATAGACCGCATATAATATGCTTGATGGGACATGTCGTCGGCCGGGGTGGCTGCTATGCTGCCCAAAGCAAAGACAATGTTAAGTAACGCGAGCCATTGCTTGTCTTTCCTGCGCGCAGAAAGATACGTTTGGCGAAAATATTGTTCGTCCAGCATTGGAACAAAAGGTTGGAAGTAGGTGAAGTAAGCATCGAGCAGTTGAGTCTCGGGAACCTGGAGTGGGCTATGGGTGGACGTGCCATGATGGGGCTGTGACCCAAAAACCTGCCAGGCCTGGGCCTCTGGAGATGCAATGTCCATGACAGATTCTCGACGGACTCCTGTGGCGGGTGCGCGAGACAAATGAGAGAGAGAGCTCGGCTCCAGCCATACTATTACCTTTAGCACAGCATGGATGGAAGAGACACCCAAATAGGAAGATGGCTGTTTGGCCGAGAGAGATAAAGCGTTAACGTCGTCGGATACGGTACTCGTTAGCTCAGAACCTTTCAATTCACGATCATCAGTTGTGTGATCAGGTATTGTCTGTAGAGACTCGAGATTGCCGTCTTCGCTGGATGCTGGCGATGCGTGAGCCTCTACCGATGCCGAGGTTGCTGGGGATGCCGGGTGTGGCGCTTGCGTCTGCATCTGGGAAGGCCCCTTGCCTGTCAGCTCCAGAAGCTTGTCCCGAGGCAAGTTGACCAGGGTCTCCGCTGGAATGCCAGGGAAGAGCTTGTCAAGCACTCCCCTGAATTCATCGAGTGTGGTCGACAGTTTCTCCACATGCCTGCTTGATCGATACATTTGTCAGTTTTGGGTCGTCCCTCAATGCCGGCTGCTATGGAAGAAGGGGACAGTCACACCTGCGAGATGGCCGAGGATCAGAGTACTGACACAAGTCTGCTTTTTTATACCATCTGCATGCTTCACATGGCTTTTCACCATCACACTTTATTTTTCGGTGCCGACAAGATGTGCAGGCGCGGAGCGTCGTGACTCGGCGACCGACAGATTGTTGACGTTGATTGCGTCCGCGCACAGCAGCCGGAAGAGTTGGGTTCTCGAACCCTTCAAACGTGTGAAACATTGCGTTGCGATCGGGGGATAGTTTGCTGGAGTTTTTGTTTGACGGATAGTCGGGAAGTGTACCCGTTGAGACACTTTAGGGGTGGCGAGATTAACTCGAAGGGGCCATTGACACCGAGTCGCAGGGAAACCAGTAGGTTAGATGCACCAGAGAGCAGGGATCTTTGTTTGTCAGGAGGGGGAAAATAGCAAGTGGATCGAATAGACCGGGCAAAGTAGTCCAAGTCAGTTAGTTATGCAGGTAATCAGTTAGTCGCTGCAGTGGTCATTGTCCGGGGAAACAATGAGGTATGAAGTAGACGAAAAGCAAAGAAAGGCCCATCAAACGAAGATTGTAAAGAGGAAGAAAAACACAATATATCCACGCGGGAACTCAGCTCCTGTTTTGGGGAAGTGAGCAGGCAAGCCTCGGGGTTTGATGATCATCGGCAGCGTTGACGCTGGGAATATCACGGTTTGCACCGAGAGAAAGTAGGCGGTGCCCAACAGCGGAAGTTCCTGGACGAGGAACCTCGCAGGCCACCAGTGGTCAGCATGGCCTCCACCCCCGCATTTCGTCCTTTTAATTTATTTTATGCAGGTTGCGACCGTTTCTGTCTGGTTTCTGCATGCTGGCAGACGAACCGACCTGCAGACCCTGTTGGCTGCCTACTATATTCAACCCTGCGCCTAATTATACGCAGGGTACGAGAAGGGTTGTGTGATGCGCTCACAGACTCGGCAAACAGCACGCGGTGGTCTGTTCTCCTGGCGCCTGAATTCGTCAGTCCAGTAAACCTCTCCAGCATGGAATTATACACGCTTGGGTGTGAGGGTGGTGCATCCTTCCACCTATCACTGGCACTCATCGAGCCCCGAGTCTCCGAGTGCTCTCTCTATTTCTGGTAAACGCTAGGCCTTGTTCCGGCTTGAGGGTATTGTCCAATATATGGCCGATGCACATAGATCTGAGGCCTTGGCCCACATCAGAAACCTTTGCTCTTACACCCCGTACCGTCTCTATAATACGAATTTACGACAATCCACACCGAGCTTTTGAGATATGGAGCTTGGGAGATGGACCTGTAACTCAGGGGTCCAGAGGAAAGAGTAGTGGAGTGGGCTTCCGCTAGGGCCCGGCTACTCCTGAGTCCAAGAGCTCCAGATGGTAGTGCGGGAGATTGAGTATAGCAACGCCGGCCCACCACGCTCAGACATTGTGGTGCCACCTGATTGCTTTATGGCCAGGAAAAGAAGTAAGAACATCCGAGTGTCTGACAAGGTTCGCCGGATGTAATCGGCGTGCTTCATGGAGAACTATCCTTTCATCCGCGACCTGAAAGCTTACTGTTCCTGGGTCGCCCTACACCAAGTCGTCCAAAGGGGGGAAAGGCTATCAGGGTTTATTCATTATTGTGTCCTTTCCAGGGTCTTCATCCAGTTCGGTTGCTGGGTAGAATTTGCCTCCGCCAATTGAAAGCGCGACCCCGCATGAGGTGGCCAGGTTCTCATTTACAAAATTAATTAAATCCCGTGCAGGTGTCAGATGCCGGAGCAATTTTGTCGGGGGACTTGCTAGGCTTACTTGTGGAAGGCCCGCTGGAGTTCATGGACACTTGCCATTCTGCGATACAACGAGACGTAGTAGTCTTCCAGAATCGCTTGGTGTAGATCGGGGGTGACTGACAGTGCACATCACGTCTGTGAGGCAGTCTTGTCGATTTTTCAGCAGCTGGGACTCGGGGTGAACCGAACCGTCTCAGGGGACAAGGGATCCGGTGCACGACAATCATTTCGACTTGTCGGGAAGATGACAGCCAATCGCCGAGATACTCTCCAATAGCAGTGGCGATGAACAGGCTAATTTCACCAAAAGCCAAGAGTGAGACATTTTATCCTTTTCACATGCACGCCAAGCGAGCGCGGCACCTGATCGGATGGCCAGGGCCATTTTACCCAGAGGTCCTGTATCATGGATAGCAGGCACGAAAATGCCGAGAAAGGAGGGGTGAGTCGGTTACTAGCGTTCAGGATTCAGGCAGTCGACTCGCTCCTGGTGTTTTGCAAGAGGATGAGTAGTGAGGAGTCGTAATTCCAAGCGACGAGGGGTAGGCTAGTGGCAAAGGGCCAAAGGATGGCACCTCGCGACGGCCTTGCCGTTTTACGGGGTCGCTTAGGAACGAGGGCGCCCGGACCGTCTTGGTGGTCGCAACCAAGCCGACAAAAAAAGGTGAAGTGCTCACTGGGAAGTTGGTGACGGGCGATCGTTTTATCTGGAGATCTTGAGAGCTGTCAGGTACTATCGTGGGCGATAAAGGAGGACTCCCACCGGAGGATGATTCCCAGAATAGCGTGCGGAGCGCCAGCCGTGCCATAACCGGTATAGTCGGAGAGGAACCGCTCAGGTGTCTCACAATAGACACCGCGCGGTTTCGAATAGAAAGTGAATTTGTGAGTATAATCGCGCCAGTCTGAGAGGGCCTATCAGTACAGAATCTCTCTGAGAACAGAGACTAACGATAGCAGGCTTTTGTGTGTAGTCTGTACATGGCGATGAGGGAATATAGACTGTGAAAGTGGATGGAGAGGAAGCGAGGCCCAGTTGGGAAAGGCCCCGTGCTCCGTCAGGGGATCGCCCAAAGAGGAAATGCCAGCACGTGGAGGCGGGGACATCTCCGCATAGCTTCCCCAGGCACCCACTTCGCAAAGCCTCACCCTGGGACCCTGAATGCATCTATATCCCTATCTAGGGTTGTATCGGATGTTTCAGAGGGTATGGGGATTCTTATTTATTGAGCTCTGATTGTCCGGCTCAAAAATTGGGGCTTGACGAACTATCAATCGCCAGTTCCTGTATCAATTACCCCTCCAAGAGCGCATCATGGCAGCATTCGCGCAGTACACCCTGTCAACAGGGTGGTACTTTAAAGATAGAGATGAGCTTGCCTCAGAAGCATGGATGCCAGTTCCTGTGGTTCCGTCTGTCGTTCACCAGGACCTACAGGCGAATGGAAAGTGCGTACCGTTACGGAATCTTTCGCGGCACATGTCGCTAACGTGCAGACCGAATGTTGTTCAGGCTGAAAAACCCATACGTGGGATTTAATGAACTAGACGCCCGATGGGTCAACGAAAAGTCATGGACATACCGCAAGATACTGCAAAAGCCAACTGTCCTTGCCGGATCAAGAATCGTTTTGGCGTTCGATGGTCTTGATACATTTGCCAAAGTCAAACTTGACAACAATATCATCCTGGAGAGTAGTAACATGTTCCAGGCCTATCGAGTAGATGTCACCAAGGCCCTGGACTGCGGGGATGAGCACGTTCTGGAGATTGAATTTGATTGTGCGATGTTGCGTGCCCAGGAACTTCGAAAACAGGACCCGAACCACAACTGGGCCTCTTTTAACGGAGATCCTGCGAGGATGAGTGTTAGGAAGGCTCAGTATCATTGGGGCTGGGATTGGGGACCGGTCCTCATGACTGCAGGTATCTGGCGAGCAGTGAGGTTAGAAGTTTACTCCACAAGGTTGGCAGATCTCTGGACGGAGATCAACCTAGACCCCACTCACAAAACTGCCTCCATTTCAGCATTTACAGAGCTTGAATCTGTTGATCTTGACCCCTCATACAAAGTCAAATTCACGATCACTCTACATGGGAAGCAAATTGCTCAAGCAGAGGCCACACCTCAAGAGGGGAGGGCAAAGGTGGAATTCAACATAGATCAGCCTTGCCTTTGGTGGCCCCATGGATATGGTGATTCCACTCTCTACGAAGTCTCGGCATCCTTGAACGCCGATCAACTTGAACTCCATAGAGTTACCAAGAAGATTGGAATCAGGACTGCGGAGGTCGTGCAGCGGCCAGACAAGCACGGGAAATCATTCTTCTTCCGAATCAACGGCGTGGATATATTTTGTGGCGGTTCATGCTGGATTCCTGCAGACAACCTTCTTCCCAACATTTCTCCGCAGCGATACCGAAAATGGATCCAGTTAATGGTTGCGGGCCGCCAAGCTATGATCAGGTTTGTTCACTCGCTCAACTGTAGATTTATTACTAACAACTTGCAGAGTCTGGGGCGGTGGTTGCTACGAAGATGACAGTTTCTACGAAGCTTGTGATGAGCTTGGTGTTTTGGTATGGCAGGACTTCATGTTCGGATGTGGAAATTACCCAACCTGGCCCGAACTGTTGAAATCTATCGAACAAGAGGCGATCTACAACGTCCGCCGCCTGCGCCATCATCCATCTATTGTAGTCTATGTCGGTAACAACGAAGACTACCAAGTCCAGGAACAAGCCGGTCTCGAATATAACTACGAAGATAAAAACCCAGAGAACTGGCTAAAGACCAACTTTCCAGCCCGGTATATCTACGAAGAGCTGCTGCCATCGGTGGTTGAGCGTTGTTCACCAAAGACGTTCTACCATCCAGGTAGTCCTTGGGGTGATGGCAAAATAACTTCTGATCCCACAGTCGGCGATATGCACCAATGGAATGGTAATGCTACTTCCATTTACCCTCAGGAGTATACCTAAAACTGACATTTATAGTCTGGCATGGCACGCAGGAGAAATACCAGATATTCGATACGCTAGGTGGACGATTCAATAGCGAATTCGGCATGGAGGCGTTTCCCCACCTGTCAACAATTGAATACTTCGTTGAGAACGAAAAAGACAAATACCCCCAATCGCATGTTCTGGATTTCCATAATAAGGCCGACGGGCACGAACGTCGCATCGCTACTTACCTTGTGGAGAACCTGCGAACTGCTACCGACCTCGAGGTATGTGACTACGCAACCAAACCAACCATATACGTGCTAATTTTCCAAATAGACCTACATCTACCTCACCCAGGTTGTCCAAGCTGAAACGATGATGTTCGGATACCGTGGATGGCGTCGCCAATGGGGAGACGAAAGACACTGTGGCGGTGCACTACTCTGGCAACTGAATGATTGCTGGCCAACGATCTCATGGGCAATCGTGGACTACTTCCTGAGGCCCAAGCCCGCCTACTATGCTGTAGCCCGTGTGTTAAACCCAGTCGCCGTAGGTGTACGACGGGAACATCACGACTGGAGCATCACACACGCGCAGCCCCCAAAGACAAGCAAGTATGAGCTCTGGGTGGTGAGTTCACTACAGAAGCCCGCATCCGGAAAAGTTGAGCTCAGATTCCTCTCCGTGGACACTGGACGAGAAATCCGGGAGCGGATCGTGCGAGAAAACGTCGACATAGTGCCCAATGGCACTACGAACCTTATCACCGACGGACTCATCGACCACACCGTTGATGCAGAACCACACGTCCTCGCTGCTCGACTGTGGGTGGATGGCGAGATTGTTGCGCGGGACGTGGATTGGCCTCAGCCTTTCAAGTATCTTGATTTTGCGGATCGTGGACTTGAGGTTAAGAGGGTTTCTGAAGCCTCTGATCAGCAGGTATTCCAAATCAGCACCGAGAAGCCGGTCAAATGCTTGGTCTTTGAGGAACGTGACGGCGTCAAATTTAGCGATAGCGCGATGGATATTGTTCCGGGTGATGTTCAGACAGTCAAGGTCACAGGACTACGGGCGGATGAGAAGTTGAAGTACAAATTCCTTGGCCAATGATCTTACAGAGAGGGATAGTTCCAAATATTATTATTTCATATCGGATTGTACTGCAGTAGCAAAGTCTGTTTTTGAGATCAATATCACATTGAACACAGTACAGTCACAAATCGTACTAGCAACTACCTACGTATGCTTCCAGCCCGTCAGCTCATCGTCCAGATCTTCCATTCAGAAAACTAAGTGTCTTTCATTTCCCAAGAGGAGCAACAAATACTCTATACGCAACTTCACTTTATGCTATGGATTTTCTGTAGCATTATCTACAGCCTTGTTGATCTAGACTAACGCAATGTGAAACAGAAGAGAATCCGCTGGGGTGGATGGTTGGACGATGAGGCTTAGGTATAGGCATAAGTGACGAGGACCATGATCTGGCGTGGGTTGGAGGTGCTACTTAGCTGCCTAAACATCTGCGCGCCGGAGTGAAGGTTGTGAGAGGATGAGCCAATCAGAACACGTCCTGATTTCATAAACATGCAATTGGGCACTCCAACATAAGTCCGAGCAGGGGCCGGGCGTGAATTCCTGCATCGAGCAGCGCCTAGCTTAAGGAAAATGACATGCTCACGTATGAACAATTGCTAGCCAGCCTGATTGTTTCTGGGTAATCAACTTAACCCCCCTTCTCCCCGGGGCTCAGAACTGCGTGGGTTCCCAGAGAAAAATTCAGTCTTTTCCTGTTCTTTTGTACAAATCTCCTCACTCGATGGATTCCAGCTTAAGCATTCCGGTCAAAGATGAGTCCCTTAGCCATACTCTTTACGAAGCAAGTAGCCCATACCTTACCACCCATCAGCAGGGGCCCACCCAGGGTGATCTGACGGACAGTGTCGTCCGCAACAACGACAACCGCAACTTCATCAGCAGCCTCTCGACGAAAAGCCCTTTCCATCTAGCATCATCCGAAGATCGCTCCACACAAAGTGCCCCTCTTGGATCGGATCAACGACATACAGATAGCCCGCTCTTTGCTAAGCCAGAGGTCTTCTATGAAGTGACTGGGAGTGACCGCTATGTTGCTCAGCCCATACTCGATGCAAAGCTTCGTAAAGGCTTCTTCGAAGTCAACGGCAAATGGACTTTGTACCATCGCAACTACTTTTCAGTTGAGTGTGCCGTTTCCTTTCCTCGGGATATCGAAAATGGGCTGTACATACAGCGCGGTAGAGCAGAACTTCAGCAAATCCACGGCTTTTCGGTGAAACTTTTGGCGAGCAAGGATGGTGAAATCCGTGAATTGGTACAGCACACACCTAAAAGAGTTCGAAAGAGGGAAGCCGCATCGGAAGAGATAATTTGGTTCCCACTCATCGCCAATGCAACTGGTAGAGAGGCAGCGGACCGATCTGAAGAAGTCAATATCCCCCGCAACGTCAAGTCGTCCAATAATAACGCAGGAGAAAGCAGACTATTCTCTCACACTTTCGAGAGAATACAGTTTGAGAAGGCTACGCCAGACAATATCAAAAGACGCTCACAGAAGCAACACTTTAATCTCGTGATTGAGCTTAATGCCCAGATCTCGGGCGGGGAGCCCGATCGAAACTTGCACTGGCTGAGGATTGCCCGACAAACCTCAGAACCATTCATCATACGTGGTCAACCCGCAGGTCATTGCAAGGGGGGAAGAAGGGGTGATCACACTTCCATTTTTTATGGTGGTGATGGCATGCGTCGAGGTAGTCTCACAGCGTCACGTCCGTTTCTGAGAGATTTTGAGTGGCGTACAGACCGTAGGACCAACGCTGAAGAGAGCAATCATCATCCGCCTACTGCTCAGCGGCTCCGTGGACGCCAACGCGCAGGACAAAAACGGCTATACAGTGCTGGCAGTGGCCCCCAGGGCAAGGTATACAGTAATCTTGCATCTGCTGCGCGACGCGCACGTGGAGGTGAGTTGGGATGACTGGGACGGCCGGCACCCCCTGCCCAGGCAGCGATCGCAGGCTCGACGACGAAAGTCCGGCTTCTGCTAGGGGAGATAGAGACAGTCGAGCCTAACTAGATTAATTAGATACATTATTCAATTTTAACTGCTGGAAGTACGCTTTATATAATCTTTACAGGAAATACGCAGGGTTAGTTGATAATCTACAGTGTAAAATAGAGGTACCTAGTAGTATAATGGTTGGCTTAGGCCAACAAACAAGACTTAAAACACAAACTTCTTGGCCAATTATTCTACAACAAGGGATAGTTTCTAAATACTAATTCATATAAGATTATATTGCATTCACAAAAGCTTTATATGTGCAACCGAACTTCATTCAATCAAGCATATTTATGAGTCGCACTAGAACTCATCTATGAATGTTTCCAGCATGTCGGCTCATCGCCCAGGTCTTTCACTCAGAGGGGGGGGCGGCAAACCTTTGTTCAATTCCAGTATATATAGTAACATTGTTTATATTAACATTATTCTAGATAGTGTCGACGCCCAGTAATGACAATTCAGCCAGACAGCATCTCTCATTGAGCTGAAGATGGCTTCTATCTGTGTTGGCTATCTATCACTACCAGGGTTTGATATATTCCTGCCAGACGAGTCCGTTGCAGACCTCATAAGCACTGGATGCTACGCAGTTCTTGACTACGCAGTCTGCTTCTGGTCTTCCCGTCTTCAGGAATGCCTCAAGCACGCCATAGATCAGAAGGATGGTATGATATTAATTGAGGTTCTTTCAAAGTTCTTAGAGTCGCAGTACCGATAGCCCCGGAAAGAAATCAACATTTCATCCTCTGCACACGAGTTAAAAAGGCGAATCGAAAAACATGGAGAGTAGTCTGCTTCTGAGAAATTCCTGAACGATTTCGTCTCTACGCAGAATCAGATCGGCTGTTACACCCAGAACGCCGCCACTAATGAATGTCTCGATATACCCGACGTTATTTCGCGCATCAGAGACAATATAGAGAGAGCTGTTTCAGAGAACGTGGGCAGTGAGAGAACTGACTCGAGAGTACTGTACTCTTCCTATGGTCATATAAGTGCCCTAGGATGAGTTGTGAGTTCTTCTATCGAGGCTTCGAGACTCCCCAGCAAAGAGAATCTCATATGAACAAGCACGACAGGCCTTTTGGATGCTCCTTTCCTCAATGTTACAGAGCTACTATTCGGTTCAGCTCAAAGAGACATCTTGAAAAAAACATCGCAGAAACCCATGAAAGACAAAAAAGGGACATACACTCTCTTTCTTCTAAGCGAATGCGGTTGGATTTATTGTGCAGAGTTTGCAATGCAAGCATCCAAGACACAAAAGCATACCGCGTGCATTACTGCCCGCGCTCACCACCCACACGGTCAAATAAGCGTTTTTTAGCCAATAGGAGTTTTTCGCAAGGTGTGGAAGATACTGCAAGCGAACCTCAGCCGACAGCTCTATCTCAGCAAAGCTCCCATCTGATTCGAACTAATCAGGTCGAGAAGCTGACTCACAACGATGAGCAGAGAAACAGTATACGCAGCTCGTGCGTAACCTCTGGGAGATGCAAATGCCCAGGTACGAACCTCAGGAAGAGTTGCAGGCGAAGGACCAAGCAAGCCACTTCAGCAAGCCGAAATACTTCAATCGGCTGCCGTCCCCGAGCTCGGAATTGGATGTACCAGTTCAGCTTCTACCCTCTTTTGAAAGTGAATCTGGCCATATCAAGACCCGGGTTTCTGGCCAATTTCGAATATGGATTCCTGCCCAAACCAAGACGTCCATCTCTTGTCCAACTCAGTTAGCCTGCTTCATGAAATCCCAATTGCGACACAGCATCAATTGCAGCAGAAGGAAGAAGGGCAGGCTGAATAGCGAATTTCCACCAATATTTGGCCAGGCGGCATTCCTAAAGTAGTATGACTGAGGATTGAATACGAGAGTATGTGAGCGGGCTGTAGTAATAGAAGGTAACAGATTTCTGAAGAAATTGAAGGAGCAGCATCAAACGTTCAAGGGACAGTCAACAAGGGAAATAATCTGGGAGAAGTCAGGGCTATGCCTTCAGCATGTCTCACTTTACCGCGACATTGATGCCTAAGTCGGCGAGTGACTATGGATAGTAGATAGATGCTATGGTTGGTGACTTCGACTCACTGTGAGTTTATACTGGCCCGACTTTCAAATTTGTACAACCTGTTCGGGCTCTCCAGACCGGACTCGAAAATTGCTCGAATGAGGATTTCACTGTTGGATTGTAACATCATATATTGCGATGGCGAGAATATGATGTTTACAAAATGTGATGCCCGCCATGCTACACTTATAATTTACGGGTTTCTTATTGTTGTGGTCAGGTGCGTGGGTGACAGGTGGAGAGACCATCGTAGACAAAGCCAATGGGAATTATATCGAGAAAATTCTATCGAGTTTTTGATTTTCGAATTTTTCCATTTTTATTTTCATATTTGATTGTAAAATAAACAAGTGAAGAAAACAGAGATAGAAGGAAAACACCTTTCAGACCTCCTCGACACCCACCAAGTCCGACCGACCGAAGTCAAGACATCATGACAAGGTAAAGATCATCACCACTCCCTGGACCATCACACCGACACCCGAAACAAGTCTATCCGAAAACAGATTGTAACAGAGCGTGCAAATGCAAGGTCGAGTCGGAAGTAAAACGGCTTCACTTTAGGGCATCGAGGACATAGCAGTCATCAGCAAGGGTGGAGATTCTGTGGCTCTTTAGAAGAGCTCAGAGGTGGGACGTCTACTCTAAAGTGATTCTTTGAACTGTAGGCAAAAAGGTGGTTAGCAAATGATTCTGAAGCCCAATGTAGGGGGTAGGGAAACTAACGTAGAGTCGCTTGATTTCCAAAATTTTCGGGGGGGGAAGCCGCCTTTTATACCTGCGCGGTGGGTCCTCGCTTGCGCTAGCTGACTTTGCCTGTGGAGCCACGGACAGCCGAGGTTCCTATTAGTCATCACATAGAGCAGAGACTAGACTTCTCCACCAATAAGATTGCAGAACGCGGCCATCACAGTATATCAATTTCCCATCCAGGCATTCCCTATGCCTTACGCGCCAGAGCAATGCAACTAAAAAGCAGACTACCCCCTTCATCCGCATTCAGCTTGATGATCCTCCTGATGCCCATATCAAGCGCCCGCGGACTAAGAACATCCTCATTCTCAGCAAGGTCTCCCCTCTCCAGAGGCCCCTTCCTCGACCCCTCCAGCTCCCAGAGCTTCCCGCCGCTCTTGACGAAACTAACGAAATGCCCACCATCACGCTCATCCATTAGATTGGCATCGCTTTCGCCCGTCTGCTCAACTGACTTATGAGCAACTTCAAACGCTTCATTATTATAGAGCATTTTAGCGCGTTTGTTCATATCCAGCGGTATGGCGAGGTTCCGTATCGTCTCAAGATCGGACCCAGGTGTGATGAAGTCGACAGCCGGACCGTTGATCACACTATGTAATAGCCCGATCGATCCGCAAGCATGGCCGATGGTCTGCTTGAACCAGATGACTGGCTCGTCAGGACGGCCGGAGCCAGGGTAGGGTTCTTCTTTGTTAGCGTCTTCGGCCTTGCGGCTTTGGTCCCAGGCTGGTGTAAGTGGGATAATGACTAAGAGTGCCAGAGCAGGTCGGGGGATGTGTGTAAGCTGTGATGGGTCATCTAGGGAATAGACGTCGTAGAATTGGAGCTCCGGAGATAGGCCTAGCTTTGCTGCTAGTTGGTTCATGACGTCGGGGTTGTTCTCTGTTTAATGGGTGAGGATCTACTTGTTCCACAAGTAGGCTATGAGGGGTGAGAATTCTTTTTACCAATCATTTTCCATGTTTTCTTTTCCGTTTTAAACAAGCTAAGTAGATGGACGATGATGGGGACACGGGGATTTTGATGTGGATCTTAAGCCGGAGAGCGTAAGGCGTATTGAAGCTGCAGAGTGAGATTGCTAAATGCCCGGGCGCTAGTTGAGGTCACATGAGTCGTTATCAGACTCACAAAATCACTGGAGGTACTATTCTGTTGACAGTCCACAGGAAGAAGATGGTGTAGAGTTTGAAGGATCCGATTAGTAGATTTAAAATAGGCCAACGTGTTAGCCAGTAGTTTCAAAAAAGATACGCCTTTCTGGGGCACAGACGGAGAGATGTATGTCCCAGCATCATATATTAGGTCGCCTGCGTCATGAATGGAGCGACATGATGAGTTGTTCAGACCCATAACTAGTACTGTTCTGAAATATCTTTGAGGCGGCGCTATGTAACAGAAACGCGAGGACAGAGAATGGGTAACTTCACCCCTCTTTATCCCATCCTTCTGGTCACTCTCACCTGCGCATTGTGAAACCCAAGTCAGGGAGCCACTCAGTCGATCAATATCTTATGTGCTCTGAATGTAGAGATGATGAAGAACCCTATCTCTATTAGAGTTTCACGAATCGTTATTGTCTATTTTGATATTTATTTTGTGGACGACTGTATAATCCCCTGTATCTTCTGACATGCTGGAGAACAAGGGATTTCTGTCCCTATGAAGTGAATTGGAAGTTAGACATCCGCATGTATTTCATAATTAACACAATAATGGGATCCAAAGAACCAAGCATTACGGTGGGCACAATTCGAAGAGCTGCTTATTCTCTGGTCTCCCTGAGCGGAAATCATAACACCACGTCACACGACGTCATTGTTCGCCGAGGATTGTGCGCGTTCTCTTCCCCTGTCTCATGTTTCTTATTATATCTCCTCAACAGCTACATCCATGGGCTCCAGTACTCATAGACATGAATCATTGTTCGATAATAAACTAGATTTTGAATTTGGGACCTGGAAAATCGGCAAAAATCTCTCCAGTAAAGTCCGATAACAGGAAGACCCACAAGGTGGCTTTACATATGAACGACATGAAGTCTATGAAGCTACAAGAATTGATCAGTCTTCAAACACGCCTGATATTATTAAGATTAAAAGACAGTACGTCTTCACTCTTCAGAGAAGTCATAGGCATAACGCTATAAGCAAGGAAAGGAACTGGCCTGACGTCAACAGAATAGTGTCTTGGAGTAACTGTGGCTACTCAGAGCCTAGTAAGGGTGTTTACCGCGAAATATATAATCTATCGCAATTAGAAGACTGCAGGAGCACGCCCAGACTTCTAGATCACGCTGTCGAAAAACAAGACTCTAGCGATGAACTGCCAGGCGGGTACATTGCATATATTATAATGCAAAAGGTCCCGGGAGAGAACCTACATAGCTTCGACGCACTCTCAACAGGAGAGCAGAACCGTATTTAAATTACATTCATTGAAGGTTTATAGTATGCCTTCTCTATAAGGCGTGGGACAGAAGACTTTGATATAAGAAGCTTTCCTAGTCAGCTTTGCTAACGGACTTATAGAGAACTGCATTCCCGTCATTTCACTCATTGGGATTCACGAAGAGAGAATATCATATGGAAGCCCCAAAGCGGGAAATAGTACATGGCCTTCGCAAAGTATCTCCGGTGTCTGCTGATATGCTACAGCTTTATCATGGACCTTGAAGATGTCGAGCAACATACAAATCTAACCAAGGATGATGTATGTCTGGTCGCATTAGAACAATTAGAGTACTGGAGTCTAATTGAAGGACAACATAACGGTGCACTTCTCTTCCACAAGGACGAACTATTGGAGGATTTGAAAGCGCGACTTTATAAGCAGTGATTAGCCAGTGTCAAGATACATTCTATCACTATCTACGCTCTTTGTCACCCTCTGAAATCTCCGAGTGACCCATGTAGGATTATGCGATGTTACAAAGTGAATTATTCATCATATTAAAAGGTTTAGTATACTCGGAGCACCACTACAGTATTGATGGAAAAAAACTTGGTTTGCCTAGAATTATACGTTGGACTGTTCTTAAGTTCAAAAATCTCAAGATAGTCGGTCTGATGAGCTTCTTCTCATTTTGCTCATGCTCATGATATAAATGTTATGTTTTATAGAATAAAAAAAATAAAAATAAAAATGAAATAATAATAATAATATAAAAAAAAAAAAAAAAAAAAAAAAAAAAAAAAGACAATACAATACGCTAATCTAAAATGATTTCCTTGTCGAAAACGCAATTTTCTATGCTTACTTGGGCAACAACAACAAGAGTGAGGTAAAGCTGCCGGGTGTTGAGTACTAGAGTCCGTGGTTGGGGTGAACTATGGTAATGGCGGCCCAGGCCCATTCACGCTTTTCCAGTTGGCAGGCTCGGACGCAGTAGTTCTGAGAAGAAAAATGAAACTTTAGAACGCCCCATTTTGGAATTTACTGTAAGTTTTGTGAAAGGCGAGTCTGCTTGGCACAAAGGTCGGATAGATGACTACCTAAGGGATTGTGTAACGTAGTTCCTCTACGAGTTGGCAACCCATGTCATGCTCTATAGGAATGATGACCCTTTCCATGGATTTGCGAGATACTGCTGCTAATATTGTCTAAGAATGCAAGGGATCTGTCCTAAGCGACAATATATCTTGTTCATTCCCCTTATATATCTAAGCAGCAGCACAGTCCTTGACTAAATTCTCCACCTGAGTATTCTTCTCCTTGAAAACAGGCCCGAGAGACTCAATAGTCTCATCCGGTATATCTCGCCGAGCTGCTGCCATAGTCCCGTATTCCTCTGCGGAGCGCTGCCCAACCAGAAGCAGAGTTGACAAAATAGTAGCAACACGATTATCGGGGTCCTCAACAATCTCATAGATACTATCAGCCACGATAGCGGTGTCTCCAACGACTGTCGCAACTCGAGATACATCCAGGAACACATCACTGATGGCATCTGCCTCGCCAATGAAAGGAATCACCAGGAAGATAGCGCTGATGATATCCTCAATCATTTCCTTTTTCTTCCAGGCTTCTTCTGCTTTCCCGATTGCCACAACTTCTTGCATGGAACTGACTGCCTGGAGGAGAAGCTCCACTGCCAGGGAGATGCTCTGCACGATGTCGTCCGTGAACCCGGGCCAAGACCCCAGCAAGATCTGCAGCTGTACCGCGAGGATGTTGGCCTGCAGGTTGTCGAGATTAGGTAGGGATTTCTCGACCACTACCCGAGGGTCGGTGATATTGACGTAGTCGGCCTTCTGGGGTATGTTGTAGTATGTGACGACAGAATCATGGCACGAAGGGGCTAGGATGCTTTCTCCATCACAGAGGTAGGAATCCTTCTCGACACCGTACTTGAACCAGTCCGGCTGGATGCCGTAGTCCTCCAGCAACATTTCCTCGAATTCCGTGGAGTTCTTGACCTCGTAGTACACACTGAAGACTCCGGTAGCGCTGTAGTTGGGACAGCTGGTCGCGGACTCGTTCTTGCCCTTCCATTCGATGACACAGTCAAAGTAAGAGAGGCCCGGGCCGGCAGGTGCCCATTCCATGACACTAGCGAGGCTGGAGGTAATGTTGTTCTCGACGTATTCCTTGTAATACTTAAAGGTCTTGTTGTAATTATTGTCGGCCATGATCTCCGTATAGTTGGCCACCACTTCGTCAACCAAGTTGTACAAAACTGTCAACATGTAATAGGGAATGCACTCATCCTGCATGTAAGCGCTCTCGACGTCCAGGTCTTCCATAGTGGATATGGTCAGGTTATAATCGCACGGCGACGTCACTTCACACCAGGACCGTGTGTCATCGTCCGTACAGGAGAGCTCATCACTCTCTGAGTAGGATTCTCCAAGCTCGCACTGGTCATAGCACCTGTCACGCTCGCAGGCAAAGTCGCACAGGCCATAATCGTCATCGCCAGAGACCAGATGGGCTGTGGCGCTGCTGTTGACCACAGAGAAAAGGTCGAGCGCCCCAGTCGCGGTGCAGTTGCAAGCATGAATGGGACAATAGCCATGTGCGCATCCAAAGGCGCAAAGATTTACGAAGTCGCCAGTACCCTCACCAGCCGTGCATGCTTCGGCAGCGAAGTCGGATACAGTGGGAACCGTAAGAGTTACTTCGACAGTACCGCACGCAGTGCTCGGACAGTAGCCATGGTTGCAGTCAAATGAGCACAGTCCGCTGTAGCTTGCATCTTCGCCAGAGATCGGATAGCCATCGACTCCGGTCTCTTCCGGTACAGTCGGGGGCGGGCCGAGTTTGGAACAAACACATGCAGTGATCGGACAGTACCCCCAAGAACAGGCCGCGGAGCAGAGCCCGAGAAAATTGCCAGCGCCCCAACCCTCGATACATGTCTCATTGGAAAGGGATGTAGCCGGAGTTGCACTGATCGTGCTAGAGGACATACTGCTCCCAACCCAGGCATTCCAATTTTCGATATCGGAAGCAGCAGCGCAACCGGAAGAAATCGATTGGCCGTCTATGCTGGCAATCGTGGCACCACCACGGCTAATGGTAATGGTCACCGCACCTGAATGACTAGAGAACGATACGCTGCCATGATAAATTCCGATATCACCACTGGGGGTTGCGGTCCATGAGGCCCCAAGGTCAGTGCCACCAACAGAGACGGTGATATCGGCCTGAGATCCGAGAAGAGCAGAGTAGAAGATCTTGTCTTGCACGATCTCGTAAGGCCAGTACTCAATCTGAAGCTCATTGGCTGTATTACCAGTGGTTCCTCCATCGGAGGAGCAGGCTCCAGCTTTATTCAGACGATACCAGCCAGTCACACCTTCTTGGGTAATGGTAGATATGTTGTTTTTGTATGTTTCAATAACATAGGGAAGGAAAGCGCGCCATCCATCATGCGGCATGTCGAGGACATAATTGTAAGGCGCCAGTCCGGTATCAAAGGCGGTATATGTCTGGTTGGCCAGTGGATCATCCGATGATTTGATCGGACCGATATAGTGTGATTCGCCATAATCGTTCCAGGAAATAATCTCAATGAATTCGGGCGCAACAAATAACGCTTGATTCCACCGATCGAACCACATGCCATCTCCTCGCCAAAGCCAATTCTTGTCATAGCCCGGCATGTTGGTGAAGAACCATGGAGAAACAGGCATCATATAGGGCTTGCCCTCAAGGTAGTTAATATAGGACGCATCAGTGTATGTGTCCATATCCGCGACACCATCAGCCTGCTCCATTGCTTCCATGGCTCCAAGTGATGACCAGTCTGGTATGAAGAAACAACCTGTTTCTGATTTGATATCCACCCAATCTTCTGCGTTGCCAGGGCCTTCAAACGTGGACACAAAAGGTTTGTCATTGTAATAAAAGTAGACATCTGGCGATTTATAAGTGTTGATGTAGTTTATTACATCAGCTTTAGCCCAGGCGCCATTTCCAGCATAATCAAAGGAAAAGAAAAGGTAAAAGCCGACATTTTCAGCAGCGAGGAAAGCATTTGCTACGGAAGCAGTATTCACATCCTGATCCGCAGCGATGTTGAGTGCAAACGCATCGATCTTTGCCTCGACAGCCAGGGCCATTTCAGACTCCCAGTCATCGACTGTGTAGCCTTCCGTGTTAGATATCTACTAAGATATCAGTTTCTTGTTCTTAGAAATACGATTGGACTCGTAGAAGGAGACAGTATATACCATGAAATGAGCAAAGACCGCTCTCGCACGAACATGAGAAACTAGAAGTAGGAAGAGAATAACGATTGAACCCGTTGGAGAAAATGGGAAAAAAGAGTGTCGCATGGTAAAGAATGTCTGATGCCCGGAAAATCGCCAGGCAACACTGTAGAAAAGAGTGACTAGGGGACAAAGAAAGAGCGGTAGTCCGTAGGACGGGGAAAAGAAGGAATGAACAGAAGGACGCCAACTTAAAACACGTGCTGATTTGGCCCTCTTCTTATATGTTAAATCCTCACCTACGGAGGGCAAGAAACTTGAATGACATTCTTAACGTAAAATGAGATGGTATAAATTGCGCTATTTTCCAAATAGCACTAAGACAGTCTCACAGGGCGAACGTAGCATTGGCTAAATGGCGCTCCCCTTTCAGATAGTCCTTGGTAGATATCAACGAACTAAGTAGCTACGCTAAACCTGAAATCGTTTATTTTCTTCCGAAAGGACAAGGTACATTGAGTATGCGACTCCATAACTCGATGTCCACGCTAGCGATTAGCGTCGCAGCCGGGAGCTATCATCTTCGGACCCGAAAGATGCATATGCCCAACTAGGCCATTTTCCGACGCTACTATTATGCCTACTCCAAAAGAGCAATGTCCCAAGAGTGGAGAGGGCTAGTTCATAGTAAGAATGCTGATATCTCGGGAAAAGGCTGTGAAATAAGAATGCCACATTTGCCGGGCCCGGGGTCTTTCAAACAGGACAGTCGTGATTCTCTATTGATTCCTCTGATCATCTGAAGTCGCGAGAATTACATACATGCAGCATTCGTTCCTTCTCTACCATCTTGCTCCAGCATGAAAATCTTTCAAGTCTTTCTGTATGCCGTTTTCTGGGCAGCCCTCGGAAAAGCCTCCGACAACGCAGTGCTTTTCGAAGTGATATACTACTATTATGCGTATCAAATCGAGGCAGGCGCGTTTGCGGATGCCGATAGATTCATTGCACCTGAATGCCATCCTGCAACTGGCACGATTTGCACCTTTAACGAGTTTCTTAAAGCTATCACTTCGAAAGATTACCCACCCAAGCTAATAGAGGCTGGAGACACGACCTCACCCGCCATTGAAGACGCAGATACAACATTCTCTGCCATGAAGTGGGATAACGAATATGAAGTCGAGGACTTGTGGAGAGATGGCGCGAGATTGAACCACATGGCTGTGACGGTGAGGGTGACCAACCGTATTCAAGAGGCGCGCGAGGTTCAAACTGTCGATTCGAACCTCTTATCCAAGGCAAAGGAAGCTCTCGAGGTTATCCAGGAAAAGCGCTGGGAGGAAAACTTTGAGAAGGTAGCCCCCGCCTTCCAAAACAAATACAAGGGTGTTACTCTGTATGAGACGGAGACTACGGTGGATGATACTAAGGTCAAAGTCATTGACTGGGTCAAGACAGCTGCTGTCCAGGCATCGAAAAGTTCTTCCAAGTCTAAGGTTCTGCTCAAGCGGTATCAGGACTGGGTAAAGAGTAATAAAGGTTACGATTATCGCTACCACCAAAACATTGCGCGGAACATAGCCGGCTTTCGTAATGTTCTGGACGCAGAGCCAAGCTGTCGCGCTGAAATTGGCAACTATGCTAGAACCACTCCCTGATGGTGTATTGCCATCAATAAGTGTGCTATCTATTCCCCGAAAAGCTTTTGTGGGCATCTAAGGAAGGGAAACAGGTGATAGCAAAGGGCTTCCACGGGCCGTTCTGTGTTGTTGTCTCCTTTTTGTTTCATATTATCTCATATTCTATTAGCTAGTCATTACAACCAATTTCAATATGATTTTTACTCCCGGCTGTGATTCCTGGGCCAGCCAGTCCCGATGACTACTAGGCTGCTCCCTTGCCCCACATAGGCTACTTAAAAACATTGAACTATTTCCCCCCTTCCTCCTCGTCGCCCACTGCTACTCCCTTACTCACATCTCCGACACGTCGCCCAAAATGCTCAATAACATTCCTAATGAGATACTTCTTGACATTATACCTTTCTTTACTCCATCTGACTTCACTCGATTGGTTCTTGTTTGCAAGGCCTGGTACATCGAATTTATCCCGTACCTCTATAACCACGTCTCGCTACCCTTGAACGAGTATGATCATCTTGGTACTACCTACGGAATGATGCCTGAGTCCCATCTTCCTGTGCGTCGATTTACACAGACAATGATCACAAATCCCTCCCTTGCTCCATTGATTCGATCCTTGGAGCTCTATCCTAGCGACTGTAAGGAGGGGAAATGGAAACAACTACCTGCCTTGGAGCCTTTGCCTGAAGAGAGGTATCGTCACCTTATGTTGCCTTACGGAGAGGCTAAACACAAACACCGCCGCAAGTTTTATGCTTGGCGCAGAGACCTCAGGGAAAATTCTGAGCGAATGGATTATCATCGGGTGCTCCACCATTTCGAAGATGCTTGGCTAGCGCTATTGCTAGTCCAGCTACGGAACCTCGAGAAGCTCGGGATTGCCCTCCCGGAAGAGGTATGGATAGGAGGATATGAGGACGGACCGTTTCCCCCAAGGCGTTCACCGCACTTTGAACGGGTTATTGCATGGGCGAGTCATCCTAAGTTGGGAGTCTTGACCAAACTCAGTCATATTTCACTGACAGATGGGCCTTGCATCTGGGAATCTGAGCTTTCAGTCCACGCTATTCCCTTGACCCGATTACTCCCCTTTCTTCGGATACCTTCCCTGCGAAAGCTATACGTTTTCAATCCATGTGATCGATCCCCACTCAGCATACCAAAAGATCTCACCATTCCACTCACCCATCTGGATTTTCATGTCCCGAAAGAAGCCATGCCAAACCTCCCTCATTTTCTCAAGCGATGCTCCATGCTCGAGTCATTTACACTACAACAGCAGGGCTGGTGTGAGTACTATAGTCGGTACTGGCAAAATCTACCTCAGCTGTACCAATCCCTGCAAAGGTCACGTTCCTCGATCCGCCATTTGAATTTGACTTTTTGTGATTGGAATGTTTGGCAAGATGCAAAGACACCTAAGCCGGTCTTTTTTGGACCTCTCTCGGACTTCCCCATTCTAGAGTCCATTAGAATCCGATGGGGTAATCTCTTGCAATTCACCGAAGAGCGGGGCCATACACCGGTAACACCACTCTGGCAACTTCTCCCATGCTCGCTCAAGCACTTGTTCATCGATCATTGTCTCCTTCAGTGCTCAGAGGCACTATACACCGAACTAGTGAGTCTAATGATACACTGCTCCACTCACGTACCCTGTTTGCGGAAGCTGTATCTTCGATTTGCCGAGCGAGAGCGAGCTCCGACAAGTTCCCCCGAAGACATACGGACGAAGAGAATGACACCAGATTCTGCCAATCATGATAGACTACTTGCGTTACGGCTGGACTTCGGTGCTTTGAACGTCGATTTCCAGGTTTTCCAAGGAGATAAGAAAGTAACTTTTTACCATGAGTATTGCATAAGAAAGAAGTGGCCAAGGGGTAAAGATGGCGAGGTTTTTGTCCTTTGAGATTCTTTAACAGGAAGGCGTGATTCTAGGTGGCGTCTCATTAAATTTGAAGTTCCACCACGGCCAGTGGTCGGAGGACTATGTAGCAATCTAAAGACTAGTTAATTTCCTTTATACAGAATCTTCTTGGCCAAAAGGGGTCTACATATAATAAAATTTTTCCCTCATGACTAAGGCCGAAGCCAGGCTGTCCCATCGACCTTAGTCACAAACTACTGCTCGAACATTTTCGACCCACCAATTGTGAGTGAGCAAATCGGAACGGAGACAAAGTTCACTCCAGGCAGAAACGTAATGGATTCACTAGATGGTTTAGTGGATATGAGGTATGAGCCAGGGACCTCGGATTCAAAAAGGGGGCCGAGAGAGGGTTCACGGCCTCTTGGAGGGAGTGTGCGTCGGCCGGATATTCGTGCGGGGCGCGCCAAGGGTCTGGCGGAGATTGAAAAGCTTTAGCAGAGCTTGTCTTCGCTTGGCTACTGGAAAAAGATTTTGCGGACTACACCTCAACATGCTATCGGGGTTTTGGCAGACAAGGCTCATTCAATTGCCACATCGACCATAAATTGCACTTCATTCTATTGTATCTTGCGGGAAAACAACGTGACAATGCTCTAGTCATCTTCAAGTCCCTCATATCAACTACAGCCGGCGTCGCGCCTAGCTCATCGTTTGCATTGCGCTGATGCGGCGAGCCCCACTTGGAGGATAGGCCTCATCCGAGACCCTAATTTCCCTTATCTCGCCACCGTTGCGCTTCGAAACTATCGAATGTTAGCCGAGACGTCAACCCCAATCGGGTGTTCGCCTCTCCTAGGGCCGCAGCTCCGTAATATATATTCAGGGACTACGGATAAATCTTTTTCTCTGGACAGGATGTGTTTTCATCGTGCTTACGGTCTAGTCCCGGACGAGATATCATCTCCGGTGCTAAGGCTGAGACCCTGATCGGGCAGATCATTGAGGATTTCATCCCGAGGGAAGGATCGTGGAAGTTGAGAGGGACAGAGAGAGAGGGAGAGCTGAGGGGATCGACCGTGGGCTCTGCCATGTCCTCGTATTCATCCGGTGTATTTAGCCCACTCCATGGAATCCCTAGATAGTCCTCTCCCGCAGCATTCTTACCAGACAGACCTTCAATACCTAATAACATTGCCTTATACACAATGAAGCTTTCTAGCTTTGTCATTTCCCTCCTCTTAACCACTGTCGGCAACGCCTCTGCCGGCTGCCTGGATCATATTTCTGCAAACACAATGGCTATCTTCAGCGGTGCTCCCTTAGCCTTTGCTACAGATTACCAAACCGGCTCTCAATGCGCAAGCTATTGCGGTAGCCTCGCAGAATGCATGTCTTGGCTCTACAGCGTGAGAGGGGGGGAATGCCAGTTGTACAAGGGCACTGCTCTATCAACCTTTTCGTCTCAGCATTTTATGTATGGTGTTTGCGACGGCCATCGAAATCTTACTACACCATCTGCGGGCTCATCGGTAGCTGCGCCAGCTTCGCCGAGCACCAGCACTGTCTTCTCCGCAATGACTAGTGGAACTCCTCCACTGCATGTACGTTAAGCAGCTTTTGTTCTTGACTTCCACCATGCCATGTAACTAATAGCTTTTAGAAAAAGCACCTTCACCAGCAAAATCATCACCATGGTCATCATTTTTGACTTTGAGATGCCGTCAATTCACTAGTAATCCGGGCGTGCGCGGGTATGGCCTTCCATACGTTCTATTTAACTAGGATTCTGCTTGCGGTCCGTGGATTCTATGCCTGGCTTTCTCATATACAGGTATCGGTTAAACAATACACCTTGCTAAGTTGATTGAAATAGAACCAAGAGTATTCCATATAGTGTATATTTGGTACCTGGGTGTAAATATCCTAGAGCTAGGTGCGCATTCGGGCCATAGTGAATGATACTAAGGCCAGACCAAATCTCGATGCAACTATTTCTTGTCCTCCCGCTGGTTCAATTATCATGCTAAACAAGTCTCTGATAGCTGTCCGTGATGTGTGTTCAACAACAGAGCCGACTGTGTAGTAAGGTATGTCTTATTGTGGAAAGTCCTGGTAGATATTGTCTATGATTAACTGTTTTTGAAACCGTAAAACACCATGAAAAGGGGGTATGATCGGCAAACGGCCAGGCTATGTGACGGGCATATCTTGATTGTTTTATTCTATTGTTGGGGGGATATATAATTGCTCTTGTACCTACATTGAACAAAGAAACGTCGTGGATACCACTTATTTTAATTTAGCATTAGTGATACCTTGTGCCTGTTTGTTGGTAACCGCCTGATGTAGAAAGGACAGTAGCCACCTTACTTGAGGAAATGGTTGACTATCTTTGATCTCATTACATTTTCAGCATTACAAACCATTCTCTTATACTTCATTGTATGGCCATACAATCATTATGTGCCATAAATTCTCCGAGCCAATCGCAACTTAACCTATGGAACCCAGAAGCCAAGCAATACCCTTCTAAAAGCCAGTCCAACATTACCACTTCAGCGTGCTTGGAGCGTTAGGTTAATTCTAAACCCGTTGTAGAATATCTACCCTCTACAGATGCCAGGCGGTGGTTATATGGGTGTCGTTGGTGGATATGCTCGGCGGAATGGACAACGCGTTTATGTTCAAGTTCTATGTAGCCCTTTTCAGACAAAAACTCCCAAACATGCAGATGGTGGATAGACTTGTCATGTAGAATAAAGAGAGTATAACAGGACACAGCAATATTATTATTGCTCGAACATAGACCATTAACGTCAATCCATCCAATTGACCCAGCATTACGTCCTTGTATGTGATAGGCGGGTGTAAATTCTAGCTTTTTGGTGCTATTAAATTCCTTCGTGGGTTCTGGAATGTTTCCGTCATGAGATGCAAAGTCTCTGCGCAATATAGTTAGTCGTATATATACGTGACAGAAGGACATACAGTGACAGAGGAGCAACTTACCCATAAAGGGTATCCACGTAGTGCTGGTGGTAGCTAATTAAACGTCTCTGCGGTAGATGTTCTCCTTGTTAAGCCGCTTGTCAACTTTTTCATGGTCATTGTCATCAGACCGGCGGTAGACATTTTCCTGTTAAGGCGCTTGTCAAGATCCTCAGGATCAGACTTGTCGGACCTGCTGTAGACGAGATCCCTGTTGAGGCGCTTGTCAAGATACTCAGGCTCGGTGTCATCGGACCGCCGATATTTGACATCACCAAAAACACGTTTGTCGAGGTTCTCGGGGCCAGTGTCATCTAACCTGCGGTAGACATTCTCCCTGTTAAGCCGCTTGGAGAAATTCTCGGGCATGTTGCTAGCAGGCGATATTTCGTGACCCACAGCAGCCCCGATTGAGCCGGCGCCAAGAAGTGCAATCATCGCAAAGACAGGCATAAAACGCATGGTGTAGGTGGCAGAGTATAAATGCTCTTATAGAATGTTTGGGGGTATCAAGGCACGATACTGGGATGACTTGAGAGTTCAGATGAATGTGTTAGATGGTGGTAGAGAAGGCTGAGATGAGTGTTGGATTGTACATATTTATATTTCGTCACTGAGGTATTGAACTTTCAGTATGGATGTATGAAGAACTTCGGATGGACTTTACATGCAGAAACAGTCGTCATCTGCTCTGCAAGTACCCCAATTTCTAATTGTCCTATTGGTGCTACATGCCGAAGTACGTAAGGTCCATACTTGTCTCAGCCCCGCAAAACCACGAAGTATTCCCAATGACCCCTCGTATGTGACCAGCCCAAGAAATGTAGCTGACTTGTCCGTCCATTATTAAGATTTGTTGAGAACACCTGGGCTATACTAAGAGGATAGAACTTTGAGCAATCATCCCGTAATTGACACCGTACTATGCAGAATGATATTAGCAAAGTTGATATTCTTAGCTTACTGGCCTGTGACAAAAAAAGCATTTCCCCATATAAGTGTCATTTACTCTTACAAACCTTACAGATGTTGGCTATATATTCCCCTTTCCGGTAGCATGAACTCGGTCACATATACTCTCCATCATAGAAGCTCCAACCCCTCACGTCTGTAGGTGGTCACCAGACCCGACAGCCCCAACGTAGGCAGAAAGACTTAGTGGTGCCGGTCAAGCATAGACGATGGCTACAGTTTTGGTGAGCACTGTCAGGTGTGGATGTCTCAAACCCTGGCTTTCTATACGGTTACACGACCAAGCAGTAGGGCGCGTAGTAAGCCCGGGTAGCAACTGAGTCGGGGATTTATGTGAGGGGCTCAATCACACCCCACAACGGAGAGAAGCAAGGAGGAAGTGACGTTTGCCGAAAGGGGATGTACAAGGACAGGTGCCGCATACAAGTCAGGGTTAAGGTCACAATCGTGAAACGTCGAAAGCGTGAAAGAGGGTGTCGATCTTACTCAAGTGCTCAGGTGGTGCAATTCGTACAGGTGATATGGAATCCCCCTTTGAAGAGCAAGACACACCGACTTTCCTGCGCTGGCGAAGACATACCTTTCTCCCTTCCTCTTGAGAGATCTCTTATATGCGCAAATCTCGTATTCCTCAGCCTGTATCACGTACAGATTAGCATATGTCTATGGCCAGACAATGGTGTTTTCATTGACGAATGTGAACATTTCCGCACCTCAGGAGGAGTATGATGATGAAGGGGAGAATACTACAGAAAAGGCTGGCCTTCTCCGCTCAGAGTCGTATCAGCCGCCTTTTGAAAACCCACGACGGAGACTCAACTACTGCGCCTCAGTCCTTTTGTTTTCAAATATATGTCTTGCGACTCTTTTATTTGTCGCTGTACATCTACTACAGAAGCAATATTCCTTGCTTACGGGACCTGACCCTCCATATTGTAAGTCAGCAAAACACAAATTAGCCAATGGGAACTGATATAGGAACGAAGCTCCGTTGCGCGAAGATGGCGTCATTAAATATATCAACATGAAATACGAACCTGACCCTGAATTTCAGTCGCCGATTGTTCCTGGGAAAGAAGATCCATGGACAAGCTGGGCATTAGGTAGGGCTACGGGAGTCGCAAGTCTTTCGCAACCTGTGAAGCTAACCAGCTTTAGAGAACGACAATGGGTTTAAGATAGCAAACGAGACGGCCAAGAAGCACGGCTTACCGAAATCCGTGGAGCTATACAGGGACCCCGGATATCTGATCTACGGATTAGGGGTTTACCATCAACTACATTGTCTTAATCGCCTTCGAAAATCGTTTTATCCGGATATTTTCTATCCGAATATGTCTACAGAGCAGATTGAGATACATAAGAGTTCGTATAAGCACGCTGCCAACACTATTTCGTATACAACTAATTCCTATTCAGATCATTGCTTCGATGCCATTCGCCAGGCTATTTTATGTCATGGCGACATCTCGCTAATATACTGGTGGGACCCTAACTATACGTATATTGATGATGATGGTATCGAGCGGTATACGGAGGACTACTTAAAAAAGAGTCCTAGGGAACGGCAAGTGGGACTACATGCTTCATGGAGCTCTGAAGTTCAATGTCGGGATATGGATGCCATTAATTCCTGGGTCAAAGAACGTATGGTTGATCCTGACAAGTATGGGGGCAGGGAAGTGGATTGAGAAGGGACTCCATAGAAGAGATAGTCCATTAAACGGGTCGGTGCCATCCCTCAATTCAGTATAACTAGCCTCATATTTTAACCGCCGTTATGCACATGGCGATGACCTAGCCACCTTATCGGACCTTTGTCATTTCAGTCAAAGACGTTAGTGCCACATTATCAGCTTTGTTGCAAGAGTACCTGCCGAAGTTCCCGTGCTGGGTTCTATTACAGCACTTTCATGCTTAATACTCAAAACCCTGTCTGAACTACCCCTCGCTAGGTGTAGTAGCGCAACAGCAGACGACAGTTACGCCATTCGTCATTATGCGCATCAGACAACCAGTGTCTCTGGATGCGTATCCGAGCTACAGTGGCCAATAAAGCACAAATTACGGAAGCTCCTTCCATGAATTTGAAGAAATAACTAGAATACTTAGAGCCTGTATTATAGGCCCACCCAACAGGACGCTTCGCAAGCCCATGGAAGGGTTACGGCAGCGGAGATGGTGGGCTTCCCGTGGGCCAGAATCTACTCCGTACACCACCCATGATGACTGAGGACTGTGCTCAAGTTCACAGCCCCCTCAACAGAAGCTGGACAATGTAATCCAATAGCAATTATTTACTTGCACATACGACCATAGGGTGTGGAAAACAGGGCTTCCCGTCCGCTCAGCCGTACTTAAGCCACACGCCGGGAGGTTAGTAGTTGGGTGGGTGACCACCAGCGAATCCCTTCTGTTGTATGTTTTTGTTCACTATCTTCTTTTTTTTCATTAATTTGTTGGGTTTAGTGCCCTTGCTGCTCTATCTTCGGCTTCTTCAGCCCATCTAAAACTTACGCAGTTACCCCACCTGCAGACGTGTTCATACTTATCTAGTAGACCGCACTATCCCGTCGCATCCGTTACTTCGGACAATCAGCCGTCAAATTTTCTCGGAGAATTTATTACATTACCTGGAAGGGTAAGTTGTTCTACATCATATACAATATATAGATTTTAGTTTTTCTGCTTTTATTTGTGAGATATTGTAGATACTTAGCAATATTATTCGTGTCTCTCTTCTGTTGAAGGGCAAATTCGCGAATTGTCTGAGGACCTGTTTCATAAACGAACAACAAAAGAGATAATAGAAGAGAAAGAAAAGAAGAGCTATTTGCAAGGCACACAGATCTGGCTGATAGGTGAATAGGAGTAAAATGTTATTAATCTTCAAATAGGTTGTGGTAGCGTTGTTTACTGGCTGATGCTTTATTAAAGGATCTTCAGCTATCCCCATATCGGCAGCTGGTTCTAGTAGTTGGAGATTAACTTTAAGCTATACTATAGCAGTTAGTCTCCGGAAGAAGCCTCCCTTACATCACAGTATAAACTTTTGAAGGTGGTGATGGAGAAATTGAAACAGCGTATTAGATATTCTGAGACTTATTAATTTACTGCGGCCTCCACCAGTCTACTGTAAATTACTGACTGGCTGAGCTGATTAGTATCTTGATATACAGAGCTTTGTTTCCACTTGTGTTTCGTCTCTATTGCTTCATGTAACTTTTGTCGCCATAGGAAGTTTCAATGATTTCTGATAGTTATAGATTTCCAATAACTTGAACATAGGCCTCCATATGACATTGTTGTTGGAGAACTAAACAAGAACTAAGTACATGGCAATGAGTATCCTTTAATCACTTCGATCCAGTGGCATGGTATGTTCTTGGTAGATGGTATGGTAGATGGGTAGTATATGATGGACGGCGAGTATACCATCAGATCTCTTGATTGTATACCATTCGAGTCACGTATGGCACCTGTTTGGTGGTTGTCAGGTAGCAGATAATCAAGCCCGTTGAGGTACATACGTACACAGGAACATTGTCCCAATCGCTGGTCCCATCTGTAGCGCTCATCACTACAAACCATTCCCCACTTAGTAGACCAAGAGATAAATTCTCTTTCTTCAATTATTCCAGAGTGATCGACCTAGACCCTCACGACCCCCATCTCGCTGCTTGGGCAAGGCGGCCGCATTTGACCACAATGACGATAATAGTCATCGGCGCCTGATGGAGCCTGCGGAGGAAGCGGCCGCGGCGGAAACTTCAATGTTGTAGAGTCCGGCTACCCGGGTCCGGGAAGCCCACGGATAGTTGGACATCCAGTTCCGCCAACACCAGAAGCACTCACTATACGCGACTCTGAGAGCTCACTATAATTTCTGGCCGGCCCCAGAGCAGCCGGACCAGAGTTACCGTACATCTTTCAACAATCACCCATCCTATCCAAACAGATAAACACCAAAGCAAAGATGTTCACCTCAACCAAAACCACGTTCACTCCCTCAACCGACATCCCTTCTCTGAAAGACAAAGTCATCATGGTGACAGGCGGCAACAGTGGCCTAGGGAAACAGTCCATCGTTGAACTCGCCAAGCATAGGCCAAAGGAAGTCTGGCTCGCGGCTCGCGACCCTAAACGGGCCGCCGCCGCAGTTACATCTATCAAATGCGATCTTGTCGAACCTGTTGACATCAAAATCCTCGACATGGACCTCACCTCCCTCGACTCCGTGAAACGTGCAGCCGAAAGATTCCGGTCTGAATCGTCCAGACTGGATATCCTGCTCTTGAACGCAGGTATCATGTCTGTTCCGCCGGGTCTGACAAATGAAGGCTACGAGATACAATTCGGAACAAACCATATGGGCCATGCACTATTAGCCAAACTATTGGTACCTGTTTTGTTGAAGACGGCAACGTTGCCAGGATCAGATGTAAGAGTCGTGGTTCTGACTTCCCATGCGCATAACTATGCTCCAGAATCCGGGATCCAGTTCGACACCTCAAAAACCGCGCAGACGGAATGAACACTGTTGCGCGGTATGGACAGAGCAAGTTGGCAAATTTACTATGGGGGAGGGAGATGGCAAGACACTACCCCCAGTTGACTGTGCCGCTAGTTCATCCAGGGCTAGTGCGGACAAACCTGGCGACCACAATGGGCCAAGGTAGTTTGATCATGAGGATTCTGTGGTGGATTGCGAGCTTGGTTACAGGTGTCGATGTTGAGACCGGGACACTGAATCAACTTTGGGCTGCTACCTATCCCCGTGTTGAAAGCGGGCAGTATTACGTCCCCGTTGGGAAGACAAGGAACGGGAGTAAGTATGCTCAGGATTTGGGACTCGGGAAGAAGCTTTGGGAGTGGACAGAGATGGAGCTGGAGGCATATTTGAATGGATAGGCTTGACGGATTAATGGGGTTTTCTAGTGAATTTGTTTCAATGATCTGAGTGTAATTGGTGTTCAGCAGTCGAGTATTGGGAGTAATTTAACCTATTGTCTGGACTGCATTCAGACTAATTTTAACATCACTTAAGAACCTGCTCGAGACACTTATTGCGCGGTGCGTCGTGCCTTCATCCAGCGCTGAACCTTGACTTCATTCTGCGTATTTTAGCGCTAGGGGCTCGTACCGGTAGTTTGGTCCCGATCTGGCCTACCTAGTATTGTGGTTTACTGAGTTGGCAGCGACAGAAGTGGCTTACGACTGTGGCTCGACTGTAACTATGCCCCATATTATCATCATAGCTACGGTACGAGTGCGAAGTTGTGGCAAAAAAGAGCATCAGCCCAGGCTGATGTAATCTAAACCGGGCAACCCTAGCTGCGCAATCGGGTTGAATTAAAATTAGAATAAAAGAGAGACTTTACCTTTGAGTTGGAAGGACCTGTGTAATAGTACGACTCAACATTCCATCTGTTCAGTTTTTAAGTTCGGCGTCAGCCACACCGGCTTGCTGCGTCAATGCGGTGGAATGCGGTCAATGCGGTCAATGCGGCCGCATTCCCCGCGCGCGGGACTCATTTTGGGTGATTACTCAGGGAAAGCTTAGTCTTATCTCCATGCGCCCCACCAACTAAGGTAGCTAAGTGGGCCACAACAATACTGAAACTCTGTGCAACATTTTTAGATTCTTCCGCTCTTCCACTACTTAAGGCTTTGACCCGAGGACAAATGTTCGGAAACGTCGCGAGGCCGCCGATATCTGCCTCCCATCTTTCGCTCCGTAACACTGAAGCCTCGCCTTCTGTCGTGTAATAGCGTCTCCGCTCAAGTGGGTCCTCGAAAATCTGGCCGCCATTGGCACGGAACAAGCAGCTGCAGATGTCACTGCAGGAGATCGTGGCCTGGACGGATAACTATTCTATCAGCATCAAGCTTATGGCTTTCTTAGTCTACCAGCAATCATTGCTTCGGCCTGTTGTACCTAGGTAGGCCCCGCGCATTGCGCGACGCGGAAAGCCAATTGTGTTTTTGTCTGGTGGCCGCCGGGAATGACCGCCTCTCCGACATGGTTGGTTCTCTCCTAAGGTATCAATGATCCTTGGGGCTGGTGAGTCGTTCCTGATCTTTAGTTCGCCTTCGTCCTTGTGGCGCTTGTCTTGTCTAGTGTGACCTCATTCGTCTCGAATTTTGTCATGTAGTCTAGGTCAGCGGGGAGCGCGGCCGCATTTAGCGGCAGGCGGAGCCGCCACAACGACTGTATCTCCAATTAAGGTTCGGCAATCCAAGGTTGATTAGCAGGTGAGCTCTCCAGGTGCAACATAAAAGGAGCTGTCTCAACCGTCGTCTCCCACCACAATTGGGCATCTTCTGATTGATATCTCTCACCTCCGCACCCACTATCTACCAGACACGATGAGTCTTAACCTTTCAATGAGATGCAGCACTGTTCTGCCTAATAAGGCAACGTTGACTGAGAAGAACTTGCCGGACCAGAGTGGCAAGGTGTGCATCCGCGTCAAGATTCTTTCCCTTCCCGACCAGTTAGCTGATGTCTAGAACAGGTGTTCCTTGTAACAGGCGCCTCCGGGGGGCTCGGTAGACTCCTCACCAACATCCTGTACCAGCATAATGGCAAGGTTTACCTTGCCGCCCGGTCCGAGACGAAAACTAAGGAGGCAATTGAGGAGATAAAGGCAGCCCATCCATCCTCCAAGGGCGAACTGCTATTTCTCAACCTTCAACTCGATGACTTGACCACTATCAAGCGGGCCACTAATGAGTTCCTGGCCAAGGAGGATCGTTTGGATGTCCTGTGGAACAATGCTGGTGTTATGATCCCACCCGCAGGCTCTCAAACAAAGCAGGGCTATGAGCTCCAGTACGGGGTCAACAATATCGGCCACTTCTTGCTTACTCACTTTCTTCGCCCGGCCCTCGAGACGGCGGCAAAGTCAGCACCCAAAAATTCAGTCCGCGTCATTTGGGTTTCCTCGAGTGCTGCCGATTCTGCACCAAATCCGGCCATCGATCTGACCAATATGGATTACCACAGAGAGGAGGGGGCTTGGGTGAAGTACTGTCGCAGCAAAGCGGCTTCCGTTGTTCATTCGGCGGAGTTTGCCCGAAGAACTAAGGGTACCGGCATTATTAGCTTGGTCAGTATATCACGCTTTATACTTTGGCAAGCTTCATTGGTCCTGACTGCGAGCTCAGGCTCTTAACCCCGGGAATTTCGTGACGAATCTCCAGCAAAATATGTCCAAAATGGAGCTCATGATGTTTGTAAGTTCCTAAATCCGCTGTCACGCATTCTTTGCCCCTATACTAAACTAAATCCAATTGTAGAAACTCATCGCATCGGAGCCGATCAATGGCGCCTATACCGAATTGTTCGCAGGTCTCAGTGACACTATTACGGAGGAGGAGAACGGAGGATGGGGTGCGACACCCATGCATATATCCCTGTCTTCCAGGAATATCCTGACCCGCTAACCTGTTCTCGTTAGTTTCGCCTTTCGGAAAGGTTGAAAAAGTCCGGAAGGACTTGGTGGACTCAACCCTCGGAGAAAAGTTCTGGGACTGGAGTTTGGAACAGGTGAAACCTTACTTGTAAGGATGTGAAGTAATTGCCATTATCAACAAAAATCCATAGGAGAATTCCAGGACATCTTCAAATTTACTTTGGTTCGCAGGCATAGTTTAGCCAGCCCACCGCGTTCTTAAGAACTTCCCCCGTCAAACCCCCACATAACCACTCCAACTCAAAAGTCAATCTCTCCTATAAACTCTTCTTTGGTCATTGAGGTAACTACACAAAGACTTCCATTTACTCGCGATCTAGTCCCGCTTTTCACTGGAACCTGGCTTAGGCCAATAGACTTTCTCAAACTCCCCTAGCAGGAGCCCTAGGAAGCCTGGCTCCGAGACCGCTGTTGGATATCACGGTGGCTGTGGCGCTCTGCCGAAATTGGGTCCGTATGTTTGTTCGTATAAGCAGTTCACCTGCGCCTCACAAAGTGAATTATATCCACTGCTTACCTTTTGAACCTCAACACTATTCAACACCGCCGTCACAGAATACCCCTTGCAGGAGTAGCCTCCGTACTCTCAAAGATCTGACCCTCAACCCCATCAATGTCAGAATCTTTGAGATAGATCGTACGTCCCCCGACCCTGACCTTGCGAGACAATGGATGGTAGATAGAAGATTTCTATTTACTGCCGTAGATAGCCAATAGTAGCGTACTGAAATTGGAGTACGAATGGTGATTTTTGGATTGGTCCTTAGGTGTTCCCTCCGTCGCGATAAATTCCATTGAGAGCAATGTATTCTGACGCCAACTTCCACCGTCCACTCAATATCCCCATGCAAGCCTCTATATCAGCTAGTTTGCCTTTGGCTTTCTCGTCACCGCCTTCGCGATAGATCCATTGGAACGTCACCATGGAGCAGTACAGCGCATCCAGTAGGAACGGGCTTAATTTCCCCATTTGGTCGCTACGTAGCTGGTTAGATATAATATCCATGACGTTCGTAGTTTGTCTGTGGGCCTGGTCGCTGATATTCCGCACTACCAGCGTGGCCTGGATCTGGGCGGCGAGTTCGTCCGGTCCTTTAGTGTTGCCGGATGTGGTGTAACCTGGTTCATTGCTAAGTTTTTCTGGGCAGCAATAATTATCGAGTAGCAGGAAGAGGGCCGACCACGTCAGGCACTGAGGAGCAAGTAGTCGTAGATATCCGTCCGTGGAGGAAGAGTCCATCTCTTCGGCAAGAATAGAGCTGAAGGTGCTCAGGTCCTCGGTAAGGCTGACAACAGCGGTCATATGGTCTGCAAGGCCTGTCTGCGTCGATTCGCTTCGACACACGGTGGCACGGCTAATGAACATTGCCGACTGACAGAGGCGAGAGAAAGGCGAGGCAGGGGTGAAAAAGGGTGTTGTGACTGGATAATGTATGATGTTGGCTACATCACCCAGATCCTATTGGAGACAATATCAGTCGAGATCTGATATACAAGATAAGGCGCAGGAGTGTACTCACCCATGTATCATCATCCACAGGGAGGACATCTGTATCCGCCGGATCTGGGAAGCAGAACCTCCTCCGGCTGCCGAGGGAGATAGTGCGATCCAAGATGTAAATGGCCCACCATACCCGTCTTCTCTCCTCTAGTTCTGTCCAGGTCATCTGTTGTCAAATACTCAGTGATTTTCTCCTACGTCTTCTTCAATCATTCATCGACATACAGCGGGACGCATAATTTTCATCGTGTCTTTACCAGGTGAAATACCAAGAAGCTCAGCGAGTCGGGCGCATGCTCCTACGGTCATCCACGCCGCAGGATAGATCGAGTGACTGTATTCGTACACGGCTATCAAAGTCATGGCCTGTAGGTAGCCAAATGACACCGCGCCACTGGCTTCCAAGGTCGCCAAGAATCTTTTGGCAGACGAATAAATTGCACCGTGTATCTCGCTGCCAGGTGGCGGAGGGAGGGTGTTTAACTTCATCGCGAGGAAAAGCAGCGCGATGTCCGGTCCACCGTCCTTCAGTGAAATGCCGAGGTCCAGTCGCTTTTTTGAAATGATCGGCATCCACGGATGGATCGTATCGAAGTAAAGCGAAGTTGTTCCCAATATGAAATTTTGCTGGTTGAGAATGGTGAGTATGTCCTGGATATTAATCAGCAGCAAGATTCTAGGGCAAATGGCAGGAACAAAGTAGCGATAATTTGCTACCCACCATCGGAATGCTGGCAGCCGGCCTTGGGAGTTGCATATTGGACCATTTATAGCAGTCTATATCCAAAAACAAGGCTGACGGAAAGCTGGTGGGTTCTCGGTCGTATGCAATAGATTCGGTGGCAAGGCTATCTGTGCGCGAAACGCCGGCTGTAGCAGACAGAGAGTCTGACGCAGAGGCGCTACTAAGTCTTTCTTCCAGTTCGGTCAATCTTGCTTGAAGGGTTGCGAGGTCGGCCGCAGTCGGAGGCGACTTTGGTGTATCAGCATAGTCGCAGGTGCGGCTGGTGCGGAAGCACAGGCTGCACTGGGGCAGCAGTTTGTCGCATCTCCGTTTTTGTCTTTTACAAGCGACACATGCGTGGGAGGCTATATTCTGAGAGCGATCCATGAAGGTCAATATTGGCCAATAACTCCTTTCAAAAGAGTGAAATAATAAAACATAAAAACAATAAGCTTCCAGACCCTACAGTTGTTGTAATGGAGACGTGGTCGTGTTTTGAACAGGCAATGTGCAGGATTGGGGACGATGCTGGCAAACCCTGCTTAAAGAGGTTTAGCGCAACCGTCAGGTAAAAATGCGGTAGGATGGTTGGTTACATATATTTGGTTATCCCCGCATGTACATGGGACTGGACCGCTTCCGAAAACGAACTTCGAGCCTCGTCCAACGCCTGCCGTGCCTAAATGCCGTTCTCATTGTTAGGCTGCCTTTGTAGCGCACGAGTTCGGAGTCATTGGGATGCACTGATGCCTCTGCAAAATCTAGCATTGCTTAAATACATCTAGTATTCTATATCTTACCTTATTTATTTAGAACATAGTTCTCTATACTTTTTAGATCTCTGTGAATGAATCCATTAACGGTTTCTACAGTCAGCGTCTTTTTCCGCAAGTCGTCCCTTTGTTGAATCAGATATCAGACGAAGATACGGCTGCTATATATAAAATAAGAAATCTGTAATCTGTTAGTTTCTAGTCACTAGCTCTGCTAGAATATCTATAACTAAATTATTAAACCTGCGAAGAGCCCGATTGTCTTCCCTTCTGTGCGTGGGAAAACCGCTCGAGTTAATCCAAAGTTGTCATGGTCATTTAAATTGATTATCTAGGTAAACATTAACACACCTCTTCCTGCCATATCGTCCACATCTCAGTATGTAGTTATATTTCAAGAGCAATATTATTTTAAAGGGAGAAGACCGACTACCTAGAGGTCACAATTTTTATACTTACAAGAAAAGAGGGTTAGTGTTACTTAATCCCATTTACGCAAATGTCACTTCCCTCTAGCTCAGGTATATAGTATTCAGGTGGGTGAACTGGGACCTGAATTACCCTGAAGGAAGGCTGAATAGGGCGGCAAGCCGCCCACGCAGCGCCTGGTGAGCATCAGCATACTTGCGCTGTTGTATGTTTCTTGTTTACGTGGTTTTTCTTTTATTTTTTTATTTTTTTATTTTTTAATTTTTTAATTTTTTAATTTTTTAATTTTTTATCTTGTTTTACTTTTTGTTTATTCATTCTTTTTTTATGATGAAACGTTTAGGAAGATTCGTTGAAGGGAGTAAGGGACATCAAGGTGGATAGGAATAACGACAGAAAGAGTGGCAGCATAGACGAAGGCTGGCGGAGGCGGTGCACGGCTAGAATCATGACTATGAAATGGCATAATAATAGAAAGTGAGAAGTAATAGTCAATGAGGATACTGAGTCACATAAATGCGTACTGAAACACCTAATTAATAGTTAAGTGTACGGTGTATAGTAAAACAAGAGTGGGCTGATGATCTGATTGGGTAGAGAAGAGAGAGGCCTTTGGTATTCAGAAAAGATTTTAATCGACTTAATCTCTATTACATCCCTTTACCTTCCGCGAGCAGCAGTTGAGGAACAGAAGACAGCCGCATTACTCATCCTCGTTATGATCATCAAACGGCCAGTGTCGATTCGTCATTTCGCGCTCGTAGTCTGTATCAAGGGAAGCGAGGCCATCGATTTTCATCTGACGAGCCCGAGCGCAGGCAGCTTCATATTCTTCGGGAGGGGTCCACCCATTGACACTGATACCAATAGCATTACGAATATGCTTGAGTTGCAGATCAATCTCTTCCTGCATGCTTTGTAGGTGCATGATGGAATCAGACTTGGCCGTGGAGAATGATATAGGGCATGGTCCAGTCGAGTATTCATGCAAGGATTTCTTTATTAGGACGAGGTCAGCCTGGAGGGGAATGTTATTTCCTTCCCAGGGGTCTCCCGCATGGCTAAAAATGCGGCGAGTAAGCATGTTCGTGGTCTGATCCATAGCCCGGAAGTGAGATTTATTGAAACGCTGCGTGAAGGCTAAGTAGAAAAAGTCGGTATGGCGTCGTCGAAAATCATGAAGAGCGTCGGCCTTTCCTTGCTCGTCCAGTTCGCTTAACTCTGGACTGGAAGGCGGGCGAAAATCAAACGATTCAGGGTCATCGTAATTGTGGAACAACTCTGGGATCCCGGCGGCAAGAAAGAGTGGTAGTACAGCTGCATGTTGCTACTCGATTAACCCGACAATGTCCAGATTATCAGATACGAAGATGTTGTTGGCTGAAGGTCAGGGTGACGAAGGACGGGCTGAAGAACTCATTCGACGGGAGAAGTGCAGGAGCTATCTTGAGGTAGGATTCCATATGCTCGCTGGGGTCGGACAATTGGTAATCCATGGACTCGCGATATGCACGCTCAAATGGGAAGCGTGGCCGGCCATATGTGCGCAGCCAGGCCAATTCTTTTAACGCAGGATTTCGGAGAACGTCGATCGGATCCATACCTATTACTTGGTCAGCACTGAGACAAGCTGGCTAAGGAAGCACTTACAAGGACCGCGATCAACACGGAGAGAAGCACGCTCTTCGAACCACCATTGAAGAGCTGCATTAGGGCCAATGCAGAAATTAGAATTTGGGATGACTATCCGTGGTGAGTCTGATGGTAAATCGCTGGCATAGTATATGCTTCCGCTCGCGGGTAGCTCAATGGCATGAAGCTTCGCTTCTAACTGTACAAGCTGCAGGAGCACCTTAAGACGTTCTCGATCAGACAACTCAAACCACCGATCACCAAGTGGCCGTCCGGGTAGTTTCTCCATGATCATATACTCCGAGCCAACAGGGTTTTTAGCATCTGTGGAGTAGGCATACACCCGGGGCACAGGAAGACCATGGGCCCGAAGGAGAGCCAAGGTCGCCACCCCGATAGCGACTGCCAATTGTTTTGGCTCAGTTGATGGATATGGCAATCGGGCAAGGACCTGAGTATCATCAAGCATGGCGACCTGTAGGACACGGTTGAAGCCTCCTTCCGCCAACTTCGTCACACTTTTGATATCTGTATCACATCTCTGTAGCGACTGAGCAGCAGCGCTTTTCAACGCATCAATGTTGAATTTCCCGCGACGCTCAGCGAGACGGACGTTCTCGTTATATCTACCTTTATAAGCTACCAAACGGGGCAAGCAGAGGGCATCCTTGAGTAACTCACATCCATCGACCAGATGTGTATTCGATGAGTTGTCTATCGTTATTCATCGTGGAAACCTTCCGGGACGTAAAAGTCGAGGAGCACTTAGCACTTATACCAAGGAAAATGGATCGGGCGATCGGTGGAGGACGCCATGTGCACGGTTTCATCCATGGGTTGATCGTCCCGAAGCTGGCCTTTAGCAACCGTTCATTTGGAAGGTTGCGGGTTGCGGATCAAGGGGGTGAAACGCGCGCTTAATTTTGTAAAAAGGTGCGGCTCAGTTACGTTGCGGGCTATAGATGTCCATAGGGGTAATTTTGCTTCCTTCTTAGCCGAGTCTATTAACGATTATTACCATTTCTGTAGTAAAGTAATGTATGTTTGGGCTTGCAAAACGACAGCCCAATCCTTCGAGGCCTTTTTGACCGTGAAGGGAAAAAAAAAAAAAAAAAAAATCCTACATTGTATGAACCCAGAACCGAGCGATAAGCAAGATAAGCAAGTTGCTGTCCAATGTAGGGTAACGTAACTTGGGGTGGCATATTGAATGTGGTGCGGATCAGCTCTGGAAATATGAGAGGCAAATACCCCTGATCACGCTTTAAGTAAGACACAATAGGCAATGGAAACCAAGCCTCCTACCGGGATTTGTTCTTTTTAGATCTCCCCAAGGGTCTCCATACGCAAGCTACAAGGGTTGACTATCAGATTCGAGACAGGAACAGGTTGTCCATCTCGAGAACCAAATGAGTAGGTTACCAAAGGTAGTATATAACACTCGGTGTGGATATAACCGATGCTTACCTGGGGCGAATGTCAAGGACCAAGTCAGAGTCACGACCACTTACCGGATGGATAGAACTGTCGTCATGCAGGAGTTCCTACAGAACAAGGGGAATCACAAATGGTCAAGCTTCAGTGTCTATTTCGGTATAACGCCACAATTGTGATACAAAAATTGCCGGAACAGATTCAATAAAACAAACGAAGTACTCATATATAAATCAATAGGATGGTATATACCTAACGATTGATCAAGAAACATAGAGCACAAACTTCCAGGCCTGCATTTGCCAACATGAAGCCGCAAACAAGCCAGATTTATTCAAGCGGAAACCGTCTTGGTCTTGATTTCAATCCAAGGCCCTGGATCCACATTGCTATCACCTACAATAGGCTTAAAGGCCTTCTTTTTGTGTGCCCGAGTCTCTCCTTCTTTTAGAACCTGGTTCTCGAGCGCAAAAAGTTTCAGTTTCTTTTTATTACCTTCGCTGTTGGTGAAGGTGTCTGTAGACGTTGGAGATGAGCCTGGTGGTAGATGTTCGTGAAAAGATACCGACAAAGAGTTGCTGCAATTGGCACAACTGGGTACATGCCACCGGCTGAAAACTGGCTCAACCCCAATTAGACGAGCGCCTGCCCAGTTCTCATCATCTTCAGCAGGGAAGGCCCAAATAGACACGACGAAGGAGCCCAGTCTTTGGTTCCGGCTGATGCCCGTCACCCGTACAGCTGAGCGCGACCCGGATGACGCTTGCTTTTTGGACGGTGGTGAGCTCTTCGACAATGGATGAGGTCGCTCTGGTAGCTTTGCTTCGCCCAGGAAGGGTGGTGGTCGGCCACCACCTCCACCTGGATAACCACTACCATCGCCTGCAGGCCCTCCACCGCCACCACCACCACCACGAGGTCCACCATCACCACCATTACCACCACGAGGTCCACCATCACCACCACCACCACGAGGTCCACCATTACCACCACCACCACGAGGTTCACCACCCGCTAGTTCTCCACCACCAAGCTCATCATCATTGGGAGGAGGTGGTGGGACCTGATCAAAGTAACTTTGATCACAGTCGTACTCGTATCCGAGTCTCCGAATGTTTACGACTCCCTAGAGATATTAATGGTTAGTCACAGAATATGGAAATATACTGTTGGGGTTGTAGGGGAATGTTACTCTAGAAGTATAAGGAAATGGAGTCAACGGAGTATCCATGTTCAGCTGGGAATCAGCACTCATGCCCGGAGTTGGACCCTGGCTGTCAATCGGACTAGTACCTGGATAAAAGGGAAGGATATCGAAATGATCCGTGGCCTGATGATGGCGCTGCCAGAGGTGAAATACCATGTCGATAAAACAATGATGAAAAAAGAAGATAGGATCGAACGCCGCCGTGTCATTCTCGCCCATGTCTCCGTTTGCTCCAGGGTAGAATGGTCTATCATATCTCATGTCTGGCATGAAATATCCACCAACCGCCAGATGAACTCCATTATGTGGTCGCTCCACGGAAACCACAAAGTCATCGTTCCAATCAGCCTCACGAGCGAAAAGGTCATCGTTCCACTTAGCAGCTGACGTTGTGTTGGAGAACACGGTGTAGTTTGGAGCCTTCCAGGCCGCATTGATGTAAAGCTGACGCATGCCTGGGACTCCATTTTCCGCAGGATTTCTTAGCCAGGCTCTCACACTAGCATTCAGGGCATTTGAAGCCGCAGCTTCATCGATAGCAGCATTGTGCATGGTTGTAGCTGCTTTGTCATTTGGCCCAACAAGGCCCGAATAAGGACATCGAACTGTCTCATAATGTCTGGGCTTGCTGTAGTCAACCTTTTTGGTCCAGGCGCCGGCTTCGTCGGAGACACTCCGACCGAGATTGTCAAAAAACCCCTGAGACAACTTGTACGAGTATAGAGGATTGTCAACTTCGCCAATATCGCGTAAAGTGTATCTTCTGGTTGTAAAAATTGTCGGTACGCTTTGGTCGGCAATCTCATCCCAGTACGGCAGAGCTAGATTCGGGTTTCCAGAAACGTTGCAGAGGGCTTCCTCCAAGCGAAGGACATACGCACGGTGCCAAGTAGGGAAAAGCACATTGCCATGATGACAAAATCCTCCCCACCAAGCTCGATTTCCATAGCCAGCACCCCTGAAGGGCTGACCATGGTAACCAGCGATGGTATAAAAGGAATCTTCATTGGGAGCCTCTGCTGTGCCTGGACCCTCCTGCTGAAGCAAATAGAATGCACGTACCAGATCGTGTAGCTCGTCCTGAGTAAGAGTGGTGATGTTTTTGCGGAGCCGAATGACATTCATGGTGTATATATCCTTGGGATACAAAGTCAGAACTGAACTCAGTGTGTTTAGGGGACTAGGAGAGAAACCAGCTTGCTGGTCAGAGCTAACACTTATAAAGAGCTAGCCCCTTCAACTAAATGCCTTCCTGGCTAGCGAAAGGAGCTCATTCACACCCAAGTACTAGCTACCTTCTGAATTTTTCAGACCATGCTAGATATGGAGCAACTTGCCGATAGTGTGGTCAACGCGCATGCATAGGCCTTCGCAAGTAAATAACTCTAGCAGCTGTCGCGATGAGGCAACCAATTATTGATAGGTAACTATACCGTGATGTGGCTGCCTGAGTATCCGGCTCACTGGCAAGGGTATGAGTGGTTCCAACAATCTCCCCCGTGCTTGGTGGGTTAACGCAGAAGACAATGCACCTCAAGGACAGTAATCAGCACAGAACATTGCGATAGAGCCAAATCCCGGTAAACCACAGCTTTTTTGCCAAACATAGCAGGTCTACCGAGGTCGAACTGAGCCAGCCCTATCTCCGAGGTTTCAAGGGACTGGCGAGTCAGACGATTGGTATCGCGGCAAGGTTTACCCCAACCAATAAGCAAACGACCAGCCCGCGTCGATGAGGGGTCAAACAAATCAATATCACAGGAACAGGAATTTATTAGTATGGGTTTTCAACAAGAAACTACAGTGGCCAGCAAGAATGGACAAACGGATACGTTCAGAGAAAAGAATTGTTTTCTTTCTCCTTGAGTCGCTCCACGAAAGTGAAAGTCACAACGCGCTCTGTACTTGAGGAAAGATACTTCATGAAACTTCCTCCATACATACCCCGCTCTTGGGCATCAAATTTCAACAGGTCGCCATAGATGATGAAAAACGAATATTATAGATGCTGGGCTAGGTAATATGCATAATAGGCCAAGCGTTGAATGCCACGCATTATCTACAGCACACCATACTACTTGCACCCATATATGCGTACACTACGCATAGGTTGCTGCCTTCGAATCACATACCATTCTTCATGCATCTCCTTCCCCGCCAGCAGTGACTGATACCTCATTTACTGTCTACTAGCCTCCCGCCTATCATGATTCAGAATTGCCTGTTGAGAGACCCGGCACTCCATTTAAGGCAACTTGCATATCCGACCATGCAGCTTGACTCGAGCTATTTGCTCAGGTCTCTACACCCCCCTAAACACTTCTATGGCATCACCCAGTCCTGCCAAATCAGCATGTTACGGATACCGAAATAGTAGCAGGCACATTAAACAGCCTAACAAATATGTAAGTAGGCAAGCACTGAACAATGTCGGTGCCTAGTATCACAGAATCCTAGGTTGCAGCAAAATCTCTTAAACACGTACAACGATAATCCCAACAATCATGAATATGGATTCAGATCAAAAAATTTCATTTGGTGTTCTTGTCTCAACATATTATATTGGAAGTTGACAGATGCGTTATTTCGGCCAGGATCAACCTAGCTGTTATGAATTCTTGTAGTGTGACTTTGGTATCTCCGTGCTTGAACCTCAGAAGCTTGATTCCAGCCGTCCACTTAGTGTGCGAGGCTGTTACCGGGAACCGACAATTGAAGTGGACCCTCACCGGGGAAGAGGAACCTATCGCCCACCGGAAGCTATTAACCGAATAGGATCAAGGGCCATGACCAACAAGATAGGTCGGCGAAGTGATATCTGGGCCTATGGATGCATTTTCACTGAAGTACTTGCCTGGGCGATCGGACGACGCGAAGGTGTTGAATACTTAGCTCGGGAAAGGCAAATAGGGATAACTAAAGACCTTTACTGGGATGAACACTTTGGTCAAAGCTTGTCGCCTCAAGCGACAGGTTTCAAAGTACGAGATTCGGTTGTCCGATGGCTTGACCACATTCAAACTTCTCCTGAGAAAGTAGTAGGTGAATGGGTCAAGACAATCAAAGACATCCTCATCATCGACAAGGAGAGCAGGCCCAAAGCGCAGAAGCTTGTTACATATGTTACGAGTGTGTACAAATCATTCGATGTATTTACTATTGCCCATATCAACCATTCGCCCAGAGTCCGGGGTCCAATACAGCAACCGGACTTGTCGGGACAAAATGGTATTGGACAATAAAGTGGCCTCTGATTGACACCAGCTATGCAGGCAGTTGGATATCCCTGAGACGTTGTCACCTCTGACCCATTCAGGAATGTCTTATCCAACCCAGATGATAAGGTATGCAGCTGCACCATCATCGCTTACCTTGACGTCTCCTCGGAGATTAGAAGCCAATCTGCATGCACAAAAATTATAGCGGGAAGAGCTTGCATTACCACATAGCTATGTCGGATGGGACCAGCCTCTCAGAGGGTAAAGTATCCACGGTCTGACCGGATAGTCGAGGCGGCACCGCTAGCAACAATCGGGCTCGAAACTCACTGGGAGTAGATGTAAATGAGTTTCCCCCTGAGATATTTAGCAAGCGTTCACAGCAGTCATGAGCACAGAACTAGCGAGCTGGAAGGCTCATTAAGCTGGCCTAGCTCTGGGATCTGGATCTGGGTATGATTAACTATATACTAAGTGGGCCCTGTCAACAATCCGCCCGAGCAGTAGGCCCCTCGGCAACTGCACGTGATGGATTTCCCGCTCCATCCAACGGCTAATTCTACTTACAATCAAACAGGACAATCATGGCAAGCCCACTCTCCAACCTTCAGAGTCTTTTTTTAAACGGCAGATTCAACCCCCTTCGGCTCAATGTTTCTCGTCTGACTGAAATACCCAACCCAAGCCAAGGTCCAGAGCCAAGTGGCCTAATGGAGAAGCTACGGTCTGTAACATCATTTGTCCAGTGGCATTCATATCACAGAGCACAGCTGTGCCCATACATGAATGCTCACTAACTGATAAAACCGCAGCCCAGTACAGACCATTCGATATCTTCTAATGACGACAACGCACGTGCAGCACGTGCCGCATGATGATTTTCTCTTAAACCTACGTAATCACACGGTAAGTGAGCAGGTACTACACCTCTCAAAGAAAGAAGTATTCGCTTCTGCCCAGTACTTGCATTAAGATCATTCCGCCAGGATGGGCCCCGCTCACCTTCCAACAGAGATCATGCTCTGCTTAGCCGACCACATCCCTAGCACACAAGACCTTTACTCTCTCATCCAAGCGAGCCGACGTTTTTATGACAACCTTCAGCCCATGCTCATCCACCACAACGTCAAGCATAACAACAGATCTGCACTCCTATGGGCCGCATGCAGAGGCCGTGGTGATCTAATGCATGCTATTCTCCGGATCCCCGGATCTAACTTCGACGTCTCTGTGAACGTTCCGGACAAAATCCTTTGTTCCTAGCCGCGAAGCACGGCCACGCGGAAGTCGTCCGACTACTTCTCGCCGAGCCGTCTGGGGGCGGCACCCCGGAATTCTCGAGCTTCGAAGACCACAATGGTGGTACACCACGCATGGCGGCTGCGAAAGCGGGACATCTGCAGGTCGTAGTAGTAGTAGTAGTAGTAGTAGTAGTAGTAGTAGTAGTAGTAGTAGTAGTAGTAGTAGTAGTAGTAGTAGTAGTAGTAGTAGTAGTAGTAGTAGTAGTAGTAGTAGTAGTAGTATTCATTAACCTGATATAGCCGGCCTTACTGACATCTGCAGGTCGTCCAGCTCCTGTTGCGATATTGGCGGGTTGAAGTCAACAGGGACAACTACGACGACCATACAGCACTGGCTCAAGCCGCAATAGCAGGCTGCCCGGCAGTAGTCAAGCTGCTGCTGAAAGTGGAAGATATTGAGCCAGATTGGCCTGGTGCCGATCTGTGTCCACCACTGGCGTGTGCGGCGAAGGCTGGCCATCTGGAAGTTGTAAAGGCGTTACTGCAAGGGGAAACGCGGGCAGATGTGAGACTTGGAGATTGGGACGGTGTGTCACTGTTGATGTGGGCGGTGCGGCACGGAGTCTGCCATGTGGTGGAGTTCTTGCTCGATCATGATGATATGGATGTGGCGCCCCAGGATAGCTATGGTCGGACAGCGCGCATGTGGGCGGAAGAGTGTGGGAATCAGGAAATTGTGCGATTGTTCCATTCCCGTGAAATAAAATGAAATCATTTTTAGTTGCATTTTGTGAGAATATGCGACTGGTTTTAACTATAGGACATGGCTCTGAGCTCATCAGGAAACCAAGGACTATGGGTGGAACGGTACAGTTTAATTTAATTAGTATGAAGCCAGTCCACCACTCAAGGATCTACAATTTACTATGACGCTTGACTTGTACGCAACTAATCATTGGATGTCTATAGCCATTCAGCCGTCAAACGGCTTCTCGGCTTTACTAACCACCTTCAGCTAGCTTAGGCGACCACCAGACCTGTCAGCATATAAGACCAACTTCAGTGTCATGTGTCATGTATTACTTTTTGTACTCTCAATCCCCCATCAAGTTGTGTATACACAATGTCACTATTGGCCCTACCCACCGAATTATTACAGCAGGTCGCTGCACTCCTCCCGGATGGACATCTCTCCAGTCTACTGCAGGTGAACCTCCATCTATACGATGTACTGCTTCCATGTCTCTACCAACGGCGTCACAAGTCTCGAGACTTTGCACGTAGCTGGCCAGCAGGTTTCATGCGAGCCATTGCGACTGGGAATGTCCAAGGCACACAGAACTTCCTCCACTACGGCGCCGACGTGAACCTCGTATGCAGTCATCACTTTCTGCATCAAGCAAAAGTCCCTATTGAGCCCTGGTTTGATTTGCAGACGCCGCTTAACGTGGCAGCGAGCATCGGGAATGACACGTTGGTAATGATGTTGCTAGGTCACGGGGCTGAAATCAACGGATTGAAGCACCATGATGGGGTTCGCTTTAGACACACCCAGCCAGCTATCGCGGATGCTCTATTATCAGGACATATAAGTACTGTTCGACTCCTGCTTGAACATGGCTCAGATATCCAAGACTGCCATATAGAGGCTGGTCGGCTAGTCCTCTACGCCGTTAATACAGGCCAGTTAACGATGCTCCAGCTCCTGAAGGAGTTCGGAGCTGATCTAAACATCGCTTATAATCACGTGGAACCCCTACACAAGGCAGCCTGCTTGCGACAAATATCGACTGATATAGTACGGTTCCTGCTTGACCATGGCGCGGAAATCACCTCTTCTGATCGTCGTCATAGACGGTTTATGGAAGATGTGATGAGAGGAGGGACCATCGATACTGCCCGGCTTCTGCTAGAACGCGGAGCGGTATTTCCCCAGGATGGATTTCATTCGGCTATTGCCTGCGGAACGCCTGACTTTATCCGCCTGCTCATTGAATATGGTCACAAGCCTGATATCGAGTGGCTCAAGTGGGCTATTAGGAGTCGGCGGCTCGATCTATTGCAGCTACTTCTTGAAGAGGGCGTTGGTCTCTATTCCAGGGACGCTAGAGGATCCACAATCCTGCATTATGCGGTAAAGTGGTGCAGCTATGAAAGCCCCACACATGGAATGTCGCAAGCGATATGCGGGATTCCTGCACAGACGCCACTTGTGCGCCGTATCAAAAACATCGAGCCTCAAACGGTATCACGTCCATGTAGTATCCAGGGCACCTCTAGGGGTACTTCGGAAGACATCCTGCGCTATGTCATTCATAGAGGGGCGGAGATCAATGCCTTGGATGGTAATGGTCGGACCCCGCTCGATATAGCTAGGAAATACGCTCCGAAGGTGGAGCAGATACTTGTAGATAGCGGTGCTACATCCCATAGCAACTTCCAAGGAGGAAGAGAAAGTGGATAACCGGGTGAATTCAATAACTATATTTGGCGAGGCTGATTAGCTTGGATAGGTATCAGCTGGATCTGTTGGTTAGACAATAGATGTTGGGAGTATGGTTACTCCTTTTTTGTGGTGCATAGCATACTATATCATGGCCACTGCGTCTTTTCCCAATGACACATGAGACGCCTCTGGTCTGAGACATTGTGTTCCTCGGCATGCTAAGCCTCTGCCTCAATGCTTGTTCATTCGTGGACTAATAGCTTAACTGCCATGTGACGGTTATGGGGCGGTGGCGCGGGAGCTCACGGACCCCTAAACGAAGAAGGCGTTTCTTAGCATAGTCATAAACCCATGCTGCTGTATAAATCCTACTCTCGCATAAGACTGGCAACTACCTTACTCCTGATTAGGCCCTAACAAACTAGGGTACATAAAGCAGAGCCTCCCGGAATATGGTAACACCATCATCCGATCTGAGGTGAAAGTGAACCATCTTCATGCGACGATCTTGTCCAAAACCAAACACACTATTCACAGAAGACTTCTCTATATCTTTCACATGTCTTTCAAACTACTTGCCCTCTTCTCCGCAACAGTGCTAGCCACACTCAACGACGGCACAAACCTCGTTACTCCCGTCGTTGAAACCGTGACTACTTATGAGACCGTTACAGGATCTCCGGTTACCACAGCTGTAAACAAAACCGTGACTTCATACATTGATCTAATTGAATCTTATCTTGTTTCTGAACTGGAGGCCCTGGAGCCAACATACCCAAGCTGGGTCGAATCTGTTCTTGACACCGCCATCCCGTCAACATGGGCGGAGAGAATGTCAAGCGATCAGTCATTCTCCAAGTCTGTGGCGGACGTGGCGGCATCAGGGATCCTGCCAGCCTGGTATTCTAGTCTGCCAAGCGATGTGAAATACGTTATGACAAGCGATCAAGCTTTATACAAATCCGAGATCTCTGCTTTAACTTGGCCTCCCGAGACTTTCGTTACCGGTTCCAGGTCGTTCTTACCTTCGACGCCGGTATTATCGTCATCTATCTCCTCTTCATCGTCATCCACGGAGTCAAGTACGTCTGACCCTAGTAATGAAACACAAGCTTCTGAGACGTCTCCCGTGTCTACTGGGGGTGCGCCCGTCCCTACTGGAAACCTTGTCGTGAGTATCGTGGGTGCTGCCGGCGTCCTGGGCCTTGCTCTTGCTTTGTAAAGGCTTGGACGATGTGGACCAAAATTGGAATATGTTCTATTATCGTTTGTGAAGTTCCCATATAAAATGTTGAGACATTCACTTGAGCCAGGCAGCTGTCAGCTGATACTTCGCCTTTTCTTCCTGCGTGGTCTCTGACCACCACCTCTTCCAAGATCCAACCACTCTCTTGAGATCTGATAGATCATATCCATATATCTTTGACCCTTCGTCTTGACATAAAATTCAAGGCATGATTCTATGTAGTACAAGCATTTGCGTACGTAGCTTGTGACGTCGCATATCAACCAAGTACCCGTACCCCTACTACTTAACGAAAAAATTCATTATTTCGCCTTAATAAATATTATCCAATCAAACACAACACCCAGCCAGCAAAGACAAGCTACGGCCGAGTCCGCCCAACCGTCTCGGAACGAGGCTGAGCTATACTAAAGTGAGTAACAGCACTCGCCCAAAACCGCAACAACGATAATAACGCGATCGTTTAGCCGAACCTTCGTACCCGCACGGGACCCCACCGATGCACATCAAACAACAAATCGGATACAAGAACGGCTGTACCTGTGCTAAGAAACCTTGTCCGGCGCTTATCCGTCGAGGCTCCTCGGCCAATACTTTAAATTGCGGCGCAGTCAACTTGCATGATGGAGTGTGCGGTTAATTGGCTAGCTGCAAGCAATCATTCTTACACTAACGAAGGCAAGACTAGGAGGATACTTGCGATGGTGTATAGGGCATTCCGCATTACAGCAAAAATACACGGTCACTCATGCAGCTAATGACCCTAAATGCATGCTTCCGTATCCTCCGCACCAATCTATTAATCGATCCATACACCAAAGATCATCCCTGATAGCAACCCCTAAACACGGGAAAGAGCCCTGAGTACCTCCTTCTCCTCCACCTTCTCCCTCAAGCTTCCTGTCCAGCCCATCCACCCTCTCCATATCCATATCCACGTCATGTCCACCACCTCAACCTCCACCTCACCCAACACCTCACAATCAGACCAAAACTCCCTCACAACCACCTTTCCACACTCAAACTCACACCCACACCTACAATTACCAGCATCACCACCCCTCCTCTTCCCCTCCGCGCACCACGAAACAACCGAACTGCTTCAAACCCTCACGCACATTCGCACGCACCTCCACCGCGCCTCGCACCTCTACACCCAAAAAGCTACGTTTCTCGACGCCCCAGAGCGGCAATGGATTGAAACTACGATTGCAGATACCGCTGACGCAGTGCATGCGTTAGCGGTGCTGGTTGAACCGGTGCGTGTGGAATGGGAGGTCAGGAATCAGCATCATCACAGTAAAAAGGGGAGTAAACGGGTGTCAATGGGTCTGGGGACGCAGTTAAAGTGGCTGTGCAGGGATGGACAGAGGGCGAAGGTGCAGAGGGGACGGTTGCTGGTTTGCTATTCGAGTTTGATGGTCGTTTTGGAGAGGTTGATGGGGGTGGGTTGTGATGAGGGAGGGAAGTTGGAAGGGAGAGGGGGTGGTGAGGAGATGGGGGTCGAGGTGGAGGTGCAGGAGTTGCCAGGGGAGGGAGCTGCTGGTGTTGGTGGTGGGGAGGTGAGTTTGGGGATGAAGGGTAGTACAGGAGGAGGACTGGGGTCAGATGTTGGGGATGAGATGCGGGATTTGCTACGCTGGAGGCAGGCGAAGGGGAAAGATAGTTAGATTTATGGTACTTTATATGGGAGAGGCGTTCAGGATCATGATACTGCCAGAGATCATTATATTTCCACCCTAAGTGTGAAATCATATCTGAGTCATCGTCTCCTCCACCATCTTCTGGGGAACCGGCAGTTTATCCCCCCGTTCGTCACTGATTTTCATCACAGCCGGCAGGATAACAATAGAGCCAGGAGATGGCGCACTCCAGCTAAACTCGAACGAGCACGGCTGGGTAAATAGCCATGCGCTCAGTTGAGCTGCCTCTTTCACAACACTAACCAAATGATGCCTGCGATCTGCATCCGGGAGCTCGGGGTTACGGTATAGGCCAAACACTTCTGAAAATCCCTCCGCGAGAGTCGCAATGTTCTTTTGTGCAGCTTCCGATGTTGTGTCCAGGTACTGGGCGTGCAGGCGAGTTGTCAGCATGCGCCATGCGAACATGGCACCCGTCGAATTGGCGGCCGAGCCCGGCTCAACCCCATGAGACTCCATAAACGGAGGATACAGAGATCCTCCAGGTTGGATAGCTTGTAGTATGTGTCGAGCCAAGACATGATTCAGAACAGGTCGACGGGCGCGGCGGCTAGCCAAAGCGGCTGTCAAGGATCCAGTCACCGAGGAAGAAGTATAGCTTTCTATGCGAAAAGCTTCCTCTGGAGTTGGTGATATGCTCTCATATCTTGCGGGCACGTAGTAATTGTCGACATGAAGGCCGATGTGGTCGAAGAGAGTCTGTATGCGTGTGCTAACAGTCTGGTCGTCGGCTGGCTGCGGGATGAAGGGGATCAAATCGAGCTGTGAGTTGTGACCTCCTGTTGGGGAAATGGGGGAGGAACCCGATAGAGCTTGAACCCTGGCCCGCGGTTTCACCAACTCCACGCCGTCTCGATCGGAGTCACCAGAACTGCTAGACTGGGGTGTGCTTTTTCTCCTTGAGCGAAAGAAAAGTGCAGCACCAATAATGGCCAGAATAGCAGTCCCGGCAATGGATCCAACGATTGCCCCTGCCAGAGCACCTTTACTGACGCCGTTGCTGTGCGAGGGCAGGCTGGATGCGGTGCTGGTAGGAGTGCTGGACGAGGAGGAATTTACCACACTTGCCGACGTGGTTTGAGACGACAGAGCTGTTGAGGATCCCGGGGTAGTCAGAGTTGGCGATGTTGGTGCTGTGGTGCTAGAATCGCGTGTCGTAGTGCCATATAATGGCACCGATGATGAACCATATTGCTCTTGGCGAGCTTGGATCAAGGCTTCCATCGTGGGCAAAGGGCGGATGCTCTCGCAAAATGAGGGTGAAGGATCGATGAGCTGAAAAGTACTCCAACGCCCATTTTATTAATACACTCCTCCGCCCCAGCCGACTTAAATCAGATTGGGAAATGCAAACAGGGGTGTACCAGACTACGGGTTGATTAGCGGCAACCGGGCAAAAACGAAGTTGAGAGCAGCAATACCGCAGACGAACATCGGCATCTAGTGAAGCCCGAAGAAAATTCTGCTTGTACGTAATTTAGAGCTTTGAATGATTTAAAATTAGACTAAATGAGGATTTTCTCTTCTCTACATAGATTACGAATATAATTCCCCTAAAACGTTTGAGGCAAAACGACGGCGATAAGAACTCACGCTAATTTTTGCGCTATGCACCCCGGTACCAAAGTATCCAGGATCAAAGGACACCCCCTTCTCGCAGCCTTGTCTAGGTGGAGTAACGGAGGTTTTAGTTGCATCCACTAGAGTCCGACAGGGGTTCGGTTGAGGGGCTTGAAGCCAGCTTCTGTCGCACGCGCCCCCGTCAACATTTCCACCTCCCACTGTCACAACATGAGCGACAAAGAAGCCCTTGGTCCTCCAACAAAAAGCACGCTCCAAGATGGGGAATGGAAACCGAACATCGTAGTCGGGGTTGACTTTGGTATGACGCACACAGGTAAGTACGTGGTAGTCAGGCCATATGTCGCGTCTGCTGCAAGACATTTTACTTGCCTTGAAAGCTTACTGCTGATCAGGTGTCGCATACTCGTACGGACCAGATTGGCCACCTCCCAAAACCATCCAGCGATGGCCGGGGAAGCTGCCCGGCGAGCTAGCCAATAAGGTTCCCACCTGTATCATCTATGGCTCTGATTCTAAAACAGTCAGTCATTGGGGGTTCCAATGTGATATTGATAACTACGAGGCACAAACAAAGGAGTTCTTCAAGCTTCATCTAGCACCTCAGTATGTGCGAGATGGGGGCCCAAGCCTGACAGAAGCCCAGAAGTGGTTCCAGGACTACATTCAGTGCATCTATCGGCATGTGGTGTCCTACTTTGAAACCACGATCCCACACTTTGTCATGCAACGCGTCGAGTTCATTTTCAGTGTTCCGACGACTTGGAAGGATGTGCGCATGGTAGAGGAAATTAGGAGGTTGTTGATGCAAGTCATTGACGCGCGAAATCCTAATCACCGGGCCCGCATCGGCCTCACGGAAGCAGAAGCCGCGGCTGTTTATGCAGGAAACGAGCATTACGGGGTCAGTTGCCGTTCATACCAATAATCTAATGTATGGCACTGAAACTGACAGTTGTACAGCAAGATGATACCATACTGGTTTGCGACTCGGGTGGAGGAACGACAGTAACTTGACCCCATGACCACTCTTTTGGCCGCTAGAATGTTGCAACCAACATTGACCGTAGGATGTAAATGTTCTCAAGCTTCTGTCGGCACAGGGTGAACCTACGCAACTAGCTCAGCTCGGTCATGTCGAAGGTAGCTATACAGTTTGTTATTATATCGTCCTTGGTTAACAGTATGCCAGGACACCCTATCGGCTCGGTTTTCATTGACAGAGAAATACATCGCCTCATGTGCAAGCGACTCGAAGGTATCCATCAGCACTTGAAGTCATCTCCAAATACGACAGCGTGGAGAATGACATTTGGACGATTTCAGCGATACAAATGTGCTTTTGGCACCGATGCCACGGCCACGCCTTGGCTGAAGCTGGATGTGCCAGGATTAGATCCCAATCTTGACTTTCCAGAGGTGGGAATATTTAATGGTCAGATGCAGATTGCTTGGTAAGGTTGGGTCAAACAGTCTGTTATAATAAACGCTCACACCGGAAAGGGAAGATGTTCAGAAAAGCTTCGACTCGAAAGTGGATGGAATATTCCAGCTCATAGATACACATATCCAACAACTGCGCGCCCAAGGCTCTAGTGACGATATTGTTTGTTTGGCAGTGTGGAATTTCTTTACACACCTAGGCTAACACATGTCACAGAAATATCTGGTGCTGTCCGGCGGGCTGGGTAGCTCGCCGTATGTGAGACAACGCCTTCAGGAGAAATACAATAGTTCGAGCAAAGTCTCTCCGACAGGAGTGAATATGCAAGTTCTCATGGCCGATGAACCGTGTGTTGCTCCTGATTCTCGCTAATGGATCGTGAGATCACTTACCAACTGCATGTCATAGTCAATTGGTTGTTGTCCACGGCTTGGTTATGGACCGCACCCAGCAGCTCAAGCGCGGCGTTCTAACGTTCGGCTTCCGATGTGCACCGGTGAGCTACGGCATCATATGTCACAAGATATACAATCGCGAAATACATGTAGGGGAGCGAGTCCAGATGGACGTTCGCGATAAGCGTCTGTATGCTCTGGACCAGATTGACTGGCTCGTAGTCAAGGTTTGTATCTGCCTCTCATCTTTCATGTTTGGAGTTGACCATCGTGCTCTGACTAGGGGCGTCCAATTCCACCGACTGGAGTCACAAAGGAATTCCACCTGAGGACCGACGTCGGTTTGGAAGCTGGAATCCATAATGTTGAGATTGTGATGTCGACGGAGTTGCCGGACAGGCTACCACGCAGCTTGTCCCACGAAGGATGGCAAACTGTTTGCAATCTCGATATCGCGACCGACAACGTGGATAGGAAGCTGAAGAATCGCCATTGGTACAGCTCGAAACCTGCTTTCTGGAGGACGTCTTTTGAGGTGAGGGTAGTCGTTGGACCCGCTGATCTCTCGTTCCAGTTGTGGTCCAGGGGAGAAAGAATCCGGAGCAAGCATGAGCCAATCTCGGTGCATTGGATGCCCGCGGAAAAGACATAAGTATTAGTCTCATACCACACCATCTGTGTCCGGTGATGGAAGTACACTGCCCCACTATTCATATTGTCTAATATAAACTTGATCTATACTTTGTTCTTAGTCCCCGAGGGGGATTATCCGCCGCTTAGACCATCCCATTCAAAGGAAACGGCAGCCCATCATACACCATGCCGGAATTCTTGCGACAGTCAAGGACTCCGGATCGTGTCCGACGACTTCTGCCAAGTCGGATGTGTCCGTTGTGTGCAGAGTCCCCATGGGGGATCGACGACTCCAGAGTGTAAATCCGGGGAAGATAAAGGGTGGGACCATATAATACATAAAAGCGCGATAGCATGGATTGACTGTAATCCGACGTCTTTCGTTAATTCTCCTCAACGCCTTTCCATTTAGTCATGGCGCCCAGAAACGACGAATATCACCTGGACGACAGGGACTCTAAGATCATCGTCGAGAATCTCGAGGATGTCTCATATCCAGAACACTCGTTGACTCAGTTTCCTCTCCTCCGGGAGAAGACACCCACTGAACTGGAGCATCTGGACAAGGCTGTCCTAATGAAACTGGACTATTACTTCCTGCCTTGTGTGACAATTATGTTGCTCATGAGGTGTGTTTGCTATCATTGCTACCAGCAATACCAAACACTAATGATGGCACAGCTACCTAGACAGAATCAACGTATCCAACGCCCGTCTAGCCGGCATGCAGGACGACCTCCACATGTCCGACACCGAATGGTCCGCCGGCATTTCCCTCTTCTATGTGGGATACATCATCTCTCAAGTTCCGGCAAGCGTCTTCATCGCCAAAGGCAAACCAAGCATAATCTTCCCCTGCATTATGCTCTCCTGGTCTGCCGTCACAATCTGCATGCCGGCCCTTACCTCCGCCTGGGGCTTCTGTCTATGTCGATTCCTCGTCGGCGTGACAGAAGGCCCCTTTATCCCCGCGGTCTCCTTGATGACTTCATCCTGGTACACGAAGAAAGAATCCCCCTTACGCATGGGCATCTGGCACGCCGGGAATATCATCTCTAATGTATTCTCTGGACTTCTTGCGGCAGCCATCCTCACGAACATGGATGGCATTGCACATCTTCGTGCGTGGCAGTGGTTTATCCTATTAGAGGGGATCGTCAGCATTTTGGTAGCCTTAATTGCATTTTGGTTCCTCCCGAATTTCCCCGATAATACTAGTCGACGGTGGTTCAGTGAAGAGGAAGCTGAAATGGCAAAGTACAGACAGTTTGTCTCCGCGGGAGGGATCCACGAGGATGATGAGGGTGGTCGCTGGACTGGGGTTTGGCTTGCCGTTAAAGATCCATTCACGTGGTTGTTTTCGGCGATGCATTTCGCGCTTATTATTGCACAGTCGTTCAAGGATTTCTTTCCTTCAGTACGTCTACTCTCTCTACTCTCACATTCTACACATTCCTGATGATAATGATACAGATTGTCGCAACCCTCAACTTCTCCCAAGTCGAAACATACCTCGTCCAAGCCCCACCATGGGTGATAGCCTACATCGCCACCCTAATCCTATCATGGTCCTGTGGCCGCTTCCTCAAACATTGCTGGCACATCGTTATACCCATGCTCATCACCCTCGCGGGGACAGTGATCATGATCTCAACCTTGAACATCGGAGCGCGGTACTTTAGCTTTATACTGCTGTGTACAGGACCGTTCGTTGGATTGAACGTAAGCGACCCATCACACTGTATTCATTGAAACCCACACTTCCCTTATACACTCCCACCACCCAAACTAACTTAGAGGTTAGATCCAAATATCCTGGGAAACCAGCGTCGTCCCCCGCCCGCGCACAAAACGAGCCGCCCTGGTGGCAATCGCGAACTGCGTATCGTCAGTCTCGCATTGGTTCACGCCATATTTCTTCCTGACGTCGCAGGAGCCAAGGTATGAGACCGGAGGGGGGATTATTATTGCGGGATGTGGACTTACGGTGTTGCTTTGCTTGGCGACGAGGTGGTGGTGCGTGAGGAGGAACAGAGGTCTGGAGAGGGAGGAGGCGGAGGGGAGAGGATCAGGGTGGAGGTTTGTTACTTAGATAGCGCTGAGGTTCTCTGGTGATGGCGGTGAATTACTCTGAGGGAATGAAACAGTAGTTAATAAGGGTGTGTGGGTGGTTTGGTTGATAGTTTGGGATATAGCCATTGTTGATTTTGATTGAGGGGGTGAATGGAACTTAGCTATTTAGTATATCTGTGTTATGACTCATTCTATTCTTCCTTGTGGCATTCAATGAGTCACTCAAGCTATGGAGCTGGTCTTGGTTGTTTGTGGAGATGGACATTTTCCGCTCTGTAGGAGAAGTTCCGGATGATGCTGTAGACTCGTTGTCCATCAGCCGGATATTCTCCGGACAGCATCATCCAGACAACAAAAGATACCTTTGATCTTACCGATGAATTTTGATATATAAATAACAAGATAATCTCAGTTCATTCAGACTATCGCAAGCAATCAAAGAACAATTTCTTCAAATTAAACATTTCACTTCAATCCTCTCTACATCCACATCCTGAAATACCACCAAAATGACCCAATCCGACCCCCAAACCACCAGTATCTCGAACCCCTTCCGCACGCGCATTCTCTCCGGGCAAATAACCCCCCTCCTAACAGCCAAGTACCTAACGACCAACGAGCTCCCCCTTCTCTGTAAAACGACCTCCATCCATGCCGTCTTCATCGACATGGAGCACTCCGCCCTGGACATGCGCACCGTGTCTCAACTAATACTCGCCTGCCACTGTGCCGGCATCTCGCCCGTCGTGCGCTCGCCCTCAAAGTCCCACTTCCATATCAGTCGCATCCTGGATGCTGGCGCCTCCGCGGTGGTAATCCCGCACGTGGAGTCCGTCGAAGAAGTGAAGGAAATCGTGCAGCATGGAAAGTACGCTCCCCTGGGGAAGCGCGGATGCACGAACAACCAGCCGGCGTTTGGGTTCCGGCACGTTTCTACGAAGGTGCAGAATAAGGTGCTCAATGAGCAGACGATGCTGATCCCGATGATGGAGACGCCTGGGGCGGTGGAGATTGTGGAAGAGATTGTGGCTGTTGAGGGGGTGGATGGGATTTTGGTGGGTTCGAATGATCTCTGTTCGGATTTGGGGATTCCGGGGGGTTATGATACTGCCGAGTATCAGGATGCGGTGAGAAGGGTTATTAAGGCGTGTGTGGATGCTGGGAAGCCGGTGGGTATTGGAGGGATTGGGGGGAGGTTGGATATTTTGGAGATGTGGTTTAGGTTGGGGGCGACGTGGTCGTTGGGTGGACAGGATGGGGCCATGTTGCAGGCGGGGATGAAGGGTTTGAGTCAGAAGTATGAGGAGATTAATGCGAGGTTGGAGAGGGAGTAGAAGTGTCAGGGGAGTTTGTTTTGTGTTTAGATGTATATAGTTTCTTTTATATATCGTTAAGGAATTGACTCGCGGCTGAGGATCCGTACACGTACTCCCCAAGCATGCCGGCCTCCATACTCCAAAAGACGTTGTCCCCAAATATATCCCATGACAATAGTTGGTTTTCCATGGCTGATTCATGCATTTGAAATCCATTCGCCGTTTCATCGGGTGTCAGAATAGGCCACAGCGGGTTATGCTGGATGGGTGAATCATGAACACCGGGGATCCCAGTATTCAAACTGCCATGTTGTTGGTACTGTACATCATCTGTATCTTGGTTTATGGCTGTTGAATGAATATGTTGCTCGGTATATGCTGCGTCTGGTCGTTGGAGGCTCTTCGTCTTGCGTAGAATATCTGCGCGCAATGCTTCATATAGAGCAACATAGTGAACAGAGTCAGGGAGTTTTTGAACCATCAGTTTCAATGTTTTCTCGCCCTTCTTTACTGCCTCGGAAGCACTCTTAATCGTCTGGACATCAAGATCCTCTACAACTGAAACACAGAACATGACAGACAACCCCGCGGTAAACAGGGTTTGGAAGTAACTGCGGGTGTATGTCACAAGCCCCTGGTCAAACATTGCGCAAAAGCTAGAAATGGTCCCCACGGAATATTCAAGACAAATGCTGAGTAGGTCTCGCGGAGGTACGTTGTTTCGCTTAGGCACCAGATCAATCGCTTTGCGGATGATAAGTAGTCGCTCTCGCATCAAGAGCAGATCATACCACTCCTGCCTCTCATACAAGCACTTTGGGTTGGTGAAGATGGGTGCAGAAATTCTCCAACTGTTTAGCTCGTTTAGAAGCTCATCAAGGTCCAAGTATATTGTTCCACTAGCCGTTGCCAAATCAATTTGTGACATGGTTTGCTCACCAGTCCCTTTGCCCTTTTGCTGAAATTTTGTATGAATCTTTGAGGTGACCTGGCGTAGTCGGAGGCATACTAGGAATACAGAAGTCTCGGTAGTGTGGGTGGAGCCCAGCTGTGCCGTGCTGATCCGATAGAAGGAATCAAGATCCGCAAATACCCCAGACTGTCCGGCGAGGTCGAGCTCCTCATCGTCTGCATCTGCAGGAAACCCGACCTGGATATCTTTGTCAGATATGGCGGGTGGGCGGTCCAGCATCACAGAGGTATATCTGTCCAGCATGTAACATTGCCAGAAGACCCGTCTCCGCAATTGCTCCTCGAGCAGATTGCCATCTAAGCTTTTTGGAGTACGACACCTATGCAGACCCTGCTCAATACACATTCTGGTGCTCAATTGAATTAATTCCCATATCGAGGTGCCTGCGGAAGCGCAGTCAGCGATAATCCCGATGTTTCAGGAGTGAGAATACCGCACCAATGTGATAATAAATGCCAAATCTGCTTACGAGCAAGATATCTTGGATAGACTCCAAGCCTCTGAGGAGGAAACCAGCTTCGAGGTGCTTTAACGCGGCAAGGAAATAGCCGTAAGGATGGTACTGGTGCTTGCCATTCCGGTAAAGTGGGATAGCACCGATGGCAAGTATCATGAATGCCCGAAATAGCTGGTGCTCTGATACTTGACTGCCACTAGCACGTCCATGTTGATCTTCCGACTTTTCTGGAAATAGTGCTTGGTATAGACCTTGCACGCATCGGCGCAGCAAAAAGGGGTTTTGGACATGGGAAGTTCCCAAGCTCGCCAATTGTCAGCATGAAAAGTTTTAGTTATGAAAATCAAGAGGAACACGTACTAAGTATTAAACACTACCAAGGCTTCTTGAGCTGATGGAAGACTATTCTGCTGCACACTTGTTTCTAGAATTGTGGCTCTCTTGGATAAGTTGTGTAACAGTTTCTGGTTTTGCTCCCTCCACCGAGGGTCAGTAAAGAGAAAACTCATAAAGCTATGGGTTAATGTTAGTTTCTGGACCCAACTCTCATATAACAGACACCTATACCTGATCCCAGCACCCTCAGTGTAGTTCGGGGACTGGCTCGTATCACTGTCACTTTCATTCCCATGTTCAACGGCTCGGCCTGAGCTATTCTGGGACTTAGACCCCAAATTCCTGAAGTCTTCTGGCGAATGATACTCTGTATCATGCATCGAGGGTTCTATGTCGATGACTCCGGTTTGGAGGCTTAGAACCTTTTGTTCCAACTCAAATATAACTCTCCAAGATATCAATAGCTGCTTCCAGACTAGCTAGAGGATACTTACTCCCGAGAAACTGGCTCGCTGCCGTTCAGGCTCACCGTTAAACAGGCCTGGCCGCTTCTCATACATGGCGAGCATTTTGGACGCGCATTGTCACACTATTGGCCGCCCATTGTTAGATCTATAGCTTACACCGGCAAGGCTTGGGCTTAGATGGTGAGACTGATTACCTTGGCTTTCTTTGTGTAGCATGACTGACAGGCTGGAAGTCGTGGGAGTTGCCTGTTCTCATCTCCGTTGGCCATAATGTCGGCATTTGTGGGTGATAGGATCCACGGTCACTAACACCACAAAGATCACGGTCGCCGAAATGACCGACTATCTCTTATTTGTTACTGCATCTCTTGACCCCAGATGCTTACTGTCAGAGAGTGTGGGGAATAATATGGGGAAGCGAATAGCCTCGGCTTACTCCGGTAGCACCACCTACTAGCCGTGGGTTGCATCTTTCCCATAGGTCAGTCGGAGACAAGGCTATAGGCGGTGTACTATTTACTGTTTTACAAAAGCATGCTGCATGACATTATCACCATGCATGATAGCTGATGCTACAATGAACAAGAGTATGTGGTGGAATCTGGCGTCGAGAGGCACATCTCTGCATCGGACAATGTCCGCAGGATCAATCCACCCGCCGTGTGGCTTCGGAAAATCTCCGTCGCACGGCTTCCCCGCAGCCAAGAAACGGTCACTCCACGGGGATCCCACACGTTTTCCTATCATTATAGCGGGATGGGATCTTCCATACTGCGACTTCCATGTCTAGGCATGAATCATGGAGGAAAGCCGTCGGACAAGTCCTACGCCTCGGAGTCCCAGAGCAGAGCGGAGACTTCAAGCCTGCGAGAGATGCTGGAAACGGAAGCAGAAGGTGAAACAGTCCACTGCCACTACGTTGATCTTTCCTGACTAACGCAGTGTCAATAGTGCGACAGGTTGCTGCCTGTATGCACAGCGTGCATTGAAGCGAAAGCCAAGTGTTGTCCACGAAGCGTTCAATTAGGGGGCACCGCAGAGGATGCAAGCGGACTTTCCAATGCTGCACTTCCAGAGTAAGGACCCACTGACGGTATAGCAAACTGCTTTTTCCAGAACAGATTTTGACATGAGTTAGTTACATTGAAACGCTCAAAAGAAAGGTGGAAGCTCTGCATGATCAGTCTAGGCGCCAACGCCGGCGTCTTACAGCCGACACAAGCGATGAGAGAACATCGCACTCACCTAACAGCCCAACAGAAGCCGCACAAAATAGTCCACAAACCTCCCATGACACACCATTGACGGAGCAAACCAGTCTCACTGAGCGGTCAGTACAGGCAGCCATGGGAGAAATCGAATTCCTATCTCGCAACGCCATGGCAGAACCTCGTGGTGAGGCAAGTGGATTTCCCCAGGAACTGGCGATAGGAAGCATGATTCAAGCTTCCCTTACTATTTCAGGGAGAGACCCAACACAATCTTTATGTTCTTTGTCTCAAAAGTCAAAGTACAGCACCATTTTGGGACAAGTAGTCCCTACACTCACCAGAGACGTTGTTGCTATGGACCGTTTCTTCGGGCATACAAAAGCTCTCTGTCCATTCATCGACGAGGAAGAGATGCTAGGATATTGTGATTCTTTCTTTGATAGTAGCCAGGAATCCCAAGCGACTCCGTATACCTCATTCAGAGATTTCAATGTGTATATGGCAGCAGCTATTGGGATCCTACTCTCTCCCGACTCGGGTATTGAATTTTTCGCCAGCAGCTTGCACAGCGCGGCAATGCAGAAGTTTCCCAGCATAATCCAAAGTAACGATGACATGGGCTTGTTGCATTCCTTGCTGTTGTTGATTATTTACTCCATGTTCTCATCGGTGGGGGGATCCACATGGCATCTTGTCGGCTTGGCCATGAAGAAGGCAATATCGTACGGTTTCCATAAAGAGCCACTCTCTGACCTCGGCATAGCTGAGGAGAAGCTCACTCGGAGGAGAGGTATATTCTGGAACCTGTACATACTTGACAGGTCTGTGCTACTCTGGGCTTTAATATGCAGTGGCTTATACTCTACAGGACTATTAGCTGCGCAATGGACCGGCCATTCAGTATTGAAGATGAAGATATTACGCTTCAGGTATGTCGCAGGTATACTCCAAGGTGTGTACTAACACCGTTCAAGGTTCCGTCCTATGATGGGGACATCAGTTCACCAGACACGCTTGACTTCCCGGCGTACGTTGTCATGCACGCTCGACTGATGTCTAAGATGAGAGGCTCTTCACGTCAGCAGTCAATATTCCATTATGGAAGCCTCTCCTACTGGAGAGATATACCAAGGGGAATACAAAAATCGAGTGTAGCTCCTGCTTCCTCTAGAGCAATACGGCAGCTCACCTGTAGGGCAATGGTCTGCCTAGCACAAATCAGTGGGCTTGAGCAAGCCGCAACTAGGGTTCTTGGGACAACCCATACTATCCGACAAGATGTAATAAACACTTGTAATGATTATATCAATACCGAGTATTTGGCTGTGGAGGACGACTGTTTCACAGGCTCGTTCGTTGATGCGTTTGACATCTTTTCCGTGGGAGTGGTTCTTATCTGCCTGGGAAGGACAGAGCTCCCTTCAGAGATGTCGAATGCAACCAGTGTTCTCAACAAGTGTACTGCTTTATTGACACTTCTTGGTGAAAGATTTCCGGCGCTCAAAGCTTTTTGCAGGGTTCTCTGGTGCTTGCAGGAGTCAGCAGACATGGTAAGCGATAGAAAATCATTTAGCACGACTTACATCAGAACTACAGAACTAAAATAACAAGGCACAGATAATTGATGAGCTGCCGGAAATAGTCCCCCATGCTCTTCAAGTACTGATTGAGGGTGCATTCCGAAGTGATTGCCCGGTTCGTTAACTTGCGGTTCGGAGAGCCAGCCTTCGGAGAATGCCCGCCGGACGGAATCCGTATGTCTTGAGCATATATCATGGCAGTGAATGCCAACCAATGCAGGCAGTAAAACTACAGTGTTATTCCGAGAATTTCAAGGCAAATCGTTATTCTTTGCACGATACCAAAATGGCACCCAGCAGGGACGATGACTTGGTTTCTTCCCGCCAGACTACTGCGGATAAACCAACAGTGTATCTCCTTGACACATTCCCTCCAAAGGCAATCGAGCACGCCAAAACACTCTTCAACATTATCCAACCCCAAGATGAAGAGTTCCAGAACTGGAGACAGAATGCACGAGCTTTGTTAATCCGAAGTTCGTATCTTACTGCCGAAGACGTTGCCAGTTGTCCGAATCTCATTGCGATCGGCAAGCACGGAGTGGGCATTGATAAGATCGACCAAGCCGCTTGCGCTGAAAGAGGCATCAAGATTCTTAATACACCTGGAGCAAACGCACGCGATGTGGCTGAGCTGGTCATTGCTCTTTCTCTGTCGGTTGCTCGTGGCATTCGGTCCATCACAACACGCCAAATGTCAAAGCCCGTCCCAAAGGAGACCTGCAAGGGGCTGACGTTGTACCAAAAGACTGTTGGAATTATTGGCATGGGAAATATTGGACGGACCGTCGCCGAGATTTTTCGGGGTGGCTTCGAGACCGACATCATCGCATATGATGCCTATATGCCGGACGACATATGGACGCACATCCCCCACACCAGAGCCAACAGCGTCGATGAAGTCATCACTCGGGCAGATATCCTCTCTATACATGTCCCTCTTACAAACGAGACACGGGACATGATTTCCTACGACAAGATTTGCATGATGAAGCCGGATGCCATCCTGATCAATGCGGCTCGGGGAGGGATTGTCAATGAACAGGACCTCACACGAGCATTATCTGAAGGCCATCTTTGGGGTGCTGGCTTGGACTGCCACGAACAGGAGCCTCCCAGCTTTGAGAAATATGGTCAACTGTGGGAAAACCTGAATGTGATCAGTACACCGCACATTGGAGCTGCGACGTCAAGGGCACAATTAGCGAGTGCCACTGCGGCAATTGACAATTTGCACAAGTACCTATCTAGTCTGTGATATTCACACCCAATAAATACAATGTTACATTTCTCCTCATCATCACTTATACAGTCTAGATTTTAGCCTTCAAAACCCTCCCCCCAACCACCCCCCTACAATGCCACCTCACAACCTGCACATTCCCCTCGATACTATCCGTAATGAACAACGTCCTCCCATCCTCTCCGCCAAACGTACAGTTCGTCAAATTCTTTCCCCCATCCTTCGCAGTGACAATCCTCGCCTTCGGCACCCCCTCCCTATCCACCACAAACACACATCCAAGACTAGGATGACAGATAAACAAACTCCCCTCTTCGTCCACCGCCAGCCCATCAGGCCCTGCACACCCAAACGACTGGAAGAACAATCCCACTTTCGACGTGCTCCCATCCGCATGCAGCGGCAACCTCCACACAGAATTTTGCCTCGTCATAGCAACATACAAGAACCGCTCATCGGGGGATAACACCAACCCGTTCGGAGATATCCCGTTCGATACGAGACAGTCTAGCCTTCCGTCGGGAGAGAGCCGGTATACACACCCGGACGGGTCCGTCATTCCCGTTTGGCCCTGGTCTGTGAAGTAGATCTCGTTCTTGCTGGAGATAATTAGGTCGTTTGGGCCTTTGAAGCGCTCCAGGTTGCGCCGGGTTAGGAGGGGGGTTAGGGTGTTGGTGGTGGGGGAGAATAGGAGGATGCCCTTTTACCTCATTAGTCTTTAATCCAATTGGGCTTGTGGGAAATGGAGTGGGGAGGTATGTATGCACCTGCTTATAATCCGCAATCACTAGACATCCGTCTTCTCGGACGACTAAACCGTTCGGTTCCCCGTCGTAGCGAATACATTCGGTTACTTCCTTGTTCTTGTCTATCTTGAGAATCCTCCCGTATGGAACATCTACAATGTAGAGATCGCCATTCTGCGTATAGACTGGCCCCTCGAGGAAGATATCAGATGCTGGGCGTGCCGAGCCGCTGCGCCACTCTGTCGGTTGGCCTGTGCACCGGAGGTGAGAGGGGATGCGGGCGTAGATTTCGGCTTGGATTGTTGACGGTGGTGGGTAGAAATTCATTTTGAGAATAGTAGTCAATGGATTGAAATTGGTAGAAGATAGTTGGTGTGGCTGAACTGGTTGGGGTTGGCAAGTCTCGTGCCCCCGCAATATCTCGCTTATATAGTAGTAGTGCCTTTTCGTGCAATAGGACTGGATCCGATCCGCGTCGGACATTTCCCGATTTTAGTACTAAGCTAGGGTCTTGGTTGATATACTAGGGAGGTGATGGGGGTTTATTTATAATTTGCTGGAATCCGGGGTTGCCCCGTGCTTAGGGTCTGGGGAGCCTGTCGTCTAAGTAGGTATTGGTTGTTAAAAGTTCAAGTCAAGATGGGTCTTATCACTGAGACGAGGAAGGCAATTCAGGATGCTCCGAAGGGCATGTTTAATGCTTATGTGTTGATGTGTACGTGTGTTTTTGCTTTCGCTGGTGTTGCGAAGGGGTTTGATGAAGGTATTTACATGGACTCACTGCGTGAAGTTAGAATGGCTAATGGATTGTCTGTTGCGGGTAGGAAATATTGCATCGCTTGTTACTCAGCCGCATTTCAAGGCGAAGTTTGGCATTGATCATCTGTCGGAAGAGGACTATGCGGATACAAAGGGGTGGATTGTCTCTATTACCACTGCAGGTGCTGTTTTTGGATGTCTTGGTGTATGTTTGGCTCAATGTTATCTGTGGTCTGGGGCATACTAATGTCAGTGCAGTGTCCTCGAATCAACGACCGACTCGGACGACGATGGACCTTTCGTTTGTCGACGCTTATCTATATTGCAGGGATTCTTGGACAGGGACTATGCAATGGGAATCTTTCAGGGCTTTATGCTTCGAGGTTTATTGCGGGATTGGGGTTGGGTGTGCTTACTATTGTGCCGCCTATCTATATTTCAGAGGTATATACTCCAGAGGGATATAACATGTGCATTGTACTAACAGATTTAGATCGCACCGAAAACAATTAGAGGTCTCCTCACACTGCAACATGCTGCATGTCAACAGTTAGGTGTCGTATTCGGCTTCTTCATCAACTACGGGGTGACTAAAAGCTACCCCGGTGGTGATAAACAGTGGATGCTCCCTACCCTGTTGCAACTTCTCCCGGCCACCATATGGCTGGTCGGATCATTCCTCTGCTGCGAATCTCCCCGATGGCTATTATACAAAGGCAAAAGGCACGAAGCAGCCACTAACCTGGTCAAACTGCGCCATCTACCCCTTGACCATGCCATAATAGTAGCCGAGCTAGCAGGCATGGACGCCCAACTCCTCCTGGAAACTGAATCAGTCGGCGAAGCCACCATATGGGAGCTTCTGAAAGAGACACTCACCCCAATTGAGAACCGACGTCGCTTCTTCCTCATCTTCATGGCAAATCTCTTCTCTCAATGGTCCGGAGCCAACGCCATCACGCAATACTCACCCACTATCTTCGGCTACCTCGGCATATCCGGCGAAGAGTCAACCTTCCTAGCAACGGGAATCTACAGCGTGGTCAAATTCGCCAGTACTCTCGCGTTTGCCCTGTTCATCGTTGACTTCATTGGCCGTCGTCGATCACTAATAACAGGCATCTGCCTGCAAATAGTCACATTAGTCTACGTTGGAGCGTACCTCGGCGCTACAAAGGACATGACCTCAACCCAGATCAGAAATACACCCAGTGCCTCGCACGCCTCGACAGCAGCTATAGTGGCTATTTACATCCACGCTGTGGCATGGAGTATCGGGTGGTTCGGCATTCCGTATCTTATCGGGTCAGAGATTTTCCCCATTAGGATCCGGTCGCTGAATGTGTCCATCTCGATGGCGTTCCATTGGGCGTTCTATTTTGGGTGTTCGAGGGCCATGCCGAGTTTGTTGGCTGCTACGCATCGGTGGGGTGCGTTTCTGTTCTTTGGCTGTATTTGTCTGAGTGGGTTGGTGTATGTGTTTTTTGCTATGCCGGTGAGTATATTCTGCATTTTTGGGTGGGCTGGGATGGGACTAACTGAGCATAGGATACGACTGGACGGTCGCTGGAGGCGCTGGATAGTCTGTTTCAGCGTCCTTGGTATACGGTGTATCGGGTTGCTTATCCGTCTAGTGAAGCTCTTCAGGTGGAGAGGGAGGATGCGAAGTTGGGGGATGCTGAGCATGTTGAGAGGGCATGATGGACTCCTGCATACTTGTTCTGTAGTGTCACCATAATTTTCATTCAATTAGTCTTATCACAAGAGATAGTGAATTCTCTGGTGCGCTAGGAATACATCTGTAGAGATGAATAACACATAATCGAGTCAACTTCACTACCCCAATTCATCTCTGATCCGATCAGATAAGATAACATATCGATCACCCCAAAACAGTAAAGCCCCGCGCCAATAATGACATCTTCTGTCCCAGTTTCGTTCCGTGCATCAATTCTCCCCCTCTACCCTCTACCTTCTACCCTCCCACCCAACAAACCACTCCACACCACCCATTGACCCCATCCCATGGCCGGAACTAAACGCACCTGGGACGGACAACCATCATCCACCGCCACAATAACAACAACCCAACCACCCACCATGGCAGACTCTACCACAGACCAACCCCAACAACCCGAACAGCAACAGCAGCAGCAGCAATCCAACCCTTTCATCAACATCTTCACCACCTTCCGCGACGAACTCGACGAGCACCACGACCGTCGCGAACGCATAATAAAAGCCAGTCGCGACATCACCGCCCTCAGCAAGAAGATCATCTTTGCGTTGCAGCGGTAATCCCCTCCCCTACCCTTACCCACCATCTTATCCCCAAAACTAACACAGATGATAATAATAGAGTCCGAACCCTGAACACACCCCTCCCCGCCTCTCTAACCAAAGAAACCACCACCCGCTTCAACCAAATAACCACACACTTCACCTCCCTCCTCCCAGACCTTCGCCCAGCACCAAACACCCACCGCTACATGCGGCAACTCAGCCCCGCGATCCAGGAATTCATCGAAGCGCTATCCTTTCACCACTACCTTACCACGCAGACACTGATTACCCTCGATGAAGTGAGGAAGCATCTTCCCGAAGGAATTCTGGTTACGGAGGAGGATTATCTACTCGGGTTGTTCGATTTGACTGGGGAGATGATGCGGTTTGCGGTTACGGGGTTGTCTGCTGGCACTTCTACATCTGATGATGGGGGTGAAGGTGGTGGTGGTGGAGGATTGGGCCAGGAGCAGAAAGGCATTGTGGTGGATTTGAGGGAAATGAGGTGCGGGTTTGAGGGGTTGAGTGTGCCGGGGAGACATCGGGGCGTTATGTTGAGGGATATGGGGAAGAAGGTGGATGTGATGCAGGGGAGTGTGGAGAAGGTGGAACGCGCGGCGTATGGGATTTTGGTCAGGGGGAGGGAGAGGCCGAAGGGGTGGAGGCCGGATTTGGTGGTTGGTGGGGGTGGGATGGGTGGTGAGGATGATTATTGATTGATGGTGTTTTATGGAGTGGGGGAGGTAGAGAGCGGATTTGTGCATACTCGGGTCCATCTTCGACATGGATGAGAGAGATCCAGGATGACGTATGATGTACATGCACGTTGAATCATAAAATAACCATGACAATAACCTCATCAATCGTGTACGAATGTACTAAGTAGGTACACATTATCTTCAAACAATCATCAATCAGAAGCATTCAAGTTAAATCAAATCAATCAATGAATCAAAACACCAAACACCATATCCGTCCATCCATCCATCCATTCATCCATCATCAATCATACCATACCATCTCCCCTCCCCTAAACAGTTGGAAACCTCGGGTCCTCATCCTCCGTCAAAATGCCCTGCGAGATCAAATCCTCCGGATTAGGCCGATTCTGAATCTTCTGGTCGAGGTGATCAGCCAACATATGTTTCTCGAGTTCGCGGGCGTTGGCCTGCAGTGCGGGGGCGGCGTGGGTGGTTGGGAGGATGTTCCCTATGATTGCCATCATCAGTCAGCCATATACTTATTCTGAGAGATAAATATATATGGTATATGCATACGCTCAACCAGCTCCTCCCGCTCAGGACGATGTTCGAGATGTTTCTTCAGGGCGTCTGTGGTGCGTTGGCGGGCAAGTTCTTGGCGGGTTGCTTGGAGGGATCTAGTACTTGTTTGTCAGGTACTCCAATAGATATACAATATAAGGATGATGATGTGTAGATGGAAGGAGGAACCGTACGGTGCAACATTCGTATCCAACAGAATATGTCTATCTTTGAGATCCTGCACGTCGGGGCGTCTCTGGAGATGCTTCTCCAAGGAACTGCGACGTTCTGGAGATGCGGAGAGAGGGGTCTCGTCGATGGCGGCAGCAGTAGTGTTGGGGTCCATTGCGGGGTAGAAGAGTGTAGAACTTGTTGTAGCTTAGATGGGTGGATGATAAGGAACTAGTATGCTGAGTTGGTTAAACGCTGGGAGATGGGCTGGGTATATACAGTATTTCAGTGGATGAGTGGTGTGACTGGGATAAAGAAAGAACGCTGGTTGTCCAGGGGATTAAGAGGGGATGGTCAAGTGATGCGTGCGGAGGACGAATCCACGGGACTGCCGCCGAGGCCCACTGGACGATGTCATCACACCCTGACTTCACCACATACAACAGTGGTATTTTTTTCTCACTACAATCAAGGTCAGAATCAGTCACTGTTGCATTCTGGTGCACTGGATAGTTAACTAGTTAGCTAAGTAGCTCGTTAACATCGTCAATCTGCTTCCTCCAATTATCTTCGTAGCAATCGAAAACATGTCCAACAAAGTAACGCAAAGAATGACTGCTATATCTGTTTTGTAACTGCAGAGTAGAATGTCGAAAAGCGGCCTGGGAATTTCCCCCCACAACGTGGCTAGGAGAAAAGATCTGCCCATTTCTTCCCTCGGAAGTCCCAAGGAATAAAAGCAACCGCCTGTCCCTCCATCCTGAACGGAAAGCAACGCCATATGAGGACCCAGCATCTACTACGCCTCTCGCAGCCTAAGCGACGCCCAGAGAGTTCACCTCGACGATGGCCATACTGGATCGAAACTGTCCCGTATCCGAATTCCTCTCGTCTACCGCATTTCGCATCCATGCCGTCTGTCCAGGACCTGTCGCCCATCAATGTAGCCAGTCGACTCCGACAACAAGCCTGACCTTTGGCAGCCCGGGAATGGCAGAACATATCCTTTTCTGCTTCGTGTAACAACCACAATGGTCTATTTCAAGTTTGAGAAATATTCAATCCGTCCATCTGCGCAGACTGACGGACCCGACCATCGGGTCAAGGAACCCAGAGCTTACCACGGCCACGGCTGCTACCACGCGAAGGGCCCCGAGAACCACCACGGCGGCTGTTTGAATAGTTCCGTGATGCCCCCGCCATGCCACGTGCGGCCCCGGACTGGGTGCTCAGATCAACCGTGGGCTGATGCTTCGTTACACCCAGCGATCGGCTAAACGAGTTGGGGTCGATTGGCTGCGTGGGAATTTCCATCGTAGCCTCCACCGGCGGGGCGACAGACTTGAACGCAGCGGCCTTGCGAGTAGTGCCGCCGCGCGAGCCACCTCCTCTCGAAGATCCTTTGCCGCGACCGCGGGGGACGAAAACAAGCTCATCCTCGTCGCTCTCATCCTCGTAGGAGAGAAGAGACTTTGGTTCAGCGGTAGTCGTCTGGGTTTTCTCCACGTATTTGCACCGGTTCTTGTACTCCCGCTCCTCGTACTGGATGGATGTCCGCAGTTGATGGATGTTCTTGACTCCGATGCCGAATTTCTGCGCCCAGACCTGGGTAGGCCGATCGTTCGTAATTAGAATGCATGTCTTTGCCGCGTTAGCCGCATCAGGGCCGCTGTGCAACCGCCACAGAAGGGCGCTGAGCAGCGGTCTGAGCATCAAAGGAACCGTCGGAATGGTGGACCCCGACGCAGAACGACGGTGCCCACTCTCTGGCTTCTTTTTCGCATCCTTGCCGACTCCATTTACGACATGGGAATTCGCACACTCGGGGCTAGTCCGGGAGCTCCTGGAGGACGGTCGGGAGGCAGGGGCGCTGTGAGTGCCGTTTGACGTGATTGAAACGGCATCGGATTCTTTCTTGAAATTCAGCTTGTTGAGAAGCATTTGCGACAGATCGTCAGGAGCGGCGCCGTTCTTCTTCGTATCTTTGAATTTATCCTCGCGATTCCGCTGCGCCACCTGGTTGTCCGGAAGAACTCCGTTGGCTTCGGGTTCCTCCTCGAACTCCGGAAGGAAGAACTTCTCCGCATCGGTCCAGTTCTCATATTGCTCCATAGGACCCTGCAGGATGACTCGTTCGGCGGAGATGTTATCTTTGCCGGAGGTAACGCGGTCGAGGAAACGGACGGCCTCCCGGGCATTGATGGCGACTTGGGATCCGGCTCTCTTCAAGGCGTGGAGGCGCTCGAGGGCTAGAGAGGCATCGGGTCAGCAGAAATAGGCCGCGTGTCATCGAGTCACTCACTGTAGAGGGGAACGATAAGAGTGATGGCGCCATTAGTGGTCCATTTTTTGATTTCGCTGATATTGGTGGTTAACGCCGTCTCGTCCACGGCACAGTGGAAGACCTTGCGTCCGGTCGACATGGCTGGCTGAGAAAGGTCGACAGGACCGGTCGCGTAGTTGAAGGGTAAAAGACTGGAAAGCCACAAGGGCCCTAGACCGAACAGCTTGCTTTGACGACTGCGACCGAGCCGCAGGCGTGGTTAGCGTGGTGCTGAAGCCCGCGAGGGAGGTTTGGATTGGGATTAATGGAGGCGGAGGCCTGGGAATGTGGGGGCCCTGGTTCGAGGACCAGAACCATAGCCATTCAGAGCCCGACAGCCAGCCAAATGCCAGATTTGAAGGAATGAATCACTTACAATGAAAACCTCGCTCACTAGGGAAGATCATCTGCAGCATTTTGGGGTTCAAATAAGCGATCGTTGATGGAACAGAATCGAGGCGAGATGGTGAGCGAGGAATGAATCCATCAGCGGATCAACTGAAAGCCGCGGGATTCGCCTGGGCCTGACTAAGCGCCAGACGGATTCGACCGAATTTATTGTCATCATCATATATTCACCACCATTATTGTCCCCTCATAACACGTCGCTGCCATACCCCAATGACTCAATGGCCGCCCGGGAGTTGTCATCACCTTTACCCGTCGCTACACGCTTATCTTATTCGGGATTTCCCGTGTACTTCTAGATGGTTCGATCTCTATCTGGTATGGTATAACTGCGGTTGCTGGAATCGGAGATGGAGGGGAAAACGCTATGTCATACAAGACCCGACGATCATCAGGCCAAACCAATCTCTTCGCCTTCAAACCAACGTCAGCTGTCCTTATCCTCCCGTCCCTCCTACGTTGCCTTCTTGATGAGACCCTCCTCCGGCTTGACAAGTTGTGCCCACTCACTGTCGCCATTGTCAGCCACTGAACCTTTGTAGAAAGTCAGGGATCGGAAGAGAACTTACGTCCAGCTGCCATCGTATACCCTCCGCAGGTTGGGCTCCCCGAACTCCGCTTCGCCTAGTGCCGTCTCAATGATAGTCGCTGTCACACCAGTGCCACAAGAGCTGATGATGGACTTGGACTCATCAATATCCTTGCCCTCGAAGATCTTGCGTAGCTCAGGCCCCGGGAGATAAGTCTTGGTCTCCGGATCCAGAAGCTGTTGGAAGGCCAAGCTTTGGGATCCAGGAATATGGCCCGACGACAGCCCCGGACGTGGCTCCGGATCGGTTCCTGCCCAGCGGCCATAGGAGCGTGCGTCCAGGATCTCCACTTCCTTTGCGCCCTCCTTCCTATGCTCCTTGGCGATCTCCTTCAGCTCCCGGTAAGGGATCACGAGTTTCGAATCATACGTAGGTACGGGGTAGTTGGTCCTCTCCGGCTGGGAGGGCTCACCAGTCTCCGTCGGGTATCCTTCGCGAACCCACAGCCTGTAGTTGTTGAGTAGATGAACTCGAGGGTGTCCAAAGACTCGCAGGGTCCATCCGACGCGGGGAGCGCTAAAGATCCCCAGCTCTTCGGTGTCGTAGACGACCACCTCGTCGTCGCGGCGAATGCCAAGCTCACTCATTGCTTCGGCAAACGTTTCGGCGGTAGGAAGCATGTGCGGGTAGGGCGATTCATGATCCTTGACTCCATCCAAGTCGAAAAAGCGAGCCTCGGGAATGCGATGCTTGCGGAAGATGTCAATTCCCTTGCGACCCTCAGGGTCGTTCGGCATGAACCAGGCCGCGCATAGCGGTATCACGCGGGGAGAGGTGGAGATCTTCGTGCGCGGGTTCTTCTTGAGGGCGGAATCAAGCTCCTTGGGGGTAATCAAATATGAATTGAAAGAGAATTGGCGACATTGAGCCGGTTGTCGTGCCTGTTGTGCAATGGACATGGTGGACCGAACTAGGCGAGTCGGTGAAGGGATGGAATTCCGAAGAGTTACAAACGCCATATTGCGAGGCGGGGGCAGATGCAGTAGATATGGGAGATTTTGGTCAAGGATAATTTACATTCCGCTCAGACCGTGCTGTCTGATTAACCCACCTGCAGGTCCGGAAAGATGAATGAGGGGGAAGAAAGGAAGAGGAATAGTGGGAAGCGCAAGATCAATGGACGATGACGGGAGAGCTGCTATCAGTCCGTGTTTCTCCTCGCAAATGCGGAGGTGGCCATGTGAATTTCGGGAAAGCCTGTCCGCTTATCGCCCGGTCCACTTCCAACCACCTTCCCTTAACCTCCCCTTCGTCCCGACACTAAACGAGAACTCCGTTGCAATCCAATCATCCTCAGCCATGAAGGTCACCATCAAAGAGTGGAACGCCGTTGCTACTTGGCGCTGGGATATGCCCGATGATGAAGTGTGTGGTATTTGTCGGGTTCAATTCGATGGTACATGTCCGACCTGTAAATTCCCAGGTGATGATTGCTCGCTATGTATGTCAACGACAGTCCCTACTCTTTTTTTTTCAGCAGCAATGGTTATTAACCGGGTATTTTCACAGTACTGGGAAAGTGTGGCCATTCATTTCATATGGTGCGATTGTGGATCTTGATGTTCTCATCCTGAAGCAGAAACACTAACAAACCCCAGCACTGCCTCATGACTTGGATCCAACAAGAGTCCTCGAAGGGACTCTGTCCCATGTGCAGACAGAGTATGTCACTAATGTCCCTGCATTTATCTACGAGTGCTAAATCTGGCTGCAGAATTCGAGTGGAGGCAAAACGACGAGGAGGATGAATAGCAACCTCAAGTTCTCTACAACCTAAGCGGGTCGTTGAAGGCGTTGGTGGCTCCTTGCAAATTATGATACCCTGCGACTGTATTTTCTTCTTTCTAGCATAGAACTATTATACTGCTTATCTCTATATATTTTCTGCAATCACTCAACATCCGTGCACATAAACAAACCTCTGTTTACCGCCGATCGGGTCACCTGACGCTATCGATAAGGCAGCAGATGATCCGCGCTGAATGCGGCAAGTCAGTAGTTCCCCAGAGATACGGGAAGCTTGCTTGCCTCCCCGTAGCATCTCAGGTACCGGCCCTGCCCTGCCACGCTCACTTTCCATCCTCTCTTTCCCTCTCTCTCCCGATCACTCCATTCTAACCATGTAGCTCCACCCAGACATGTCTCTTCCAAAACACACCTCCCCATCTCCCTTATCCTCCTCACCCTCCCGCCAATCAGTCCGCCGAACCTCAGGATCTCGCCCCCAGAGCATCATCGACCGGCCCGGCACCGCCCAACAGGTCACCGACATTCCGGAGGAGCATGACTCTCACGAAGCTGCACCTGCACCAGCTCCAGTCCCACAGGTACACGCCCCTACCGAGCACGACAAACCCCACGATACAACACCCACCTTCCAACCCTTCTTCACCCTAATCGAAGACGCCAACTCCTCCGAATACCACCACCCCACAGTGCACTACATCTTCTCCGACGATGACACCGACATCGTGACTGAGGCGGCCCTACGCGCCCTAGAAGCAGAGCCCGATCTTTTCGCAGCCAACGGAAAGGGTAAATCCAAACCCACACAAGACCACCGCCACGAAGCAGACGGTGGTGCACAGGGCACATACCCCGAAGACGATGAATACGCCCACCAGAGGAAGGAATCCCTCCTCCCGGACCCTATCCCAGGCGTTCGCGATAACTACGTGATCCTCGATATAGACTATGCGTCTCCAGACGGTGCACAAAATGACACTACAGTCCCAAACACCGATGGCGCGGCGAGCGCTCACGAAGCCCAAGGAACAGGGCCTCCGCTTGCACAACAGCAACAGCAGAGTCAGAACCAACCATCGGCGCATAAATACACCGTGACCTCTGCACACAGTCTGTCGCCAGCATGGCAGGTACTGAATACGCAACTAGTTTCGGCGCCTACCTTCGAGAATAACAACTCGTCCGGGGGACAGCCGCCTAATGGGAGTCTGATGCTCAAGATCAAAGGCACAGCAGGGCTGCCTATGAATATGCCGGGGAAGGATAAAGATAGAGAGAGAAGTAGTCAGCGGTTGGAGGATATGATGGATCAGTTCGCGAAACGGTTGACGGAACTAAGACAAGTAATCGGTGCTGAGGAGCAGGCGGAAGATGCGGAAGGAGAAGTGGGAGGCGACTTGGCACTACCTGAGGAAGGGGATGTCGAAGGTGCTCCTGTGGTTAATACTGAAGAGCCTAACGAAGCCCAGACTCATGTTGAGGGCGGTGGGGAGAACGAGGGACAGTCTGCAGAAAATTGAGCTGGGAAGTGTAAATGTCCGGACTAGTCATGAAACCATGCAGTGTGGCAGTCAAGATATACACTTCATTCCTGGCAATGCTCTCTTAGGCACCCACCATGTTACATATCCTATGTCTTATGTTAAGCGGAAATGTTGACGCATGCAATAGCCACGAAGAGCTAAGCTCCATTGTATCAAACGACGAGGTATCTATACCAGAAACAGATGTAACACAAACTCCCAAACACCATACTGCAAAGTTTCAGATAATTACCCATCCTGCATTTGAAAAGCAAGCACCCAGCCAGTGTCCATCTCCAACCCGCCAGCCAAAATACAATGTCAAACAACCTGTCGTTCCTCAAATCGGCCAAATCCCAGGGTATCGGGTATCCCATAACGCCTGCCACAACCAAGCGAGACATAGCAGTATCCATGCACAATGCAAAACGAAAAAGGAGTCAAGCACGTGACACTAATTGAAGGGCTGGTTTCTAAGCCTTCTAGCGCTGGAAGGGGGAGGAACGTTTTCCGGACCCTCCATCATCCCAGCCATCTTCCTCGTCAGCTTCTTCTGCGAGAGCTTGGTATCAGTCGAGGTGAGATTGGAGCAGCGCCTTTTCGCAGGCGGTTGGTCGGTGTCCCCGGTTTCCGGTGTGGGGTCCATAGTAGTCCGAGGGGTTTCCGCGCCGGCAGTAGAGGACTTGCGGTCTCCAGCGCTAGATGCGCGCGGTTTTACGACGTTTGCATCGACTTCCCTAAGGCCCGTGTTGGAAGGAGTAACCGCGGTTTTGGGTGGTAAAGATCCTACCTCGTCCGAGGTGTCGTTAAAAACGAACCCTTTGGATGGGGGTGTTCCAGGAGAGCTGTCAAGGGTGGGGAGCTGATCTTCGCCGCTGAATGGCAGTGCTGTGAACTGTCTCGACGTTCTCATCCGGGTTTTCAAGCAATCATGGCCTTCTGTCCGGGGTAGGTCAGACGGATAGTCGTAGGCGCGTTTCCTGGGAGTCACGCCAGTGGAGACATAATCCTCGAAGGCTCGGTTCCTGATGTTCTCCCGAAGATCGGTCAACGGCTTCCGGACTTCATCCGAGAGTGGCATCGTCGACTCTTGCAGGTTGAGTTGTTGCTGGATCGCGCCCTCTTGTAGCTCGCTCAGACGGCCACCAAGCTCCATGAACTGCGTGTTCACAGAATCATAAGACTGGTGGACATTGGATGCCATGTTCTGCAGGCTGGAAATGTGGGCGTCACGGTAAAGGCCATTCTGGGAGCGAGCCTTGGCGACGAAATCGTCCAGTGCTTCCATTTGTTTACTCATGTTGTTCACCTGAGCATCAACAATACGGACCGTTTCTTCGTGAACAGACTCGGTTGCTTTTTGGATAGAAGCATTGCGTTGATCGAAGACCTAAATTATTAGTATGCGTGGGCACAAGTATCCAGAGAGCGAAACTTACTTCCCAGTCACTTTGCATCCTTGACCTGATGTCGTCTTTCGATGCAGTGACGTCCTTTGCAAACTGTTCCGACTTGAACACCCATTCGTCAACGTGGCGGTCATACTGAGCAGTGGCGTGTTCCAGGAAGTCGCCAGAAGATGTAAGTTCTGTGCGCATGGTCTCCACCCTACCCTTCAAGCGGCCAAACTGCCTCTGGCGGGACTCTTCAATCAATGCCTTCATTTGCGACATCAGAAGGTCACGCTCGGCTTCGGCATTGGCACTCTCTTCCTCAAGGGTCTGTGCCAAGTGGGAAGATGCCTTGCGGTTGGCCTCTACCGCCTTGGTGTTAGCCTCCTGGAGCTCCAATCGCAACTTGTTGATCTCTGCTTTTTGTCCATTGAGATGCGTGACCATATCCTCAAACACAGTCTTCAAATCCTTGCCAAGAGCACTGTAGGACGAATGAAGTTGAGCGTGAAACTCGGAGAACTCGCCAATAACCTCTTTTGATATGCGAGCGGCTGCAGCTGAGAGACCATTCAACCCTTCGCCAACCTTACGCTTGACTTCCTCACGTAGGTCCTTGATCTCTTCGAGGACTTCGTTCATCTCATCATGGGCGCCCGAGGTCTGAGAATTCGCCTCACGTTCCGCCTTTTCGAATAGGCCTGCCGAATGAAGTAATTGCGATTGGTTCGATTCAATGTTGCCGAGTTCACGTGTGACAAATTCGTTGATCTTCTCAGACATAGCTTCCACAAGCTCGGAATGTTGCTCCTGGAACGCCTCCACCTTGGAATCAATCACTGTAGTAACATTGGATACCTCCGCGGTAGACACCTGCCAGGCCCGCTTGTTGGTGGCATCGAGGTCAGTCTTGCGCTGTATCTTGGCATGCAGGCCACTGATGTCTTCCACTGTCGTATCCAAAGTAGACAAAAGACCTGCGCCAATATCACGAAGTTTCGCTTCTGTGTCCTCATGCGCTTTCCGCAGCATTTCCTCTTCCTCAAGCTGAGCCTTAGTATCCTTGAGAACAATTTCGGTCTGCTCAAGTACGTCGTTCGTATTAGCAAGAGCAGCACGTGTTTCTTCATTGTCCTTCTTCAGATCATTGAAATTGCTTGTGAGTGTGAAAAGTTCCTGAACCTTGTGTCGCAAGCTCGATTCCATGGACTCGATCTTTGCACGCTGTTCCTCATTGACGATCCTTCGTGATTCGCTTTCCATGTGCATCTCTTCCCAGGAATCAACGCTCATGTACACACCATTTCGGTGTCGCGTAGCGATAAGCTCTCCTTTCAGTTTTTCAATCTCTGCTGTGAATTCACGAATGAGCGTCTTCTTCGGCATTGTTGAGTTGATCTGCGGCTTGTTGCGGATATTCTTCGCCCTGAACGCATAATCCAAAGTGGAAATCGTTTCCTCCAGGTTACTGCGCGATGGTGAGACCGTAGCAATGATGCATGTCTTTGTTCGGCCTCCGAGAGAGTCTTGCAGCAGGCGGGTAAGCTTGGATTCCCGGTATGGGATATGGGCGCTCTTGTCGACCAAGGCGTTGATCACACGACCCAAAGTGAGCAAACTCTTGTTTATTAGACCAGCTTCGGTCGCACGCTTGTTTTCAGCACCGCTACGCTGGATATTCTCACTACCAGCCAAGTCGACCAAGTTCAGCTTTCCGGGGCTGATATACTCCTCGCCCGACTCTGTCGTTCGTTTCGTAAGGACGGTGATAGTGAAAACAGTGTGACTCCGGGAACTCAGGTCGTTACATTTGGTTGCCGCCACTTGCCGCTTGTGACTGCCCTCCTGGAGCAGCTTTATTCCAGCCGACGCAGAGTCGATGAATGTCTCCTCCATACCCTGTACAAGTGTGCTTCCATGGCCCTTTTTTGACTCGTTCTCATAGATCTTGAGTTTTGGGTTTTCCTCAGAGGAGAGCAGATCGCGAAGCTCTTCATTGTATAACTCGATGAAGGAACACTTCACAGTGCTCTCTGTTTCCTGAAGCTTGTGGAATAATGAGTAGAGCACACGCGGGATGATACCAGCATTGTCTGAGAGTATGCCCAGGGTATCCGTCATGTCGCCTGACATTGTGTAGGTCTTTCCGGTTCCTGTCTGTCCATAGGCGAAGATTGTGCAATTGTATCCAGCAAGCATTTCGTTAACAATGGGTAATACAACGTCTTCATACACAGTGACCTGATCGGCGGCTGCTGAGAAAACCTTGTCAAATGTGTAGGCCTTGTTGGCCAAGGCATTTGGGCCCATAGATAATTCAACGCATTTGCCTTTTACTCCCTCGGGAGTTGATACGACGACTCCGCTCTTCTCCTGGATTTCCCTGTCGTTGCGGCCGCGACATCTTACCACAACGTGAATACTGGTGTCTTCGTTGATTTCACGTTCAAAGTCTCTTTCTTTTCGCTTCGCAATAAGACTGGTGGTGGATGATTCGGTCGGCGATTTCACCACGCGCGAGCTACTAGGGGGCGCTTTCGCAGTAACTGCCGGAGAATTGGCTCTGGTCGAAGAGGGCACCACCGACCCCGCTCGTCGTGTCGATGGGCGTGTCGACGGGCGTGTAGTCGTTGTCGTCGTACGTCTTGTTGGCAGCCCAGAGGCAGGCCGTTGTGGGCCGGCCATAGTGGACTATAGAGTGAGAGTAACAAATCCCGTGCCGGTTAAGTGCAGTGAGTGTCAATGCTGCGCAATCTCAAATTAAATGGGCAACATAAGGCGATAAGGTGGCGGCGAATGTGTGGGATGTCGGATAAGGAGGTCGAGGTTTGGAGTATTTACCGATGTTGATGCGGGATTCTCAAAACGGAAAACGTAAACAAACCCACCACACCGCCCACGTGCCGGCCCCCGTCATTCCCCCCTCTCACATGATCGGTCCTATGCGTTCATCGCCTTCCCCCCACGGCTTCTCTCCTCCTGACTATCGCAACTCTTCCCAGACAGTGTTCAGTGTTCCGAAGCATCAGTTTGTCTTCAGCTTTGAGTGCTGCTCATTTGTAAAAATAAACTACGGGATGGTGCTTTGCCCATCCAGCATCCAGTACTCTTGACATATATATACTACCGACTGCTAATACCCACCGCCCTCTCAGTCGGCCGCCTCAGTATGAGAATCGGCCGTAATCCATCATGAGTTCCTCCAGACCTTCACCGCAGGCTCAGATCTACCCTGGGAAAGGGCTGGGATTCATAAGCATGTTGAGTCATTACACTTAGTTTTGGACATGGCTAATCGGTGTCGCATAGCTCTCGGAGCCTCCCTTCATAATGTCTTAAGCCGCGTCAAGGCCCATCCCCAGATATACCCCGCTATTGATATTGCATACTCCTCTGCAGAGCCCTTGAACAAGCCAGTAACCTTGCAACTTCCATCGAGCGGTCTTCGTCTACGTTTTGATGGACCCGACCAGCGGCTTCGCTTGATCGAGGTCTTGGACTTCTCCAAGATTGCACTTGTTTATAAGAACCAGGAAGTACTGAAAGGTGTGAAACCGGGGGAGCAGTCGGTGACACAGCAAGGCCCCAACTTTCGCCATGTCTACAACCGTCTCTTCGGGCCCTCCTATCCTGGAGAGTATATACCTCCGGATAGCCCTCAGTCGCCGTATGGCACCTACGTGCTATCGTACCCTGGAGTCGCATTCTCCTTCCCACTGCAGAACTCGGCATGGTCCGATCAGTGTGACTTTGTAGCATTGCTTTCCTCCTCAGCAGCCTTGCCAGCAACGTCTATGGCCATTTTTCAGGGCTCATCTTGGCCCGAATCTCGAAACAAACTATTCACACAGCAGCCGCAATTTCCGCGCTCGCCGGCATTGGCAAGTAAGAGCAGAGAATCTGTTCCAGACGAGATTGAGGAGTTTCTCATACTGGGTGGCGGCAAGATTGAAGTAGTGCGAAGATCGAGTCCATCTGCAGTCATCGCGCTGTCAGAAACCACTCCTCAGGATCTAGTTGCGGAGTTTGGGCCGCCTGATGCCATCTACCGTAAACATGATCGGAGAATAGCTATTCATCGAGCCGCCGGCCGTAGCGGTGGCGAGGACGCTCTTCACATGGGTTCTTCTCCAGGCAGAATAGATGTTACTGACATCGATCAATCTTCAAACAACAGTGTGTCCGATGACTCTGATGACGAGCTCTTCCAACCAAACGCAGCGGATCCTTCGTCACTACCGTCAGAATGCTTTTTCAACTACTTCCACCATGGCTTTGATGCGTTCATCTCCTATCCAACTACGCCTGGCCCCGCCTTTCCAGAATCTGACCAGAGAGACCCCACTCCACCGCCGCCTCATTCGCAGTTGGTCGTGACCAAAATTATTTTACATGGAAATGTGCCGGGTTCATATCCTTTCAATCGCCACCGCCGAAGCCGTTGGAGGATTGTTTTCAGTTCGCCTGATGATTTTGTTACTTCCGAGACTCGTTATGAAGAGGTTTCGGAGCGTCTCAGGTCAACCTGGAAAGGATCTTATGCAAGCCCTGCGGAGGAGCGGGCTCTACAACGGCCCATGGTTTTGAACCGAGGGTGGGGCGACAGCCCAGAGAGCAGCGTCGAATTTCTCGGCGGATGGGAAGAGAGCACCGGCAAAGGGCAGAGGACGGGCCACGAGGGGCATGACGGCGGACTAGGCAATACGGAGCTCTTCGGATTCCCTGGTCTGTTGTTCGAGGTGATGAAGAATGGCGCAGTGAGCTGCTTGACTATTTATTGACCTTGGTTTTCCCATTTCTCGGAAGGGCGGAGCGGAGTTTCGGGCTGTGTGTCTTCTGGCAAGCATCAGTATCACGAATATTGCATACATTGATAGAAATATTGTACTAATTTCAAGGCAACGTTGCTTATGAAGTCGCTTTTCGGGTTTACTATATGTGTATCTAATTTTGGCTGTGGTATCGAATAACCGTTCCTCATGCATCATACCATCTGTGATTGGTAGTGTGCGTAACTTACCGTAATACCAATACACGCATTTTACGGCGCATCGGAGATGGGTGGACATTATTTGAATCTCCGCTCCCCAACCAGTCACCTGCCACCCTCTCGCCCAATTCCCCCAACCTCAAACAGTGGGATATGATACAGCGGTAGTATGCCGGACCTGCCACGGACGCTCGCTCGGTCCTGGTCGTCGACGCTCAAGCTCCCGAAATCGACGTTCCCTGCACGCGTGACGCCGGCCGATCGGACAAAATACTTGCAGCGATGCACCGACGACCTCTACGCCTGGCAACAGCGTGAAAGACCAGCCAGCCAGCCGTTCGTCCTGCACGATGGACCACCATACGCAAACGGTGACCTTCACATCGGCCATGCCCTCAACAAAGTACTAAAAGACATCATTTGCCGTGTGCAGCTCGGTCTGGGAAAGCGGATTCGATACGTACCGGGATGGGACTGTCACGGCTTGCCGATAGAGCTGAAGGCTCTAGAAGCGCAAAAGGAACTACAGGGACAGGAACACAATCGACCCGTTAGCGCAGCGCTGGTACGCAAGGCTGCGCGCAAATTGGCTGATCGGACGGTCAAGGCGCAGATGAAGGGATTCCGGAGCTTCGCGGTCATGGCGGACTGGGAGAACCATTGGAAGACTATGGATAAGGCGTTTGAGAAGAGACAACTTGGCGTTTTTCGGGAAATGGTCGATAAGGGATTGATCTATCGGAGATTCAAGCCGGTTTACTGGTCGCCGTCTACTGGGACGGCACTGGCGGAGGCCGAGCTGGAATACAAGGAAGATCATGTTTCAACGGCTGCTTTGGTGAAATACCCTCTTGCTAGCATCCCGGAGCACCTGGCACAGGACCCTTTGCTTAAGGATAAGGAAATCAGCGCTGTTATTTGGACTACGACTCCCTGGACACTCCCGGCAAACGCGGCTATCTCGGTTCACCCGTCTTTGGATTACACGATTGTCGAATCAGATACGCAGGGTTATCTCCTCATTGCGCAATCTCGGCTGGAATACCTCGAGGGTATCCTGAAGGAGGATTTGTCGGTCATTGTGCCAGCTATTCCTGGCTCGAAGCTTGCTGATCAGACTACATACCGACCTCTGTTCAAGGGATCCGATGCGGAGCCGCAACCCATCATTGCTGCGGACTTCGTCACCGCCGACTCCGGATCAGGTCTCGTTCATTGCGCCCCAGGCCACGGTATGGAGGACTACGAAGCCTGCTTATCCCGAGGTATCCCCGCTTTCGCCCCCGTGGACGACAACGGCAAATTCACCGACAAGGCCATGCCCAGCGACCCGACAAGGCTCAGTGGAAAGAGCGTCCTGAGTGATGGAAACGCTGCTGTTCTCGAATACGTTGAATCCCAAGGCCTGCTGATCACAAAGCACCGCTACGAGCACAAATATCCCTACGACTGGCGGTCCAAGCTTCCCATCATCATCCGCGCCACAGAGCAATGGTTCGCCGACGTAGCCGACATCCGTGGCAGCGCCATGACAGCTCTCGAGGATGTCAACTTCGTGCCTACTGCCGGAAGACAGCGACTGGAGAACTTCGTCAAGAACCGCAGCGAATGGTGTATCTCGCGTCAACGCGCCTGGGGAGTCCCTATCCCGGCGCTTTACCACCGCGGTACAGGCGATGCTTTGCTTACCAAGGACAGTGTATCTCACATCATGAATGTCATCGAAGAGCGTGGCATTGACGCATGGTGGACAGACGACGCCAACGACGAGGCGTGGATCCCACCAGCTCTGCGAGACGCCTCTGGGCCCGGCTACAGACGCGGAACCGATACCATGGACGTGTGGTTCGACAGCGGCACCAGCTGGACCGAGATCGACCTTCCTTACCGTGACGGCGGATATCCCGCAGACGTCTACCTGGAGGGCACCGACCAACACAGAGGATGGTTCCAGTCCGGTCTCCTCACCTTCATTGCCCACCAGCTCGCGTCCGGACACACCGCATCCCCTCGCGCGCCCTTCAAGAACCTCGTCACCCATGGTTTTACCCTGGATGAGGAGGGACGCAAGATGAGCAAGTCGATCGGCAATGTGATCCAGCCAGAGTCAATCATGGATGGCACGCTCTTGCCACCCCTCAAGCCGAGAAAAGGCAAGGGGAAAAAGCAAGCCGAGAACCAGGCACCGGTCTACGACGCGCTTGGCCCGGATGCTCTGCGAATGTGGGTTGCAAGCAGCGACTACACGCGGGATGTCGTGATTGGCAAGCAAGTCCTTCAGACGGTCAACACCAGCTTGCACAAGTACCGTGTGACATTCAAGCTGCTGCTTGGTGCCTTGTCTGACTTCCGTCTGGAGGATCGTCTTCCCTATGATCAGCTGCAGCAAGTGGATCGCATCGCTCTGAAACATCTGTCTGACACCGTCTTGGCCTGCCAGAAGGCCTGCGAGAACTTTGAGTTTTACAAGGCTGTGAATGCCATTAACCGCTGGGCTAACCTTGAGTTTTCTGCATTCTACATGGAAGCTATCAAGGACCGTCTTTACACCTACGCTGAGAACAGCACCAGCAGAAGGGCTGCCCAGACGACCTTGTTCCACATCTACCACCACCTTCAAGAGGTGCTGGCTCCCATCACTCCGTTGTTGGTCGAGGAGACCTGGGAGCATACGCCCGAGGCCATCAAGACCCACTGCGAGCATCCGCTGAAACGGATTGTTTCCGCGCCCGCCTCTGAATGGCAGAACCAGGCTCTGGAAGCGGACTATCAGGATATTGTGGCCGTCAACTCCGTGGTCAAGGCGATTCAAGAAAAGGCCCGTGGCCAGAAGCAGATGGGCTCTTCCCTGCAATCGTTCGTCCACATCGTTCTTCCCCACGGCGCGACGAGCGAATCGGTCTTCGCGCGCCTCCAGTCCGAGCTGCCTGATGTGTTTGTTGTCTCGTCGGTCAGCCTCGGGGCGCACGAGGAGCCGATCCCGGAGGACATCCGCAATGCGGAGTGGCAGTACAGTGAGGAGTACGAGCTGCCGAGTGGCGGCAGAGGAACGGTACATGTATATACCCCGCAGGCGAGCAAGTGTCCGCGCTGCTGGCGTTATGTGGTGCCCGAGACAGAAGCAGCGGAAGAGACGGTGTGTGGGCGCTGCGAGGAGGTGGTGCAAGAGTTGGATGCATCGAGCTGAGTGGTCAGTTCCTTGTTAGCATTTGAATCGTACAAGCTAGTGCTGCATGTATATTATAATAGTAACAAATAGCATAGATCCGGGTTAGGTTCCCTGGCACGCCAGCATTAGCGGCATCTGTAATACATGGTAGGATCCCTGCGAAAATCGACCAAGCGACTGTCTGTCTGCTTGGCGGCACGGAACAGCTTGGGGCGTGGTGTAAACATAGTAAAAGTGCGTGGCCTGAGCGATGCCGGATTAAGACCCGTAGATTATATTATATATTGGGCCAACCGAAATCACTCATACAACCCGCCAAAGCCATCAGGAGATTATCTAGCTGTTAAGCCCTAGATATTGCCGTGCCAGAGCTCTTTATTATCACAAGGAGACACTGGCTTTTATATCTGGCCTGCCCTTGAGGTAGTTAGTAGACCAGATAGCATATCTAGCGCATCCAAGATACTACAATCTGCCTGTCTCATTACCTGGATGGCGCCATGCGATGACCATTCTGCCACACTAAGTATCAGCCGGTCTTTGTCTAGCGAAAATGTAATATCGGCTAAGAGACGCTAGTCTGTCTGCTGTAGAGTTAGTCTATCTGTATGTAGGGTTATCTTTTTCTTGGTGATAAAGCCTTGACTAGCGCCACTCGCGGTGGTTAAATAATCTTCCCAGCCTACACACTTATCAGCCTTGTATCAACGACCTCCTCCTATATCAGAAATGAAACTCGACCACCTCCCCGTGGAGCTAATTCTCCAAATTGTTCCCTTCCTAAAGAAACATGATTATGCGCAACTAGTGCTGGTTTGCAAGTCCTGGTACTCCCTATTCATCCCCCATCTATACCACCATGTTGTGCTTCCCTTGAACCATTACTGTGGTTTCGGATATGGTCACAAGCGCTATAGCAAGGATCTTCCTGTGCGTCGGTTCACCTTGGCTCTGCTTGAGAATCCAACCCTTGCTCCCTTGATCCACTTTCTGCAGCTTTATCCTAGTGATTGTGAGGGGAAATGGCAGAATCGGCCTCCGCTAAAGCCGGTGGCTGAAGAAAAATACCTCCCTTTCATGCTGCCCTATGGCGATGCTAAGCGCAAACATCGTCGCAAGTTCCATGCATGGCGCCGAGATCTTAGACACAGATCCGAGCGACAGGACTGGTATCGGAAATACCGATACGAAGATGCCTGGCTAGCCTTGCTCATGGTACAAGTCAAGAACCTCGAGACGTTCGCCATCCAATTACCCGAAGAGTGGGACCACATTGTTGACGAAGGAGAACCCCTACTCAAAAACTCTGTCCACTTTGAACGTGTCATTCAATGGGCTAGTAACCCGAAGCTGGGCATTCTCACGTACCTAAAGCACATTTCGTTGAGGGATGGCCCAGATTTCTGGGAATATCGGACTTCCGTAGGCGCAGTTCCCATGAACCGGCTGCTTCCTTATCTCCGGATTCCGTCACTGCGAAAGCTTTATGTGCATAATGTGTGTGATCGATCCCGATTCCACATGCCTAAAAGTTTGGTTCTTCCACTGACCCATCTGGATCTTATGGCAAATGATGATGACCTGCCTAATCTCCCCAGCCTGCTGGAAAGGTGCCCGAACCTGCAGTCATTCACCCTTGAAGTGGGCGACGGGACGGCGAATCATACTCACCAATACCTGAATCACTCGCGCCTATACCAGCCCTTGCGACGATCTCAATTGTCGTTGCGTTACCTGAACCTAATTTTCCTGAGCGACCGGACCTGGCAGGATGCCGAAATCCCAAGCCCTATCTTCTTCGGGAGCCTGACTGAGTTTCGTAATCTCCAGACCATCCATATGCGGTGGAGTAGCTTGTTGCCGTTTCTCGGGAGCGGTTCCTACGATCCCGAGAAATCTCTTCGGGAGCTGCTTCCTTGCTCTCTGCAATATCTCTTCATTCACGATTGCTTGATCCAATCCTCGTTGGCCTTGTGCAGGGAACTCGAAACCCTGGAGATACACTATTTCGAGGCCGTCCCTTTGCTCAAGGCGCTATATCTTGAGTATGCTGTTAGAGAGCAAGCACCAGGACAGGGGTGTATGAAGTGTGTTAGCGGTCATTGGTCCAACTATCGAATGATGGAAACAGACCCCGTCATCGATCGCCGTCTACTGGACTTGCAAGGGAAATTCCGTACGTTGGGCGTGGACTTCCGGATTATCGAACCAGGAGCCACGGCGAAACCTTTCCCTCTAGACGGTGCGATCAGGACGAAGTGGCCTTGGGAGACTTTTGATGGAGTTTTGATGTAGACATTTTGTTTTTTACCCTTCCGGAGATGTGGTATTTAGATGAAGCAAGGTATGGGTAAGCTGCGTCAGACATAACGATTAGTTTGTGAAGAAGAACATGCGTGATGCAATACCGGGGCACGAGTACCAGCAGTATTGGAATGAATATCGTCGCTTCTCCATGTGGTCATAACAATTCATGTTCAAATTGAAAGATGTGTATGGGTGTTGATGAACCAAACAATCGAAAGGGCATATCAAATGGGTAGCAGTAATCTGAAAGCTTTCAGGAAGCCGTGTTAATTAATTGTAAGGGGAATTTGTCGGAGGAAAAAGTGATGTTAGGAAGAGGATGTGGCAGTAACGGGGATCGTGCGGAAGCTGTGAGATCGGAGTTAGGAAGGCATGATACGCGCTAAGATCTACTTTGCTGGACATTATGCATATCACGGGATCGCATCTATTTTGAGGGCGTGAATTGGAACCAGTCAATGTAGAGTACTGTGTAGTCTAGACACGCAAGTCCAGCTCGTCTGATGGATGATTAGGTGATCTTCTTGGGGATCAAGGAATGACCATGTTAGCTTAGGGACTATACATGAGTAGCTACGTAGTGGAGTAGTAGTCCTCTTTTTCCAACCTTCTTTCTTTCAGTTGTTAGTTGCCTATTTTGTATTAACAATAGTATTCTACTATTATTGAATAGTAGTTGGGTTATATTCCAGTAATCTAGACATATCATTATCACTGAATCGACTGCAAAGCAGGTGGATGAAACCGGTGCCTTGTAGCTGAGTCATGACCGATCTGGGGATGGCGTCATTCCGCGGGGAGCGCAACGTCTCGGTGGAGCTCCAACCTTCCCATCTTCACCAAAGAGGCGACGCATTCGTATCATGCAACAACTTCTGACCAGCCAGCTTTTCAAGTTCCAGACAAACATGGACACGGCACCCATTCCTTCCCGGTTACACGGTTCCCCCTCAAGCCCGCGGTCGCATCCGCCGTGATTGGTTCTCCGCTGCTCTCCAAGCTCAATGACGACAACATCGAGGTCAGCATGACGCTGGTCGCTGGGGAACGGTGATTCCCAGTCGATGCTCCTCTTTGATTCACTGGATCATGGCCAGCCTGCATCTCGGCTCTCCCGGTTCCCGTTAAATACCCAGTCGATCCCCCTCATATACGCTGATTTCCCCCGCAATATCCTTTTGCGTCGGACTGTCTCTACACCATCTTCAGTGTCGATAGTTCTGTCGAAATCAAGCAACATGATCGAGTCCTTCATCAAGGCGACTCCAACTCTCCCTTGGCCTGAGCCATCGCCCACCTCGTCGGTGGCGCCCATTCCCACTGTCGTTCCCGGCAGTGATCCCATCTTCCAGGTGCTCCATGACACCGGGAAACGGACACTATGGTAAGACTGTTGCTGACGGAAATACGGAAATGTGACGAGTATAGCTAATGTCGAGTTACACAGGGTGGTTACTGTGCTCATGGGTATCTCCTCTCTCGTGTTCTACGTTCTAGGTGCTCGGGTCCCTATCGTAAGTTCTCAGCAGCTACCACTGAATCTTGGGAACGGTAACTAACTATACTCTTGACTAGACTAAACGCGTGTTCCACGTTCTCGTTGCTCTCGCCAGCACCATCTCCTTTATCATCTACCTCGCTCTGGCGACAGGACAAGGCATGGACTGGAAGCTCGACATCATCAAGGAGCACAACAAGCATGTCCCCAACACCACGCAGGAATACTACCGTCAAATTCTCTGGCTCCGCTATGTCCTTTGGTTCTTGACGGAGCCTTTGGGTCTCATCAGCTTGTCGCTGCTCTCCGGTCTGCCTGGCGCCCACCTACTCATCGCCATCGCGGCCGACTTTATCATGCTGGGCTCGGGCATTCTGGGCACCTATGCCGGCCATTCCTCGCGCAGATGGGTCTGGTTCACTATTAGCGCAATCGGATATCTTACAACAGTCTACCATATCAGTGTCCATGGAAGCCGGGCAGCGAGCAACAAGGATGTCCAGACCAAGCGGTTCTTCGGAACTCTGTCGGGCGTCATGTTGTTTGTCAAGCTCTTGTACCCAGTGTATGTTCCTTTGGCCCAAGAGGATCTGTTGAACAATGTACTAACATGGAATAGGGCCCTCGCTGCTGGAGCTTTGGCGCTGAAAATCAACGTTGATGTCGAGACCATCCTCTTTGCCATCTACGATATCTTCTCCCAGGGTATTCTCGGTTATTGGCTGCTCATTGCGCATGACGGCGCTCCTGGAATGTATGTACCAACCGCTCATTGGTTTGGAACCTAGCGTCAAACTAACCATCTCATCAGTACCCTCAACGTTGACGGATTTTGGTCCCACGGCCTGGGTAACGAGGGCGCTATTCGCATCAGCGAAGAAGACGGAGCATAAACAAGCCACTCCTGTTATCAGGTGCCTCAAGATTACATGGGTGGCGCGTCTTCGGTTATACATTGGTTTGGTCCACCAATCAATGTGCCAGTCGCTACAGTACTTACACATTCACCTTCCTTTCATCATTTCACTACCCTACTTTCACTCTTTAATGATCACGAAATGACATGACATGACACTTCCAGCATCATATGCAACCAGTATGACACTAATATGCCCCGAATACCACGAAGTGGAAAAGTTTCGGATACGCGTGGTGGCATTATTTACCTGAAGGATAATAATCGACCCGACTTCTGTCTGCAGAAACACTGTCTTTTGATTGATTGCACATTGTGTATAGTTGTCATTCTGATTTTCAGTCAGGACAAAATTGGGCGTTTGGAATTTATCTGCCTGTCTAACACACGTGTGTCTCTGTACGGTGTAGTTGGTTTACTTCCAAGTTTTAGTTTACTTCGGAAACGTATCCACAAGATCAGAATGTGATAACAAATAAACTTGATATCTCCTCTCTGACATAAAGCAAGAGAACATATAACAGTAGTTGCTCCTTGAAACAAAACTCCCTTCATCCAGCTTGGTAGGCTCTCTGTACCACCTTCTCCCCCTCCTTCCAACCACCACCACCACCATCATTATCGTCATCTGATCAATAAATGAAACCAGCAGGGATTATTCCTAGTTCTGGACCCATGCCTGGTCTGGACGGATATTAACGTATTGTCAATCTGCTCGGGTAGCCACCTAATCTGTGACTCCTTCATTCGTTTAGGTGACACTATTGGTAGTGACAACTATCAATCTGTTTTCCAACACAATAACTGCTATAGCTTACTAGCAGTCACAATTCAAAAACCCTCTCCGATACGTCACACTACTATACTACTATCATCAGCAAAAGTATAAAAAAGTACTAAACCACATCCGTCCAGCCTCTCTTCTACATCCTATGTGTCAACCTTGTCAGCAGTCGTGAGCTACAGCTCACCATGGTTCTATTTGTCCACTTTGGGAGATACAAGACCGTAGTAGGTAGCCTAGTCTATTATTAGAAATGGTGTGAGAAGTAGCATACTAGCTCATTCCTCCAGTTAGATACTCATGATGAGAAAACAATAGCTGATTTATCACCTATGTAGTTAAATTGCCTATAAACACTCAATCCCCAAAGTCAATCAGTGAGACATGCTCCTGCTAATTATAGCAGAATAGTTACAGGCTCTAGACTAAGACGGATAAAGTGTGCAGGAGAAGTAGAAGTGCTCTGTAAAAGACTTATATACAGCTATCAAGTAAGTACAAATGTACTGCGCCGCTTCCAGATTTGCCATTAAAGCATCCAAAACAGCCTCGTGGTCGTTGGTATCAACTTCACCTTCGAGATAAAGAAGCTTGCCCTTCCGTATGACCCACTAATTTGCTTCGATATGGTATTTTCCTGGATCCAGGACAGATGTAACGGAAGAAGACATATCCGTCAGCACACCCGGCAATGCCTTTTGGGTTGCTCAGTTGTTCAACGAAACTCGGAAAGAGTAAATCACACGGTAATCAAAGACCTGGACAATTTGAGACTGTCCAACACAGTTGGCTCGGCCAATCGCCTGCTCGCTAACTGCTCTGGTCAGGGCAACGCTGAAAATTTGTCCATCCCGACAGAACCTTTGTAGATTCAATCCAGCAGAGGTGACCAATGGATCGTAGTAGGCGTCTAAGTACACCTCGACCATCCACCTCGGCGAGGTATACACAATCAAGGCCAGTCAGTCAATGGACCTAGAATTTATCGATATGATTGACAACTTATATTGAGACAGTGACTTGTGGCTCTCAGTGGATACATGGCATTTAGGATACATAGATTATTAGTCGCAAAAGTGCCATGAAAGATCCGGGCCATAGATTGAACATACTCCTGTAGTTGCATTCTTGTAGTTCAGTCGGTAACGTTTCATCAGTCTTGAGTGTGCGGTTATATGTGGACATAAATCCGCTACTATAATTCAGACCCGCCACTCCTTTGATGATGGCTTCGACCATTAATGTGGTAGTAATTGTCGATTGCAGATTGCCCGTTCACTATAACGTCTGTCTTTGACTTCGCCCGACCATAAGCCGTCGAACTTCCATAGCGGCTTAATAGTTTTGCATTCTTGGGTTTCATGAGCTTGTTATAGCGTTCATAGGATTTCGAAGCGGTATGCAGAAGGATGTCCACAGTAAGCTAGCATAATACTCTTGAGTGGTTATGCGTAGGATGTATGATCACTGAACCCCTGTGAATTTGAGAGATAGATGAAACAAAACAGAACATCGTTGTTCTGGTATTTGGCTATTGCTTTTGACATTCCAGAGGAAATAGACCAGGTGTGTCCGAGCGTACCACGAGGCTTCCTCGATGGGCCTGTCTCCCTTATATATCGACTCTCCCTCCTGCATACATGGTGTCAAACATCCTTCGGTAATTCTCCTCCAAACTGGAATCCCCATCACCAACCTGACCGTTGCGGTCTGCAATATACTCTTCGAGGACTGGCTTCGTATTCTCATCTTCCAATCATAGGTTTCAGACTTGATCATTTGTCGCCAGTCCCAGCCCACCAGCCAGATGTCATAAACTATGCCTGGGGATAGGATTTCCAACTTTCGGGAAGTTCTTTTTACCCCATTGTCAGATTGAGCAGGATTTTGTCCTATACAACAGTCCATTATGACTCGTCTCGCGGGCCTTCTGTCACCACTTAATCTGGCACCACTAGGAGGTAGAGATCTTGAGTGAGATCATGGGCAGCCAGGGACGCTGAGTTAGGTCCAGGGGCGGCGGCGGATCTCTTTGAACCATATGGAAGCGAACAATAATTTCTCAATATACGTAAGACAGAAGGCCACAAGATCTCCTGGGTATGGAGCCATCTGATGTTGGATATATGTCACAGAATGGATGAGCCCCCTATTGGGACATTAGAGACTTGTTCTCTGTAGGTCATCAAGCTAAAGGGTGCCTATAGTCTTGTCCATTAGTAGGCGGATCTTGGTTCGTCAATCTTGGCGAGATAGTAGCAGCCTGCTACCAAGTTACAGTATCGTCTTTTAGAGGCACAGGGAGTATGTCAATATCTCATATGATAGTTTTATTAGAACCTCTGTAGTCTTGACCTGCAGCCCATATCGCAAATAAGCGCCTCCGCGCCCCTGCCCCCCTCTCAGCCCCCCTCCCGGAGGAGGGTGTGGTCTCAGGGTTATGAGACCGTCAGCCGCAATTTGGCGACCCTTTGAGCATTTCAGCCAAATCATGGGCGGCCACATGGAGAGTGCATTCCCATCTTCCTTCTCAGTTTTACTTGTCCTGCGTCAGATGACTGCGGACGTCGTTTCTTCATCTCGGGAGGTGTGTTCTCATCGGCATGTTGCCTGCCTCGGCGTTTCGTCCTTATGCTTTTGGTATAGTATTCGCGTCACGAAAGGCCCGGATCGAGGTGTGACTTTCTTCTCGAACGCTTCAAAAGCGTCGATCAATTCAGTGGGTATGTAGTATCGCTTGAGAACAAGATAAAGTCCGCAGATGTAGTGTTGAAAAGCTTGGATGAGATGGTGTAGGTGTAGCAGTTCTGGCTAACCCATAGATACTTTGATATGAAATCAGACTTTTAAGTCTTCTGGACTGGTCGCCCGCCCATCGGTCACTGCTGGATTTTCGGTAGAATCTAAAGCGTCTAGGTCGTATTTCCTTTGTGTGGTTTTATCTTTCGTGGTACCCTGTTCGTATCCTTTCTCCAGTTGGGCAACCAAAGAGAGCAGCTTCTAGCCGTGTATCGGGGTGGAACAACGCCGGCTTGTCTATAATCACATTGACGGTGTACCATAGCGTCATGAGGTCAGAGAATGTGGATGCTACTCCAGCTGTGCAGAGCGATGGAGAGCCTTCACAATCATTTCCGAATGATCACTGCCAGACCAAACGGGAAACGACATATATCATCGCGAGAAGGTTAATTTGGCCCCCTCATCCTCTGTCCTCTTGTCAGCCCAAGAAAAGTATCTCTACCTTATTCACCACATTGTCCTAAGTTTGAGCATATCCAATATTCCTGCAGCAATAGGCGGTTCATAACCATCCTCTTCTGCGGCAGATATTCGAATGATCACAGGGCTTGGGACTATACTTCGCGCATCGAGCACGCGGGGGAAGAGAGCTAAAGCTCGGCCTTGAAACATTGCCATTCTCAGCATCAGAAAATTGTATGGTCGAATAGTATGAGCTGAAGACTTGATGTTTACAGAGGGGTAAGTTCAATTGCGAAGACGCAAACTGCAGTCGTCCAAGTATTCTTTCTGGCGTACTGGAACTTCGCCGTCAAAAACGAGGCAGCGCCGGCCATCTCAGATCCAGCTGGACATATATACAAACATCTCGTTGGTCGATCGATGTGTGATGGGCTGTGGTCACCGCGGCAAAGGAGCTTCCAATGCGGATGATGGTCTCATTGGCGAGCATTCAACTCGCCGTCCCAGCATTCTTCACCGTATCAAACAGTCATCTATCAAAGAAAGTGTCAAAGGGTGTCGCTTTTATTATCCCAATCTTGGTAGAGTGGGCTTCATATCATTGTTGGGTACGCAGTGGATAGGATGAGTGGATCTTTTGAAATCCCAAACAGGAATATGAACAGTCTTTTAATATTTATAATGACGTTGTACCTATAACGACAGGCCTTTGGAGAGCAACTATCTGCTTGTCCTTCGTAGGAGGATTCCCGTCTTTTATCACCTGAATCTGCCCACTATCCTCGATTTATTGAGCAACAGATCAGACAGCGATTCCATTTCTCCCAGATCCCTGCAGCGGTAAAGATTTCACAAAGGCTCCACAGTCTATACGCAATCGGGCGTGTAAGGTTGCCTTTCGGGTGTTCCACCACATAGTCAGGGAATCTAACGCATTGCTCGCGCGTTGGAGTAAGCTAGACGGCCAACCGCGATGTCTGGTATCTTTTTGTACCCTTTGGGCTACATTGACAATTTGAAGTCGCCAAATTTGATGTCGAGAAGCTGAGAGCGAAAGACGCCTCCTTTCCCATAGCCTGTCCAATTTGTTGGTTGAGTCGTTATTAGGCACCGTCTTCTCCCGGTACAACCGCAACGTGCTCTTGATTCATCCGAAGAAACAACCGTAGAACCGCTTGAAATCTCCCGCACACTTGATCCATTATCATCCCGGTATCAGTAATATCGAGGCCATGGGCTCAAAGACCCAGAAAGTCTATCTTGTGTATAGCACAGCTATTGGTAGTGCATAGGTGTGTAACCATGCCACTTCCTCAGTGACTTCAGCTTTTTTAACGCAATTCTTTATTCTTCCTGCAGGTTCGATTCCTTGAAAGACCTCCTCTTCTGTTGGGCCTACAGTATATTAATATTCGAAGCAGAATCTGAACGGGATTGCGAAACTCACAATTGCAGGTAACGACATTCTTTTCACTATAGTATAATTGCACGAAGGCGCAGAGACAGGGCACATCTGAGTTCATCTTATAGCCTAAATGGGGATGCTCTTTGCTTCGGATCCCACGCGCGCAGGGAGAACATTTACCATCACCTCTGTCATGCGGCTCATTCCGACATTGCCGCGGTTGCTGTCAATGGTTAAACCCATGTCAGCAAACAGATTTGCCGAAGTGACGATCCAATCATATATACTGACTTTCGACTCCTTGCCTTGCATGGAGTCGGTGGTAGCTATTTTCGGGAGCTCTGTCTTCAAAAGACCGCCCTGCTTCGATAGTGCAAAGAGAGTCTGGCGGTACCTAACTACCTGGGCCATTTAAGGTGTGACTATTGTCACATCCTTTCCAGGATACCCACCATTTCGGTACCTCTCGATGACGAGTTTCAAAACCCACAGCCTGTTGCCGTAATTGTATCGAGAGTTTCGCTCCTTCTTTTCTACGGAACGAGGTATACCAGGGATTGCCGGGATTCTCTCTCCATCTTGTTCTCGGCAAGTTGTTCAAGGATATGCTGACAGCTTGCTCGACCTTGTGCTGTCTCATCGAGGGCTTGTAATATCTTGGGAACCAGTTATTCTAGCGGCCAAAGGGGACGCACCACGTGTGGGATCTCTTCCACGAAACTGGAGGTTACCCTCCTCTCGCCCAGGGAGGAAAAATCAAGGTTGTTGCCCACTGTCAACCATGGTCCAGACACGATGGAGTTTGCCTTGTCTGCTATCTTCCAATGTTGAGCTTTGGATCCACCGAAAGACACCGTTCCAAGGTCTAAACTAATCAAAGAAGACTGCTGCTGTTTTCTGTGACCGCTTCATTCTTCGTTGTCATCTCCTCCAACAAGTCCCTACCTGGAAATATCAGATGGTAGTTGACCTCTGTTGATTATAACACATGTTCCACGCATCGGGTTGCGGGGTAGAAGCCGAAAAACCCCAGTCACGAGGATAGCCTCGCGTAGTTGTGTACGAGTTCCTGACTTGACCACGCATTTTGATCATGTATCGATCACAGGACCAAGAACCAGCAGCGCTATCCAGCGCCACTCGCGACCCGACAGGGGCTGTAGCCCTGGATGTCCATTGCATCCATTCAACAGACCAGCAAACCAATCTTGTGGAGGTAGATACCCCAACCGAGCAATCACCCAGGCCACAAGCTCTGCTATTCCAAGAATATCCCATTAAGCCCGCGGACTTACTACTACCGTGAGTAGTATCCAGATTTCCCTGAGCATTTAGTATATAAGTAATGAGGGCTGGCAATGCTTTCTGGTTGCTGCCCCACTTAAACCACTTGCCCTAAGTGTCCTTGAAAAATGGCCAGACCCTGTATGTCCGGGTTTATAAGCCAGTAGATACTGCCTGTGCTCGCCATCACGATGCACTCCACATAGTAAATTGTAACGTAGAGATCATACCTGCAGGCCCATGACTTGTCAAGTTTACACTCGTGGTGCAATCAATTGCGGAAACCTTTTCCCTACCGTCGTGGTAACTTTATTTCGTCCGCCCTGGGCCGTCGTGGAGGAGAATTTAGCAGTGCTGTTGTGTTTCTCCCGTAGGCGAGGAGGCGGTTGAGGACCTTTTTGCTCCATGTATACCCGGCAAGGAGCGAAAATCTCAGTAGTTTTGCGATGTCAGGGACTGTAGGTTGTAGAGGATGAGACTGTCGTCGCAAGATATAATGATTGCCGAAGAGGATCGCTGTTTGGGATGCTGCCCAGGCGATCTCCAGCTCTTTTCTGAATGTCGATGTACTGATCGTGTCTGCTGCTACCATTAAGTGACCAAACTCATTCGTAATGCGGCATCTGCGGTAGTACGAGTTGTCTCTGATGTTGCATCCGAATGACGCAGTGTATTCTCATGCAGCCCGTTGAGGACCCCTTATGTTTCCTTCATATGTGTATCATAAAGTGGCTTGAATGCCCCCGGCTAAGTTCAAAACTCACAAGGGTCTTCATGCGTGCACGACCGCGATCAGTCCTGCAGGAAAAGACATGCCTCCTGTCGTATTGCATTGATCAGCAATTCCAAGTACTTAGCACGAGCGTTTGCGTCCCTAAGCTGGGGAGTCTTTCCTTTGTGAGCTTCTCCACCAGGGACTAGAAGCCATGATCCCTTTGATGGAGACATGTTCATCCGCTTTCATATTGCTATTTAGTATATATCGCATGGCAGCGGGCGACCGGATCCTCCTGCTATTTTTCGCCGGGTAACAGGGGCAGTGTATCCTGAGGCAGATTACCCGTTTTAATGGTCGACAATATCAAGAAGAGCCAAGTTGGAAAACTCCCGATGGAGTTGTCCGACATAGTATAGGATGTGTGCTTGGAAACTGGGTAGCAGACACCATAATAGCTAGCCTTCGGCTCTCATCTTGCTTGCCTTAAAAGCTTCCGGTCTGCCCATAAGAGGAAGAAAAGACGGTAGGGTGCCACTGCCTATACGTTCTTGAATCTTGTGTCCATATTGTACTGTCGACAAGTGCCTGGCTTCTCGCACGTAAAGTAGTAGAGGCTTACTGCGAGGTTTTCGCTATCGAGGCTGTTAGCATGCTTCTGGTTCAGCGTTGTTCTGCGAAAGGAGGCTCTGTCGCATTTAGAAGAGGGTCGCATTTTTTCCATGCCATGATGCACCACACAAAAATGACTTTCCTTCTATAATTCTGTTGCATAGAGTCTTCAGGGCTTGCGTACTATAGATCTCAGCTCTATGTCTGGCGAGATTCACTTAGTATGCAAGACATGTTTCTTCCTCAGTTGTCGGAGCTTCTCGAATGGCCGTTCATCCACTGTCCAAAGAACACTCGTTTGGACTACCGCGATATGGTGGACGCAGTCTGGCGGCTGTCACCAATCCCTAGCGACTGTGTAGCTAGAATATTAACGGGTTCCCTTCGCTCCCAGTCTCCCCAATGACAACGGGCCACGCAGATTCTGACCACCATGGCCCTCGTTTGGGAGACTTTGCTCGTCTTCCAAACCTGACTCGTTATATCGCCTGTGCGTTCATAATGTTTGATTTCCGGTCATAGGGCAGATGCTCTGTCTTCTCTCATTTGCGACTTTTGTCATTCTGGTACGTAAGTAGGACGTGGTAGAGATGGCCAACGGCACGCAGCTAGTCCACTTCATAGATCCTGCGGACGGTCATCAGAACTCCCACATGTATTTCGTAGTGGATTTTGAAAGGTAGGTCTATTCCCCGTGTCGAGATCGTCCACAATGTCGCGGTTGGCAGCCATGAGACGGTCGAGTACATCTTGGACTTCTCGTTTGTCTCTGACAGTATTCATCCCGAGCGCTTTCAGGGCCCAGCCTTCAAATCTGGGTGTATCAAGTTGGCAGTGCCGTGGAATGCTAAACTCATAGTGTCGATGTAACCCCAATCAATAGTGACACCGAGTCCGCAGCAGGGTAGACTTGCTAAAGGTAGATGTCAGTATCAGAAGGACTTTATAACTAAAAATTGCGGGTTTGGAAAGAAGACATTCACAGAATGCCGTTGTATTCCAACAATCGTTCATTGGCCCTAGGACCACACAAGAAGTCCATTCTTCCAACACCGACTTCAGGATTGTCACACAGATCCAGCGTCCAGTCTAGTTCGATAACCTTGTTGTTCTCAAACGTATTGCGTATTGCCGTGGCACTCTCTTTATCCACATAGCTGAAGATCTCTGAAACTTTGGTCACATGTCGGAGTATAGCTGCTCCATGAATCTTTCATATATAAATCCGCTTCAACCGCAAACGAGGAAAAAGCAATCACACCACCTTGCGATAGTACCTCTCCCCGGATTCCGCAAAGGTTTGCGGGATCACCCCCCTGTTTCTGTTCGAGTCACCTCGTACTATCAGCCAATGCCGGAATTCTTGCTGGTCTGCGCTTTCTTCTTTAACTCTCGAGAGTACATTTAATCTTGAAATGCGGGTGCTGGTCCCGGACATGTGAATAGCTTGTAATAATTGTCTTCACGAACCAGTATAGATAGAATATACATGCGGATGTTGTGCCTCAATGGTTGGCGACAGTAGTGATCATCATGATCGTAGGAGAGCGCATGATGATTCAATAGTATCAAGTATAGTATATGCATGACGTTTGATATGATGCCGGTAGAAGCAGAGAGACAGAATGAGTACGATTAGAGTACTGGATGGAAGTAGTGACAGAATCAGACCTGGTAGAAGGACCCAAAACAGCATGTTCTCCTGGATCGGTTCGAGTCTCTCTCGATTGATATGGTGTTCATACAGCACAGCTTCTATCTCCGGGTACTTGAGTAGCTCTGCGGTGCTCTCAGTCTCTGTCTGTAAGCAGTTCTGCCAGTCTAACTTAATCTTCCTAGCGAAACTGTGTGCACTCGGCGGCATGCTGCTGAAGTCGGCATTAGCCTTCATGGATCCCGCTAATTGGTCCAAATGGTCAAATTCATGTAGTATCAGGTTGGGTGGAGTTTACAGCCCACTCTGCCAGAGATTCTGATGCCCCTATGTATAGAAAGAGCAATTCTCAGCTGTTGTAGTATCACAGGTCAATCTTCTGGCGGGATGCAAAATGCTAGACCGCATGTTACCTCCCCGATAGCTGGGTTCTCTGCCAGCATTGGTTTGGCGAGGCAACAATAATAGGCCATTGGATATATATGCCATTGCACTTTCTCGATTGGCTGAAGTGGGTGCAGGGGAAGCAGCATCAACGGCTACTTGAGTGCTGGTTCGCATGCCAGTCCGTTCATGATCCTCGGATTATGTAGTAGTTTCTGTGGATTTTGACGGTTGATCTGTGTCGAGAGACGAAGTTTATTGGCGAGTAGTGTAAAGCCTCTTGCTTCGGCTATATAGACGATATTGATATTATTGATATGGTTTATGATACACGTTGAACTCAATAATTAATCAACATAGTCAAGAGTATAATACCGGACGGTTATAGACAAATATAAAAGAATCTGAGAGAAGATGTCCCAGTGACCGTGATGTATAGATATATAACAATTTTCTTGGTCTTTAGTAAAGGGGAAGATAGAGAAGAAAGAAAGCATTAGCAGGGAAATTTTCGCCTTTATATATCCATGGAGAACGGGAAGTTGCAGTGAAATCTACGGAATGTGCCGTGAATCATACAGCGTTGGGAAATGAATGAGGAAGGATTGTAGGTAATAGGGCACAGGTAATAGAAGCAGATTCCCAGCTAACCCTATACAAATCCATACTCTATTTCAAATCTTGCGGACTACTTCAACGCTGCAGTTAAAGCAATACGTGAATTTTCTTCCGTAGGGTGAGTAAGTGGTAGATTGGGTGAATCATGGGGGATGAATTGGATTGATGAAGCAATGAGAAAGTCTCGTACTATCTCTCTTTCAAATCAGAAACGTAGTACCTATTTATCCACGAGCTGTCCAGTTGATAGCTTTTACTGCTTTAGGGTAAACTATGTAATGTAGTATAGCACAGTGATCGTCTCCCAGACCGACCGACTGCTCATAAGTGGCTCTAGTATTGAAGAAAGCCATGCTTACATGTAAGGTACGCTATGTCTCTATGATCATCGCTCAATTAATGAAGGAATGCAGATTTTAGCTGGCTTGTCCTGGTGGGGAAAACACGGATTAGCCGCAAGCATGAATGCCTTCCATAGAACGGTTAAGACGTCAACATTGTACCATGTGGGTGTAGCTCGAGTCGTACATAGTTGGGTATTATTTCCTAAGTTTCTTTCATAGTTCATGGAGCTTTCGTTTTGCGTGGGTAGTCCTACTTTCTAAACATGCTATATGGGCATCTGCCAGCTAATGATCAGCTAATGTTGATAACCTTCATCTAACTATGAAACAGGCGGAGAGAGAGAAGAAGGAAAACTAATCTAAGTGCGCAGCGTAACGATGGAAATATCACATCAAGTCTTGGCCACTTCTTGTAAGCCAGAAACAATCCACTTGCGGTTTTCGTTCATCATCCACTTGCAGAGCGTCTCTAAACCATGTCGTGCCGCATATAACTCTTCCATTTCTTTTAAGCACCACCTTCTAATAAGAAAGTGCTCGTAAGTAACGTTCGGATCTCCTGGGCGGCTGCTCGTCCAGTGTCCGAAAACGTTCACTTCGCTGCGATTGATCGTAGCCGTAAGTACTCGTACCTTCCCGTCGAACTTGTCGGCTTCGTCGTTTTTTCCGCAGGCCTTTTGGTAGAGATTTCGCAGAGCTCTGAGCATTAAGGCGGCCATGTGGAGGTTCCGGCGAGGGCCTTGCTCTGCGTCGATTCTCATCTCGATGGAAAAGAAGGGAAGAGCAAAATTTGCATCCCCGGCTATAGGGAACGCGAACTTGAGACTGTCTGGCAAGATGTTGAAAGCAAGTCTATAATCTCCACGTATCGAATTCCACTTATAGCCAATGATGATGTCCGGGTCTGGTATACTGAGAGGTCGTAGTACTGTCTGTCGCGTTTCAAGAGGCTCGGTTTTGAAATGCATTGATACGTGATAGTTCAACTCCGACATATGAATGAGCCATTCAGTGACAAAGAATGGCATAGATAAGCTAAAAGCAGCCAGACCGACAGCACGATTCCTATTCAAGTGTGCATGTTCAAGAGAATATTTGACTTCTGTGGGTGCTGTCAACGTAGAGGGTAACTCGTAGTCTGGTTTGCGTTCCGCGTATGACGGAGGGATTTCCTGCTCGAGGCTAATATTACGGCGTAAGAGGGCTTCTCCATATGCAACTCCATCCGCATAAGTGAGGTTCCTCGTTTTGGTGGCGACTGTGGAAGTCATTGGGCGACCCATATTCGTGAGTGGGAATGAAGGAGAAGACGAAGGGGTTGTTATGTCAATTTCAGGCCAGTGAGCGGGATTGATATTATTGATATAGTTTAAGATGCGTTGTTTGTGATAACTCTCTGGAATATGACTAGAATCCAGCTGGTGGAGAGGGGGCGTGGGTCTTAAAGCATGCACGTTAGCTATCCAAGGACTAAAAAGAGAAAGAGCAGGCACAAAAGTGGAAAGTGTCATGAGAACGGCGAGTGTTTGAGGTACCTTTCGCCACTTGGAGAAGCCATCGCTATTATAATAAGTAGCAAATTGTGGCACTAGCAATTATGTAGTCCCAAGTTGAGATCTGTTCGAGGGACACCGTAGGTCAACAACTGAGGTCAGGTTGTTCGAGTGTTGGGCAATGAGGGAGATGATAGAATGGTTCGGTGCAGAAGAGTGAGTTTGTTTGCGAGGCAAGAGATAATCAGAGCTTGAAGACCGCGAACTTATCGAGCGGCTTTACAGAACTTGTTGGATAATCATGCACCTCACAAAGAAGATGGATGAAGTCTGATTAGAGCGGAATGAAGTTTCTGGCCACAGCTCTTGTGTATGAGGTAAGTATGAGTGTGGTGTCATCTGATTACTCGTTTAGTACGTGATACATACAGCCCACCTTCCTTTCTCTTTCAGGCAACCATACAGTAGTACTATTAAATGGTTGTTCGGCCTCCCAGAATGACTACTAGTTTTGTCATACTGTCGCATGATGATTATATCCTTATCCCTACATGAGAAGTTTATTTAATAGACCGACCCAAAGATACTAAATCATACTGTTAGTATAGGACATTAGCATATACATCACTACTAGTTCCGCCTCCGTCTGTTAAGATTCCAGCAGAAACTGCTGTGACTTGTTTTTGTGTAGTTATTTGTCCATAGCCAGCAAGAAGTTTCAGCAAAAACAAAATAAGACGGATGTCTGCACCGGATGGGGATTGAACCCACGACCTTCGCATACCACCAATACGAGTGCGACGCTCTACCACTGAGCCACCGGTGCTGAATTAGTAAGCATGGTGGCAAATTGGTTTTCATCAGCCTATCCCTTACTTATCCACCATCCATCCAGTTGTTGGCAGTAGGAGATGCCTAGGAAATGCGTGGTGTCATCGCCATTTGTAACAGAAAGATGATATTTAGCCCACTTTCATAGATACATATATAAGGTCGAAATACTCTATGTAGTACGCAACAACGCACCCCCGTGGGTCATGATCCCACAATGGCGATTTGTTAATCTAAGGATAGATTCTAACCTTCCTCGGAGAGTAGTGCTATCACAAGTCTTAACTTCAACGGTACCACGAACGGGTATCAGAAATAGAAAAGTGCCACATCTGATCAGCTATCATACATGATCTATAAATCCTTTACAGAGAGGTAACAGCTTCCCTCAACCTGAGCTGCTGCTCCAGTACTGCCTCGACCATTTCATCCTGTCCCCTCCACTGCATACCTAAGATCCTCTCCGCAGCTGTAGTATCAACCGTCCACCCTCCTTCGATCAGACCCTTCAATTGACATCTGACAGAAGGGAACTTCCGTCTCACCAGGTCCCCTACCCGTTCCCACGATCCAGCCGGTGCCGACAAAATGAATTCCGTCCCAGAGACAATCTCCGTCTGCAGCGCCCGCAAGTGTGCCTCTGCCACGTCCCGCACATCCACCCACGCGTTCGGTATCGTTGGCTTTCCAGAATGTAGGCTATCCCAAAACATCGAGTTTATTCCGTCCATCTTCTCGGGCGTTTCTTGAATCAGACTCTCGCCGAGGACGAAACTGGGGTGGAAGGTGACAAGGGTAAAGTGCGGGTTCTGACTGGCCAGGAAGTCCCGTGTGACTTGATGGGCTGATATCTTCGAGATGCTATATTTGAAACCATGTCCGAAGGGGCCTTCGAGCAAGTCTGGGGTTAGGTCTATGGGGATAATTTCATTCGTGTTGTCTATAGTATCTGTTGATCAGTCTTTCTTTGGATCACTGTAAGGATGCGACGAAATAAAATCACCTCTGACAAGCACGTCTTTCTCGCAAAGAGACATAGGAGGTGTTAAAGCTAGTACTGATGATACAATAATCACTTTCTTGATCTGAGGGAACCCTAGCGCGGAAAAGAGAACGGATTCGGTGCCTTTGACTGCCGGATCGATATACCCTGTTTGCAGGTCGAAACCGGCACCTGGCATTGGTGAGGCCAGGTGAATAAGGTGATCCACGCCGTCAAGAGCAGGTTTGAATGCGTCTCGGACTGTGATATCAGGAATGATTATAGTCTCAATTTGGTTGTTGAAATCCGGGTAACGGTCCCGTAGAACGGCTTCCTGCTCGGGTCTGCGGATGCTTAGTCGCACTCGGTATCCCGCCTGTAGGGATACGAGGGCGACTTGGAAGCCGATGAACCCCGTCGCGCCGGTGATAAACACAAGGGGGGGAGGGGAGGGAAGCGACATGTTGCGTGGGTTTTCTCGGACACTTGGTGGACGTTGTTCTAGGGAGACCGACCCTTTTCATAACACCTTCGAGCTACGAGGGGAAGAAGAAGCAATCCTACCCAGATAGATGTACGGCAAATCTCCAGATAACTAGTGATCATCAGTACTGTCTACTAAACTAACTAACAACTAGTATCATGTCCCAACGTTCCTCGCTCGGCTTAGATCACTAATCTTCATACAAAGTTAAAGTGGATCCCGATCGATTAGTGGTCGTCGATCCAGTCGACCCAAATATCTGTCCAATTGTAGGACACTCGGTGATCGGCTTTTACCTTCCATGCCGCTTATGAATCAATCAGTCTCCAACGTCCTATTGACACTGATCTGATCAGCTTCCCGGTCCCTTTATAGCTACTCGTGGCCAAACGCGCGGTGCTGCGGAGCATATTAGTATACATCGAAAGGAATAGGACTTGATGGGCTTCAGCAAGGTGGTTTGGGGCATCTGGATTCCTATACTTAGCTACTATCATTTCTATCTATTCGGCATCCCACTTCCTCCCATCCAGCCTCGGCCTCGGACTGGATCACGCATCAAGATAACTACGTATCTACCTGAAACACGCAAGAGAGCGTAATTCTCCGGCCCCCGGAGAAGCCACCAACTTTGATTATCTCATCCTTCCATGGGACCCACCAAATTAACCTCGAGATGAGGCAGGTTTTGTGGATCGGGTTCAACTACTACTAATCAAGAAGTGACAGAAGTCGCGGAAACTTTACTTCGATAATCAATCTTCCTGTCATGCTAGCCGAGCCAAGGGTACAGGTGCAGATCGTATACCAGTGGATGATCTATAGACGGCGGTTATTAACTTAGAAGACCACCCCGTCAATATGATATACAGATATGCTCCATGAACTTCAGAATACGTTCGTGAGCCGATTACAGTAAAACCTTCAGCTTACATTAAATCTCTATAATACTTACAAATACCAATGACTTTTGTTGAGAGAAACAATGTAGATATTGGCCTGAAGCGAAATGGGAGGAGCTAGCAGGAAGCTATGGAACACCGTGATATTGTAGAAAATAGGACGGCTGTATAATCACCCTAACAAACAATCAAAGGGCAAACAGCACCATGGGCAGTCCATCAACCTCCCTCTATATGCCAAAAGAATACCTCATCCCCATAGACCAATTTCTGCACCCTGGATTGCTTCAAGCACTAAGCGCTTTCCCAAGCGACCGGCTTGTTTTCCTTTGCCCAAAGCTTCTCCGCATCACTTCCAAACGGAGGAGGAACGAATCCATTGACGCGCCATAGTCTCCTTTCAGTCTCATCAACATGAAACTCCCAATCATAACCTCTATCGGCAATATGAGGCTTCAAGGCTTTTTCAATCGCGTAGCACGTATTCTTGTAAACGTGGTCCTCATTTTCGAGCCGAACGGCAATGTGGTCGGCAACAATTCGAATAAACGGCTTCTCGGTTCGGTTTTCAGCGCCGACCCAGGTATCTCCGGGGGGGAGCTTCATAAAGTTGATGACAACATAGAATGCAGGAAGGCCGATTCGAGTGTAGAGCTTTGTGATATCTTCCGTCAGAGCTTTTTTGGAAGCGGTGTCCTCGAAGGTGCCGGAGGGGTGATAGATGAGCCAAAGGGGCATTTTGAGTATGTGGTTATAAGCCAAAATCTTTAGAAACGTCTCAAAGTAGAAAAATGGGGGATGATTGGAAGAAGATGGGACGCAGATGTAAGACGACGACTACTATACCTTATAAGTTTATAGCTGAGCCCATCCCAAGACAAAGTTCCTTTCTCCATATTACCTCACCTGGTTTCTTACGTGACTCTTGGAAATCCCTAAAAGCATGCCCACCTATACAGCTACCAATGTCTATCGGGCATTTCATGATATTTTGAAACGCCGAATAGTATACTAGTCAGTGAGTTTCCGGGTTCGGTGCTTGGGTGTGGGGTTGGTCGGATGGATCAGTAATCATCAGTACCGCATGGATCAGTAATCGGATAACTACAAGACGCCCTGGGTAAATTGCGCATAGACGAATGGGTGAATAGATAATAACCGGCGGCAGAGAGATCTTCGGCTTTTATCGAAGGTATTTGCCCTGCTCCATTGCTAATTATTGTGATGGACAATGGTGTTGTCACACCTACTACTGACCTTGCACTCGGGGCCTTCGCACAAGCGAAGGAACCCAGGCAATTGCACATCCTCCCGGGAGGAAGTCTCGACCCATATAATGGGCAACCCTTCGATGAAAATGCGCCGGTACAGGTCATATTCTTGAAAGATCATCTAGGAGAACGGGTAAACTACACTGATTCTTGCTGATCATTAATGTATCTCGGTTTGCTGGAATGGAAAGCCATCTACATATTAAGCGTTCATATCAACATAAGAAAGAGCAAGCTGCATCCTTAATCGACTATCACATCAATCACGAATCGTCTCTCATCAAAGTCTCGAGCGAGGAAAATGGGTGTCACAGTCCATTGGTTTGCTTGGCCACGAGGTCATATCTACCGTGGGCTCTCCCCCGAGGACCAGGCCATCAATCAAATCACTATTCTGCAAATCGTCAATACATCGACCACACAACTAAAACAGGAAATGAAAGGTAAACTCACTAAGTGACTCCGGGCCGGTATACGGCTTCTCACTGACCTTCTTGCCCCCTTTCAGCTCAATAATCTTCAGCTCAGACGACAAATCAACCTGTCTAGCAGTCGTCGCCTTTTCCTGCATCTGGCGCGGAAAATCTACCTCCACCTTCTTCATCGGCTTGCAGAGCCAGAAGCCCGCATCCACGCAGTAATCCTTGAAATGGATTCTCTGCAATCTCTTGGCGTCAAACCAATGCAGGAACGGGTCCGCATCGACAATGAATCCAAAGAGAGTCAGTGAGCGGATGGATAATTTCTGGCGAGTGCGACCCACGGACATGGCACGCACTTTGGCCTTTTCGATGACCATCTTGTCGAGGTATTCGGCTTGGCCGAGCTTGTGGTCAAGTGCGCCGGTGCCGTCGCCGCTGGTTATGGGTTTGCTGTTAGTAACTAAACGCGAAGGAGAGGTGGAAGGGATGCTTACAAGTACACTGGTTCCGCATACTGAGCCTTGTTGAGCTTCCAGCCTCCCTTGATGTAGGGCCAATCGCCAGTCTTGCTCTTGCGGATACGGGGAGGCAAGGCCATGCCGAGTTCCAGTTCCTCAAGGTCAACGTTCAACCAGGCGGCCTGCCAGATGTATTTCTGGTATGACTGCATCATGCCAGTAATTTTGAGCCTGTGGAGGTTGCGGAATAGACAGAGAGGGGACATCTGCTCGAGATCAAGCATGATGAGTTCCGGCTCAACTTTGCTGTCGGTTTTATTGTCATCATCACTGATGTTCTCCTTATTGTCCAGGTCGCTAGGCCAGAACACGTCAAGTCCAAGCGAGTGACGATCATCAGTAAGACGCTCCCAGGTCTCACCGCCGCGGAACTCCAAGAGAGGCTTCTCCGGGGTGGCTTCATCGGCAGATAGGAGCTGAACAGACTCCACCTCGGTCTCGGTTTCAGGCTCCTCCCGCATCAAGTTAGCCATTCTGTATAGGGCGGAGCGGATGAGCGAGCTCGAACGGCTGGATGCGACGCTGGATCCTCGAACGAGGGACTGGGAGCGCGTGCGAGATTGCGAACGAGGGCGTCTGGAAAGTTCGGCCACACGAGCTGTTGCTAGGGGAGTGCCAGTGAATGCCGCATCGTTCATGCTGAAGCGACGGCTTCTGCGCTTGTCTGTGTCGGCGCTGTTGGCAGCAGGGGCATGGGTGTTTTGCTCATGTTCTTGGTTAAATGGAAATCTTTCGTGCAAGGGCTTGTCTTTATCTGGATAGAGAGAGTATAAGGTAGATGGTGAGGGATACGGATCTCAGCTAAGGAGAGAAGAAGGTAAATTCAATACTGACCTGCTTCGATGCGGTCGTGAATGGGCTGATTGTAAGCTTCAGCATCTTTCCAGAACTCTTCTCCAAGGAGAGTAGCCTTCCAGTGATCCGGATAGTTCTCCATCGTGAGCAGTTGGTATCCGCCAGCAATGGAGCTGTGGTGGAGAAGACCTCAGTTGAACAGATGGTTGCTGCGCCGAGATCTCCCGTGGAGAATCAGGTGAGGAGTGGTGAAAGTAAAGAAAATGAGAAAACAACGGCGGCAAGCGGACGAACACATATTGTTGCAGCCAGGAAGTCATTCACTGATGCTGAGAGTGGAGTAGCTCGGCGTGTGTGCACAAGTAAACATCTCTTCTTTGCTGCCGGACAGACAAAACCGCCTCAAACATACTTGCTTCATAGAGAAGATCGACAAAGGAACTACACAACAAAGACTTTCACCAGACACAGCTTTTGCATGCTCCATTGTCAGCTGCTACAGTTTCTTTATATACACATTATCCCTGTCAAGCTTTGTTGTGGCTATTTTTCCCTAGCCTCAAGATCCTGAACACCATGGACGGCTTTCTCCAGTTTCATCGCTCTAATTACTACGATATTCCAAGCCGCTTGGATTCTACTATTAATCCAGACATAACACAACACACCCTGCAGCCACTGTCTAATACAACATATCTCACTATAATTCCAGAACCCACTGTCGTCAGGCCACAAGACCAGTACGTTATGTCCCATATTACTATCGATAATACTAACTAGGATGAGAACGTCCAAGCCTCAGGGATACCTGACGAGGTGACATGTTCAATCATCATGGTACCTACCTACGCCAGCGTGAGCGCACCTGTGCGGTCAAATCGTGGCAACCCAGTTACTTCTACCACCAGCAGCCTCACCACCACCAGCCTCTTCGGTATCACCACGTTGCAATACATATAGATTCGCAAATGCGATCTTTTTGATATGCAACACAGACACCACCCATTCCCATCAGTTTACTGCACAGAGACGAACTTGCTACCTAATCTACAATGAGTGCCGACATCGAAATAAAGGAGGATACGTAAAATACACCGGGCCAAATGGTATATCATCGCTATACCAAGATGTGCACATTTTCAGGATTTCAATGTACACAGCCAGATTGGATAGTGTCATTCTGCTTTATGCCAGCCAATCCTCCATCACGCATCAGCTTCTCCAAACACCTCATCTCCTTCGGAAAAGAAGCGGTACTTCCTCCCCCATAGCCAAGGTTATAATCGAGGTGCTTTGGTTCAACACTCTTTCAGCATTGATTCTGCCCTTTTCACTGCTGTCGGCCAACTCGATGCGGTACTGTCGGAGAACTGTCGTAAGCGCAGCAACAAATTCGACCTGCGAGAACTTCTTTCCCAGGCATGCGCGGAACCCATCGCTAAATGGGATATAGGCACCTCGGACGGGTTTATGGATAGTAGGATATTCCAACCCCGGGCCAGCGAGTCCAGGTAGATCGGCGTTTCTGGCCAAGAAGCTACCCTTGTTGCGCGCATCCCACCTCTGTGGTTGAAATAGCGTGGCGTCGTCCCCCCAGTATTCTTCAGAATAGTGAAGACCATTCGTATTCAAGTTTATGTAGGTGCCTGGTTCCAAGACGTAGTCTTTGCCGTCGTAGTGGATGACGCTCGGTGAGTCCCCTGTACATTTTGGTATGGTGATAACCGGAGGGTAGAGGCGCATCGTCTCGAGCTGAATTGCAGTTAGCTTGTCACCAGTCATACAGGAAGGACTTTCGGCGTACCATCACACAAAGAGGGGTGACGAGCTTAGGGAATGCATCATCGTAGTTCCAGTCCTCAATATTCGGCAGTTTATCTTTGGTCGCCTCGGATATGCCGTTATGTACCCAGTCTTGAACATTTTGATGGAGAGCAAGCAGTACCAAAGCAAATCTCGAGGTTGTTGCTGTCGTTTCATGCCCAGCAATGGTAAACAAATGCATATTGCTGATGATTTCTCGGTCAGAAAGACCTGCGTCCTTGGTATCCCCAGGCTTCCTGGAGATTAACATGCCTTCGATGAGATTTGAGGGATTTTCTTCTCCGCTTAATCTTGATTCTGTGGTAGTAATCAACCTCTGTAGATACTTGTCTAGATCCCGGTGAGCCGCAAAGTCTTGCTTGAAGAACGGAACCAACGGTCTCGGGACCCATTTAGGTAGCATGTTGTTCGCCAGTGCCATGGTGGGGATGTGCAGATTCATATAAGCCACTACTGATCGGAATGTAAAGTCGAATCCTGTCGGTGGGGTGGGACTGTCCCTGAAAATGTCCTCCGGGTTCTTGAGCGAATCCTGAGGCAGTAGCTTGAAGGGCGCCTTTACTCCAAACCCAGCGCCCGAGAGCACGTTCAGGGTAAGCTTGTGGATGTCGTCCCTAGTACTTTCCACCGTGAATCCCGATCCACGAGTGGAATCTAGAGGGGACGCCTCCGCCCATTGCGCGATCATGTCCTGTGTTTGTTGAATAGACTCTTCCCATACCAGGGCATTATTCTTCTCATGGAACGTGGTTGCCGTGTATCGACGGTGGTGAGACCATTCTTTGTCCTCACACTAGACAAGTCAGTCCACAACCTTCCTGGAATTGCGAAAAGTGGTACCCACCGTGACGACATTAGGCCCATACATATCCAATATGCCTAAGATACCATTAGCATCCGAGTCTGTACAACTGATAAGGGTTGGAGACCCACGATATAGCTTGACTGGCTTTGGAAAGTCCTGTCGGGCATTGACGATCTGGCAGACCACAGAAGCATCTGCAACGCTACAAAAAACACCCCGAGGATTGACCAGTATGTAGACCTTCCCGTACCTCTTCACCTGGCGATTCCTGACAGTCCAGCGATAGGTGCCGACATTATCGTACAGGAGATCGCCCATCCATTGGGGAAGACAATACTCTGCAAGGAGCGGGAGTAGCCAGCCGAACAATATTATGAATATAATGCTGACATTGTACGGGGACGCAACATAAGGAAGCTTAGTGCGCTGCGCTTTGCGAATATTTTGGGCGAGGTTCCAGATGTAATCAAAAACAACCAGGCCGATGAAGCCTAAGACGAGTGTGTACGCGATCATCGCACTGGGGAGCCCAAGCATCGGGCGGGTATTCGCGTCAGCAGAACTTTACTTTGCAGGAACGAAGGAATCACTGGGTAATAAATAAGCATCAGCTCATCGACCGGCGATTCCCTCAAATCCCGTCGGATTATTGTTTCCCCCCTAATAAGCGCCAGGTTGTCAGCGGCGCAGCGCAGCTGACATGTGCTAGGCTTGAGTCGCACTGACTTTGAGTTTAAATGAGTAGTCTGTAATACTCTCCGGCGCTTAGCGAGATATGAAGGGAGACTTCAGGAGGAAGGTATACCAACCTGATGGTGGTACCAACAGAGGCAAAAGGGAGGTGACATGTCTATCAACCCAGTAACTCCATGGATCTCGGACTGTCTTCGATTGGCAGCTGAAGGCGTGGCTGCAGGACGCACGGGAGATGGATCATGCGCCACGGGTTCTGCAATCTGCTATCGTTTCATTCGACAGTATCTAGCGAATGAGAATCCGTCTATTCTGATTGCATAGATTGCAATTGACTCGGGTGCAGAAAACGAGAAGGTACGGGGAACGTCGGCTGGTTATCGACATTGTTGGTGGCTGGGGGCGTAAGATAGATAAGCAAGCAGTGGGTTTGGGCGGAGCCATATGCGGAATCTGGAACACAATCCAGGCACAACTTCTCCACTACATTGCTTGAGACCAGAAAAGTTCTGTCCGAACTACGTCACTACGATAATCTGGAAAATCGCAAAGTCTAGAGAGCAGCTCCTGTTCGTCAAATCGAGCACTACGTCGCATGGATCTCTTATGGAAGGCCTGGCCCATCCTACTATACCCTGACGGTGCAGGCGGTGCAATGCAGGAACCCGTCAGCCATCCGTTTCAAGTACTGTCGGCTTGCCGTAAGAGAGCTTGAATCGACATCACGTTGTTTCTTCTTGTTCACTGTTCCCGTGTTCATTACATCCATGAATACCGTATATAGCGTAGCATAGCGCGAAAAGTCAGGATTTGCCGGTACTGCCGATCCTACAACCGAAAAAGAGACTTTTGAAAACCCGTAGGAAAATAGTTCGATTCAAAAACAATCATGCAAGGTTATTCCCATCATAGCACTATCCTAGTACTTCTTGCCCTGACGCAGGACATCACCGAACTCCTCCAGAGGGCTGCGGATGAGCTTAGTCTCCTTCCAGAGGTTGGGGGTGAGGAAGCCGTAGGTGTTGACGACGGCAAGGAAAGTAGCCTTGAGAGTGTTCTCGAGGGTCTTGGTGGAACCGGAAGAGCAGGTGTAGGCGTCCTGGACACCGGCAAGCTGGAGCAGACGCTTGACAGCGGGGGAGGCAACGAGACCGGTACCACGGGGAGCGGGGATAAGCTATAACCGGGTTAGCATATTGGCCGGACGGAAAAGCGAAATCGAGGATCGAAAAAGAGTCGCGACATACTCTGACGGAGACGGAACCACACTTGGCGCTCTGCTTAACGGGCAGAGAGTGAGGCTCACCAAGGTTGGTACCCCAGTAACCTCTACGGACGGGGAGAACGCTGAGCTTGGCGATGGTGATGGCAGCACGGATAGCGGTAGCGACTTCCTTGGAGGTCTTGATACCGAGACCGATGTGACCCTCGGAGTCACCGATGACGACGACGGCCTTGAAGCGGGTACGCTGACCGGCACGGGTCTGCTTCTGGACGGGTTTGATCTAAATTTTCCAGCCGTCAGCACCTCCCATTTTTTTTTCGATATATCCTTTTTGATCCCATCATGTCTGCAATTCCGATCCACGTATCAATTCCACCCGCGCATTCAATCCTATTTCCCGCGCACAATCGTAGATCTTCCTTGTCGACAATTCGGTAATCGGGCGATCGGTTCGTACCTTCATGACCTCATCCTTCAGCTTGGGGAGGAAGAAGTCCACAATCTGGTACTCCTTCACGGGCAGGGAGTGCAGGTAGATCTGCTCCATGCTGGTGATCTTGCCAGCCTTGACGAGACGGCCGAGCTTGGTGACGGGCTGCCATTCCTTCTCCTGCTCCTTGGCACCACCGCGACGACCACGGCGACCACGGCCACGGCCACGGTCACCACCACGGTCACCGCGAGAGCCGAATCCTCCACGTCCACGGGGAGCGTCAGCCATGTTGGATATATATGGCGATTGAGAAAGTCGGGGGGGAGAGGTAACGGACGGGAGGTGTCGTTGGGGTTGTCGACGTCGAGGTTGACTTTCTTCTCGCTATCCACAACTGTTTTGGCACCTGGGAAATTTCGCTGGCGGGTGCGCTAAGCGAGCCCGCAGCCCTGTGCCCTAAGGTGGCCTCCCGATTAGGTAACCCGAACGGGACCCCCCATCCCGTATCATCATGTGATAAGTGGATTATACCCCATTGGGAGCTGTTATCTTCCAATGATTTTGCTTTGTTTTTCCCATTTCAATCCCGTTGATGTTCTTATCGGCGGTCTGGGGTTCTGATCCAATTACTTGAAGTTATCAGAGCTCCCCTTTGGGCCCTCTTCTGCTCTTCTCCAACTATTTACAAATCCGGGGCACTGGGATTGTTGTCTTCATCCCCTATTATTTGCATTAATTAGTCTCACTAAATATATAGTCGTATTTATTCTTTGATCATGCTCCGGTGGTATGTCCCTATCCATCCTGATGATCAATATTTCCATCGCTGATCAGGCACAGGTATCAAGCGAGGTTGGCCAAGCAGCCTATCCTCACTGCTAGTGTGACGAGTGCTGTAAGAACTCCATTCTTCTTTCTTACAAATCAAGATTCATTTCCTCTCGTACTCTCTATTATCTAATGTCAACCCCGACGTAATACCAATTTGAGCTGACCTTTATTTCCCATGCGGACTAGCTGTTGTTTGGTAGTGGAGATGTTCTAGCCCAACAACTAGTCGATCGTAAGGGATTTGATAAGCACGACCTGGCAAGAACGGGACGCATGGCCCTTTATGGTGGAGGTGAGCTACCATATAATCCCTTGTCAATCTGGGATCTTCTTTCTGCCCTTGGAAGTCCTGGGAAAGCCTTCCTCCATACAATGGGAAGTGGTCAAGCTAACATATAACAGCGATCTTCGGGCCGGCTGCTACCACCTGGTACGGTGTTCTCCAGCGTCACGTCGTCCTGAATAACGCCAAAACTACCCTCATTGCCCGTGTCATCGCGGATCAATGTGTCTTCACTCCCGCACACCTTACTTGTTTCTTGTCCTCCATGGCTATCATGGAAGGCACCGATCCGATCGAGAAGTGGCGCAATGGTTTCGTTCCCAGCTTCAAAGCAAACCTTGCGATTTGGCCTCTCGTTCAAGGAGTCAACTTTGCCATCGTGCCACTTGAGTACCGCGTGCTTTTTGTCAACCTAGTCGCTTTGGGTGTGTATTCCGGCCTTCTACTAATATCGAATGATGCTGACGCCATTAGGCTGGAACTGTTTGTTGAGCTTGATTAACAGCGGTGAGAAGTGATTTTGATTTTCAATACCCTGTCTGTTGTAGACACTCTTTGCAGATATCCCTACACTGTCCATAGGTACTAGATGTTTTCTGGTCCAGTTGTTTTTCATTTGAATTCTGATATCTACGGCATTTTGCATGTTATATAGATTAATTTGAGGGTACTAAGTACTACTATGTTGTTTGGGATCATAGGATACTATTAAGTTACTGGTAGTATGGATTTAGTACTGTAAGTAGTTGTGTGGTTTCCATTGCTGTTCGTCAAACAGGCTAGTAGTAAGCAGATTGCGGATTTATATATTTCAAAGTTGTAGTAGTATTGTAAGTAACCGACAGTAGCACTACTACTACTTGCTCTCAAAGCTGGACTAAGTAAATCGAGGGGATTGTCGATGAGTAGCCTGTAAAATAAAATTATCTCATTTTAACTAAATAATAAACTATAAATAATCTGCCATGATGTCGACAAGATGGCATTCCCGGCGATTAGGGCTGGGGTTGGGCAGCGGTTAGCCTATGAAAGCACTGCAAAGCGGCGTGGCCCAAAAGGGTAAGGTTCCAATCGTGTCCCCAATGCGGCTTTCTCCAAACCATCAAAACTTCAGGTTGTGATTTTCTGTCGTCGCCTCAAAGAATCCACCCTCTATCACGACTGCTCTCGCCGTGATTCTGCCTGGAGCAGACGACTCAACTTCGCGTGAACCGATCGCGCCACTCCTTGCTCCTACTCTGAGCCTGTCACCCCCCAGCTGCGCCTTCCTCCGCCAATCTCTCTCCGACACAAAATTTGCCATCCGCGCTATTTTGTCTCTTCCCCTCCGACACGACCGCTCTCCCTCCCATCACCACAATCCCGCCGCTGCATCCTCTTCAACCACCTCTCACTTTCCCCTCACTTCCTCACTCAACTTTCATAATGGCCGCTGTTGCTGAGAACGGCCACGCGCCCGTGGCTGACGAGAACGCCGCCCCCGTTGCTGCCGCCGTCGAACAGAAGGAACAGACCGAGAAGACGAATGGAGACTCTGTCACAGTATTCCACGACCCCGAAAACTTCAATGTGAAGCATCCTTTGATGCACGAGTGGACTCTGTGGTTTACCAAGCCCCCTAGCGGCAAGGTACGGATTCTTGCCGAATCAGACGCAGCAGTGGATCAGACAACTAACCTTTCCTGTGCGATAGGGCGATAACTGGAATGATCTGTTGAAGGAAGTCGTGACTTTCAACTCCGTTGAGGAATTCTGGGGTATCTACGTATGTGTTCTTTTTTTGGGTTCACCGAGGAGACCTGCCCGCTAACCAATGCTTCCATAGAACAACATCTCGCCGACATCCGAGTTGGGCCTCAAAGCAGACTACCATCTCTTCAAGAAGGGAGTTCGTCCCGAGTGGGAAGACCCCCAGAACAAGCACGGAGGCAAGTGGTCATACTCTTTCAAGGACAAGCGCTCCGTGCCCATCGACGACCTGTGGCTGCACGCACAACTGGCCGCTATTGGCGAGACTCTTGAGAACGACGGTGACAACGAGGTTATGGGTGTTGTTGTGAACGTACGCAAGGGCTTCTACCGTGTTGGTCTGTGGACTCGGACTGTTGGCAAGAGTATCCCCGGAGACAAGAATGGTCGCACACCCGCACAGGGCAAGGAGATCCTCGAGAACATCGGCCGGCGCTTCAAGGAAGTCCTTCGTCTCAAGGAGGCTGATGCCGTTGAGTTCTCGGGTCACACGGACAGCGCACACAGCGGCAGCACGAGAGCCAAGGCCAAGTACACTGTCTAAGGTATATAACCTGTGTGTGCAGCTCCATTTACGAGGTATTCATTGCGGATCTGTTTCTTTGCTACGGAATAATGGGAAGTCTTTGTGACGATGGTTGATAACGAATCCGAATGGACCGGCATGAGGAAATGCGCGTCCGACTTGCTTGCATTTGCAGTTACAGTGGTGGTTCGGTCATAGGCACTGATGGCATGTTTCTTTCCCTCAGTACGTATTTCTGACGAGGTTTATACCATATTTCATCGAGTTATAGCTTTACGCCTCTAGTGGCCCACAAAATAACGAAAAACACTCTTAAAACATCTTATTCTAGTGCATTCTCAATAGACATTCAGCTGCTTCTGGCTCAACTCTTTCCATCTTGTGTGCCTAAAACTGACAACCATCTGGGATAGGG